GGAATTATTACCCCCCCGAAAAGTGAACCGTCAATCGACGTCAACCGTCAATCGACTAACAACCGGGTTCCTACTTACTGTTACGTAAACAGAGGCGTGTGGAGTAAGAAAACTTGCCTAAGGTTTCACCTTCGACAGATTAAGCGAGTGGAAAAAACTGTGCTAGATAGAGTTCAATGTGGGGAAGTGTGAGATCATCCACTATGGATCCAAAAATGGCAAAACAGAATATTTTCCAAATAATGAAAAACTAAGAACTATGGAGAAGCAAAGGGATTTGGATGTCCACATACACAATTCATTAAAAACTAGTTCACAGGTACAAAATGTTACCAAAAAGGCTAATGGGATGTTGGTCTTTATCTCAAGGAGTTTGGAACATAAAGGAGAGGAAATGATGCTTCAACTGTATAGAGCCTTGGACAAACCCCATCTGGAGACTGTGTTCAGTTTTGGGCACCGCACCTCAAGAAGGATATATTGGCCCTGGAGAGGTTGCAGCGCAGATTCACCAGAATGATACCAGGGCTTAAAGGGTTAAATTATGAGGCCAGGTTGCATAAACTTAGATTTGTGTTCTCTTGAGTTTAGAAAGTTGAGGGGTGATCTGTTTGAGGTTTTTTTATAGAAAAAAAGGGATTTGATAGGGTAGCTACAGAGAAACTATTTCCTCTGGTGGGGGAAATCCAGAACAAGCCTAATCTAAAAATTAGAGCTAAGCCATTCAGGAGTAAAATCAGGAAGCATTTTTTCACGCAAAGGCTAGTGCAAATCTGGAATTCTCTTCACCAAAAGGCTGTCGAGACTGGATCCATTAAAATTTTCAAGACTGAGGTGGATAGATTTTTGTTAGGTTGGGGTATCAAGGGATTGAACTCTGCGCCGAAATGCAGGAACACTCTTCCTCTACCCCTCCACCTTGTCCCTTCTTTCTCCATCTTCAGAGTGCCCCTGAAGACCTTCCTCTTTGAAAGTGCCTACGATCACCTCTGCCCTCCCCCAGGTTAGGTGTCATGCTCTGCCACTGTCAAGCGTTCTGGGACATTACCCTGCATGAGGGGCTCTATATAAATGTCAGTTGTTGTTGCCAGCTGGCATTGGGTCCCACTTCTTTGGCTGGTTGTCGGGTTGGCTGCTCAACAGATCTGTGATGTGAATTCTTTCTTCTCCGACTTGAAAGGATGGAAGGATCAAATGTAAGGTTTATTAATACCAGTCTCTATTCCTGATCATATCAAGGAGAGGATGCCAGTCAGTGCTCGGGGTGCCGATTAACACTATTTACCCTGTTCTCTTTCCCAGTTAACTTAGTTGCGATTATTATCCTGTCCCGAGGAAAGTGTGGTCTCTCCAAATGCATCACAAGCTACCTGGTGGCCATGGCAACGGCAGATTTACTGGTTGTTATTTGCGATGTGATTCTCAGGAGGTTGCGAGAGTTTTATTTCCCCTTAACCATCTTGTCCAGCACAGCCTCATGCAGCGCAATCACTGTCCTCCGCTACTCTGCCACAGACATTTCTGTCTGGTTGACGGTGGCTTTCACTTTTGACCGATTTGTGGTCATCTGCTGGCAGACATTAAGAATAAAGTACTGGACAGAGAAAAATGCAACAGTGGCAGTAATAGTAATATATGTGATAAGCTTCCTGAAAAATATTCCCTGGTACTTCACTCATGAACCTCTCCACACAATCAACAATGTGCCATGGAATTGCAAGACAAAGCAAAGTTTCTTTCTCTTTCCCTTGTGGATAGCATTTGACTGGTTTGATCGATTATTTACTCCATTACTTCCTTTCTTCTTGATCTTGCTGTTGAATTCTCTGACCGTCCAGCACATTTTATTTGCTAATAGAACACGCAAGGAAATAAAGATCCGCAGCCATAGTGAATATGACAATGATCCTGAATTGGAAAACCGAAGGAAATCCATTATCTTACTCTTCACTGTGTCTGGGAGTTTCATCTTGCTATGGTTAATCTCTTTGGTCCATTTCCTGTATTATCAATTTGGAAAAGTTAAGTATTTCCAAGAAGGTACCAGCGAACCATGGTTTATTGTAAAGGAAAGTGGGACGATGCTTCTGCTTTTGAGTTCCTGCACTAACACCTGCATTTATGCAGTAACTCAGACTAAATTCAGACAAGAGCTGAAAAATGCAGTGAAATATCCGTTTGGGCTAATTAGCAAAATTCTAAAATAAATGAAATAAATTCAGCAAAATTGTAATTTACCCATGTGTCACAGTTTGTCTTATTTAGGTCCTGCACTGGCCCTGAATTTATATATCTCGGCATCCAATTTACACAGCAGGAGAGGGGTGAGTCTGTCAGGAAAATTCTGGATGACAGCAACCAGAATCGCTCTAGGGCCCCCTTAAACCACAACAACAACAACAAGATTCCATTTATTGAGCGCCTTTCACGTCGGGAGGACGTCCCAAGGCGCTGTACAGTTGGGTCAGGACCTGAGCAAGGGGGAAATGGTCAGGGTAAGGGGAGGGAAGGGAGGGAGCGAGGAAGGGGTAGAGAGTTGAGAGGGGAGCTGAAGGCACGGTCAAAGAGAATTCACATTTTAACCTACTATCTTATACTTAAACTGCAATACCGTTTCATCTTGGGGAAGAGGATCATCCACCAACTGAAGACTCTGGATCTGCAAATTCAGTTGGCTGTGCATTAGTGGCTGTGGCTGCCCGTGGACACCCCAACCAGTTACTTTATTCTAACATTCAGGATGGCGTACTCAGAATCTCCTCTTTCTGGACCTCAATTCCTGTCCTCACCGCCTCATGACTATCCAAACTGATCCACACCACCTCCTCCATTATACATTATGTTTGAAACATTGGACATGGATGCCTTCAGGAAACGCATTTTTGAGGGGTCCCAATTTTGCAGGGTTACCGTCCATTGTGCACCGACGGCGCATAACATCTGGTCTCACTTACTGCACAGCCAATCGATGACGGCAGGGACTTCACCATAACAACTTGGTCCTCGGATACCAGAAATGGGGGCACTGGGGTCCTCACCGCTCGGTCTTATGACTGTGTTCAGGAACATGGGAACTGCTAGTCACGCTCTCCCTTCTGTCGCTCCCACAAAACGTGAGCTCACATCTCAGTCATGCTTCCGGACACATGCTGTACATGGCAGGAGGCATGACCAAGTTTGCAACTACGAGGCTCAAAGGCTGCAGAAGAAGAATCTTTTAGGAGTTCCTAATCCCAACACCATAGGCACACGCAAACCAGATCTAGTTATGCACAGAAATAATCTGGGTTTTGGACAGCCAACCATGACAATCTCTCTTCACACAACCTTAAAGCACAATACTATAACACACCACACGTCAGGGAATGGACAGAAAAAACATTCCCTGACTCCAGCGGCATCGCCCTCGAATGGAGAGGAGTTTGATGCCCCGAATCTGCAATTCCTCCTCTGGAGCTGGGACTCGACAACAGCCATTTTGAGCTCATGTCTCTCTGAACAACTCGAGTTGTCACTGCAGCACAGAGTCAGGGCCCATCACCGAGATCACCTGGAGCCACGCACCTGTCACACCTGTAATGCACGTGATCTAAGGCCAGGGAGTAGGATGGCGGCAGCTTGATCTTGATTTCCAGGATGAATACAGATCATGAAACCGGGGCCTCGCGATCCTTCTGTATATAATAATAATATAGAGCTATACATTATATACTCATTAAAATAGGTGTCTATTCCCAAAAATATGCGGTTAACATTTAGAGAAACGTATTTAATTATGTGTTTCTATTACTCACCATTTGTGGGTTAAACTGTGGAGAAACTTAACTATTTGTCTCAAAGATCTGCTCAACAATAAAACTACCTGTGGCCGAGGGAGCGGCTTGTGTGCACATGCACATTCCCATCATGCTTCGCATTTAGCCAATATCTCCCATGATGCTCTGCATTGCCGTTTCTGACCACACACAGCGCCCCCTTTGTACTGGAGCCACTTTACAACTTCTGACCACACACAGAGCGCCACCTCTCATAATAATAATCCTTGCATTTGATATAGCACCTTATCACTTCGATGAAACGTCTCCAAGCGCTTCATAGAATATATTGTGCACAGCAGTGTCCCACAAACTTTCTTAGATTAAGTGACTAAACTTTTTTTGAGGATTACCCCTGGAAAGGAATCTGCCTAATAACTGGGTTCCTAGTTACTGCAAGCTAAACTGTGGCATGTAAAGAAACTTGTCTAAGGTTTCGCCCTGCCCAGGAATCGAACCCGAGGCGTCTCGCTTGCAAGTTGAACGCGCTAACCACTGTGTTACAGGACTCCCCTGTTCCCATTCAAGATAGATGGAGTGTTTACTGTCTCTGCCCTGTGCTGTCACAAGGTAGAGGGTGCTTTCCTCTGTCTCTGACCTGTTTTGTTTGGTCAGCTAGGTGTCTGACACATGCAGAAACCCATCACCATGCTTAAGAGTATCCAAACCAAACTGAGAATTCCATGCACCCATCTACACATGGAAATCCCAGAGATAGATTGTTGGAATGCGCACTCCCTCTGGAGGACGCACCCTGCTTACTTCATTCCCAAAAGTATTAGACATGGGTTGGCATTGGGGTGACTGCTGGAGTCTAACCAGCTAAAATTGCATTGCCATTGCTTTCCCACTGCTTGTCCAGCTCGGAACACCCTACCCATTAGGGCTTTGGCTTGCAGGGCTAACAGGAGCTGAGTGGGAGGATTCCCTGCTCTCAGTGACTGATCTATCCTTCCAAGTCCTGCTGATGAACCAGGCTGGGCTATGCTGTCAACCGCGGTGGCCTGGACTACTGAGGACCCACCAGGTTCAGAAACTGGACAAGAGACCGTCACAGAGGACTGGCCCAAATCTGCCTTTCTGCTGGCAGGTATGTCACCTTGGAGCCAGTTCAGCTTACCATCCACCCAAGGAGGATACAAAGGCTTAAACTGAACATACTGCATAACATTACATTACCAGAGATTTAAATGCAAAGTAAATTTTACTTCATTTAAATAACATTTTAGCGCTGCACTGCAATGTGTGAAAGGAATATTATCAACATAAAAAGTGAGTAATGGAACATCACAAGCTTTCTAGTTCGGTCCTATTTAGAGTGCTAGTCTCATAAAAATTAGCAATGCATTACAAATGTGATAAATAACAATTTCTGAACATATTATTTAGACTCTTGATATTGCAGCACAAATTATCAGATTTAATTGTGGGAATTAAAATAATATGTAATTTATCAAATGAGCAAAGAATCCAAAGGTCAAAGATGGTTTCTTTGTAGGTTTCCCTTCAGAAACAGCTGCCTGAATTAATCAGTTGCCTGAGTAGATCCCATGAATGTTGTTTGTGAGGAATGTAAACTGTTTCCATTGTACTGATGGTAGAAACAATAAGACTTGATTCAAACCTGCATTCTCTTTTTCATCCGGTGGGAGTTAGTGATTTGGTTCATGATAACCAATGCTATCAGCAATGGACAGAGTGCTAACATGTACCAACTGATGCCACTCACAGCCACAGTGAACCAGGTTGAACACATACCAAGCAGTAGGCTGGTACTGCCCAGCATGTGTAGAACGAGCCCAGAGATGCTGTGGTACAGCTTCAGTTTTGCCAGTGACCATTTCCTCATTAGTTTAGGGTAGAAGAGAAAGATGCCTCCAACAGACTGCAGACAGGTGCATATCACAGTGACCAGGCCACACAGACCGTGCCAGCTGGCAAAATGGGGCTTGTTGTTCAATGCCTTGTTGTAGCTAATAGCAGCCAATCCAAAGAGAGCACAGACCGTGGCCAACCCCTGCAGCAACCAGTGTAACCGGACTTTGATTTTCCTGGAGTAAGATGGCACGGGAGAACATTCTGGAGAGAACAGCAGAATAGCTTCAGTCATAATGAAGGAAAACTAGGAGAAAACAGAAGCTCAGTTAGTTCCTCAATACTAACACTCCCCAGGGTAACGTCTCTTACAAATTGATTAGTTTTATATTAGAATAAAATACTAATACCATAAAAGGTTTATTTTTGAAGGCCAGTTTGACTTGTAGCAAGTTGAGTTTCATTCAAACAGGAATAAATAGGACATTCAACCACTTTGTCAATTTTTAGATCATTACAGATTGTTTAATCCCATCACAGGAACATCAATAAACCTAGTTTATGAATTATTTTATACAAACAGAGAGACTATTCACCCATTCACCAACAAGACATACGCAGTCAAACCTGTTCAAGCAATCACCTCCATTCAGCAACCACCTCTTGTTAACAACCACCCTGCAATAGCCCCTTCAACGCACGTTCACACATCAACAAACCCTGACTCAGAGGTCACCCTTAGATAAAGGCTTTGGCCCAGTCCCCTGAGAGTTTGAAGAAAGGTTTGAAATATCATTGGAGGAAAAACATGGAGGTTAGATTTTTACAGAGGGGTGTTAGCATATTAATATTCAAATACCAAAACCGAAATACAGGTAGAATGGGGAAAATTACCAGGAGCAAAATGGCCTGATAACCTGGCACATCTTCCAACTTCCGATGCCATTACTCCGTCGTAGAGATGCCAAAAATAAATTTCTAATGATTTTGCAGAAGAGAAAGGATGTTTTGATGTTATTGTGTTACTTCATTATGATGAAGTTTGGCTTTCATTCATGTACAGCCAATCATTGTATCCTCCTGATGTCAAAGGTGCTATTTAAATGTAAAATTGCAATGTATTGTATTGCAGACATCAATACCTCATCTGGAAGTCAGAAGCAATGTAAAAACAGTGTAAAGTAACAGTGTAAAGTTCATGCTGTTTCTGAGTCAGGGAGGGGAGCAAAGAGAGAGAAAACAAAGCATCTGCCTGAGGAATGTCTATTAAACTGTAGGCATTCACTTCCTGTCAACCAGTTACAAACACTTGGACTTCTGTCTTGCGATCAGGAGCTCAGGCAAGAGGGTGCGAAGAATAAATGTACTTTTCTTTTAAAGTAAAAATCATATTTATCAAAAGTTGGAATGCTCATCAAAAACACATTACTTACAGCTAATGTCATGAGGAATGGATGCCAAGAAAATAAACCTGCAGATAAACAAAATTGGTAAAATCAACAGCTCTCCTCTATCCACAAACATTTTTTTTTGCAATTCAGAATATCACATAAACACAATCACTTTTAACTTCAGGAGTTGGAAAATAAATCCTATATTCTCTTTTCTGACAAAACCAGTCACACACAACATTTACAGTAATTTCCATCATTCTGTGAGTGGAGTCCTGTAGCTCAGTGGTTAGAGCACTGGCCTGGCAAGCAATGAGACCCGGGTTCAATTCCAGGCAGAGGGCCAAACCTCGGGCAAGTTTCCTTACTCCACACAGAGCCTAATAATAATCCTCCAAAACAAAACAATAAATTGGTCATTTTCAATCCACGAACCTGGTCTGGGTGTGTGTTGGCTCATATGGGAAACACATGGGAACCTGGTCTGGGGTTTCCATGTGTAACAGATGTTACCAACACCCTAAACCCTGACCACAAACACACACACACCAACCCCTGGGGTAGAGGCTGTGGGAGCAGCTCTCACTGGGCCCGTGTCACCGTGTCTCTGTATCACTTTGTGACTCTCTGTATCTTACTGCCACTGTGCCTCTGTGTCTCTTTGTGTTACTGTCTGTGTCTCCGTATCTGTTTGTGTCTCTGTCTTTGTGTCATTGTCTGTTTCTCTGTGTCACTGTCTCTGTCCCTGTGTCACTGTCTGTGTCTCTGTCTGTCTTTGTCTCTGTCTGTCTGTGTCTCTGTCTGTCTGTGTCTCTGTCTGTCTGCGTCACGGTGTGTGTCTGCATTACGGTGTGCGTCTGCGTCTCTGTCAACGTGTGTGTCACGGTGGGTGTCTGTGTGTTTGTCACGGTGTGTCATGGTGTGTGTCTGTGTGTGTGTCAGGGTGTGTGTCTGTGTCTCGGTGTGTGTCTGTGTGTGTGTCAGGGTGTGTGTGTCAGGGTGTGTGTCTGTGTCTCGGTGTGTGTCTGTGTCTCGGTGTGTGTGTCTCAGTGTCTGTGTCTCAGTGTCTGTGTCTCAGTGTGTGTCTGTGTCTCGGTGTCTGTGTCTCGGTGTGTGTCTGTGTCTCAGTGTCTGTGTCTCAGTGTCTGTGTCTCGGTGTGTGTCTGTGTCTCGGTGTGTGTCTGTCACGGTGTGTGTCTGTGTCTCGGTGTGTGTCTGTGTCACGGTGTGTGTCTGTGTCACGGTGTGTGTCTGTGTCTCGGTGGGTGTCTGTGTCTCGGTGGGTGTCTGTGTCTCGGTGGGTGTCTGTGTCTCGGTGGGTGTCTGTGTGTGTGTCACGGTGTGTCATGGTGTGTGTCTGTGTGTGTGTCAGGGTGTGTGTGTGTCTCGGTGTGTGTGTCTCGGTGTGTGTCTGTGTCACGGTGTGTGTCTGTGTCTCGGTGTGTGTCTGTGTCACGGTGTGTGTCTCGGTGTGTGTCACGGTGTGTGTCTCGGTGTGTGTCACGGTGTGTGTCACGGTGTGTGTCTGTGTCACGGTGTGTGTCACGGTGTGTGTCTCGGTGTGTGTCACGGTGTGTGTCTGTGTCTCGGTGTGTGTCTGTGTCTCGGTGTGTGTCTCGGTGTGTGTCACGGTGTGTGTGTCACGGTGTGTGTCTGTGTCTCGGTGTGTGTCTCGGTGTGTGTCACGGTGTGTGTGTCACGGTGTGTGTCTGTGTCTCGGTGTGTGTCTCGGTGTGTGTCTCGGTGTGTGTCACGGTGTGTGTCTCGGTGTGTGTCTCGGTGTGTGTCTCGGTGTGTGTCACGGTGTGTGTCTCGGTGTGTGTCTCGGTGTGTGTCACGGTGTGTGTCACGGTGTGTGTCTGTGTCTCGGTGTGTGTCACGGTGTGTGTCTCGGTGTGTGTCTGTGTCACGGTGTGTGTCACGGTGTGTGTCTCGGTGTGTGTCACGGTGTGTGTCTCGGTGTGTGTCACGGTGTGTGTCTGTGTCTCGGTGTCTGTGTCTCGGTGTGTGTCTGTGTCTCGGTGTCTGTGTCTCGGTGTGTGTCTGTGTCTCGGTGTGTGTCTGTGTCACGGTGTGTGTCTCGGTGTGTGTCACGGTGTGTGTCTCGGTGTGTGTCTCGGTGTGTGTCACGGTGTGTGTCACGGTGTGTGTCTGTGTCTCGGTGTGTGTCTGTGTCTCGGTGTGTGTCACGGTGTGTGTCTGTGTCTCGGTGTGTGTCTGTGTCACGGTGTGTGTCTCGGTGTGTGTCACGGTGTGTGTCACGGTGTGTGTCACGGTGTGTGTCACGGTGTGTGTCTGTGTCTCGGTGTGTCTGTGTCTCGGTGTGTCTGTGTCTCGGTGTGTGTCACGGTGTGTGTCACGGTGTGTGTCACGGTGTGTGTCTCGGTGTGTGTCACGGTGTGTGTCACGGTGTGTGTCTGTGTCTCGGTGTGTGTCTGTGTCTCGGTGTGTGTCACGGTGTGTGTCTGTGTCACGGTGTGTGTCTCGGTGTGTGTCACGGTGTGTGTCTCGGTGTGTGTCACGGTGTGGTCACTCACTGCTCCCGGGGTGACTGATCGCGGCCACAGTGACCGCCAGTCCGAGGCCGAGCAGCTGCGCCGTCAGTCCGGCCGCGGGGCCGAGGCCGCGGGGACAGGGGCCGCCGGTGTCGGGCTCGGCCATCGCTGCTGTGGGGGCGGCGCTTGGCGCGGGGCCAGGACTCGGGCCTCGGGCTCGGGCTCAGCACTGAGGCCGCAAACATGAGCCGCATCGAGTGCGTTTTCTTCAGCGAGTTTCACCCGACACTCGGACCCAAGATCACCTTCCAGGTCAGTCACCGCCACCGCCGCCATCACCGCCATCACCATCACCGCCAACACCCTCACCCTCTCCCCCACCAGCAGCTCCCCCACCCCCACCATCACCCTCTCCCTCTCACCCACCAGCAGCTCCCCCACCACCCCCAACACCCTCACCCTCTCCCTCACCGTCTCCCTCACCCTCTCCCTCACCGTCTCCCTCACCGTCTCCCTCATCCCCCCCCCATCACCCTCACCCCCAACACCCTCAGCCTCTCCCTCAGCCCCCACCAGCAGCTCCCCCACCCCATCACCCCCATCACCACCCTCTCCCCCACCAGCAGCTCCCCCACCCCATCACCATCACCCCCACCCTCTCCCTCATCCCCCCACCAGCAGCTCTCCCACCCCCACCCCATCACCCCCATCACCCTCACCATCACTGCCACCCCCACCCTCTCCCTCACACCGCCCACCATCAGTTCACACACCGCCATCACCACCAACACCGTCAGCTCACACAGCGCCATCACCACCATCAGCCTTTGGGCCAGTTACACCACCACCGCCATCACCACCAGCAGCTCCACACCACCATCACCATCAACACCAACAAACACCCGACCCTCGGGCCCAAGGTCACCTTCCAGGTCAGAGCTACCACACCCACCACCACCATCATCATCACTACCACACCAGCTCACCACCAGCCCCTACACTCTGGAACATTATACCCCAGTGCCTTCGTCTTGCTCCCGCTCTTTCCTCCTTCAAGGCCGGTCTCAAAACTTTTCTCTTCAGCCGTGCCTTCAGCTCCCCTCTCGACTCTCTACCCCCTCCTCGCTCCTTCCCTTCCCTCCCCTCACCCTGACCATTTCCCCCCAATGCTCGGGTCCTGACCCAACTGTCCAGCGCCTTGGGACGTCCTCCCGACATGAAAGGCGCTCTATAAATGAAATCTTGTTGTTGTTGTATCACCATCAGCTCACACACCGCCATCACCACCAACACCATCAGCTCACACACCGCCATCACCACCAACACCATCAGCTCACACACCGCCATCACCACTATCACCAGCAGCTCACACACCAACACCTCTAACAGTCACCACCATGACCAGCAGCTCACACACACCAACACCAACTATCACCCGACCCTTGGGCCAGTTACACCACCACCGCCATCACCACCAGCAGCTACACACCACCATCACCATCAACACCAACAAACACCCGACCCTCGGGCCCAAGGTCACCTTCCAGGTCAGAGCTACCACACTCACCACCACCATCACCACTACCGCACCAGCTCACACACACCGTCACCAGCAGCTCCACCACCATCACCACACCATCAGTCACCAGCAGCACCACACCAGCACAAACACCAGCAGCAAGATCACCTTCCAGGTCAGCACCAGCTCCAGCACAACCTCCACCACCAGCAGCAGCTTCAACACAACCACCACCACCAGCAGCAACAGCTCCAACACAACCTCCACCACCAGCGGCAGCTCCAACATTGTCAGTGACACAGACACAAACACCAGCAGCACAACAACCACCAACACTCGTATTTATACACAGAGCATTGCCCTCACATGCAGTTAGTTTGTGCTCCCGCGGGGCCAGAACTAAACTACTCATTTGTTCTTGTAGTAATGGATGATAATAATAATCCTGGCATTTGACACAGCACCTTATCACATCGTCGAAACGTCTTAAAGCACTTCACTGTGGCCGAAACGCGGCAGCCAATTGCGCCCAGCGACATCCACACGAACAGCCGTGTGACCAAATTATTATTGTTTTTGAGTGATTATTATCCCCAGAAAAATAATCCGCCAATCGACTAACAAGCGGGTTCCTACTTACTGCTGGTAACCAGAGGCGTGTGTGTGGAGTAATGAAATTTGCCCAACGTTTCACCTTGTCCCGCCCAGTAATCGAACCCAGGTCTCTCACTTGCGATGTGAATGCTCTAACCACTGAGCTACAGGACCATAATAATATGAATAAGAACTACTTTGGACAATGTACTGGAGAGCACCTGTGCCTCCGAAAAGGAGAATATGTTTTTAAGAAGTCCAAGGAGAAACTTAGTTCCTTATTTAACCTGAGGTCATCTATTCCTGCTGCTAACTGTTTCTATTTCTCTAACTTAACTCACGGCTATCTATTGTGTTCCTCAAATACTGAATCTTCTGTTGACTTCAGTCAAATTATTCAGTTCAACTCTTTCCTTGAAATGTGTGCGTTGGTTTTGTAGGTGCCAGAGGAGTACATTTCGCGGGAGCTGTTTGATACAGTTCAAGTTTATATCATAACCAAGCCCGAGTTACAGAACAAGCTCATCACTGTGTAAGTCTAACATACACCATCTCCACTTTTGCCCTAATGCTCTTTTTAGGAGTGCTGTTTTTTTCCTTAATAATTTCACAGTTAATTCTGCAAATGGACTCTTTTGCCCCCAGTTATCTGAACTACTATAAAAGTCTATACTCTTATTTCAGATGGTTTGCAACACAAGTTTAAAGGGATAGGTTTGTCCAAACAGTTCTTCATAGTCCGAACTTGTGGGCATTTAGTTGTCAGCCTATTTGCGAAATCCAAGGTCAAACAGTGTGATGGTTTTGTGGTACAAAGAGGGCAGGTTCTGGCCTACCCTGATCAGTCGCTTAGCGACCTGGAGATGGCTTCTTGCCAAGGCTGCAGACCTGGATTAAACAGTAGGTGTTGAATAAGACAGGCACATGATATTGCTTTTGGAACTCTTGAATATCAATGTAGCTGGTTGGTCACGAACTGTCCTGCTTAGATCTTTCCATCTCGCTGAAGGCAGATTTGTCAAAAAACAGATGAGAAAACTCTGAGGCTTGTAACAGCAGCTGGAGGGCATTACCTGGAGCCTGAGTTCATAAGCACCCGCTCATATCCAGGGCTTGGTAATTAACTTGATTGTCATGGAGAGTTAAGTAGCTGTTGTTGAAGCTCTGCATTCTAAGGTCTTGTTAATGATAGACCAGATAGGCTGACTTGTCAGCACGGGGGCAAGGAATCCTCCCACTCAGGACCTGTTAACCCTGCAAGACAAAGCCCTAAGGGGTAGGGTGGTCCCAGATGGACAAGCAGTAGAAGCTTAGCATACAGTGTTCTTAATGACAAACTATGCAGATTACAGGATTTGCTAGTCCAATTCTATTACCTTTGCACTTATGGTATTCCTGTGTTTTAATTCTATATTTCTGTTAATCATTTTCTTTTTATGTTGTAAGGACTGCTATGGACAAGAAGCTGATTGGTTGCCCTATGTGTATAGAACACAAGAAATATGTCCGGAATGCTCTTCTTTTCAATCTGGGCTTTGTGTGTGATGCCGGAGTCAAAACCTGCTCCCTCGAGCCAATTGTTAAAAAGCTGGCTGGGTACCTCACTACGCTGGAGGTAATGATATTCCAGTAGATCTCGACCACAAACGTGCATTAGGGGAGCCCTTTGGATTGAGTAGCAAACTCTATGCCATTGGAAAGGGGTTCCCAGCTGTTCTCTGATCTGATCCACTGATGTTGTTTATCGAACTTACCAAGATCCAAGCTGGGTTAATTTCAATTTTATTTTTAACTAGTAAAGTGGCCCTTCCTCGGACGGGCAATATAGAGGAGGGCCTATGTTGGGAACGATGATCTGTAGGTAATGTGTGTGACTGGATAAGTTTGTGAGAAAGTCTCTGCCGTTGTGTGCAAAGGTTAGGGTTCCAAGGATTGGTTTACACTTTGAATGTGTTTTTCTGCTTCCCTTTTCTAGCTGGAGAGCGGATTTATATCCAATGAGGATAGCAAGCAGAAGCTGGTTCCTATAATGACAATTATTCTGGAGGAACTAAACGCCCATGGAGAATGCTCTCTGCCGATTGGTATGTCTATATTTACATCTTTTTGCAAACTTTCAAGTTTAAGTACCAAATGGCCTGTATCTAGGGAAATGCTAATCATACATGGTACATCAATTGATTAAATACTCCACTTGGGATCAGAAGCTTCTGGGTTCAAATTGTGGTGAGTCCCCTCACACTTTCCCCTTTTTGAGGTTGCTGCTATATCTAAAATATACCCGGTAGGAAGTGCGTTCTTGCTAGGATTTATCTCGCTCTTAACTCGCTCCAACAAGATGTGGCAAATACACAAGTGGGAAAATAAGGCAGTAAGTACTATGTTACATACATAATCTGTTCAGGCACTGGGGGCAGGCGAGAAATTAATTAAATATGATGACATCCTGCTTCATACTGATGCACAAATGTGTATATAATGGAAATCCAATCTGCCATTGATTGTAATTGAGAAGCCTAGAAATAGAATTTAGCACCACTCCTTCTTGGTCTTCCTAAATGTATATACTTTCAACTCCACATAAAACACATGTTACAACCCAATGCTATGGAGGTATTTAGTAGGTTCACCAGGAGTATTTGGATCAAATGGTCCTTAGCTATCAGAAAAAGCAGAAGTGCAGAAAATGTTATTGCTTAGTACATGCAAAAAAGTCTGTTTCAATGGGAACATTCGGCAGGTATCAAAGTAAAATTGCTAAGTGGGGGAGGGGGGGGCGGTCTGAGAAGGGAGTCACAGTCCGAGAGAAGTGACTGATTGATGGGGGGGTCTTTAAGCTGCTGTGTTGTAAGCAGGTTGTGGACTGCTGTCTCAACAGATGAATCTAATACCATTCACCTGAAGGTGATTCCCCAGCGGAGAGACCAGCCTGTGGTGCAGGAGTATGGTGTGCCTGTCTTCACTCAATGTAAAGAGGATTTCATCAAATCCCACCGCGATCTCACTACACAGCAGGTGAGAGAAAAGTTTTGAGAAGAAAGTGACATTAGTGCTTTGAGAGACTCAGCATTAACATAATAGGAAAAATAATGAACTTTGCATTTAATCGAGTGCCTTTATGTGCTGTATAATAGCACTGTCAAACAGGAGCTAAAGTGAGGCTCTTTTGTCCCTCAGATTCTGCCATATATTGATGGATTCCGTCATATTCAGAAAATCTCTGCTGAAGCAGACGTGGAGCTGAATTTAGTGCGGATAGCTGTTCAAAATTTACTGTGAGTAACAAAGGGGATTGGCAGTTAGCTACTGTAGATATATATCAAAGAGAAACGCAAAACATTTTTGAAATACATAAAGTAGAACACTGGAATGATATATCCACACGTCCAATTACCTGTGTTAGAGGCTCTGATGTAGTTGTAGACACAGAGATACAAGATACTGGCAAATAGATTGCATATATACTAACTGCCTAAACAGAAAGTCAGAGAGAGAAAGTACCCAGCACAGTATGGTACTATAGTCAAAGTCTAACTTCTGATGGTAGCACTGAATCCAGTTTGTATTTTGAATAATGTCTATTTACCTAAGTTTGTTTATCCACAATGGTCCCAATCGGTGCAGATAATTGGCTTTTTGTATTGAGTTCTTAAGCTGATTATTTTAACTAGTTTTTCATGTGAATTTTTACATGAGAAACAAAATATCTTTCCACATTCCATTCAGCATTCCCAGGTCCAGTGAAGATGGAGGGTAAAGCTCCCTATACACTGTTCTATCAAGCACTTGCAAGGCAGGTACAACATAAGGTAGTTACAGAGGGAGTGAGGTGGGAGTGTGAGAAAGGACTCAAGGCAGCAGATTCTAAAGGATGGAGCAGGAAGGTAACAAGGAAAGCATTGGAGAATCTATCTTGGCAACGTGGAATGTAGAAGGATAAGCATGGAATGTTCTGGAAGGTCTTAATGATTTGAAGTCAAAATATATTAATTCAGTTTAATTTGGTATTGATTCCTTTGCATTATTCAAAATATAATTTAATGCGATTTGATTTTTTAATACAACAGGGATGAAGTTTGAATGTGTTTTCTTCTAATTCTTTGCAGAACAGTGTAGTGTTGTTTCACATGTGCTGCTACTGAGGGGATGTTTTATCACATGTAAAATGTAATGATGTGTTGCTATTTTGCAGATACTATGGGGTTGTAACATTAGTGCCAATATTTCAGGTAAGTTAGGAGGAAATATTCTGAAATTGTATCTGTTGATACAAAGGAAATCTTTGTATTTTGTTCTACCTGATTGTGAGAGGTGGAGAAAACAAGAGATTGGTGTAGGCAGCCTGGAAGCAGGATAGTTTCAAAGGTAAGGAAATACTGTGGAGTTAGAGGAGGAGGAGGTAAACCTCAGAATAAGGGAAATAAGCGCAAATAAATTGGTGAGATAGCAGACAGCAATGAGCGATTTACAAGTGAGTGGGAGAGAGTTCAGGAGAAGTACACACTCATGAGAAATAAAGGGGTTGAGTCCGAACTACAATATGTTGGAGTAACATTTGCATTATGTAAAATATAAGACCAAAATAGTGGAAATTAGATAAACTCTTGGAAACTCAGCAACAAAAGGGATATAAAAAGAGGGATTGAGAAATAAGACCTCGGAATAGTTAGTGGTGGGAAAACGTTGAAAAAATGGATTTAAGTATCAGTTTGGCGCAGTTGGCCTTTGGGTCAGAAGGTTGTGGATTCAAGACCCACGTTTGGGATTTTGAGCTCACAGATTAGACTAACACTGCATTTTCTGTAAGGGAGAGGGTTGCATTGTTCGAGATGCCATTATTCATTAAGCCAATGTTCTGTTAACCTGCGAAGAGCTTGTAGCACTTTATGAAATAAATTTCTCCTGATGTGTTAGCCGACCACTTTGCAGATAAAATGGTGGTTACTTCATGAATGTTTTAAAATGTTATGGTATGTGTCTGTACATGTACACGTTTGACTACAGTTAAAAGCTCTTTGAAGAACTCTGAGATGTTTCAATTTAATGACATTTAATATAAATTGGGTAGATTAGAAAATTGTCAGAATGAATATATGAGAGTTCAGGAGAATATTGATATATAAAAATGAAGTGGTTGGACAAGTGGTAGATGCAGTTTAACTTTGATGAATGGTACCTACTACATTTTGTGGAAAAGAATAGGAGGAGCGAAATTGTAGCTTGAAGGGTAAAACATTCAATGGAATACAAAATATACAGTCATTTCACAATATATTCTGTGAAGTGCTTTGAGAAGTCGGGAAAACATGACAAGTGTTGTATCAAATGCAAGGATTATTATTGTATTATTAATTCAAAAAGGAACTAAATTAGACATTAGGGGATAAGAGATATTAAGTGCTTTGAGACACTACTGCATGAAGAGCCCTATGTAAAAGCAAGTTGTTTCTGTTGGATATGGAAAAAGAAGTGGACAACTTAGAAAAATAGCTATCGGAGCACAAAAACGAAGGGACAAATGTCCTTCTGTAATGAAACTATTTTTTGTCAGTGCATATTGTTTTCTGTTCCTTTTTCCTCCACAGTATTCTAATGTGTACTGCCCAACTCCGAAGGTACAGGATCTGGTGGATGACAAGATCTTGCAAGATGAATGTTTGGTGTATGTCACAAAGCCAGGTACTATTGGCTGTGCTTAAGTAAAATGAAATTGAAAATCAACAAGGTTGGGCAGACTCAGCGACTGCAGACATACTCCAGGATTCTGTTTTGGCAAAAAACTGCGCCATTAATATGTTCATTGTCCAAGTCGATACTTTGAGCTCATAGGCTGATAGTCTCAAGCAGTGCGGGAGGAGCTCAGTATTTCGTACCTTCAATAAGACGTTAAACCGAGGCCCTGTCTGCCTATTCATGTGGACATTAAAAATCCCATTGCACTGTACGAAAAGAAAAGAGCAATACTCTTTGTTTTCTGGCGAACAATCCCCAGATAAAATTGGTCATTCACATCATGGCTGTTTGTGGTACATTGCTCTGTGCAAATTGCCTGTCGCTTTGGTCTATAAATGCAGTCACTATACTTTACAGAAACTTTTTTTGAGGACATTCTCAATGTTATAAGCACTACATGAAATGTAAGGATTGCCATTGCAGAAATTATTTTAGGACAGTGTGATAAAGTTCCTGATGAGTAGACACCATAATTATCCTATTCATGGAAACAATTTACAAAAGGATATTATTATCCTTGAGAGAATGCACAGGCACCAAATATACCAGAACTTGAGAACCAAAGGAGAGGAGTATAAAGTTATGATTGTTAGAAAATAGTGGTGCTGAAGGACAAATTTTGACAAAGTGTTCAAAAACTTCAGTAATTTAAAAATGAGGAAAATAATGCAGTTCAGGCAGAAATGTTTCATACAGTGATTGATACACAAAATAAGTGATCAAACGTAAGTCCCACAAAATAAGTGGACTTAAAACACAATTAGATGTGTTTTAGTGAGTACTTGTACGAGCCCTTGTATCAGGTACACAGTTGGCACCTGTAAACTTGAATCCTCAGTAAAAGGAAATTAAAATGCTTTGAGCAGAAAAGAGTTGGGGAGAAAACACTTCTCCAATTCTAAAAGCCGTCAAAGATAGATGTGGAAGTTTTGAATCTTTGAAGATCTGTTAATTTTTCTGTTGGTCCACAGGACACAAACGTGCCAGTCTGCGAGACGTGTTCCAGCTTTACTGTGGCCTGAGCCCTGGCACCACAGCTCGTGATCTGTGCTCCCGCTATGCTCAGCAGCTTCAGCATGTGGAGGAGAGGTGAGACTAGGGCACTGGGAGCTGCAGGTACAGAGTGTACAATAAACACCCCTCTGATTTACTTGATCTGTGCATTCAGTTACGGTGGTTTTCATGTATCCTTTTGATAACTATTTGTTTCTTGTGAATGGCTATGATACTGGTAAAAAATTAATTTGTTCAAATGCACACAAGGTTACTAGGGATGCAATTTACCCACCAAGTCCCAGTGTGCTGACAGTAACCTTGCGACATGCACAGAATTTTGATATTTTTTGCTGATCTTGCAATAGAAAAGTGTTTTACAGTTTATATAGTGTGTATTGTATAGTGTATGGTATATGCAGAGCTAGAGAACCATAGACAGTAAGCGATTGAGAAGTCAAGGGAAAGTTTGGGAGACCGAAAGAAACAAGAGAACAAAAGAAATGGAGAGACTTACGAAACAGAGAAACCTATTTATTATGTACGAGTGTACTGTGACTCTTTTATATTGCACAGATGTGCATTGTCATTCAGGTGTACTGTGTGTCATTTATGTGTACTGTGTAATGTTGCACTCCCTGTTATATGTACATAGCTCTCACCTGCTGTTTTCAACTCTTACATCCGTTGTGTGGCTCAGGCTGCGTCACTCACTTACATACGTGTGTGAATATGAGTCATATCCATAATTCATACCTTTCCTCTTTCACACTCTTTCCTCTTGTCCAATCGCACATGTGCATCTCCTCTCCATTTCACTTGTGCATTATCATGTCGGTATTACATTTCCTCTCTCACGTTTTCTGTCTTTCTTACTTTTGTGCACTCAGAAAATTGATCCAGTTTGGTCTGATGAAAAAATTGATCCGTCGACTCCACAAGTACCCAGTAAAACTGAACCGAGAGGAGAGGAGCGGACCACCGTCCCTCTACACTGGCTCACACAGTTGCGATGAAATTTGCTGCAAAACTGGTAAATATCCCATGCACTTTCAGTCAGTAATTTCTTTGTGGAAGAAAGCAGTTGCTAATTAGGAATTCCAAGAGAAATAGAAGAGTGAGTTAATAGTGCTATGTATGTGTATATATAATTTATGTGTTATACAGTAATGGCCATGTATCAGAATATTACCTTACATGTTACACAGTAATAGTGCTTATGTGTGTTACACATTAACAGTGCTGTGTATGTATATATATTACAGCAAGATTATATTTGTATAGCGCCTTTCACGTCTATTATTACTACTACACAGTAAATGTAGGTAATTTAACTACCATGAATTCTGTGGTGGAAGGCATAGACCTACCCACCTAGAATCCATGTTCAATGTTTTCTGTTTTCTCAGGAATTAGTTGCAAGGAGTTGGATGAAAGGCTGGAGAATGACTCGAATATCATGGTTTGCTGGAAATGAGCGAGGAGGAGCCTGTGGTGAGTGTCACTGGGTGTCGCCCACTAACAGGAAACGAACAACAGTGAATGCAGCAAGCAACCCTCCACCTGAAGCTCAGTCACAAGGGTTCTGGTCTATTTTTCATTAATTACAATCAGGACCAAAACTGAGACTTGTTTATTCTTCCTGACTGGCCATGATGCATCAAAACATTTGTTTTTTTTCCCCCCGGTTTCTCATGAAATTCAATGTGAACATGTGCACATGGCTCATTGTAGGCCAGCAACAAACTGTGACATGAATAGTTACTATTGCCTGATCATTGATCCTAGCACAATGTCTGGAGATTTGTTAAATAATTTGTTTTAAACATGGAGATACTAAAAAAGCAAAGTGCATGTATAGGCAATGGCGCTGAAGTCCAACATTAACAATGTAGGAACAATAGTTAGTAATAGTTAGTTGCTGGTCCATTGAACTTGTCTCAACATTTTATTAGGTTGCGAAAGGTTTTAATACTTTCATTCACAACAAACTCTCTTTTAAACATCCCAACTGATTCTGCATCTATAGCCTTTTGGTAGCGTTCTGTGTGAAGAAATCTTTTCTGATTTCACTTCTAACTACCAAACCTCTAATTTTAAGATTATGCTTCCTAGTTCTAGATTTACGTAACAACGGCGTTCCATAATGCAATGACCTGCGCAAAAGGCTGATTAGGACACAGTTGCAATATTGCATGTATTCTAATTTATTAGTTTGAATTAGATGCTATTGGAATCACAGTGCAGTGAGTCCAGCTCCACTTAGCATCTAAACTCCCGAGTAGGCGGTCGCACTCTCACCTAGAGTCAGAAGGTTTGGTTTCAGGCCCACATCAGGACTTGGAACTCGTAATCTAGGCTGACATTTCTATGCAGGGCTGGGGATGTGCTGCAGTGTTGGAGCCTGTGCAGATGGATGCTGAAGGAAGATCCTGTGGCACTATGTGAAAAGACAAGTTTGTCTGATCAACAATCTTCCAAATCAAAGTGGTCATTCACTTCATGGCTGTCAGCATCTGCATCTAGTTCACTGGATTGTCACCTACACCATATCAGAAATAACTTGCTCTTGTATATGGTTTTGTAAAACTTACATTAGGGACATTGCCACTTGTGAAAAAGAGGTGGAGAGAAAATAAATCCAATAACATTATTCTTGAGTTCTAGTCTTCAGAACCTGGCAAAAAATAAATCAAACAGATCAGGTGATGAGGAAGAGGGTCATTTGAGTTTGAGACAAACTATGTGTCGGGTCTCTTTATGATAACAAAACAATGCCCATTGTATCGGAAAAGGGCTCTTAAAACTCAAGAAGTGGTGTACTTCACAGCTTTCTGCAAACCCTAAAGCAGTTTGGATACCTCGTGCACCTCCAATTGGGAGACAAAACAAAATCAGGCTTTTAGTTTGCATCTTAAAACACTCAAATATCTATTCATAACTATTATGTAAGGTTTGTGCTAAAAGAAACAATGCTCCCAGCTATATCTCCATACAACGGGAGGTAGTTGAGAAAATGAGACATCCTAATATCTCAACTGTCAGTAAAATTGGATAATGCTGATCCAAAATAAATACAGTCCTAATCATACCCATTATATAGAAGTTCTGATCAAAGCTGAACGTTTATTCAAAAAATGGTTTGCGTTGCAAGATTTCACTGTATGTTTTAACAAATGTATTTTATCAACAAGGCTATTCCAGCATACGTACCTAAAGCAAATAGTATTTACTGTTACCACAAAGCGTTTCAAAATCAAGCAGGTCCCAAACATTGCAACATCAACTGAGGTAAAAGGATGTTATGCCTCCTGGTGAAGTGTCAGCCAATGTTTAGATGTAAAATTATGGTGATTTCTCATTTATACAACCACCCTTATTATATGGATCTCTGTATAAAAGTTGACTTTTTTTTTACACATATAAACAAATGTATCATAAAAAAAATCCCCCAAAACAAAATTATTCTTTTTTAACCACTCCAAGTGCTCGTGCACACGTGAGGCCAAGCTGTCAGAGGCTGCTCGCAGTCACCACACACACGTGATGGCCTCACTGAGCCCAGGGTCTGCACCTCATCAACCAACCAGAGTTCAGCATCACAGGAACCAGTGGCCTGGTTCCCAGGAGCATTGCAATCAGACTAATTTACTTTCCGTCTCACTCTGTCTGTCAGGACTTAAAACATGTCTCCTGCAGTCAACACGATTCTTTCTCACTAGCTCAGATGGGCACCTCTTTTGAGCTTAGATCTTCATTCTCTTCACCTCCTTTCAACCACAGCCTCATTCATTCAGTGACAAAATGATGTCGTCTTCCAAGTCAGAGTTATCTGAGCTATCCGCTGTTTGAGAAACAAAACACAAAGTTTACCTGCTGTTCTGGAATCCCCATAGCCCCGAAATTCATTATAAATTAATACAAGCTTAATTTCTTCATAATCAGGTATATGATGCTAACAAGCACTAGGATAATTATGGAGTGAACTTTTTGGTACATGACAACATATAGGGTACTTGGAAATGCACCTATCGGGGGGAGGAATAATTTATTATATCTCAAGACTTGATTTGAGATTTTGGGTTCTGGGGAGGAGTCAAAGTGCTGCCTTCGCTGGGGAGGCGAGTTGTGCCAGGTGTTACTGATGCGCCATCTGAAGTCACCATGTTACAAGTTATGTCACTAGGGAGCTAAGAGGTACTTTGGGAAAAATCCAGGAGCTTTAACATGCATCACTAATAGCATGGAACAGAAACCGCAGAAAGGAATCATCTTTTATACATTAAAGCAACATGAGGCTGACTTACACACGCCAAGAATAAGGTCAGCATCCTCTTCCCCATCCTCATCCTCATCACCATTACCGCCCAACAGGGCCTCCAGCTCCTCATCAGATGGTGAGAATCCCTGCTCACCGTCCTCCATTACATTTACTTCATTATCATTATTATCATCTTCATCATCCTCCCCGTCCAGGAGTGGGTCTGTGTCCAGATCATCGAGGTCGTCATCAGAGTCGTCATCATCATCGTCATCATCATCATCTTCCTCTTCTTCCTCCTATCACAGTAAATGCTTTACTACCTTGAGCACCATCACACTCATTGATTCACCTTCAGCTACATACCTCCAATTACAGTGATTGTATTTCTTGTGTAATTACAAAATTACTGTTTGTCCAGCAGCACGAGGCTCGTTCACTGGGTAATTAATTCATTAGTTTGCAAGACGAACAGATAGGCTGACCCCAAATAATGTGTTTGACCGCAGAGCAGCCGAGGGAAAATGAACAGAAAGTGTATATTTCACATTATTGTGAATCTCTTTAAATAGATATGTAATGGGCAGAGCCAATGCGAGTGCTGTATCAGGGACTTTGACCAGAAAGTTACAGGTTTGCACTGAGTGAGCTGATCTCAGTTGGGGAAGCACTGACTTCAGTGGGTAGGTTTAGGGGAAGGGGAAATCAAGCCGATTTCCACTCTCAATTATCCAGAGACCCCTCCCACCCCCTAGTGGAAGGTGTGTAGATATCGGGAGAGGACAGGAATTGTCTACAATTCCCTTCATAGTCTATCTACAATCACTGTGTAGCCTCCTGCATGGAGAATGGAAACTTAGGGCATTGAGAGTGTAGAGCAGCTGGCGTCCACAACCAAATTCTCCAGAAAGGAGGGTAGATAAAAATATGAATACTCCAAATATACAAAAAGAAATTGAGATGGTCTAGACCTGATCTTCCTCTTCATCCTCTTCCTCAGCCAGTCGCTGACGGCCCACTTCATAAAGCCTGCAGACAGTGTCCATAGACAAAGCATCCATGCTGCCTTGGTTCTGTAACAGAACATGGATTACATTCTGAAAGTCAGGACATTTCAAACCATTTCACAGGAAATGCCTGCACCCCTTGCCCCACCTGACCTCTATGATCTCTTAATACCCCTGCCATTAGCATGTTCTCCTGACGTGAAAGGCGCTATATAAATGTAATTTGTTGTTGTTAACTCAGGCCAACTTCATGTCTTCCACCATCAGTGGGCAAGCTTTCAAACCTCTCTACCTTCCTCCCTCCCTCTCTTTTTGCTTTCAACATCAGTCTAAATACCTCTCTCTGTGACTGCGCTGTTTATCTTTGTTGTACACAAAGCAATTATACATAAAGCACCTTCCTCCTCCCTTCGAATCGTGGTCAATGGACATAAAGCACCCTCCCGCAAAATAAACTCAAAGAGTAGCTCATGGGAAATGTAAATCAGATTTTTCTATAATCCAGCCTCATTATTACTATCTCCCATGCGGGAGGGGAGGAGGAAGAGTCATAGAAAAGTTCTGTTCTACACAGAATGAGTCAATGTGAACTCACCTCAATTACAGCCAGGTAGCAGTCTTTCGTATCTGTGCAAAGATCAAAAATGTTCCTCTTCACATCAAGGGTTGCTTTTAAAAATAAAATGATTTAAAATATTGAAATCAATAAACCTGCTTTGTTGCATAGCAATAATGTTACAATACTGGGACACCTCTCAGGAACACAGTTTGATCTCAGCCTCTCACCACTTCACAGCTCCTAGTCTGAGAAACATTGGTTTTGTTTTTCTTAAAATGAGTATTTGTTGAAAGGGAATGTTTAGCAAGGAAGCAGAGGTGCTCATTTCTCACTGAAGAGCTAAGTATCTACACTCAGTAATTACAGGAGAATGATAAATGGAGCTTAAAAAAACACTTAAAACTTTGGCATATCCCACCAAAACCTGCTACTCTCTAAATAATGCTGCAGAACTGTGAAGCTTTGCCTGAAATTAAAGACTTTTGTTATGGATACAGTTTAAGATTAGGGAAAAGATGGCACTGGATGTAATGAAGTTCCAAAAAGTAAAATAACAAATTTCAATGGTGGCAACATGCAAAGGCCATTACATCAAAGCTCAGTCCCCAGTGCCTTAACTGTCCCATTGGGGAATAAATAGTATTTTGAATAATCTTTATATTTTAACCTTGATTGTTTGGTAATTTTTAAAATTTCTTTCAGATGAAAAACAAACTAGCCCAATAGCTGGTAGAGTTTGACTAGTGCATTGTGAACCCTCAAGTAACTCCTGTAGACTTGCCTTGTTTTGGCCCCAGACATAGAAAGTGATGGATTTACAATTATTCAAAGGTTCTGTTGTAATTTCAAATCACATATTTTCCATCTCTATTTAAAAATGTTTATATCAGAGTTCAGTTTGATTTGCCAGCTGTCTACCCAATTCCATAACCAATCAAATTATTGACCCAATTTTATGCCACATCCCACCTCTACTACTTCCCCTATTTTTGTCATCAGACTAGATGATGTTGGTAGCTGAGCAGCACTGAGTTGTGTCTGTTCCAGTCAATAAGCAATTGACACCAAACAAATTTCACAGCTTCCCCTTCCACACGGGCACACAAACTAATGACGAGCACAAATTTATTAAAGAGATTCTAAACACAGATCCACTGAGAAATCCACACTTTCAGACACCTCACCTATTGGCTTGTAGTCAGTAGCATCAAATGTTCTGAAAGAAGATCCAAAGGGGCTTTTCATTCGCTCCTCCATCATATCATCCTCATCGTCTGCCTGTAACATGGCTATGAACCAAAGTGAAACTAGATAGATCCACGCACTCAAATTTGCACACATTAATCATTCTTGCACACGGAATTTACTGAACATAAGATGACACCAGCACGTTTATTCATACCTGCCTAGATCTTCACCACACCTGCAGACAGATGGTCATCATGCCTGTATACAAAATATACTGAACATGCACTGACCAGCTGGGAGTTCCACCAGTCCACAAATATACAGGTCAATTCACTTCACAGTATATTCTATGAAGTGTTTTGAGATGTCTAGAAGACGTGATAAGGCGTTAAATCAAATACAAGGATGCTTATTGAGAATGTACAAGATTACAATTGTGTATGATTGGGTGGCGAGTGTGGCTTCAGTTTTTTTTAAATTTATAAAATCAGATGGAACGAAACCCTCACAGATATTTGAAGCACTTTCATTATTCTTTGTTGAAAAGTGACAATTTTATTTCCCTCAAAGTGAGTGTGAGTGAGTCTTCTTACCCCCATAAATGACAGTTCCTGTATTGTTGAAGACAATGCGACATTGATCTAGTGCTGGCACAGTGTGCAGGAGGTGGAATGTTCGCAGGTCCCACTGAAAAGCACTCATTAAGGAACACATTCAACACTGTCAGATCCAACTCTCAACTGCTGCGTTTATATTTAGAAATATATTTTACCTCAAAGAATATAAACAGTTGGTTCAAATGGATTGAACTGGTTATAAAACACTAGTCAACAATTGAGTCTTGTGCCAATTAAATGGCTCAATTTTCCTCAACTTGGACAATACAAAGTGTAACTCACCGATGCTCCCGTTAAAAGTAACCACGGCCCCACAAGGAACGACATACAATAGTTCAATAAGACCATAAGATGTAGGAGCAGGAGTAGGCCATTCGGCCCCTCGAGCCTGCCCCGCCATTTAATAAGATCATGGCTGATCTTCGAACCTAATTTCATTTACCCGCCCTATCCCCATATTCCTAAATCCCTCTATCCTTTAGAAAATATACTGAACCAAATATACAGTATATAATATAGTAAAATATACAAATAAGTACTACATATCTGAAAGAGAATACTGCAGAGGCTACAATTCACAATCTTAGTACCGACAAATTCCTTCCATTTGAGCTATGCATTGCAGGTTCTGTACCAAAAAGAATCATTCTTAGTAATTCATCACAGTAATTACTGTCCACTTTTTGTAGGCAAACATGATAGCAATTAGGCACACAAGGTCCCAAAAATATCCATGAGGTGAATAACCAATATTACTTGCAGGATTGTTGGTCAAGAAACTAAGAAATTCCCTTCTCTTTTTGAGTAGCGTGATTGAATCTTTAATCTTTACCTGAACAAGCAGATAGAACCAAGGTTGATAGCCTCATCAGAAAGATGTCTCCTCAGCGCTCCCCCAGTGCTGCACTCAGCCACAGGCAAGAGCACTGCTGATTGATCTACGCTGACAAAGTCTGATTCTAGTGGGTCATAACACAAGAAACGCTAGACAAAAAAAGACCAAGGTCCATCTAGTTCATTTTCTAACTTCTTGTCAGTCACATGCACATATTTCCTAAACTCCCAATGTAATATATCCCATAATGTTATTCCCTAAAACTATCTAATCTGTGTTTGAAAGAATCAACACCCTGCTTCAGCCGTCTCCCTAGGGAGCCTGTTCCACAGGTTCAGTGGAAGTCCTTTCATTCCCTCAATCATTTTGGTTGCCCTTCTCTGTATCTTCTCGATTTCTCCAATATCCTTTTTCTACTGCGGCCACCAGAACTGTAACTGTACTAAGTATGGATCTCACCAATGATTTATACAGTGGTAGGATTACCCCACTGTTTCTATTTGCTATTGATCTTTTGATACATCCCAACATTTGGTTTGCTTTACGCATTGGGTCATAATCTCACAATCTCTGAGCTCTACTTGCTTGTGAGCAGTAGTGGACAAACAACATTATATATTGATGTAGTGCCTTTCATGTTGAAAGAACATCTCAAAAGGGTTTCATACACAACGGAATCTGAATGGGGCAGAGGGAGGGTGGGGGCAGAGGTGTAAACGTAGGAACGGAGGGGTAGATGGCCAAAGCACAATTAAAAAGTGGGGTTTTAAGGCAAGTTGTCAAGGTGAAGAGGGTGGGGGTTAAGCAAGAGGGACAGAATGACTGAAAGCTCACTCACCAATGATGGGGAGGAATGCTTGATCAGAGTTTTCTGAACAGAGAGCATGGCTGGGGCAGCAGGAAGTTGCAGAGGTAGGGTGAGGGAAGAGGATGGAGGCATCTGAAAGCAAGTACGAGAATCTTGAATTTGATCCACTAGGGTGGGCTAACGGAGCCTGCTGCTGGAGGACATGATTTTTGCACTTTGTATAGGGAGAAGCTGAGGAATTCAGTGAGAGGGGCTAACCCTAACTCTAATCTGGAGGGCTTTAGTAACTTAGTGGAGGACGAGGCAGGTCATGTTGTGGAGGTGAGGGAAGGCAGCACCAGCCCAGCAGTGTGAGGCTGAGTGAGCACCTGTCCGGGTGGATATTGTTAGTGCCTGAGGTGAGAAGGGTTGATGGGAGCCAGGTAGAAGACTCTTAGTCTCGACAACATTGAGCTCTAGAAAGTTAGAGCCGATCAAAACAGCAACAATGACAAATTACATTGCTCTGCGCAAATTGGCTGTCGCTTTGGTCTACAAACACACAGTCACAACTTTACAGTATACCCTGTGAAGTGCTTTGAGATGTCCTCCTAACGTGAAAGGCGCTTTACCAAATGCAAGGATTATTATTTTTCAACCAGACTCTTGCCAGTTTGGCGAGTAAAGAATCTATCCCAGGTTTGCTGATGGGGCGGTAGGAAAAGCATTGTCTGAGGTAACATTGAGCTTAACAGAGCTATAATGGCCACTCGAGCCGAGGGGAAGGATACAATCTCAGTGTTGATAATCACTTCCAAGCCGTTTGGATGGAAAACACCACTGATATTCATGTTGAATTTATCGAACTTGTGAACAGCTTGTTTGGAACGCACATCCCACAAAACACCGTCATTTAATACCAGGTCATCAGTAGGATTAAAGGTTGCACAATTCCGCTTGTAATTATTGGCCAGGTCGGGGTTGTATAGGGTCAGGATATTCAGCCCAGTCTGAACATCATATATCTGAGGATAAAATAAGAAAAGAAGAGCTTTGAAAGAAGCTGCCAATTATAAATTATAGATTTGTCTTAGGAATTCTGTATCCAAAGATTAATTCACAATCTCCTGATCTCAAATGACTAAGCAACCAGGAAATTATATAAACATTTTAAAAAGTCACGAATCAATTTCCAAATGATTTGGGTCAATTACAAGGGGTTTGCAAGCAAATAAAAATACATTTAGTGGCTCAGAGGAACAAGGTTCCATTACTATTTGTGGTTAGATACAAGTGCAAGACTCACGTGAGCAACCTCCTCTTTTGTTCCGATAACTCTGTCTTGAGATAGTTTACTGAACTCCACATAGTGATCATCAGGGAAGGAGTGTCTGTAACATGGAGAAAGCCAAATCTATGTGATCTCCAGTGTTCTAGTCAACACAGTCAACCAGTTGCTACCCTGCGTGAGGGGGACGATATAAAGGCAAGGGAAGGGAGTAAGGCAAAAGAATGGAGTTCCAGAGGGTGGAGGCAGAAAAGCTGAAGGCCTGATTGCTGATGGTGGGCAGGCAAGGCGTGGGAGCAAGCCCAGTGCCCACCGAGCGGCGGGAAAAGGAAGTATTAGTAGGTCGCAGGAGTAGGGAGGAGCAAGACCATGGAAAGTAAGGATGAGGACCTCAAACTCGATCCTCTGGGGGAACAGGAGCCAGTGAAGCCGGGGATGGGGGTGACTGGTTCACGGAGACTGCCCTGCACCATGTCCCCCACCCTGCCCGTCCACCATCAGCAGAAATAGTTAGGGGGATGGAGAGAAGAAAGCGATTGAGAAAGGGGGGAGTGGAGGGAAGGAGAGAGATTGATTGAGAGAGAATGTGAGAGGAGAGAGAGAATGTGTGTGTGAAAGGGGGAGTTACAGATGAGGGAGAGTGAGTGGTGAGAGAGGTAGTGTGAGAGCAGACAGCGTGTGTGTGTGGCCAAGAGAGAGAGTGTGTGAGAGGTGGGGAGGGGGTAGAGAGTGATTGAGAGAGGGAGCGAAAATGTTGGTGAGAGAGAGAGGGTGCAGAGTATGATTGAAAAGGAAAACACAAAAATATTGCATATGCAGACCAGGGACATTTCTCAAAAAGGCCACCTGGCCCTCAGCAACCCAAAGATGGGATCACCCTGGCTTAGACTATGTGATTCCAAGTTCTGACATGGGACTTGAACCAAAAGAGGTAAGTTTTAAAGCAATCATCCACCTCCCCACAGATTCTTAACCTTCATTAGTGACTCGCAATTTGTGAAAACTTACTTCATATCAAACACTGATCTCATTCCCCAAAGGGCAGAGAGAGGCTGCCCCCAACTTGCTGAAGTCAACAACAAGGATCCATCCTGTAAAACACAAACATAAACATCAGATGTGACACAACATAAAACAGAAGCATTTGTCACGCACTTGCCAAAAGAAGACATTGGCGAGGAAGGAACTTTCACAGATAGTTAGTATGGATATTATTATTATGGATGCTAAGATGTATGAGTTGATATTAATGATTGGAGGGCCAGCAACCTCCTGCCGTTTGCGATACCTTTGAGTTGGCTCATGTTCTTTCATGGAATCCCTGTCAACTCTTAACCCAACAACAAAATTACATTTGTAACAACAACAACTTGCATTTATACAGCGCGCTCCACGCCAGGCGGCGTCTCAGAGCTTAACAATGGTGGAGCCCAAGGCCAAGCCAGGGAGAGGGGAAGGTGACCGTCGAAAAGGAAGGTCTTCAGGCACGACCTGAAGATGGGGAAGGAGGGGGCCCGGCAAAGGGTTTGAGGGAGGGAGTTCCAAAGTTTTGAGGTGTAGTGGCTGAAGGCACGGCCGCCGATGGTGGAGTGGAGGATTCGGGGGACACGGAGGAGGCCGGACCCAGTAGAGCGGGTACTGCTGTGGGGAGAGAGGAGGTTGGGGGGGGGGGGGGGGAAAACAAGGAATGGGGGGATTTAAACACTAGAGTGAGGCTCTTGAAGTGGATCTGCTCTGTGACTGGGAGCCAGTGGGGTTGGGCCAGGACTGGAGTAATCGGGGTGTGGAGTTTGGTGCGGGTGAGAATGTGGGCGGTGAAATTTTGAATGAGCAGGATTTTGTGAACAGTGGAGGAGGGGGAGACCGGCGAGGAGGACTGGGCAAGGGTCTCGGCAGCTTTGTAAAGCGCCTTTCACGTCGGGAGGACATCCAAAGGCGCTGAACAGTCAGGGATCAGGACCCGAGCGTGGGGGGGGCAGGTTTGGGATGAGGGAGGGCAGAGAGATAGGAGGGTGGCTGAAAGCACAGTCGAAAAGGAGAGTCAAGCCACCAGAATTCAGGAATAACGTGCAGATCCATTCTCTGCAATGTGATTGCGGTACTCTTCTCTTTACCACTTTATGAAGAAAATAGAAATGTTTGTGCTCCAATGCATTGAGTAACCAGCCCCTCCCATGTCAGTCAAGAGTGCGATAGTGTGTGAGGGACAGTATACGTGCTGGCACCAACCAGCTTCCAATCTCCTATCCTGCCAAATCATGGCTTTATCCTCAATCCTTTCCTCTTTAATATCTACTGCTCCCGCTCAGCAATGTCATCCTCAGGCATGGGGTTAACTTCCCACATGTATGCAACACCCAACTCTATCTCTCTGCCTCTATCCTCAATTCCAGGACCACTGCTTTTCTGATTGATATCATGTTCTGGGTCAAAGCCATCTTTCTTCAGTTGAATGTTGACACAACAAGCTCTCCTGCTTGGCACTTGTCTGTGCCTTCTCACCTCTGGAGTAGATTGGCATCATCAATCTACATCCATGAAGTCCACCTTCCACATCTGAGCTTTGACCCATTCAGCTTTCCCCCACCTCCACATTATCCACCTTCGCCACTACCTCTCCTCTTGGGCCACCAAGACCCTTACCCATGCTTTTATCACATCCAGCTTGACTATGTTAACTCTTTGCTCACCAGTCAGCCCAACTCTTCCCTCCACAAACTGCAGCCCATTCAGAACTCTGCAGCTCGTGCCCTCTCCTGCACCAGGCTCACGAGTCAATCACCCTCATCCTTGTCTGGCTCCACTAGCTCCCCATCCCCCATGGGATCTAGTTCAAGATCTATATCCTCACTTTTAAATCCCTCCAAGGTCTTGCCCCATCCTACCTTTGTGACCTTCAAAACCCTGCCCACTCCGTCCGCTCATCAGGCACTGGCACACTTCATATCCACCCCCACTCCTGACTCACTACCGGCAATTGGTCCTTCAGCCTTTCCGCTCCCATTCTCTGGAACTCCATCCTATAGTACCTTCACCTCGCCTCTTCCCTTGGCTCCTTCAAGATTCATCTCAAGACCTTTCTGTTTGTCTGCATCTTCGGTCATCTTTCCACTCTCACCTTGGCCTCCATCTCTTCCGAATCTATCTCCCAAGTGCAATCTCTTGACTGCCCAGCGTTTTGGGATGTCCTCCCAACATAAAAATTGCTACATAAATGCAATTTATTGTTGATGTTGTTGACAGAAGCTGCCTCAGTGACCGAGTATTTTCTGAGAAACAGGAATTTCTCCAAAAAAGCCAATAAAAATCTTTGAAACCATGGAATTAAGCTCTTGCAGAAAATCCAATAGGAACCCATCAGAAGAATTCTGTTGGTCTCCGAATGGAGCATTACACTAATTCAATATGTTCCAGAACTGCCTTACTTACACCAAGTAATGGGAATTGCTTAAAAACACTTACTTTAGATGGTTCCAGATGTGAAATAGCAGAGTTGTGGCAGGCATAGGTGGCTTCCTCCTGACCACTGAATAAGTTATAGAGTTTGAGTTCTCCAGTGCACGTCCCCAGCATCAGAAAACGCTCCCGAGCAGAGAATGCACAGCAGGTAAAGCCACTGCCTTCCTCATCAGATTCCCTGAACACAGAAATCGGACGGAACCTTTATATAAAAAAAACACATTGGGTTATGGAACACATTCTTTTATATACGACTTCTCTTGTACCTCAGGTGATTAATCCAAGCAATCAGTTATCTTTCAGTGTACTTCCTCCAAAATCAAGATATCCTTACAGTAACTGTACTTACAGTAATACAGTGATTGAATTATACTAAGTATTCAAGGCGGGGTCACCTGAAACCATCGCTCAATGAGTAGGCACATACTGTAAAGTGAATTGAGTGTATATTTTTGTGGCCGAATTCCTGTGAAGTGCTTGAAAGTTTCTTTATCAAATACAAGGATTATTATTTATAGCTCATGGTTAAGGCTAGGATAGTTTGGACTCTCCACAAGGATAGAAGAATAACAGAAATGCAGAATTTAGGGAACCAGTAAGCTCTGACTGAATGAAGAAATAATTCCAGTAGTATCAATGTTTACACATTTATTATGAAACATTACCTGCTGAAGATAAGGTGTCTGTCAAAACAGCCGCCGTCCACCCCGCCATACTTGGGGAAGGCGGCTCTGCAGGCCACTCGCGAGGTGCAGTTCAGTGGCGCCTGTCGCCTCTGCTTCGGCTCCGGACATTGGTGAGGAGTAAACAGAGAGAATGGGGGACAGGTGACCACGGGGTTCTTGCAACGAGCATGCTGCTCCCTCAGGTACTCGGTGATGATGCTGTCCAGCGAGGGAGGCGAGGGCAAATGACGGTCTAACTGTTTTTTGATGGCCGGTGTCTGGTTATAGGCTCCGTAGTCTGACTTTTGGCGTATAAGTTTCTGCTTCCTGAGGCTGCAGCCATTGCATGGTGATGGCTTCTCTTTAGAAAAACTTATTTTACCAATTATTGGAGAGCCATTGGCACAGGAAGGCCCAGTGCCAGAGCAGGAGACTTGTAATGCTGATGGCTTTGCCTGACATGGGGTTGAGACGGACGTCAGGTTGATAGTTCTAGAGCAAATACCATTGGCTAGTCGGGGGGTTCGGGGCAGGACAATGGGGGATGTTCCTGCAGCTACAGGTGTGAAGGCTGTAGGATGAGAAGGCACAGGTTGGATGGCAGGTGTTCGGGGAAGGTCTCCCTCCTTTGTCAGCGTGGCAGCTGTTTCCTGGAGCCCGTGAGACACCAGGTGGTTCCTGATAAGAAGCAGCAACTCTTTCTCTGAGAAACTGATTCGCGTCTGAGCCACAACATCTGCTTTCTGTAGGCGTGCCAGGGACACGTCTGACCCAATGGACAGGGGTTTCCCAGAGATGCGTTCAATCAGTTCCGAGGCGTACTTGCAGAATTTAACATGCTCATGACGTTTGTCCTGCAGCACAGGCTCCCTCATGAGCTGCTGGATCTGACCACTGCTGAACAAGGGCAGTTTGCTGATGATCTGCTTAACAGAACTGCTGCGGGAGAGGCCGACCAGGGCCTTGCAGGCCAATGAACGGATCTGATCTGCATCAGTAATCGGCATCTTCACGGTCAGCAAGGATAACAGCACCTTGATACCGTTGTTGGCCTGAACTACGTTCCACATTTTGGTCAGTACGTTCTCGCTGCTCTTGGGGGTCTGAGAGTTCTTGCGCCGAGGGGTCCCAGACAGAAACTTGCCGATGCTGGAGATGCGTTTGTCAGGCCCACACACGCAGTTCATGATCACCTGAAGAGCAGATTTTTGTGTTTCAGCATCATTCACAAAGATATCTCCCTCAGCAACTCCAAGGATAATGCTCATCCCTACAAGAAACAAGTGTAAAAAATTTGAGCAGCTGTAATAAAGGACTTCACTAACCTGCATCAGGAATTTGGGTCTCTGTGTTCGAAGACCTGAATCATCTTCCCCCCACTCGGCCTCTATCAATACCCTATCTTGCCTACCCCAACATCAACGGTCAGGCCTTTAGCCTTTCTGCCGAGTCCCTCTTTAAAGGTACATCTCCATTCCTATTAATTGCGCCTTCTTGTCACTCCCCAAACCTTAGCCCCCACTTCTCTGGAATCCAACCCCCAGCCTGGGTGCAAACCCTTTACTGTCCAGCTCCTTGGAACGTCCTCCCGAAGTGAAAATCGCTATATAAATGCAATTTGTTTTTGTGAAATTAGTTCCAGCACCCACACCATTTACACTCACCCACTGTGGTGACAGCAGAGCCGCTCTCATCGAGCACATCGACAGGCTCCGCTAATAAAAGCGGAGTTTTGGGTACAACGGTGAGAATGGCGAGCACATCGAGAGCAGAACGAACAGTGTCACTCCTACCAGAGAAAGTGCAGAATTAGTCCCCGAGAAGCATCTGCAGGTACTGATGGAGGTACATCAGAACAAATTAACTTATCGAATTAGTGGTTTTATCAACTCACACCTACATCTCCTCTCCCTCCCCTATCACTTGTTTGGGGTTTTCTGCTCCATGCAGTGGCTAAATTCCCACCTTTCTATATCTGAGATCAGAGATGATAATTTAATTCTTTGCCTTGCCTCTCAGGTCTCCAGCCAACTGCCTAGGCTGCTGGCCTTCAATGCCCCTTATGCAGCGGTTAGGATTTAAGTCACAAACACTATGTTTCAGCACTGAATTCAAACTACAAGACAGTGGCTTAAAAACTGAAATGTGACCAAGTATTTTCTAATTTTCTCCCCAATGATGTATAGCTCTCTGGTCCCAGCCTTCTCTTGCTTGGATGCTGTTCCACAGGCACTGGTTGACCTCCCACCCAAGTGTCAATTATTTATGTGTGAGCCCTGGCAGTAAGTGTTGGAACGCCACATGATAGTAGAAGGCATGCCTGTCCTCCCCCAGCTCAAACAGAATCTTGGCTTTTTACTTCTCAATAAACCCTTGGAAGGTCAGGGCCTTGCAGCCCTGAGTGAGACCAGCAAACTCAGCACAGTGAACCAGTAATCTCCTGGTCTGTAAGATCCAGCTCTATGCACTGCACCATTTTTCATATATTTATATGATCTCCAGTAGGGTGCAGCTTACCTCCCATAGTATGTCCTCCAATCACAGGCAATCGATATGAGCTGCAATAGGAGTTGTACACACGAGAGCTTGTGGAAGATCTCTGCTGGTTCCCAGAATAGCCTTGCAGGGCCACATTCAATCAGGAATTCTACCATCTCAACAACTTGCTCATGGGTGTAAGAACAAGCCTGGAGAAATTAAACAACATGCCATCAGTGATCTACCGGCAGCATAAGAGCAGTAGCAACAAATGGTCTTCAAATCCCTCAGCTCCAAGTTCCACAAGTGCAGCAGGAGGTACAAGTACCAGTTTGTGAATTGAAAATAACTCCTTCAAGTTCCACATCTTTAAAACAAATACATCCATCATTCATTCACAGGAACATTTACTCTGATACAATTTGGAAGTGGCACAGGATAAAGTTCTGTAACTTAAACTGTGAGACAGCACAGTTTAAACTATGACTGTGTGTTCACAACAGATTGGTAATCAGCTTTTCCAAGTTAATATTTTTACAAGAGAGAAGGGAGGTTTGAGGGCTTATGTGGAGTACAAACAACTGTGTGGACTGGTTGGGCTAAATGGCCTATTTCTGTTCCCTATCATTCTATATAACTTGACAGTGCAGTAAAAGACATGGAAATACTTTAGAGAAAGTCCCTACCTGATTTTTGGAAACAGGACACATTGACAATTCCCAGCAAGCCCACTTTCGAAATGAACCCAGTGTCTGGCAAGAAAGAAGTAACTGATCAAAATAACAATTCTGGTCATAGGTCAGTGCCTACTCACGTACACACAAATATGCATGGTTCTCAGGTGCTTACATAGTGTTGCTCCAGATTTCCAGGATGTCAGGTCATTGCTGACAGCACCTTGTATCGTGTGTATTATGCACACAAAGCACTGATGACATCTGCATGCCGCAGAAAGTTACGACAGCAGCAACCCGATGACCCAGAAGTTGCCCACTTTGTGGTGGGAGAAGTCAGGGGGAGCATTATAAGGGTGTTGCCCAGCAAGTTTGTTCACATAATTACAAACACCTAAAAATCTACTTATTTCCACGTAGTGAGAATTGGTGGTGGTAGGGGTAGGGGGAAAAGAAAACGAGAGGAAAGAGAAAACACAGAGCTACGTATAACAGAAATTCATTTCAGTGTTAAGACATGGAGCGTGTAATTTCAGTATTTGACACATTATAATAGTGGTGTTGCTGCAAAAGCATCAATGTGTGGTTTCCATTAAATACGTGATTTTATTTGCTTCAAGAACACCCACCACAAAGAGGGGAGGTGGAGTTATTACGAAGCCTAAATTCCTACACGTTCCCATTCTACACCATAAAACAAAATGACAACACCTTTTACTGGTAACATTATATGGTAAAGTCTATATGAGACCACCAAAAGAATTTCCATCAGAAGTTCCATTGGGTAACAAATATGGGGATAGACGGTTTTAAATGCATAATAAAAAGATACTTGAATTTAATCCACCCCAAATCAATGGGATTAAAGACTCCCCCCTCTGCAGTCCTAAATTTAACATATTTGAAGCTCAATTCAGCTCCTATTATAAAACATAAAAATTCTTCACAAATTGACACCCTCACTCAAAACATTCACATCACTATAGTGTGTGTGGGACGGTGGAAGAGAGTTTCTTCTGAAGTCAGGTTAAGGCACATGGACAGAGCAGGTCAAAGGGACTTTAAGCCTACAACTGTCCTAAGATATACCTGACGCTGGGTTCCAAAAGTGTTCCTTTCCCAATCGATATTACCATCAATATAAAAGTGCAAATTCACTTCTATACATGAAAGTTCTACTTATGGAAAGGTTCCCATCTCCTAATTTAGAATTTATTCCCCAAACCTGAGAGCTAAACATACAGTCACAATATTACACTTTTGTCCAGTTGTATTTATCCTGGTGCAGTATAAGAGCAAAGCCAGCTCAGCTTGAACCACTTCCCCTAGAGTGTGGGCTGCCGGCAAGCTAGAGATAGTAATCAGCATTTCCAAGTCATAGCCTCACTTCAATTAGAAACCATACTTATAGCTTAAAATCTGCACATTTGAAATGTAATTGCGAGTAGAATCCAGCAAATGCGACAGAAACGTCTGCAGTTTTTATCATAGCAATAAAAATAATAATCCTTGCATTTGAGATTGTGCCTTATCACGTTGTCAAAACATCTCAAATCACTTCACAGCATTTGCTGTAAAATGTAATGGCTGTGTATTTTGTAGACAAATGCGGCAGCCAATCTGGGCAGAGTAATGTCACACAAGTAGCCATTTTGCCTGGAAAGTTGTTGGCCACAACACCTTCTCTTTTTGAATGGTGCTATGGGATTTTTAACATCTAAATGAACAGGCAGACAAAACCTTGATTTAACATCTCATCCAAACAATAGCACTTCTAACAATGCAGTGACCCCAGCACTGCATTAGTGTCAGTTCATACTGTGAACTCAAGTCCCAACGTGGCTCTTGAACTCACAACCTTCTGAATCAGAGGCAAGTGTGTGACCAACTGTGTCAGGTTGACACTTTGTTCTGAGAACATTATGAAATAAATTAGATGTTTTGATGCATTTCTGCATTAATTACTCATTAAATCATTTGAATATATAATCATAGAAACTCTCATTGAAACCCACCAGTTACACGAGTGATCACTGGGCACTAAGGGACAGGCCCTCCAGTGACCACATGATTTTTGTATCAACTCAAAGACGGTCCAAAAGTGATAAAATTACTGAAGCAGGCGCGACACGGCAGGTACCGTTTGCTGTTGTATCTATGTATTATATTGGGATGTATTTTAAACAGTTTCTTCTCATTTAAAAATTCAAGGCAGGTTTGAGAACTCTGTACACACCTTGTATGGAGGCTGTGGATGTATGAGAGCACCTCCTTCTGTTCTCTGCAGGGATCGTTTCACATGCTCCAGTTTGATGCCCAGGTGGGCCTCAAAGTATCTGCGTAGTGCCATACAGGTATGCTTGGCAGTCTGACGGCTGGCAAAGATTTCATCATCACTAAGTAGTGCCCCCTGATCCTCCAGGTTTAAGATTTCCAAAGTGCTAATCTGCAGAAGTAAAATTAAAAAGCAATTACTGAGTGTTCACAAATCAGAGTAACACATTTCTGGTTAATGAGATCAAACACAGTACTGACTTGTTCTTTAGCTGTCAAGACCTTTTTTTTTGGTGAACACGGTTTTGACACATGAAGAGGCTCCAAATCAGTTCACATCTGCTGGGAAATTTCCCTTTGTCTGGAATGGAATACACAACTTTCACCCCAGTGCAATGCACTAATTTGCTCCTCCGAATCCTGCAAGTGAGCTAGGCTGACCAGTCAATCATCAACAGTGCCTTGGACTACTACAGATCTGTCTGGCTCAATGACCACACCAAATTACATTTGTATAGCATCTTTCACGTCAGCAGGATGCCCCAAAGCACTGAACAGTCAGGGATCCACACCCAAGCTGGTGGTTAGGATCGGGAGGGGTGGAGGGCAGTGTGGGTAGGAGAAAAAGGGTGACTGAAGGCACGGTTGAAGAGGAGGATCTTGAGACAGGTCTTGAAGAAGGCAAGGGAGGGTGTGAGGCGGAGGGACTGTGGGATGGAGTTCCAAAGAGTGCGGGCAGAGAGACTAAAAGCCCGTCCACCAATGGTGGAGTGGCAAGGCAGGGGCGTGAAGCAGGCAGGTTCTTAGAGAGTTAGAAGGTCACAGAGGTAGGGAGGAGCAAGGCCGTAGAGGGCTTTGAGGGCAAGGACCAGAATCTTGAACTGTATCGTCTGAGTGACAGGGCTCAGGAACTGGATTACCATGACGGTCACAAAGGATCAACCTCATCCCAATAATCTCCCAAGAGCACCATCCTGAAGCGTACTCAGCCCCCAAGAGCTCCCCAATTACCTCCCCTCAGAGGACAATTACTAGTTGACAAACTGATTGATTAATGTTACCCACAACATACAAGTGCAATCCCCTCGACAAACAAATTACAATAAAGATCCAATTATTAATTATATTTAATCATTTCCCTCCTGATCGTTTTCCCACCCTCAGTCACTTCAAGAGTTACTGGTGTCTCAAAGAGAGCAGACCATGTCTCCAAGGCAGGAGCAGGTCTGACCTGGTTTCTCTTGGTGTGTTGCAGTATTCATTGGCCATCTATTCAAATGCTCACAAGCCATAACTGAAATAGACATAAAGGAAAAAGCTTCCCATAACAGGGATCGTTACTGGGTTCAGTGACCATGATGTCCTGATCTTAGCTATACAAAATGCATAAACAACATGAAGGTTGTGGCCTGTTGGCCTGATCCTCAGTTACTGTGTCACTGCTGTCCTGCCCACTATCCAGGCTGCAAAACAAGTTGCAGTGTTCATCATCTTGAAACCTTCACCCAATTCTTCCCAGAGCGCTCCCTGAATCCACAGGTATATAATCGGTTGTCATTGCCCGGTTATGGCACTATAGAGTAAAGTTCTTGCCAGGCTTACCAGGTTAACCAGCCGTCTTAGTCCATCCTGCTTGTCAAAAAGCTCCAGGACAGAACGAAAGGCAAATGAAATGGAGAAGAACATGGTAGCATGACAGCGTCCCGACTCGTGGGAGCACTCCAGCAGCCACAGGGTGTAGCTGACCACATCTGAGAGAACAAAGTGAGGCAACAAGCAAACCTGGAGAGAATAGGTAAGGTTAAGTTTAGGCATCGCAAAGCCGTGCACCAAATGCGAGCGGTGTAAAGCTTCACACTGTCGGTGTGATTCCATGCAACAAATGGCCAACACTATGTTTACATTGTGAGACCCCACCCCCCCCCACCAACACTAAACTCCTCACAAGGAGATACTAACAAATGCAGCAACGACAACAAATTAATTTGTATAGCGCAGTCTCTTGCTTCGGAGACAAGAAGACTTACCCGCTCCATTGCATCCTGATTATAAGCCAAATAGTACAAGCAGAGAGAGACGCCGGTGGCTGCCATGGATGGCCGCGGGATCTCCAGCAGCTTCTGAACTCCACCCTGAGCCACAAAATCTGCGGCAAACTTCTTGTGCAGCAATAAAGAGGCTAGGTACTGAGAGAGTAAAAACCAAAAAATTAAACATCCAACAGTAACAGAACATGCTCTCCTTCTGCTCACCCTCTATCTGCAACACTCACAGCAATCTGTCCCAGTCATCCCACTGAAGACACTCAGAAAACCTCAGCCCTGCTACCTCGCTTTGCATCATGACTCTGGCCCTACGTTTCCCAACCACCCAATTGCAATAAGTAAGTGCTGTCACCCAGAAAAGCACACATCTTTCCCTCTATGTAGAAATGAAGCAGGTCAAGATCAGACAATCCAGTAAAGAAAAACAAATACAGTAATTTCCAGAAAACACATCACTCCAGAAGAAAAGAGCTCAGCAACAAGTTATCTGGAGATCGGCATAGGCCCTCACGAGCTACAAGGGGACAGTGTGACTGGAATGCCAAAGAGTGGAGTAGGGCGCACATGCTCAGATTGCATATGTCTCTGGTCCATTGAGGGCCACTTCATGGCTTCCCACCTGCACCTGTCACAGGTTAGTGTGGGAGGCCTCTACAATACAAGATGCTATCTTATAACACAATCAATTTTATTTACAAGAATTTCTAGAATGGAACTAGTTACATGTTAAGCAGAATAACATTTTTCATGGGAAGCCACTGGGATATTGACAGCATGGCCACATAAGTTGTCGTGACAATTGAGACAAAGTCAAGTTATCAGGAGTTTATAGTAATTTCTTTGCATTATTTTTCAATATACATTCTCTCTTTAACCCATCATCAAAGAACACATCAATTATTTCATACCTTCAGGGCCTCAAAGGTGAGTTGGACATCATTCGTCTGCTTCAGATCAATATAGAACATGAGCAGATCTCGGGCCCCGAGCTGCATGAACACAGCCAGCAACTGAGACAAGCAGAAACAAGGTTAGCAATTTCTGAAAATAAAACAAGGAAATAAAAAGCACAGAGAAAGAGACCACAGCCGGCCACAAACCTCTCAGTGCCATTAGGTATTTGAGGCTGTTGCAACCCCAAGAGATACAGTGGGAAAGCAGGAGGATGCAGGATTGACACTCAGCCCTTGGTACCTCTAGCTTGTTTCATTAATAAGTTATAACTTTAAGTGATAATTGTGTCAGCTCATTAACCTTGCACCAAACTATTGATTTTATACTTTTTCTAAATTTCAGTGCTTTCAAACTTCCTGCTTCACTATGTTACCTTGATGGGGACAGTTACATAGGCACAATGTTCCCACCAGTGACCATCCATCATGTGTGACACTGGACAGGGTGTGTGGTCATGTCAGCAGACATTCCTGCCTTCAAGCAAAAAGGAGGGAAAGAAAAGGCAGGGTCCCTCCAGTCCAGAAATCTGGTTAATTTTTACTCCCCAAAGTCTAAAGGCCCTGAGGCTCAGTAGTGTTCCTATTAAATCAACTGAGATCAGTTAGCAAAGGCCAGAGCTCTTTGGGGATGTATGGCTTACTTTCACTCAAGGCAATGGCTGTACCAGCTGACATACAATCACTCTTCAATGCCAGGCCACGAGCTGTTTGGATCCATAATTTGGTCATTAATTTCAATGTTGTTGTAGGGATCTTTCTATACACCACCCCCCACACTCACTAAGGATTTCCATTCAATCTCTGTAAAGTGCTTTGAGATGTTATCCTATATGAAAGGAACTGTAAAAATGCAGGCTGTTAAATTATTCTGAAGGGGATTAGTTTGCTCCTTACCTCTTGATACTCTCCAAGGGGTGTTAGGTACTGAAGGATCAATCTTTGCTCAATGGCAGAGGTCAAAGGATAAAGGTTATAATTATTGCCAATCACCCAGGGTGACATCTCGGACCAGCTATTAGAGTGTTCACTACAAATCCGGTCAGGATCCAGCCCTGAAAAACTAAGCCTGTGTTTGGGAACTTTCCTTCCATCCTCTCCCTCTGTCCTTCCTCCATCTTTACTCTTTAATTGGTCCTCTCTCTCAGAGCTTTTGACGATGGAATTAACTCTGCTGTTGGCTTTACACATAGAGTTCAGCTGGAAGGAAAATTCCTCAAGACCTTCCTCTCCATCTGGTGCCCTCTCCGTATCCCCATAGTCCATGTCCACAGCCTCCTCATCCATGGGAAGCAGTGGCTCTAGAGGTGGATTCAAAGGTGGCTTCCGAGGGCTCTGCCACTTTATCTTCTGATTTCTTTCCAGATCCTGCTTCTGCAAATCCCGTAGTCGCTGCAACATCAATGGTACCTGACGGGAATGAGCGAGAGCAGTGGGTTGGGCTATCCCAGACAGCAGGCTTAGTCAGCGAATATAGAAAATGAGTGCAGTTAAAGTCAACTAAAGCCAGGCTCCACATCCCCCAGAATTCAAAATCTCATCCCTCCACAGCCTTGCTCCTTCCTACCTTTGTGACCTGCTAACCCCATATCAACCTGTCTGCTCCTTCCGCTCAGCAAACTCTGGCCTACTCCACGTCCCCCACCCGGCCCCACCATCAGCCACCCAGCCCTTCTACCTTCAACCTTTGGAACTCCATCCCATATTCCCTTCGCCTCACCCCTTCCAAGCATGTCTCAAGACCTTCCTCTTCGACTGTGCCTTCGTCCACCCTCCTACCCTCCATCCCTCCAGATCCCATCCCCCTGCTCGGGTCCAAATTCCTGACTGTTCAGTTTCTTGGGACGTCCTCGCGATGTGAAAGGCGCCATATAAATGTAATTTGTTGTTGTTATAGTGAGGTAAACCAATCATCTTAAAATAAACAAGATTTCAAATAAAAACTTTATATTAAAAGAAAATCTGATTCGTACCTCGTCTTGAGATTCACCTGGGATTACCAAGTCTAGTCAGCAATGGCTGCCCCTCAGCCCCATTCTGTACATCTGAACTCTCTCCCCCAAGCTCTGTGCTATACTCAGTACTGAGTATACAACAACAACTTGCATTTATATAGCGCCCTTCACTATATAAATGCCGGAAGGTGTCTCGGAGCGCTTAGTATACCTCTGCCTGCACCCCACTTAGCAGGAATAGTTGGGTTAGTCTTGAAACACCAGAAACATGTTGATGCTCTGGGAGTCCTCACCATCTGTGAGTTTTCCTCCCGATAGTTGGCTGCAATGTCCTGGTTTTCCATAGCACCGGCAAGCAGTCCAGTGGCATACGTCCTCAGCGGTTCTTCTGCCTCCCGAGCCCATTTAAACAAGTTTTCAACGATCCCTTCCTAAGTGAATGAATCAAAACATCAATAGCATCATCTGCCAAGTACTGATATTCCTGTTGGCATGTATTTAGCAACTTTGATGCAAAATCCCACGAGAGTTTGATATCAATGTCATTCTCAACACCAACAGCAAGTTCAGCCTCTAAATCTTACATGGAAATTAATTAGTCGGGTTGAAATGTGGTTGGGTTAAGCCTCTCCTGTTTATGGAATTCTTAACAAGATTTGCTGTTTGTTGATTTGATTATTCCTGGATTTTCCTATCTATCGTGAGAGAAATTAGACACATCAAGCCATTTGTCAGTCAGATCAACTCCAGTTTTCTCCCAAAGTACAATCTTAGATTCCCAGAGAAAAGAGGAGTAAGATGCTGTTCATATGATACAATGTATAAGAATTCTTGCATTTTATATAGTGCTTTATCTCACTGTTGAGATGTTTAAAAACACTTCACAGGATTTTACTGTAAAGTGTAAATGACTGTATTTTGCAGGTGAACACAGCAGCGAATTTCAGTATAATAATAATAATAATCCTTGCATTTGATATAGCGCTTTTCACGTCGGGAGGACGTCGCAAAGCGCTTCACAGAACACACTGTAAAGTGAATTGACTGTATATTTGTGGGCGAACGCGGCAGCCAATTGCGCACAGCAATTGTCCCACAAACAGTCATAGATTGAAAATGACCAATTTATTATTGTTTTTGGAGGGATTATTATTAGGCTCTGTGTGGAGTAAGGAAACTTGCCCAAGGTTTCGCTCTCTGCCTGGGATTGAACTCAGGTCTCTCACTTGCAAAGCGAGTGCTCTAACCACTGAGATACAGGACTGTGGCACAAACAGCCACGATCAAGGGAACCTTCACTTCAACCTGGAATACCTAAAACACTTCCAGCCGAGACTGTGAGCTCAATCTCCCAACATGGGGCTTGAACCCACAACCTTCTGACTGGGCTGACATGATGTTAAATAGACATAAAAACAACAGAAGTACATCAAGTCTGCTTTGGATTACCCTGACAGATTCTAACCATTGAAGTACAGTAGCAGCAAAATGCACTGGTAGAATCTTCCTTCTTACCTTCTCCTGAAATACAACTGCCGTTTCCAGTCCAGGTTTGATGTCCAGTAGCAGTCGACATGCAGCCGTATTCACCGGTGCATCTCGGCTGCTCATCACATAGGCATTAACCAACTGAGGAACAAGACATAACAGCATCAAACACAAATACCTACTCATCCAATGTCTGATCCCAAATTTATAGACAGCAGGAACCATGAGGAAGAAGCTGAGCCAAAAGGAAAAATAAGCGGAGGGTGTCATTGGGCCAAACTGTTCTCCCTCTTACTTTTTTAGCCTCACTTTGATGAAACTTACCGAATTCATGAAATCATCATTTTTGAAGAGTATTTTGAGGAGATGCCCCAACATACATTCTGGATCTGCCCGGCCTGAAAGAGATGTAGATTCATTGTAAATTCCAAAGTTCTATTATTCTTGTGATCAGATTACAGCCATCAAGCTGTCACCAAGGATGTGCTGGATTCTCCTTTATTGACAGGTTCAGATGTTGAATACCTGGCACTATCTCATGTGGGGTTCAGACAGGAGATTGATCTCCACATTGTCAGCCCCAGATTTCTGCCTCATGTATGGTTTTGGGCTCTCAGTGTAAGGTGACAAGCAAATCCACATCATTCAAACGCAAAATTAGACAATATGCTACTTTTTTTGAAGCCCCAGCGTGCACACATCACATTCCATATATGGGTATAAATAGAATTGGTGACCACATGAATAGTCTCAGACTACACTGCCAGCAATCACATCAGAGCTCAGTCTTACCAGGATGACGGTCATCAAAAGGATCAGGATCCGCTTTATGGTATTCTTCGGTCTCCTTCTCAATCAGGTCTGAAATCCTTAAGAATAATATGTGAAAAGCTTTAAGAGCAACTGCAACAGCAACATGAAGGCTGCAGAACTGGTTACATATATGCAGAATCACATTCTTTACTGAAGAAGTCTCACCATAAGAAATTTAATTAAAAAACATATTAATCATTATTTTTCTATAAATTTTGATAATCTGTTTTAAAACAAATAATCGTTGTCTTGCAGCAGTCACCAAGACTGATAATGTGGGTTATAAATTGACATCAGTAAGGCCAATTATTAACCTGTTGCTTCTTCAGAGATTGTGACATATCAGCGGGCAGTCCAATGCTGTTGTTATTGATGTAGTGATTTATTATTCAGGATCGACAAGATTGATTTGATGTAGGGCCTAGCAGCCTTTTATGTGTAATAACACTGATGCATCTTAGAATTAATGACAAAGATCAAAGCATAATAGTCATAATCGGAGTGATTCTCCAGATGTCCAGAAGCATCCCATCACTAGTCACCGCCAAAAGCCAAGCGCCCCTCTCCCCACTGTGCCCCTCATTCCCTCCCTCTCCTCTGTAGTACTCACTTGGTGAGAATGGGGATGACATTAGTGCCGCTGTTACTGTCCCGTTCCCACTGCTCCAGTAACGCAGTGAGCTCAGCTTTCGAATCAACACTTGAAGTACCGGATGCCATTGCTGAGCTGCAGGAGCACAGACACACACACACACACTGAGCAATGGCAGCCGCAGACACATGGACCCTCTCGGCGCCGCGGGAACCACACAGCTACACGTTTACAACCGCGAGAGATGGAAGAATGAGAAACACTCAACACCCCCCACCCCCCGCGCGCGTGTCCCCGTGTGTCTGCCCACCCCCACCCCCCTCTCTGCCTCACCCCGTGTCTCTCTCCCCCCGAGGCCCCGGGCTCTCTCTCGGGTCCCGTTGCTTTACCGTCTCTGTCGGGGAAAGGCTCCTGTGTGCTCGAGGGCCTCCCGCGGGCAGCACGTGCCGCTGAGGCGCCTTCAGCCCGGCCCCGGCTCCGAGCTCTTACCTTATTTCGCGGCTCCACGCTCCCGCTCCAGGCCCCGAATGGCGGCGCCCTGACGCTGATCGACGTCCTCACGTCCATGCGTGACCTCACAAAGCATGCCGGAACTTGTAGTCCGGGTCAATCTATTTCCTGCGCATGCGTGCCAGCACCGATGCCAGCCTGTGAGCTGCAGGGTGGCACAGCTCACTTGGCAGGTATCTCACTTTCCTACCGTGTATGTTACTCCTCTTCTGAAAATTTATGGTGTTACATTTTCCCTCTGTTTATTATCTGACTTTGGCTTCTTTCCGCTTTTCTATAATACACCAACTCACAGGAATGACATTTACTGAACACAAACATTCATTCATTTAAATGGTACAATTTGCTGCTCATTTGCCCAATCATGTCTGTGCTATTGCCATCTACATTTCTGAATCACTTTTTTTTATTAATCTCAGTTCCAGCACTCTTCCCACGTCTTATATTTGTGTTGCATTTCTTTTTAAATGATTTATAGATCCCGCCTCTGACATTCCTGTTACCTCTTCCCTAATATTGAAAGGGAGACAATGCCCCATTGTTATTGATTCCCAAACTAAAAGAAATCCTTTTTCTTATCGCGCTCCTTCAGTACTCCGTTACATCATAAAGAGGGGCGGTGCAGTGAGGGGACAATATGTACCGTGTAAATAAAGAGCATCAGAACACAAGACAGGAACATCTTGGTCCCTCTACCTGAATGGGCTGTTCGGAGGCAGTCACAAGGGGATGGTTCATGTGTGGATTGTACCGGACAGTATATGTGTTGCATTTTCTTTTTTGTCAAGAGAATTTTTTAATGCAAGCCAAATACTAAATACTGCAATAACTATACTTTATCAATAAATATATACTTTGTTAAAAACTATCATCTCTCAATATCTTCTGCTCCAGCAGAAAAAAAAGCCACATGTAAGCTAATTATTTCGACCTATAGAATGGTAAATTTTCAGATTTTTGAAAAAAAGGAAAGAGAATACTCCTTTGCACAAGATCATTAGTATTTATTTCACATCAGTAATTCTCCAATATCAACACTATATGCCTCAGCCAAGATTTTCACCAACCTCACTCGTAGCCCCTTCTGTGGGATACATATCTAATTACATATTATAGTCAACTGTATAACTTCTGCAGCAATTATGAAAGAAACCTCAGGGAAGATAGTTTCTACGAAGCTACAGCAGCCAATACAGATGGCATTATTGCAAGAACCTAGCATAAATTGCGCAGCTGCACGACTCACATTATTCATTGGTGTTACACAACTGTAACAGTAGTATACGTCCATCAATGCACTCAGATTGGAGAATACTACTAGAAACTTCCACAGGATAGACAGTGCTACAAAACCTTTCTTCTACTGTTTCAGAATGATAGGTAAGATCATGTCACTTGTACTGCTGAGACATCATTTGAAAACGACTGATCTACAGGTATAAGTGAGACATAAAATCAATAAAACTTCCCTGAATCATATTGTCAGAGATAATTGGGTGTTTCAACTCCTTCTCAAATGTGACAAACTATTTGACAAACATTGAACTGGATTCTTGTTGATTGTGTTGCTTCCTTGTAGATTTTGCATGTAGATTTGATGTCAAATCATATACAGTTGCAAAAGCTAATAATACTTCCTTTTGATATAGCTCCTTATTATGTCTTCAGGATTTCTCAAAGCACTTCACAGAATATCTGTAAAGTGAATTGACTGTATTTTGGAAGAAACGTGGCAGCCAATTGCACACAACAACAACAACAAGATTCCATTTATTGAGCGCCTTTCACGTCGGGAGGACGTCCCAAGGCGCTGTACAGTTGGGTCAGGACCCGAGCAGGGGGGAAATGGTCAGGGGGAGGGAAGGGAGGGAGCGAGGAGGGGGTAGAGAGTCGAGAAGGGAGCTGAAGGCACGGTCAAAGAGAAAGGTCTTGAGACCGGCCTTGAAGGAGGAAAGGGAGGAAGCGGCGAAGGCACTGGGGGATAGAGTTCCAGAGCCTAGGGGCTGAGAGGCTGAAGGCCCGGCCACCGATAGTAGGGCGGTTGGGGCAGGGGATGTGGAGCAGACCGGAGCCAGAGGAACGGAGGGTACGGGCGGGTAGGTAGGGGGATAGTAGGTCGGAGAGGTAGGAGGGAGCGAGGCCGTGAATGGCCTTGTAGGTGAGGATCTTGAATTCGATCCTCTGGGGGATGGGGAGCCAGTGGAGGCGAGCGAGGGTGGGAGTGATGTGTTCCCGAAGCCTGGTGCGGAACAGTACACGAACTGTAGAGTTCTGAATGACCTGCAGTGTGGAGGGAGGGCCGGGAAGGCCGGCGAGGAGAGAGTTCCCATAGTCCAGCCTTGAGATGATAAAGGTGTGGACCAGAGTTTCAGCCGCGTGAGGGGTGAGGTAGTGCCGTAGTCTGGCGACATTCCGGAGGTGATGGAAGGCGGTGCCAGTTGTGGCGCGGATATGGGGAGAAAGGACAGCTCAGGGTCGAACAGAACCCCGAGGTTCCTGACTGGCTTTGAGAGGTGGAGAGTGCAGCCTTGGATGTTGATGCTGTCAGCGCCTGAGGTGCGGAGGCGCTGACGTGAGCCAATCAGGAGGGCCTCCGTTTTGCGCATGTTGAGCTGGAGAAAGTTATCTCTCGTCCAGGACTCAATGTCGGACAGGCAGGCTGTCAGGACATCGGTGGTCGTGGAGTTGAGGGTAGAGGAGGAAAGGTAGAGTTGGGTGTCATCCGCATACATGTGGAAGTTAACCCCATGTCTGCGGATGATGTCACCGAGGGGGAGCATATAGAGGGTGAAGAGGAGGGGACCGAGGACAGAGCCTTGAGGGACACCGCACGAGACAGTGCGGGGGCCGGAGGAAAAACCATTTGTGGAGACAAAGTGAAGACGGTGGGAGAGGTACGACCTAAACCACTCAAGGACAGGGCCTTGAAGGTTTAGGTGGGAGGACAAGCGGTGGAGGAGGATAGCATGGTCGACCGTATCGAATGCTGCCGATAGGTCGAGGAGGACGAGGAGGCAGAGGGAGCCCTGGTCACAGATGGTCAGGATGTCATTGGTGACCTTGACCAGGGCAGTTTCTGTGCTATGGGCAGCACGGAAACCCGACTGAAGGGGTTCGAATAGTGAGTGGTTGGAGAGGAAAGAGCGCAGCTGGGAGGCCACAACTCGTTAAATAATGTCCCACAATCAGTCGTGGATTGAGTGACCAAATTATTTTTAAAAACATTTTTGAAGGGATTATTACCCCTGGCAAACCAATCCACCAATTGACTAAAAGCTGGGTTCTGAGTTACTGCTAGGTAAACAGAGACATGTGGAGTAAGGAAACATGCTTGATGTTTCACCCTGACTGGGAATCAAACCCAGGTCCTCTCGCTTGTGAGGCGAGTACTCTAATCACTACCCTACAGGACTCCACATAACAAAGGGTGTAACTTGGTTCATACCTGATAGAACTGTAACAAACATTCAGTGGTCAGGTATAGGAACCTCTTTTAGTGCGACTCTGCCTCTGGCATTGATACTGTGTTTCTATAGAACCTCAGTTGCCACACAATCATTTCAACACAGAACATTAATTTTGGACTAAACAGCACCACTGTCAGAGTCCTAGTAGACAGCAGCCTCACTGTGCAGTGCAGATCCAGCCATCATGGACATTGCTTAGAGAATTCACACCCTCGATGCTGTACTAGTTCAAGAGTCTTACAGGTCTAATGGGACCTCAAAGTCCTTGTGCTGGTGTGAAAGAGACTACATGAATCTCTACCACTTGCTACATTATAATTATCCAAACCTCTATGCTTTCATTGGTGTAACATTAAATAAGCTCCACTTTTATACAATTACGCCCATCACTCTTGAAACGTTACACTGTGAAGTAATAGCACTAAGGAAACCTCGCACCTATGTGCTTAAGAAACACTACTAGCACGTTACACACCAAGGTAACGCCACTATAGAAACCTCAGAGCTTACAGGACTCCACACCTATGTAACTGTATGTCTACACGATACAGCTCTAGCTTTGATTGGAACAGCTAGTGGAGAGCACTGGTTACTTCATCATCATTGTCTGGCTCCTACATTAACAAAATCAGAATATGAGTTTTTTTCTGCTCTAAAGTTTAGCGTTGTACATTTTTTGGGAGTATCACAGTTGCTATATGGGTTGCTGAGGGACATCAATAACACAACAATAGTTTACCCACTTTGTACTCTACTAGCATTGCAACTTGGAATAGTAAAATGTTAGCAATCTCCTGAACCTACTCAGACCTCATTTTTGACCCGTTGTTGTACTCCTTCAAACACAATTCTACAAATAAAGTTCACAATCATAGTAAATACAATGAGCCATGTTATTCTGTCTGTCCACTTAGGCTCCTATATTTTAAAATATTCTCAATATCCAGATTTTGGATGCTCAGTGCACTGGGTTTGGATTTAGTACTGAACTATAATAATAATATAATAATAATCCTTGCATTTGATATAGCGCTTTTCACGTCGGGAGGACGTCCCAAAGCGCTTCACAGAACACACTGTAAAGTGAATTGACTGTATATTTGTGGGCGAACGTGGCAGCCAATTGCGCACAGCAATATCCCACAAACAGTCATGGATTGAAAATGACCAATTTATTATTGTTTTTGGTTTTGAAGGGATTATTATTAGGCTCTGTGTGGAGTAAGGAAACTTGCCCAAGGTTTCGCCCTCTGCCTGGAATTGAACTCAGGTCTCTCGCTTGCAAAGCGAGTGCTCTATCCACTGAGCTACAGGACTCCACAAACTAATTAGAACTAATTCTAAGACAAAACATTATTTGAGAGCTTCTCACACTGTCACACTGATGTCAATATTCTTCACCAGAATCAGACCACAATGGCACATAATCCACGTTGCTGCTATTTCAGAGTTTCTCCAAAGTTAGCTGCTTTCTCGGACACTCAAGGCCTCCACAGCATTACTGGGTCCCTGAGACACCCCACCAATCACAAAGAGCATATTGTCACCTTGGAGACTGGCACAGGAACAACGAGGGCAATTCATTGCTGGTAGACTCTCCCATTTCCTCTTAGTTGGATTAAACCCTTCTACAGACCCAAGCGGCGATGGTTGGTTTCCTGCAATTGAGATGAAATATAAAATGGGATGATTGGCTATTGAAAGATTATCCCAAATTTGAGATGGGACAGATCAATTATATCTCTGTTAATTATTGCAGATGAGATGAAATATCTAGCCTGGAAAAAGGAGATAGAATAGATACTTAGAAAGTAAGAGTATTAAGGGATCGAAAAAAGAGCAGAGGAATTGAATTAAAGTAAAAACTGCCATAATCTAATAAACACAGCAGGCACAAATAGTTACTTTAAAAGAATTGTCTGCAGATTTCAAATGGTTTCTATCTGTACAAACCCTCGATTGGCCAGCACCTTGAGATGTCCTCCCGATGTGAAAGGTGCTATAAAAATGCAATCTGTTGTTGTCGTACTAATATACAGAGCATTCCTATGTCTTTCCTTATCCAGCAGCACCTGGTAATGGGCAATTACAGCCTTTGTATACAGGCAGTTAGAACATTTGTAGGATTGGGATCGTGACTAGAGGAGGAAAAATAGTATGTCATCCATATACATGTGGAAGTTGATCCCATGTCTGCTGATTGTATCACCAAAATGCAGCATATAAATGAACAAAAGGAGGAAGCCTAGAAACAGCCTTGCAGTAAAACCATAATCAAAGCACTAGATGGCATGTCCTGTTCCCCAGACAGGCTTGCTGAGCCCTGACTGTCTGTCCACTTTGGCTGACTGGAGTTTACTTCCCCAGAGTCTGTTATGTGTTGAACAAAATCAGTCATCATTTATGGCTGCATAGTTGATAGTAGTATTTTAAACTATATCTATGACAAAGATTTACAAAGAATGTAAAGCATGGAAACAGGACACTCAGCCTAACCAGTACTTTCTGCTGTTTATACTCCACATGAGTTTCCGTCCATTCTTTACTCCTTTCCTATAATCTATTCCCCTCTCCCTTGTGTGAGGATTGAGATTCCTCTTGAACACATTTATACTATCTGATTCAACCATTGCTTCAGGCAGCAAGTTCCACATTCTCACTACCCTCTCCGTGAAGTACTTCCTCCTAAATTCTCTTTTATGTTTTATGAAAGCATTGAAAAATTATATTTTGAGACTCAGACAAAGTAAGAATCAGGGCTATGTCCTGACAAATGGCCTGATGAAAATGTGCAGCTCATATGTAGTGATACCTAAACCTCCAGCAGCAACCACTCGACCTCCAACATAACCCACAGCAAAGTCTGCTCGTTTCTCTCTCATCCGTGTGCAGCGGGACTGCTTGGTCCAAAGCCCTGAAAAAAACAAAATTAATATTTATAAACTTTCAAATGTAGTGATATTTGTAATGCAAGGGTTTTCAAAATTATGAAAATTTTAATAGGGGGAAATGGCAGATAAATGGAATTGGAAGGATTGCTCTTAAAAGAGCAGCACAGACACAATGGTTCTAATAGCCTTCTTCTGTGCTGTAAATTTCTATGGTTCTGTGGTAAATATAGAGAAAGACTATCAACTAATTAATGCGTCATATAAAAAAAAACTGAGGGATATTACTAAAAGAAAAAAGGGAAATTAGAAGCAGTTTTATTGTACAGTCATTAGAATTTGGAATACTTCTCTACAAATGGCTGTTGTAGCCAAATTGGTAACAACTATTTAAAAGAGAATTGGATGATGACATGAGAAAATAAAATTGAAGGGGATAAGAATAATATTAGAGCCAATTGTTTCAATTGATAAATGAGCACCAGTACAGGCACAATGGGGAAAGAGGAGGGGAATGAGATAAGTACAGATAGCTCCAGGTTTTAGGAGATCTTAGTCACTTCAGTTACCATGGTAGCACAATTTCATTATTTTAGGTAACATGATGAATTCACTGTGGGCTGGAGCATTTATGACAAAACAGACTAAAAGTCTTCCCAGCTCCACCATGCACAGCATCCATCTGATCCTAAACTCTGCCGCCCACATACAACAACAAGATTCCATTTATAAAGCGCCTTTCACATCAGGAGGACGTCCCAAGGCGCTGCATACACACCCACTCTAAATTCCATACCCCCATTATACCAGTTCTAGCCAAACTCCATTGGCTCCCTATCACCAAATTGATCGATTTCAAGATCCTCACACTCATTTTCAAATCCCTTCATGCCCTGGCACTTCCCTACCTCTACGACCCGCTTACTCCCCAACCCTCAATCCGCTGCCTCCGCACGACTGGCTCCAGCCTTCTCCATGTCCCTTGTGTCCTCTGTTCCGCCATTGGTGGCTGCTCTTTCAGTCACTACACAACAAAACTCTGGAACACTCTTCTCCTCTCCCTCTGCCTTGTCCCTTCCTTCCTTAAATGCAAGTTATTGTTAAATGATAGTTGTTGTTTGAGATTTCGCAATTATTCACTAATATCTTTACTTTGTGGAACATCAAATAGCTTCCTTTCAAATATCTATTTGCAATAATAGCTGGTCTATACCTATTTCCGAGGTGAATGCAGGATACTGGAACTCACTGAAATCAGATAATCTAACACATTGACTGGATTCCATAAGATGGCTGAAGGCTATCTCTCCATTGAAGTGTAAACATCAGTACAATTCATAGAACTGTGCAAGAATGACCTTAACAGGGGTAATATATGTCATATTTAATCAACCCAAGAAAGTCTGTGCGTAGGAGGGCCAGCCTGAAACGCAACATTGAACAATGTACTCTGTGTCTCCACTTTTCTACCAGGGTAGCATGAGATACTACAACAACAACAACAAAATTACATTTGTAAAGCGTCTTTTTTGTCAGGAGGATGTCCCAAGGCGCTGGACAGTCAGAGTTTCGGACCCGAGCTGGGGGTCGGGATCGGAGAGGATGGAGGGCAGTGGAGGAAGCAGGGTGATCAAACGCACGGTCGAAAAGGAGGGTCTCGAGACGGGTCTTGAAGGTGGCAAGGGAGGGGGCGAGGCGGAGGGGGTGCCGGGTGGAGTTCCAGAGGGTGGGGGCAGAGTGGCAGAAGGCCCGCCCGCCAATAGTGGAGAGAGCAAGGCAAGGGACGTGAAGCAAGCCGGAGCCTGCTGAGTAGAAGGAGCGAGCAGGATGGTAGGGTGTTAGGAGGTCACAGAGGTCGGGGGCAGGAAGACCATGGAGGGCTTTGAAGGTGAGGATCATGAGCTTGAACTGTATCCTCTGTGTGAAGGGAAGCCAGTGGAGTCAGGCGAGGATGGGAGTGATAGGGTCGCGGAGCCTGGTGCGGGAGAGGACACGGGCTGCAGAGTTCTGGATGATCTGCAGCCTATGGAGGGAGGAGTTGGGGAGGCCGACAAGCAATGCGGTTACATAGTCAGGCCTCGATGTAATGAAAGCATGTATGAGGTCTTGGTGGCCTCCGGTGTGCAACCATGGATGGTGATGCTGTCAGCGCCTGAGGTGAGGAGGCGCTGTCAGGAGCCAATCAGGAGAGCCTCGGTCTTGTTGACATTCAACTGAAGGAAGTTTGCTCTCATCCAGGACTTGATGTTTGACAGACATTCTGTCAGAACAGCAGTGGTCCTGGAGTCAAGGGTGGAGGCAGCTGGGTGTCATCCGCATACATGTGGAAGTTGGCCCCACATCTGCAGATGATGTCACCAAGAGGGACTCTGGATATCAAAGAAAGCATTGCAAGAGTTGTGGCCATACATAGCCAGAGTGCAGTGGTGAGTTTACTAATTTTGCCTCTACTTGATGACCAAGGCTCTGCAGTGTTTGTGTCCTGAGAGGAGCCTTCAGGTGTGGCCCCCTATTGACAGCCCCACACTTTGCAACTCACATAGCAAATGCATTTCTTGACCTGTACTCCCTTGTCTCTGTACTCCCTCTACCAAGTGCTCTGAGGGTTGCTATATAAGTGCAAGTTGTTGTTGTCTCCTTTCGTGATCCCCATGTTTTTGGTGCTGGAGCTCCTGTGTCTCCTGTGTCTCCTGGGTTGAAACTGGACCTGCACATTTCCCAATTCTAAGAACAGAATGAAAGGTCTCAAGTGCTCCTGAGTATTACAGATTTCTAACAATAATCCTTGCATTTCATATAGCGCCTCACAGTCAATAATTATCACAGTGCTCTGTACCTCACTCCAACCTTGTGCTTCACAATAGACATCTTATTCCCAGTCTCAGCTCATTGCTGTCGCTAGTGCCAAGCAGAAGTCAAGTGGTTTCCCACAGCAGGGAACTGTTCTTATTGTGTCTTGGCCAGCCAGGTCAATGTGGCATTGGCAGAGGTTTGGGAATAATAACACATTGATATAGTGCCTTTCAAGTCAGGAGGATGTCCCAATGCGCTGGAATAAGTTGCCTCAATAAGTAATGCAACCTGCTCCACTCAGTTGCAGTTAAGTGTATCGACCAGATATGAAAAGGGAAATTAGAGGTCATTCCGCCTTGAATGAAACAATAATAATAATCCTTGCATTTGATATAGCGCCTTCTCACTTCTTCGAGACACCCTAAAGCGCGTCACAGAATATACTGTAAAATGAATTGACTTTACAAGGCTAGAAAAAGAGATTAAACATTTAACTTGCCTTGATCTGTGTCAAACACTTCCACTGTATTGACAAAGTGTGGCCGGGAGTAGAAGTTGTGGGGGCCTGGCTGCTGAAGCCCTCCCAAGCTGTAAAAGCATTTCTCCGTCATGGTACAATTTGCAAATGCCCGCCGGCTAGGAATGCTGGGGTATCGGGTCCAGCTTCGTGTTTCCAGATCCAAGGACTCAAAAGCTGTCACAGGAAGTTTACTCTGCCTTCCTCCTAACAACAAATAGAGGTTTAGGTCACTTTCCTTGCTCTGTATACTTTTTCTGGACACAAGTTTATTTCTTGGAGACCTCCTGTTATTGAATGATCTAAAACTATTCCCCAAATCTTGAGTGAAGTAAAGCACACTTTGCCAGCTTTATGTTCTTTTAACAATTTCTGAATGTATTGTTTGAATGAACTGTGAATATATGTTACGGTGAGATTAAACTGTTATTAAATTCAGGACAATCATATTTTGTTTTACTTCAAAGTGGACAAACGAACAGGGCTCACCAAACTCATCTACAAATCCCTTCATGCTCTGGCACCTCCCTACTTCTCACACCATGCCAAATGTCACCTACCCCTGCTCGAAGTCAGGCTCTGTCACTGTTAAGAGCTCCGAGACTCTATCCTGCGTGAAGGGCGCGATATAAATGCAAGTTGAGTTGTTGCTGTATTGTTAGTCAGAACTGCCTGAGGTTACACATATGTTGGTATTAGCTGATGAAAGATAGTTTCATTTTAAGATAAACATGGGATATGACTATCATTCATCATTGTTTCTGTGGCTAGCATTGCATTACCATGCATATATAGCACACAATACTTACATGACTTCAGTGTTAGATCTAGAGAGGTGATAATAGTATTGGATACAATAATTAATGCAAACTATGCAAACTCCCTGCTTGTCAGCCTCCCCAACTCTTCCCTGCATAGGTTGCAAATCATCTAGAACTCTGCAGCCCGTGTCCTCTCCCTCACCAGGCTCTGTGACCCTATCACCCCTATCCTCTCCAGACTCCACTGGATTCCAATCACATAGAGAATACAGTTCAAGATCCTGGTCCTTACCTTCAAAGCTCTCCATGGGCTCACTCCCTCCTACGTCTGCGACCTCCTAACCTGCTCCCTCCGCTCAGCGGGCTCCAGCCTGCTTCACATCTCCCGCCTCGCCCACCCCACTGTTGGTGGGAGAGCCTTCTGCCACTCTGCCCCTGCCCTCTGGAACTCCATCCTGCAGTCCCTCCACCTCGTCCCCTCCCTTGCCTCCTTCAAGACCCATTTCAAGACCCTCCTCTTTGACTGCCGTTTTGGTGACCCTCCTTCCCCCCCTGCCCTCCACCCTCCCCGATCCCAACCCCCAGCTCGGGTCCGAACCACTGACTGTCCAGTGCCTTGGGATGTCCTCTCAACATGAAAGGTGCTATACACATGTAATTTTGTTGTTGCTGTTGTTGATGGTATGCTGGCACATTTAATTAATATAATTTTGCAAGCACTCTGGACACTAATGTTGATATTATCGTTACGCTCAGTATTGATTTCCTGAATGTTAGATGTGAAAATCTGAATGAACTCTGGATCTAAAAATGGCTCGCACTGAAACAGACAGCTGTTCAGCAGCAAGAGTTGTTTTACACTCTACACCATGAGAGCAAGGGCTGGGCATTTACCTAGGACATAGATCTTATTGCCCCGCAGGAAAGCAGATGCTGCATATTGTGGAGTAGGCATCGGTGGCAGAGATTGCCATTGATCTCTGGCTGGATCATAAAGACGGACCAGTGCCTGTGGAGCTGCATCTGAGCCCATCCCTCCAAGGGCGAACACTTTGTCATCTGAAACAAAGCATAAGTATAATCTTAGAGTTGATCAAGACAATCTGGGAATGACATTATTATAGTTGCATCAAATACTGTACTGGATCCAGGAGCCGAGCACCTCATCCCTGGCTCTTCATCCCCCAAACCCTCAACTGTCCAGCTTCCTGTGACGTCCTCCTGATGTAAAGGTCCTATATTAATGTAATTTGTTGTACCAGTATAGTTAAGATGATTAACAGGTAACAAATCTACATTTTAACTAGTACCACTAACATTAACTAATACCTACAACACCAACTGCATCACTCACATCCATGGTCATTCCCTCGACCTGGTGATTATCTGGGGACGCACCATCTCGGACATCACCATCACCAATAAAGCCATTATTTCGTCTCCCTTAACTCTTTCATCCCATTCCCTGCTACTCAACCCACTTCTATCTCCTACCGCCCCTGTAAAATAAATTGCTGCTCCCTCCCTCCGTCTTTTCCGCCCTCGAGTCATCCAAACTACTGCCGTAACGACCTCACCTCCTCAGTCACTCTCCTTCACTACTCCCTCTCTGCTACCCTAGACACACTTGCCCCATCCCTCCTGCACCGCCTTCTACTCCACAAATCCCCTTGGCACACCAGTCACCTCCACTCACTGACGTCACAAGTGAATGCCACTGAACGCACCTGCCACAAATCCAATCTTACGGTCCATCATCAGATCTGGCTGGACCACATCAAATTCTACTGCTCCTATCTATCAATCTACCATTGCCTCAGCTAAATCGTCCTTCTACTCTAAAATTATCTGAGAGGCCAAGGAGAAGTCACAGCGACTCCATGGGGCCCCAGAGGACCTTTTCCTCGCTCAAAACTCTGGATAACTAGTCACTGAACCCTTTTAATAATAATCCTTGCATTTGATATCACAACTTATCACATCTTCGAGACGTTTCAAAGAGCTTCACAGAATATACTGTAAAGTGAACAGACTGTATATTTTGTGGGCGAAACATGGCAGTCAATTTTCCCTTGGAGTGATGAGTTATCAGGAGTTTAATGTGTATTACTATTGTAGAGTGTTCAAACAAATCATTCGTATGTGAAAGGTGCCATATAAATGCAAATAGTTGTTGTTCGTGCTCAATGACAGTGCAAAAAATGGGGGGAAAAAAATTATTCAATGATCCAATTCGGCTATTTCTCAGGATCTGTATTGACTATTTATTATTAGATGTTTAATAATCTGGAATTCATATGAATTGGTCAAAAGATGTTCAGTCTAATGAACAAATGGCATGTGTGTAGATGCTCATGTAGAAGGCCAGGTTTAATGTTCTGCTTTGTTGCTGAACTTCAAAGATCCAACTGCAGGATTCCTAAGGGTTAAAGGATATAATATCTCATTTACTTAAACGAGAGACTTGTGTCGTCTGGTTGTCAGGGTGTCTCCAAGGAAACAGGTAGTTGGGAAAGAAGAGCAATACAATAATTAGAGCTGATTTGTACTCTCCTCTGGGGGTAGCTTGACCTTTGTGTATGCGTGGGAGGAATTGTGTCCTTCATCACAGGAAGCAAACTTTTTCTAAAAAAGCCTGGAAAAATCAGGGCTGAGAGCATTCATCTATTTTCTTTGCAGCAGAATATTATCTACAGACAATGACATAGGAAAGAATGTGAACACTGGAGAATTCCTTGCATCAAAGCATCAATTCAGTATTTCTGTAGGTCAAAGACGATGTGAAATCCACCATTTTCTAAGTGCATTCGGTCAACAAAAAGGATTAAAAATCTTTAGATTGATAGATGGATACAATCTGTGGAAAATTGGGATGGGTTTACTCCCTGAAATTGTTACTGAGCTTATTCCTGTTCAGATGATCCATTGGGGAATAATCAGTGGAACTTAGTGAGGAGTTGTTCTGAAGCTTATGGGTGGTTAAGCTGGGGAACCAACGAATGGGCATTGGAAAATCTCTTTCTTCGAGTGAGCCTTTCATCCAGCACCCTCCCACACTGATTTTGCATTCACTCCGACTCTGTAAAGTGCTTTGAGACAAGAATGTGAAAAGCACTATAAATGTGTGAGTTGTTGTAGCATCATAAATTAATGCCCTTACTGCCAGTCCTTCTGATTCTCAATTGATTGGAGCTGGAACAATGCCTGATTATATTGAGGGTACCTTAGAGAGTTGTTTTTGAAAAATCTGTCAAGTCTCAGTTAGGCTTTCGGGAAGAATAATTAGAAAAGATGCAAATCAGAGAGCTCTGCCTTCCTTCTAAGCACCAGAGCTCCGTACCTGTTGCTTGCCGTTCGCAAACGCAACTGAAGTCCTTTTTCCTTTCTTTGAGATTTAGACTGTGTTTACATCTATTTACAGCTGTAGTATGTAAGTGATCCAAATTACTCAAACACACAACAGCCAAATAATAATAATAATCCTTGCATTTGATATAGCGCTTTTCACTTCGGGAGAACGTCCCAAAGCGCTTCACAGAACACACTGTAAAGTGAATTGACTGTATATTTGTGGGCGAACGCGGCAGCCAATTGCGCACAGCAATGTCCCACAAACAGTCGTAGATTGAAAATGACCAATTTATTATTGTTTGGGTTTTTGGAGGGATTATTATTAGGCTCTGTGTGGAGTAAGGAAACTTGCCCAAGGTTTCGCCCTCTGCCTGGAATTGAACTCAGGTCTCTCACTTGCAAAGCGAGTGCTCTAACTACTTAGCTACAGGACTCCTAGAAGGTTTATTGCACACATTTTAAGTTTACAATAAATTTGAGCAGCATGTGACATGGCAAACATTGCTGCACATTACACTCTGCATTTAATTGTAAAGGAACTGAGACATCTTCTAAGAGCTGCATATTCCTTTCCTTTCAGAAAACCCACCCTACTGTCCTTCTCATCACAGCATCAAGCTTTCTTTTAACAAGCCCAAGTATCCTGTCCTCAACCACCCTTAGGCGCTGTACAAATGTAATTTTGTTGTTGTTGCTGGCAACCTGTTCCAGTCATTAATTACTTTCTGGATAACTGATTAACACCCAGGTTCCTACTTACTGCTAGGTAAACAGGGGCGTGTGGAGTAAGGTTTCGCCCTGCCCGGGAATCAAACCCGGGTCCTCTCGCTTGCGAGGTGAGTGCTCGAACCAATACACTACAGGATACATGTATACGCATTTGCACATATATGTCAGTTAAACAAGCACATAAAGTTACAACACTTGGAATATCATCAAATATTTACATTTAGGGTGTCAGCCTGGCTCAGTTGGTCGAACCTTCTGAGTCAGTCAGAAAGTTTTGGATTCAAGCCCCACATTGCGTCTTGGGACATCCTCCTGACGTGAACAGCGCTTTACAAATGTAATTTTATATTGTATTGTATTTGAACTCACAGTTTACGTGATACTCCAAACAGTGCTGGGGTTTGCTGCATTGTTAGAGATGCTGTCCTTTGAATGTGATACTAAAGATTAAACATCTTAAAGAGTTTCACAGGTGTGAAGTGAGAGACTTGTATTTGTAGGCAAATAGGGCAATCTTTTTGTACACAGCAAAATTCCACAGTTGTGAAGTGAATGACCAATTCATCTGGGGAATTGTTAGGCAGGACATTTGAAGAAACTCTATTCTCTTTTCCAACAGTGTCATGAGCTCTCTAAAATTCACCTGAACAAGCAGATGGGATCTCAGCTTAACATTTTATCCAGGAGTCAACAAACCCAGCAATGCCGTGCTCCTCAGCACTGCACTGGAATGTCGGCCTAGAATGAAAGTCTCAACATGGGGCTTGAACTATGTCCACCTTCTGACATAGTGCTGAGATTGCTTCCAAGGAGTGCTGAGCCAGTTAGCGATCAAACTTCTATATATTTTTTAACACTTTCTGGGATACATTTTAATTTTATTAAAACTTCAAATTTTAAGTCTAAGGAAAATTAAATATTAATTTGTTACTTAAAAGTAATCTATTTAAACTCTCATATTTAATACCCAGTTTATGTTAGCCTAAATTTTACAATTTGGAGTATTTTCAAATTTAGTGCAATAATAATTATAGTCCTATCTTTAAAACAATTAATCAGTCAGTCAGTGAGTCACTCAATTAGAAAAAGTCAGAGAATCAGTTGGGAGGCTGATGTTAGTTATAGAAATGCTTTACAGCAATTTCATCAAGGCATTTCCCAATCATTTGTACAATCTGGTCAATGGCCAGACAAGTCTTTGGCAATTCTTTGCTGCCAAAGCAGATTATTTTCTGATTCCTGAGCTGTCTTACATTTCCAACGCTTTTACCAAAGCTCTTCAGGGAAACTGTGTGGCAGGAAAACAGCAGTTTTGTTTTCTGACTTCCAAGAATTGGCATGACTGCTCCCACAAGGTAGAATTAAAGGATTAAAAAGAATTTTAAGAAAAGGAATCTCAGTCCAGTGAAAAGCAAGATAAGCCCAGTGTCCTATTTCTTTAAAAGAAATTGCCATTCAGAAACCGTAATAACATTACATTGGTATTGAAGCCTATATCTGTGTAAAGACAATCCACAATTATGTGGAAGAAATTATATTTCTTGCTATCCAGCAGCCTCAATGGTTATCCATACATATCTGATGCCAAACCCAATCCAATTGTAAGGTTCAATGAAGGTTGAAACCTTCTGTTGTAAATGATCAGAATTGCCCGACGCTGAAGGCACATTCAATGAAAGTTAAATAGAGTGGTAACAATTTCAGGCAATTCCCCTCAAGATTCCTTCAATGTATGTATCTACGTCTAGTATAATAACTATGAATTCTGGCCAGCTCACTTTTGAAACCGCTTGTCGTTTCAACCTCAAGAATGATTAATAAACATGAGGTGACTTACCTTTCTTTACAGCTGTGATTCCCATTGAAGGTTGTCCTAAAGGTGCCTTCTTCTCCCACTTTCCTTCATCCATGTTAAACACCTCGAGTGACCCCAGCGGGCTCTGCTCTTCATTCATTCCTCCAATAATGAGGAGTTGTTTGCTCAGAACCACTGCTGCTGCCCCGGCACGAGGAGTGGGCATTGGTGGGAGCCCGGTCCATTTCTGACTAACGACATCCAACATTTCAACTTTGTCCAGGGGCAATCCTGTCTCGCTACAGCCCCCCAGAACAAAGACTTGCCCATCTTGGTAAAGTGCAGTGCAGTATACACGCCGAGTAGACATTGAAGGGAATACTTCCCAATGCATCGTCTTTACAGCAGGCACTGCCATCCCTTAAATAACTTAACTAGTAGATGCCAGTCTCACTGAGTCTCCACAGAACATGAAGTTCCATTATTCAGATATTATTCCAGAGTATTGAAACAGCATTCGCCAAACTTGACATATGACCAATAACTCATTGGAAAGATAACTGGAAACACTGGGATTTCACTGAATCCAATCTTAACATTGATTTAAATGCAGGTTCTGGGAGGACTGTTGGTCTTCTATGTGTACGAGTCCAAGGACAAGATGCGCCAGTGGATGTCTGAGGGAGCAGGAGGAGCACAAAATCTCAATTCTGTGTTTCAACTCAAATTCTTCTCAGGCAGGTTCACCTTCGACCTTCATAACATAAGAAATAGAATAGATATCACAACTGGAATTCCTACTCTCAGACTTTACTCAGATGGATAATAATAACATTTCAATTGGACAAATTATTTGGATATCTGTGCTAAAATACCTCAGTACCTAAATACAAATAGGGTAGTACCTGAAAACATAAATCCAGAGCAAAAAATGTTAGCGATATTTTTTCTCATTTGGGAAGACACAAAAGTCTCTTTTATCCCAAAATGTTACACTTCAGCATTGTGATGATCCACTTCAAATGATTTGTCTCATCTACTTTGCCCTTTCGTCCCTAAATACTATTAAAACTAGATAGAGTAATAAAAATGGATTCCCCTTTCATTACCACAAAGATCTATTTAGTTTATTTTAGGCTTAATCCTAGACTAAAGTTTGTTCAAATAAATATGGGTCTAAACTGACTCAAAGATAAGGTTGCTTATTTTACGTTTCAAAAAAGTATATTTTAAAAGAAACGTTGTTGTGAAACAATGCAGTGGATTATTTTTCTGTAAATGTCTGTACACAGGTAATAAAGTTGGAGAGGAGCACTAAGAAAGTTACGCTATTTATGTAGATTAATATACCTGGCAATAACACCATTACATGTGAACATCCAGTCGGCTCCACAGCTGCAGCTCTGATGTGCCAAACCGGGAGTTGGTCAGGATGTGAAGCTTACTCCTGGTTCCCAGCAAACCTGCTCGTGTCGGGCAAGTGTTCGCATTTCCATTTGAAAACTAATTGGCTTTCTCGCAGCCTCGGCTTTGGAGACTTTGGAGAAACGCTCCTTCTCTGTGTTGCCTTTGATGGTTTGCACTTGTGGCCGTCACTGCCCTCTCCCCCCGGGATCCCCTCCCGGTACCGCCGCTGTGGCTGATCTGATCTGATGGCTTTCTCGGGTGTGGTTTTATCGGATTGCTCTCAGATTGGGTAAAGCGCTTCTTGTTCGCTGCCGCTTTGTGCGGGGATTTCCTCCCGTTACATTTCTCCTCCTCTCGGCACCTCACTCTCTCTTACATTTCCAATGACCTCGTCCTCCAGTTGGACATTCTTTCCGTTCATTTGTTTGGTTGTTTTTCTATGGATTTACTGCTGTTTCCATGTGCACTTCGCTTTCTGTCGCGTATTGATGTTGTTCAGCTTCCCCGGGAGCCAACCGACAATCACGTCACCCATTTTAACCCTTACAGCCTCTCATCCTTCCTGATTTCCCATTTATATTCAACCACTTGACGTCACCGCATTAAAAGCCATAATATTTTCAGATATCTGGATTTTAGCACTATACATTCAGGATGTAAGTGAAGTATCCGACTCCTAAGCAGAAAACAGCACAAATTGAACCTTTGAACCGTCATTATGTGTTCACCCATTTAAAGGGATGGTGCACTTTATAACATTAGTGCCAGAAACCTGTGCCACACAAGTGGCATTAAGGTCAGGACAGGAGGAACATGTCATTCACATTGTCCATCCGAAAACAACTGATCACCAGGCGCCTTTCACCGCTAATTGGCTCCACTGGCTCCCCCTCCTATCGGATTGACTTCAAGATGTATTTAAATCCCTTCATGGTCTCACATCTCCCTATTTCTGCACCCTCCTGCACCCCCAGCCACTCACTCAGTTAACACTGAACCCCTACCATGCCACTCCACCATTAGTGGCTGACCTTTGGGCCACTCTGCTCTGAACGACTCCATCCCATAGTCTCTCTTCCTAAATCCATCCCCATCTTTAAAACTCACTTGAAGACCTTTCTTTTCAACCGGGCTTTTGGTCACTTTTCCCTCCCTCCTTTCTCAGCTCCCCCAGTCCCCTGCTCAGGCTCCCTGCTGGCTCTGTGAAGTGCTTTGAGAGGTCCCACTGACATAAAAGGTGGCGTATAAATGTAAAAAACTATTATTGTGTTGATCAAAATACAACATCCATTTAGATAATAAACCAATGTTTCCTAATTGTCAACTTACAAGCTGAGAACAAGATCCTTCTCGTAGCGACATCACCTGAATAGCGATAACCATCAATATAGACCAATATTGATCATTTTTCCTGCTATTCACAATCTTATTTTTGGCTGCATTACGATAACAAGGGTAAAATATGGATTAGGAACTAAAAAAAATAAGAAAACAGGATAATCATTATGAAGTATGTAGAAATAGTGGGAGGGACTGAGTTCACACCCCCTCCTAATTCCAATATGAATGACACAACTTTGCACTCAGCGAAATTCACAAATGATAAAGGATGTAGTTAAGATTTTACAAAGAGCAAAATATGCAACTGTAGAAATCACTGGCAAGCATGGTCCAAACCACAAAAGTGAGGATCATGTGTACAATAACTTGCATTTATATCAGGCCTTTCATGTAGGATAGCTTCTCAAAGTGCTGTCCAGTGGTGAGGTTGGACACTGAGTAAGGGAGAAGGGAGAGGTAACCATTAGGTGCGGCAAAGTGATAGCTTTTCAGGTGAGATAAAGGGTTGATGCAGGTTCCACAGATTCAAGGCACGGCACAAAGCATGGCCACTGATTGTGATGTGAAGGGTTGGGGAACACGCAGCAGTTCCACAGTAGCTGAGTGAAGGGGACAGGCAGAGGAGGTGGGTGTTAGAAAAGGTTGATTTTAATATAGTTTGTAAGAAGAGCAATAGAAGAATTAATAGTGAATATATATATATTTATATATTATATACTTGTATATGCATGGCAGTAGGAAACAGGGAAGAAAGAAACTGGTTTACTAACATTTTAGGAATTGGCAGAATAAGCCATCCTGGTACTGAAAGGCCAACGGTCAGTCAGTTGTGATGGTGAGAGATGGCATAGAACAGGCTTCAGGAAGGGCCCAAGAAATCTGCATTCCATGAGGGCACCTAAGTAAAGCTGCTGAGTACTCTGTGAACACATGCCGATCGCGTTAAATGTTTCTACCAGACAGAGACAGGCTTCGGCCTTGGAAGGGAGAAGCAAGATGTCATGTGTTGAAGAATAATGAGCAAACTTCTTTGTCTCGAAAGGGTCTGCTTATCTAGAAGATATGGGTACAAGGATGTGCAAGGGTCAAATATATTGGGTACGCGCTAAGATGCTTGACTGGAGAAGGGGGGAAGATCCCTAGGTGGAAAAAGTATAACTACCCTGACTTTACACAAGTTAGACAGCAGATCCAGTCAGACAAAGAGGGCAGCCGAACCATCGGAGAGAAGGTGTGCTGAAACCATCGCAACTGACTGACTGACTGCTCCAAAACTGGTAGTATAAGTTCTGTTACTTGTAGTGGCAGTATTATTTTACTAGTTTTGTATGTGTTACTTTGATTAATAAATCTCTATTACACCTTAATTGGATTGTCGGGTCATTATTTGAACCTCAGGATCGGAAATCCCAACACGGGTATGAGCAGGTCAGAAAGGTAGGGAGATGCAAGGGTGTGAAGGGATTTCAGTGCAAGGGTAAAGATCTTGAAATTGATCCATTTGCTAGTGGAGCCTAACAAGATGTGAAGGTTGTGGAATTGGGCAAATGTATTGCCAATTGATCCACCTGATACTTAAGGTTTACTGCTATTTGAAGTATAATAGAAAATGTTCAATTTCCCAACTTCAACAAATATTACACATATTACCCCCAACATTTTAAATACATTTTGAGCTTCCTTTTTAGCTGCCTATCAATACCCAGCAAATTTTCAATATTGATCAACTTTATTTTCAAAATTTTACCTGACCAAAATTTTTTTATTATATTGATTTATAAAATGTTAGTTGATTGGCCCTTCCTTTGCACCATTTACATAGAACAGTCTACTTGAACCCACATACAGAATGGCTCTTCAAATAGCACTTTTCCTTCCATGCTCCTTGTTATTATTTCTATGTATCAATCTTATTCCAAATATCTAAATCCTAGTAGACGTGTGTGAAGGTATTTAAGGAAGTTCAGTTTGTGAAAATCTGTTTACCAGCATTAAGTAGGAACCTGGTTGTTAGTCGATTGGTGGATCATTTTTCCAGGGATAATAATTTCTTAAAAATTATTTTGTCCACAAAATATGGTCGATTCACTTTACAATGACAGCTTGCAATCCAGGCCAGGTAGGCTCTCAGAGCGCTTAAACAGTGGTGGAGCCTGACTCCGAGCCAGTGAGTGGGGGGGGGGCAGTGGCCGTAAGCACGGTTGACTTTACAGCACATTCTCACATTCTGTGAAGCGCTTTGAGACGTCTCGAAGGTGTGATAAGGCACTGTATCATATAAGAATTAGTATTATTTGATATTGCGCCTTATTACGTTGTTGTGACGGCTCCAAGCACTTCACAGAATATACTGTAAAGTTAATTGACTCTATTTTTGGAGTAAAAGATGGTGATATCTGCCTTATTACCATCAATTCACTTTAAGGGATATATTCTGTGAAACGCTTCTTTGAGATGCCTCAAATATGTGATAAAGTGCTGTATCAAATGCAAGGATTATTATTATTATATACTGAGAATTGCACGGGGAAAACAGACAAGTTTTTCTCCTATTAAAAGGACCAACGGGTAGAAATGATAAAATAAAATATGGATCTGCAAAAAATACAAAATATGATGAAATTGAAATTGTCCAAGTCAGGAATACAGTGTGGTCCCTGTATCTGATTGCTGTGCAATTCTGCAACCAATGAATAGATTTCACTTGAAAAATATAAATGGTGTTTGGTTAGTATTAACAAAAGCACTAGACATGCATTCAGTTTACAATGTGAAGTGCTTTATTCAGGAAGCAAATGGATTCAAGGATTCTTCACAACATTTGTTGTATAAACATATAAGACAGTTTGTTAAAGATGTACACTAAGCACTTTCCTCTGTTAAAGGCAACAATTCCATAGTACTCTTAACAGACATACATTTATATAAATATATTTGTAAACCCTTTAGGGAATAAAACTTATTAAATTTGATCTTATATGATTTGAATAGAATTTTTACACCTTGATAAGCATGCCAATATAAAGTACAGTGAAATTGTTTCCACAGCAAACCTTTCAGAGAAATTGGTTGTAGCAAAGTCGAAGTTACACTACAGTTTCACTAATATCTGTCAGCCCCTACATCTAGTTAACTCTTCTACTATTTGTTCTAAGATAAACAGTCCTATATCAGCTAGTTGTCGATTTGTCTGAGGTTGTTACGGCATCTTGAGCAGCACATTGCGCTGTGTATTTGATAAAATTCTCCTCACAATGCTGCACGCACTTGATGAAGTAATTCCGATCACATATGGCCTTCACAAGGTTTGTCTGAACCAGACAAATGTTATACAGCTCTGCAGTGGGAGCAATTCTGATTCCATCCTTGACAAATACCTGTTTTAAACGCAAAGTGACATTGTTGGTTTCAATCTAAATAATAACTGCAGGTGGTTGTAATATAAATTGAATAGATCACAAACATTTCACCAAGAATGGAGAGTTGCAGCTCTCCATTCAATCTAAATTCAAATTCAATCTAAAACACATTGGGTGATATAAAAATACAATTAATTATTAATATGATGTAACAAAGTACCACTATAAGAAAAAATATGGACCACTGACAAACCTAGAATGTAGACCATGAGTTAACACTAAATGTGCTGATGAGGCTGATTTGTTTAATGGGATAATGGGATTAATGAGACTGATTTGTACGTTACAACCTTTTATTGTTTTGATAAATGGGACTGTTATTAAAATTAATATATTTCATATCAATGTGGCATGACCACGATACCTGTGGATTGACAATGCTGTCAGAATCATTCAGACGGATATTATCATCTATGAAGATATGATGTACACCAGTGTGGGAAGGATCAATCCACAATGGCTTACCGCCTCTGTTTGAATAATTATTGCGAGCCCACCTTGAAAAAAACACAGAATGTGCAAACTGTAAATTTAGTGTTCAGCTTGGACTGAGAAATCACAACCGCATGGACGCTTTGAATCACAGTTAGGCAATTTGGTAAGAAATTATTAAGCTATTAGTTATTTATTATTAGGTATTTGTGGAGTCCTGTAGCACAGTGGTTAGAGCACTCGCTTTGCAAGCGAGAAACCTGAGTTCAATTCCAGGCAGAGAGCGAAACCTCGGGCAAGTTTCCTTACTCCACACAGAGCCTAATAATATTCCCTCCAAAACCCAAAACAATAATAAATTGGTCATTTTCAATCTACGACTGGTTGTGGGACATTGCTGTGCGCCATTGGCTGCCGCGTTCGCCCACAAATATACAGTCAATTCACTTTACAGTGTGTTCTGTGAAGCGCTTTGGGACGTCCTCCCGACGTGAAAAGCGCTATATCAAATGCAAGGATTATTCTTATTCTTATTATTTAAGGCATGTCACTAATAACTTAGTCCAGCCACCCAGTTGTTAACTATTTCTCATAATCACTAATAATAGTTGGGACTCCTCCCAACGTGAGAAGCGCTATACAAATGTAATTTTTTGTAGTTGTTTCATTTCATTATTATTAAACTGTGCGATTGTCAAAGTAAATATAATTATCTGTATTCAATGGGGTAATCTAATGCTAAACGTAGGAACAAGAGGTTCTTTAATTCCTCCCGTCAGTTTATTAGGTCATTGCAGATCTTTTAGTACCATTTCGTCATACCTGTTAGTACCCCTAATTTCCAGTATCTATCTCTAAACATAACAAAAGCAGGTAAATTTAGGACTATTGTTTTGCCCAAAATTAGATGTAAACTTTCTCTTTAGAATTCCAGAAGTGCATGTTAAAGTTAACTATTGCCATAATACAATATTAAAATGCAATTAGCATCCAATAAGTACCAGAGGTGAGGTAGTATTTGGCTGAGTCCACTTTTACTAACTCTATAGCATATTGCCAAGATGCAAATTGGCATGTGAGAAATTGCGTATCCGAGTTGTCACAGAACACTTATGTTCATTATAAATCACCAGTTCCTTATTAGCGCTATTCTACTTGTGCTTTAATAGATTTACCCATTACTCTGACTGAATGCAAAAATATTTTGCACATTGCACTGAAAATTGAAATAAAAATACTCCATAACTCACCAGTCAAAATGATCCTGAAAACCTACAATTCCCTTCAACGAGGAAAAGTAATTATAGAGGCCTCTGCTCTCTGATTTTAAAGAAATTTGATCAGATCCTACAGTCAGAACCACATTATCTGGACTGCAGCGGATCCGTCCCTCGACCATGCTGATTGGAAGCTAGAGAAAAAAATAGTGAAAACTTTATTTATTAGTTGGCTTAACCCGATAAAAATGCAACAAAGCTGGCTAGTGGGAAAATACACCACCTGATGCATTTACCTATTCAGGTTAGAAGGTTGTAAATTTGATTCTACAGTAAGTAATAATAATCCTTATATTTGATATAGCGCCTCTCATGTAAGGACAGCTCAAAGCACTTCCCGGGATTTACTATGAAGTGTAGTGACTGCGTATTTTATAGGCAAACATGGCAAACAACCTGTGCACAGCACCAATATTTAGGTGCAACGAGTAGAATGGCATTCTACTATGCTCTAATGTCTAAGATTTATTTACTTCTAACTTCACTTACTTGCTTCATTTGCAGATGTTTATATTCAGGGTGATTGCCTGACAGGGCAAACTGAATTGTTTCCAAAGTTCTGCACAGATCTGTCCCAAACGTTCGAAATATTATTGCAAATTCTCTATTCTGTGATAACAAGTCATCAATGAACTCGAAAAAAGCTGGTAGGATCCAGTGATAGTGTTTCCCATCCTCTCCAGTAGTAGACAGTAGCTCATCATATGGATTTTGCCATTCCAGTTTCTGCAGACAGTCACTGTGAATCTTTTTAAAGGGTTGTCCATCAGCCGTCTCTGTGAAGTCCAGCACCCTCCCAAACTGTGAATAATAGCTCACAGCACCATCGCAAGGAGGGTTTAGAGAGAGTACACTACTTAGCCATTCCCACCTGCCTGAAATAAAAGTTAAATCAGAGTTAGTTGAACTTTGTTGTCAATGCTGCCTCCAGTTCAATTCAGTCAGGGAGTAATGTTAGGAAAGCGACTCTGATAGAGGTGTTTGAAATCATGTGGAAAATAGGGAAAAATGAAATCCACTGATCAATAAATCAGTAACAAGACATAAATTTAAGATCATTATTAAATTTAAATATTATTATTATTGTCATGACCAAAAGGCAAAGGGAGAGTATGTTTTTTTGATAAACAATTCTTTACATACAATTATTAAAATAAAATTACTCACTCAATGGCTTTTTGTGGGACATTTCTGTGCGCAAATTAGCTGCCATGTTTGTCCACAAAATATACGGTCACTCCACTTTACAGTGTATCCTGTGAAGTGCTTTGAGACACCCAGACAAGGTGATAAGGTGCTATATCAAATGCAAAAATTATTATGTTTATTATGAGGACATGGAATGCCTCACCGTAATAGCTTTTTAAAGGAAATTAGAAAATGTTTGAAATAAGGTATTAAAAGTGTTTTGGGGTAGAAGAGCAGGGGAATAGGACTAAACAGGAGTTCTTTCAGAGACGGCACCGGCATTACGCCTCCTCTTATGCTGTACAATTTTGATCTTAAGTTCTATACTTAAAAAACTCACATGTTCTCTCTTCCATCAGGGTGCCTCTAAAACAAATGTTAAGACTCACTCGTCTGTAACTTCCTGGGTGATCATTTTGCCCGCTTTTGTAAATTGGCACCACTCCCATTTCCATTGAATTCAACAACTTGCACTTGTATAGAGGCAGGGTAGCATCTCAGAGCGGAGCCCGACTCCAAGCCGGGGTGAGGGAGCGATAAGCACGGTCGCACAGGCAAGTTTTCAGATGGGACTCTGAGAGTATTCCAGAGTTTTGGGGCGTAGTGGCTGAAAGCACGATCTCCAATGGTGAGGCGGTGGGTGTGCGAGGGACGAGCAGGAGGCTGATGCCAGTCAAACGGAGGTTCTGGATGGTGGATTGAGGAGTGAGGAGGTCAAGAGAGATAGGGAGGTGCCGGGAGTGAATGGAATTGAATACAAGAATGAGGATCTTGAAATTGATCCATTCGGTGATGGAGAGCCAGTGGAGCCTGGGCCAGACTTTGGTCCAGGTCAGTATGCGGGCAGCAGAGTTTTGAATGAGCTGATTTTGTGAATGGTGGAGCTTGGGAGACCAGCAAAAAGTGTGTTGGAATAATTCAAGCAGGAGGTGATTCCTCCCATTTGGATTACTCCAACTCCTACATGAATAATTCATGAAATAAGTTTTTTATACTTGAAATTTGAAAGTAACTGTAATGTGTCACGGCCAATATTTCTAATTCAAATTCAACGCATTAATTCCAATTTATTAAGCTACTCATTTAATTGTTTGTGAAATGTTGCTGACACAAATTAGCTGCCATATTTGCCTACATATGATTCATTGCACTTCAAGGTGTGCTCAAGAGTAGCTTTTTTAAGTGAGATGTAAACACAGAGAGGGAGTTCCAGAGGTAAAGGGCAAAGTTGCTGGGGACATGTATCAAGCTCAAATATCTGAGCAAAGCGGGCAAGCAGAAAAGTGGGGTAGAAGATGAAGTGATAGGCATGCAGTTTCCTCCAGGTGAGGATACAGACACCAGAGGTTTGCATCAGCTGGTGAAACTGGGGAAGCAGCAAGGAATGGGTTTGAGACATTTAGACGAGAAGCAACAAAGGTGAGGGTTTCAAAAGCAATTGGTATGAGATACGGGCAGAGGCAGATAGTGGAGAAAGGTGAATGAAAGGTTCAAATGAGAAAGTGCTATAAAGAATGGAAGTATTATTAATCATCGTAAAACAAGTATGTCATGCTCTAAATGAACACAACCCATATTGCAATTGCTCTTTTGTAAGCTTCTCCACAGCTGTACTACAAAGTTTGGTTCCTGTTGACAGGTTCTCCACCACCAAATGAAACGTGTTCAAAGAACGTAGCTGGATTTAAACATTAGTGGAGGATGGCATTTTTTAATCTTTGCTTTCTGCTAGTCTCATTACTTACCACTGAATTCCACTATATTAATTTTATGTGTTCTATCTCTGCAGATTTGTAATGATTGCTGCTTCTGGCACTTACCTATCTGGTTCATCCGACCCCAGGTCACAGTGGATAGAAAGGAATTAAGAGCATTGCTGGGTCCCTGGCCAGTGACTGTGTCACACAGTAGGATTGTGTTATTTAAATCCAGATGCACAATCAGTTTTGTTTTTTTGCAATTTAAAGTTGTGGGAATCTCAGTAACTGTTCGGCTTGAATCAGATTTCATATCTTCCATATCTGGATTTGAAAGGAGTGATGCCATTTGTGGAGTTTAATTCTATTTAATTCTTAATTCTAATCAAAAGATTTTTCAGCCGAGATTCCGAGTTTCACGAGATCCAAACATGTGGATTGTGTCCACGTCCCAATCGCTGTCAACAAAAGAAAAGTCGGTGAAGCTCTGCAAACATCAGAACAATTGTAATTAGTTCAGTTGTTTGTTTACTTTTTAGGATCAACATTTATATATAACGTCCCTCAGCGGAGCGGAGCGAGAGGGGGAGGCCGGGGGCGTGGATCCGGGGCGCGGGCCCGGTGTGGGGGGGGGGGCCCGGTGTGGGGGGGGGGGGGCGGGGGGGGGCCGGTGTGGGGGGCGGGGGGGCCCGGTGTGGGGGCCCGGTGTGGGGGGGGGGCCCGCTGTGGGGGGCGGGGTCCCGGTGTGGGGGGGCCCGGTGTGGGGGGCGGGGCCCGGTGTGGGGGGGCCCGGTGTGGGGGGCGGGGGGGCCCGGTGTGGGGGGGCCCGGTGTGGGGGGGGGGGCCCGGTGTGGGGGGGCCCGGTGTGGGGGCGGGGGGGCCCGGTGTGGGGGGCGGGGGGGCCCGGTGTGGGGGGGCCCGGTGTGGGGGGCGGGGTCCCGGTGTGGGGGGTCCGGTGTGGGGGCGGGGGGGGCCCGGTGTGGGGGGCCCGGTGTGGGGGGGGGGGCCCGGTGTGGGGGGCGGGGGGCCCGGTGTGGGGGGGGGCCCGGTGTGGGGGGCGGGGGGGCCCGGTGTGGGGGGGCCCGGTGTGGGGGGCGGGGTCCCGGTGTGGGGGGCGGGGTGGTCCCGGTGTAATATTATTTACTATAACCGCCAAACCTCTCTCCCGGGCAGATGGCGGGAAGTCGGTGTGCGCATGCGCGTATTGCAGTGTCCGGTGTATCCGGGGGTGTGGCCGGTGACGCTGTGTGACGCTGCCTCTGATTGGCTGCCGCTGATTGGCTGCCTCACGGCCCGGTTCGCGTATGTGCAGTGACGTCATCAGTCAGCGCCGAAAGGCCCACGTGCAACTGCAGCCGAGAAGCCGAGCGCGACCCCCGACCCCGACCCGCCGCACCCCCCGACCCCGGGCCGCCGCACCCCCCGACCCCGGGCCGCCGCACCCCCCGACCCCGGGCCGCCGCCTGTGTCCTGTGAACATCGTCCCGTTTCCTGTTTGAAGCCTCTGAGAGTTGGTTATCGCTGACACAATGGCGGACCTGAGTCTCGCCGCTAAAGACAAGTACCTACAGCGTCTGGGAAGCAAAGTGTGCGCCGCTCAGCGCCAGGAGCCACACCAGCGAAAACTTGGTAAACATTGTTGCAGAACCCTATTTCCCAGAGGATTGACTGAGTTTCTGGTGAAACTGGTTCTGGATATTAGATTTCAGTGAATTTGGACAGTGATGTTACAGTAAAGAAGATATAGAGATTGGCCGAAAGTATTAATACATGAGATTTGGTTTGTGTTGAAGTTCATGTTACAGAACTGTATAATATCTTTCTAGAAATGCTATCTTCAGGATTTTTTAAAATATTTGAACATTATAAATATGTAAAAATTATTTACATTTGATATATCACCTGTATTTTTTAAATGTCTCAAATTTATGTATGTTTTCTGACTATCCAGTGCCTTGGAAGCCATTTGCAGTTTTACGTCCACCTTAAAAAAAACACTCAAATATTTGTGAAATTAGCATAGATTGTTTCCAGTTAAATATAAATTGTTTAAAAAGCTCACAACCAGAGGAATTACCTGAAGTTATACCTTAAAGTGGCTGCTGATTACTAATCAGAAATCATCGCTTTGACCCTGTGTTGGTGTGTGAACGCCCCCCAAAATTTTTTTTATGTAATTTCTTTAAAATTACAAGTTTCCAGAAAGATGGGCACTGAGGAGAGTCATCAACTTAAAAAGAAAAAAAGAAAGAAGCAGCCTCTGAAGGAACAGAGAGGTTTTCAGGCAGTGAGAGTCGATCTGTCTAAACCTGCTCAGGTGGGAATAAAAGAAAATCAAAATTTCAGAGGTGAGAAAATTAAAGGTGAAACATGCATGTTAAAATCCACTTGAGATGTTTATATTTATTTCACAAGTTAAGTACTTCAATTGAGTGCTCTTGCTTTCTCGTCTTCTCTTGCCTGTTGATAGTGACAGTGTTGTAGAAGTGGATTCCACTCCTGGAAATGTGAATTAATAACACCTGAAAATTTAGAAGGAATTTACTTTTCTCAAAAGTTAATTGAAAAAGAAATCCAAGAAAATATACAGCAAATTTCAAACAGATTATTTTTGTATAAATGAGATTTAAAGACGGACCCTGAAATGTTATTAATGAGCAAAACCTATTTGTAGACTGTGCCCTCCTTCCCCCCACACCCCACTCTCCCCGATCCTGATCCCCAGCTCAGGTCCAAAACACTAATTGTCCAGCACCTTAGGACGTCCTCCCGATGTGAAAGGCGCTATACAATGTAATTTTGTTGTTGTGGAGAGATGCTGAGTTGGTCATATATCCTTTCTATTCTGCAGTTATTTATTGCAGAACTGACTAATTTTACTTATTATCTGGAAATAATACATGTATTTTTAGAGCTCAGTGTTAGTAAGGTATAAAATGAATTGTCATTTGCAACTTGTGTAAATAGTGCAGTTAAAAAAATTGAAAACTTCATTCATGTAACTGGGACAATTTATAGTGTATTATTTTATGTCACTACAATGGCTTAATAATAAAAAAATCTTTCAATTGATATAGCTTATTATGTGGTTGAAACATCTCAAAATGCTCACAGGCTTTACAGTAAAATAAGTGACTTTGTATTTATGAGGTTAAGACTGAGCTACGACTGTAGCATTATTATTGCGACAGTTGACCTCTTCTTTTCTCTCACAGTTAGCAAAACAGAATTGGGCTCCTTCTCAGCGGTAAATCTTCTTCGCCAGAGATTGCATGACAAAATTGAAGAATCCCGTGGACAGGTGAATTCAAAAAATTATGTTTCTGTGAGAAGCAAAGCAATGTCTTCCTTTCCAGTCGCTGCGTTAGTCGTATTGCATCTTGCCTTTTTTGAAAAAAATCAACATAGAATATATACTTTTTTTGAATAGGTCAACCAGAGAGGCTTGTCATCTGAAGAATTAAAGAAGTTACGTCTGCGTAGAAAACAGGAACGGGAAAGAAAAAAACGAAAACGAAAAGAATTGCGGATAAAGAAAGAACAGGAGACATTGCCTCAGGAAGAGTGTGTGGCATCAGACACTCAAAAAGGAGAGACAACGCAGGAGTGCAGGAAAGTGGAGGAGCAAATAATCTTCAATAAAATTGAAGTATCATCTCAAGTAGTCAATAATAAAATACTGAAGAAAAAAGAGAAAAAAGGAAAGATTAAAGGTGGTGTCACACCCTTGACTGGTAAAAACTACAAACAGCTGTTGTCCAGGCTAGAAGCTCGGAAGAGTAAGATAGAAGAACTGAAGAGCAAAGATGAAGATAAAGCAAAGGAAATTGAGACAAAAATGAAATGGACTAATGCTCTTTACAGAGCTGAGGGTGTGAAGATCAAAGACAATGAAGAAATGTTGAAAATCGCATTAAAAAGAAAGGAGAAGCTGAAGGCCCAGCGCCAGAAGAATTGGGAGAAACGAACTGAGCAAGTGGTGGAGAAGATGCAACATCGTCAGAACAAGAGGCAGAGAAACCTAAAGAAAAAGAAACTGGCCAAGATAGAGAGGAAAAAGGATAAGGCGAGAAAGAAGGGCCGTGTTCTGCCAGAAGACATCAAAAAAGCACAACTTTAAAAACAATTTCATGTTTTCAAAAATAAATGCTCCTTCCCCCTCAAAATAAATTCACCGGTCTTTTATCATAATGTATAATGTTTGTAATTTTTTTTAAACCATCTGCAATGTACATTTGTAATCTTATCTTCACTTATGATATGAAACACCAGATCATTACAATTAACTCAGATTTAATAACTGTAACAAAAGATCACAGTGTAATAAGGAAACAAAGGAACAGGAGTAGGCCATTCAGCCACTCAAGCCTGTTCAGCCATTTTATATCACGGCTGACCTATGACTCAACTCCATTGTGCATTTCATGCTGAGCTGTGTTTCCCACCAGGAGGCTCACAGGGAGTTCCTGGTACCCACCTAGAGAGGTTCAAATCCATACTTGTTATATCAAATGGCCAGTTCGTGATTATCCTCCTTTGGGGCAGGTGAGTGGGGTCTCCTTGGAGCTGAACTACCTCCAAGGCGACATGTTTGGCAACGGAATATCAGAGCCATACCTTTCTGGTGGTCTTTAGTCCAGTTCCTGAGGCAGGCAGTTGTGCAGTACCCCAGGGCACTAATGGTGACAGGCCAGTCATCCTGGCACATCGGCAGGGCAAATTGGTTATTGGGGGCAGGGAATCCTCACACTCAGCTCCCATTAATCCTGCAACCCAAAGCCCTAACGGCTAGGGTTGTCATAACTGGACAAGCAAGGGAAAACTTGCCAGACAATGCTCTCAATGGTAAGCTAGGCAGTTCAGAGCACAAAAGGAGACCATTCGGTCCATCATGTCTGTGCCGGCTCTTTGAAAAGAGCTATCCAAATCAATCCTACTCTCTCTCCCCATAACCCTACAAACTTGTCCTCCACAAATAATTATCTACAGTTTTAGCTGGTTAGATTCCAGCAGTTACCCCCAACACATACTCTAGATGCTAAGCTTTGGCTCTTGCCAACCCATGCCTAATAACTTCCAGAGTTAGGTAAGTGGAATCCATCCCACCAGGGAGAGTGATTATGGCATTCCAATAATGCAACAAGCATTCATTTCATGTGTGGGTGGGATGTAGGGAATACTGTTTGGTTTGGATACTCTTAAAAATGGTGATCAGTTTCCACGTGTGTCAGACACTTGGCTAACCAAACACAGCTTTGAGAAGTGGTTTGAGACATCTTCCTGAAGTGAAAGATGCTACATAAATGAAAATTGTTTTTTGCTGAAGGGCACCTGTGACCATGTACTGTACAAATGCCTGCAGAAGAGAATCAATTTTTAGAGAAAAGTTGAGAAACAAAACATGTGAAAGTAACATTTGCAAATAGTAGATATCACAAGGCTGATCAGAATGTTTTTGGCTCCCATTCACCTTGGAGTCATTTTATATGTACAAATATCAAGGTTTGAACTTGCAATCAGTGCAGGGCCACAGTACAGCTGTGTTTTACTAATACAGAATGATGCAACACTGATCTGTTTACTCACCAGAAAATGATTCAGGAGATAAAATAATTTCTTACATTGTCAATCGTATCTCATGAACAACTGTTGAAATGATCTTTTGCCAGTTAGAACTTGTTTTGTTGAGAACATGGAACTAATTTAATCATTAGAAGTGCATGACCTTTATTAATATTTGCCACACATTACTTATTACGCATTGAAATTGCCATTGGCTTTACATAGACTGTTGAATAATTGTTTCTGTAATCTTTCTGGATTTTTGCAAAGGTGTTTTGGTGGACAGCATCAAACAGCAAACGGGATGCAGTTACTGGTGACTAAATAGTAAGTGGTGGTGTGGGTGCCCTACTATCTACTGCCAGTCCCAACTTCTCTATAATCTCCAATGGATTCTCATCCCATGGTGACTATGGTGTACTCAAGCTCTCCCCTGTTATCATCTGCAGGCATATGGGTCAATATCCATATTTACCAAATGAAATTGATCTCCACTTTGATTGCAAAGAACATAGTCAGATTTATCAAGTCAACAGATCCAAGATACATGGAATTCAGTGAAGCAAGATAATAAGCTTTGGATATAAGAATAGTGGACAGCAACCTATTCTAAATGGAAAACATTGAGAATTAGGGCACATAAGTCATTACAACAACAACAACTTGCACTTATATAGTGCCCTCCACGCTTGGTGGCATCTCAGAGCTTAACAATGGTGGAGCCCAAGGCTGAGCCAGGGGGAGGGGAAGGTGACCATAGGCACGGTCAAAAAGTCTTCAGGTGCGACTTGAATATGGGGAAGGAGGGGCAAGGCGACAGGGTTGAGGGAGGGAGTTCCACAGTTTTGGGGCGTAATGGCTGAAGGGACGGCCACCGATGGTGGAGCGGAGGATTCGGGGGATGCAGAGGAGGCCGGACTGAGTAGAGCAGAGGCAGCAGGTACTGCTGTGGGGAGAGAAGAGGTTAGAGAGATGGGGGTGGGGTGGGTGGGGGGCAGGGAATGGAGGGATTTAAACATTAGAGAGAGGATCTTGAAGTGGATCCACTCTGTAACAGGAGCCACTGGGGTTTAGCAAGAACTGGGGTAATTGAGGGAAGGAGTTTGGTGCAGGTGAGAATGCGGGCGGCGAAATTTTACACAAGCTGAATTTTGGAGGAGGGGAGACTGGCGAGGAGGGCGTTAGAATCGACTCGCCGAGAGGTGACAAAGGCATGGACAAGGGTTTTGGCAGCTTTTGGGGTGAGGTATTGTCGGAGATGGGCAATGTGGCAGAGGTGCAAGAAAGCAGTGCTGGTCAGGGACCGGACATGGGGGAGGAAGAATAACTGGGGATCAAACCTAATGACTAAGTTGCGCATGGGTTCAGAGAGTTTTAAGAACAGGTCGGGTAGATTGAGGAGGTCGGAACCATGGGACAGAAGATGTTGGCAGGAGCCAAAGGGTATGGCTTCCGTCTTGTGGATGATTAACTGCAGACAAGCTGACAGAACATCAGGATACTGAGGGTCGCAGCTGGAGATGGAAAAGTAGAGTTGAGCGTCATCCACATCCATGTGGAAGTTAACCCTGTGTCTGCAGATGACAACACTGAGAGGGAGCATATAGATGAGGAAGAGAAGGGGACCAAGAATGGATCCTTGGGGTATCTACCCCACAGGTGACCGGGTGAAAGTGCGAAGAAAAGCCATTTGCAGAAATGTGCTGGTGGTTTATAAGGTAGGATTCGAACCAAGTGAATGCGGTCCCACTGAGCTATGATGGAGGACAGGCGTTGCACGAGGATGGCGTGATCAACTGTGTTGAACGCGATGGAGAGGACCAGGAGGACAAGAAGGCAGAGGAAGCCCTGGTCACAGATAGATTTGTGGCCTTCACAAGCGCGGACTCTGTACTGTGGGCAGCCAAGGCAGAAACTGGACTGGAGGAGTTCGAGTAGGGTGTGGAGGGAGAGATGTGCACAAAGTTGGAAGGCAACAACGCCATTCCAGAGCGTTGGAAAGAAAGGCAGGTTTGAGATAGGGCGAGAGTGGCCGAGGTTGGAGGGATCGAGGGTAGTTTTTTTTTAAGGAGTGGGGTGATGATTGCAGTTTTGAGAGCGAGTGGGACTGATCCTGAGGAGAGAGACTGGTTATAGTGTCTGCCAGCAGTGGGCAGAGGAGGGGGAGCTGAGTGATCAGCAATTGGGTGGGGAGGGAGTCGAGGCAGCAGGTGGTGGGTTTCATTGTGGATGAAAGATAGGAAGGAGAGATGGGGGCAAATGAATGTAGGATAGGGGCGTGGTAGGACCTGAGGGCAGGGTGGGTGAGGGAGATCTAATGGGGGGGCGGGGGGGGGGGGGGGGTGTGGTTGGTGACACAGGACAGAGGGATGAAGCTGCCAGGTGGATGTTGACAACATTAGAGGTAAGGAAGCCCATGACCTCTTCGCGCTTGGTGTTAGATGTGATGATTGAGGGAGCGCACGGAGGAGGTGGTAGGGGTTGGAGAATAGGACTGGGGAGTTACTGTTGACCTCCAGTATGATGTTTGAGTCGTGCGCAGTTTTTGCTTGTGACAGGGAGCAGTGGTAGGTGTGAAGATGCTCGAGCCACAGCTGGTGGTGAACCGTTAGGCTGGATTTCTGCCACTTGCACTCAAGCAACCAGGTTTGGGATTTTAGGGAGCGGAGATGGCTGTTGTACCAGGGGGTTCAGGTGGGTTTGGAGACAGTCCTGGATTTCAGGGGGACGAGGGAGTTCAAGATGGAGGAGAGGCGATCATGGAGCAGCTTGACGGCTGCTTCAGGGTTGCTGCAGGTAGAAGGCCAGAGGGATAGGAGGATTAATAGCTGCAAAGAGCTGCAGCATGTTCACCTCTCCCCAATTTGAACAGACTACCAGAGAGAGACTCTCCCTAAATTAATGCACAATCATGACAGACAGAAAAGTAGCTTTATGTTATCAAATCCAGAACCATATAAAATTGTTGTCAAAACATTCATTGATTTATTGATACAAATATTAACTATTTTACAAGCAATGCGACCCCTTTGTCTGAGCAACTCCTGACCAGCAGCATTACTTGTTTTAAAATTTGCTGAAACCGTGGATCAATGGTTAGATCAATATTTTGCGAAACTAGAACTATTACTCAACAGTGCTGGATTATAAACTGGTTCCTGAAGCAGAACTTCACAGCCTCACAGTTCCCACCATGAAAGCAATTCTGCCCTGGGTTTTGCTGACTTCTATTCCAGCCTTAATATCTGCTGATTTCATCATAGCAGATTTAAAGCACCAAAAGGTAAAGCGCTATTCATTTCCAATTTTTTAGTGATTTTTCAATTAACTAAATTATCTTTTAAACTTATTTTTCAATTTGAGCAGAGTAAATCCACAGTCCATTCAGCAAATGCCCAGAGCCCATGGAGAAGGACGTTAAAGATACTAGCCAAATTTATCTGAAGATATTTTGAGTTAGATAATTAGTCCGAAAGATAATTAAGTACAAATTGAAAAGTTAAAGTGTACAAATTTATCACATCTCTGCTGTTTTTCTATTAGGAATTAGATTGCGTGTTTTGGGCTAAACTGCAGGGATTTCTGCCTTGATGATTCATCAGTTTTGTTTGTATATCTTAAGATATTTCTTACTCTGTTGCCTAACTGATAAATGTTCCAGTTTCCTTCAGTCTTCAATAAGAAACAGACAGGTGATTGAAGCCTGAACTACAGTTATATTGCTTCTTTATTTTGAACTTGATACGTTCTCTGAGCTGGGTACTGACCATTGGGCTCATGTGCTGCAGAATGTGACCTAGAAAATAGTACCTGAAATGACAAGCCTTCAGTCTACATTCACTGCTATTTTCTTGCTGTTTTAAAAATAATAATAATAATCCTTGCATTTGATATAGCACTTTTAATGTCTTCAAGATGTCTCAAAAAAATCATAGAAATGCAGCCAAGAAGGAGGCGTTTGGCACAGATTCCCAGAGTGAGCTGTCCATTCAGACACACTGCATTGGCTCCCCTTCAAGTTGCTATCTTTCATGTACCTTTCTACATCCCCTCAATACTCCCTCTGCCACTTTCCTTGGCGGGGATTCTACAAGTGAAAAAGGTTCTCCTAAACACTCTTTTCACTCTTTTTGTGTCTATCTTATATCTGTGTCCCATATCACCAAATTCCCCACCAGTGGAAACAGCTTCTCTCTATTTACCACTCATCATTGTATTTACCTCCATCAGATCCCCACTCAACCTTCTCTGCTCCAATTAAACAGACCCAAATTCTCCGATCTCCTCATTATCACAGCCCCTCATTCAGGGGAATCATTTCCTAAAATTGTATGTCCAATTCAACTTTTTCTAATTTTTCCCCCAAATAACATATGTCTCTGCTCCTGGTCCTTCCCTCCTCTTGCTGGCGTCCAGTTCTACAGGCACCTGTTTACCTCTTTTTTATTAATGAGTTGGATTATTGAGCTCTGCTGCCTGTATCTGCCCAATGCGAACCTGAAGTCCATCAGTCAGGTCTTTGTTAGAAATTGATTTATTTTGTGCACTGTCTAATTATACAGCACAATCTTATCAACATTATGAATAACTGTATGAATAACTGATGTTCTTTTTCCCTTGTTGGAAATAGAAAAGAAGCGTCGATGGGCACCCCACTAAAGTAGGTCTAATTCCTGATATTGCTGCTCTGTAATGGTTCTGTGTAGTGTAACTGACTTTAACCTAAGTTGTGCCACAGATTCGAAAAAACGTTGCAATTTTGATGATGTAACTGTTCAGTTTGGATATTTCTAATTTCAACAATAAGCAGAATGTCTCTGTGTTTGTTCAGTCTGTACTGGAACTGAAAATAACCCCCACTTAATATCAATTTACTATATGTATTTACATCGGACTTCTCTGGACATTATTAAGTGTTAAATATAATTTCTTGCACATAAAAACATAATCCTTGCATCCGATATAGCACCTTATCACATCGATGAAATGTTTCAAAGTGCTTTGCAGGATTTACTGTTGAATATAGTGAATGATTTTTTGGCGAATACTGGCATACATTAGTGTTCATATTATCTTTATTTTTCAGCAAGTGAAGGAGCTTGAAATTTACAGTTTTAAGGTTGATTGCAAAATTACATCTCGATTCGCTCGCAATGTGGTGACCAGTCGGGTAGTGAACCGAGCGAATGAGTCCAAAGAAGCTTTGTTTGATGTACAGCTGCCCAAAACAGCCTTCATTGCCAACTTCAGCATGTGTGTATTTGCTCTGTTACTTGAGATAATTTGTGTGTAAATAGAACAGTGAACTTTGTGACAAACTCCCTGACTAATCACAAGATTGGTTTGAACGAAAAACATCCTACGGCTCATCTGATCTCAGCCATAACCTTCAATCCTCTCATAACAGCATCAAGCTGCCTTGGAAGCACTCCGGGACACTACCCCACTTGACAGGCTATATTAATGCAAGTTGTTGCTTAAATGAGTCCAGTGTCCTGGCCTCAACCGCTCTTGTTGGCAGCCTGTTCCAGTTGTTAATTAACCTCTGAGTAAAGAAAAACTTCCTGGTATCTGACCAGAAATTGCTTTACAACTTTAAACCTGTGACTTCTTGTCCTACTGTTTCGATGCATTCTAAAGTATTCTGAGTTTACTTTTTCAATCCCATTTAACATTGTACAGTATTTTCTTGACCACTAACAGCGGTGTCCAACCACGAGGTGGCGCTGTCTCACATGATCAACGAGTGAAGAGGCTGGAGCTGTAGAACTGGGTCTTATTGAGTCAAATCAGATTTCATGCCACTGGAAATAAATATATAAAACTTAATGTTAAGCCTGAGGTAAATATTGCTCATGACTATTGCTTTATTAAGCAAATGCAGAACACCGCCTAGTACTGATCGATTGATTTGTCTATAGGGTCCTCGCTGAGTCAGCGATTCTCAAGCTTGAAGAGCCCCATCTTATCTAATTGCTGCTCATTCCTCCAACACTTGGGATCATCCTCTAAACTGCCTTCAGGCCATTTAATCCACATTCTGCTGACAAATGTGAAAGTCGTCCTGATTGGACCAACTCAGATTTTTTGTTTGGTTCAAAGTTTCCTTTGAGGATAATACAAAATGCCATTTGTAGCACATTTCACGTTGGGAGGATGTCCCAAGGCGCTGGACGATAAAGGAGGAAATGAGAGATGAACCAGCAAAGAGACAGACTGGGGCTGAGAACAATGAATCGGGGATACTGTATACTAATTCTGTGTTCTAATGCTAGGATTATAGATGGGGTGGTTTACGTTGGAGTTGTGAAGGAGAAAGAAGTGGCTAAGCAGCAGTACCAGCAAGCAGTCGCACGAGGGCAGACAGCAGGTCTTGTGAAGTAAGGATCAAAGGGCTTCTTTTCAATCTTCCTCAGTCATTTTGCCTCCTTTCCCCACAAAGACAAGCCTCATGAAGGGATGGGACACAACCTAAATCAGGTCACTGATTCCCAGAATGTACTTCTCTCCAGATATTTACCAGTTATAGAATCTTTCCCACAATATTAATGTATGTCTGAACAATTTGATTACATGGGAGAAGGTGTGACATCTCATTTTAATGGACAAAACTGACTTTTTGGATAAAGCGATCTCAGTGTAGTCTTGCATGTTAACTCACCACTACAAATGTCTAATTCTGTCTTGATAGGAATTCTCTCAGAAAACTATTTATATGGGAGTTGTTTGTATCAATTTTTGATGAATTAATCATTTAACTGCCATTGAATGTTCATTGAATGTTCCAAAGACATTCGAGCTTCCTAAAGCATTTATTCTCAAGTAAAAGCTTTTTTTAGTAAAGCAACATTTTAACCTGTGTATGGTTTAAGATATATGCTTCACATTTTTCATGAATGATTTAGGTTAGTTAATTACAGACGGGGGCTATTTTACATTTTAAAAAATCTGTTTTATATTCTTCGTGTCCAAAGAGTAACTGGAAGGAAAATGGAAAAGTTTAAAGTTTCAGTAAATATCGCAGCAGCTAAAAAAGTAACATTTGAGCTGGTTTATGAAGAATTACTCAAGCGTAAACTGGGGAAATACGAGATGGTGATCAGAGTAAAGCCTGAACAGCTTGTCCAGCATTTCCAGGTATGTAGCAGGGATGGGAGCTAGCCACTGTGGCACTTGTCCAACCAGGGCCCACTGACTCCTCATGAAGTGCACCTACACAACAACAACAATATCAACAACATGTCCTTGAAATGTGCAGCGCTTGTGGAAATGGTTGTGAAAAAGCTAATATTATTCAGGGTTTATACATAGGGACATAGAGTACAAATGTAAAGGAATAATAATAATCCTTGCATTTGATATAGTGCCTTATCACGTCTTCTAGATGTCTCAAAGCGCTTCACAGAATAGACTGTAAAGTGAATTGACTGTATATTTGTGGGTGAAACACTGCAGCCAATTGCACACAGCAGCATCCCACAAACAGTCGTGGATTGAAAATAACCAATTTATTATTGTTTTTGTTTTTGGAGGGATTATTATTAGGTGTGTGGAGTCAGGAAACTTGCCCAAGATTTTCCTCTGCCTGGAATTGAACTCAGGTGTCTCGCTTGCAAAGCGAATGCTCTAACCACTGAGCCACAGGATGCCACAATCCCAGGGATGAGGGGCATTAGTTCTAAAGAGGGTGAATTAGTTGGGTCTGTTTTTCATTGGCGTAAAGAAGATTGTGAGGCTACCTGATAGAAATGTATATCATTCTGAGGGGTTTTGATGCTAAGTAATGGGAAGCTATTGTCATTGGTAGGTTTGTCAGTGAGTAGGGGCCACAGTTATAAGACAATAAAGTTTAGGAGATTTTTTTCACTCAGAATAGTTGGGATGTGGAATGCTAGAGGCAGAGTGTGTTCTGGGTTTCAGAGGGAAGTCAACATGTATATGAATGTTAGCGGCTTGAAGGCCTATGGCAACATGGCAAGAGCAGAGGGAGTGAAAGAACAGCTTCCTCTCAGACTGGGTGCAGAATTGATCGGCCAAAGGCCTGCTTCTGTGCTATGAATTTCTATAATTGTAAAAAATATTTTATTTCCTCTGTGCCTATTTTCAAATGTTTAACAAACATGTTAACACTAATTACATTCCATCACATTTCAACCTCTCCAGATTGATGTCCATCTGTTTGAACCACAAGGCATTGCCTTTTTGGATGTTAATGCAACATTTTTAACAAATGATTTAATGCCAATTGTGAAAAAGACTCTAACAGGAAAAAAGGTACATTATTAATAATAATAATAATCTGCATCCTTGCATTTTGTATAGTGCCTTTCATGTTGGGAGGATGTCCCAAAACTCTTCACAGAATTTACTATGAAGTAGAGTGATTGTGTATTTGTAGACAAACATAACAGCCAATTGCACAAACAATGATCTGCAAACAGCCATGATTTGAATGACCAATCTTATTTGGGGTATTTTTGGCCAAGATACTGGGAGAAATCTCTTCTCAAATAGTGCCATAGCACCTTTAACATCCATCTAAACGGGACCTCACTTTAATGTCTCATTCAAAGGACAGCACCTCCGACAATGCAACACCACCACAGCATTACATTGGAGTGCCAGCTTAAACTATGTGAGTTCAAGTCCCAATGTGGGGCTCAAACCCACAACCTTCTGGCTCAGAGGCATGAGTGCTGCTAACTGAGTCAGGCTTGACAGACTGTTGTATACTTTGAGGTTTACACATGTGGATATGACAATCTTACCGTGAATTGCTGTGTGATTCAGGCTCACATTTCCTTCACACCAACACTGGATCAGCAGAGTGCCTGTACCAGTTGCCAGAACACTGGCTTGGATGGAGATTTTATTATGACTTATGATGTGGACCGAGACCTGTCGGCTGGGAACATAGCGGTAGGCAACTACAACAACAACAACAAGATTACATTTGTATCATGCCTTTCAAGTCGGGAGTACGTCCCAAGGCGCTGGGACGTTTAGCTAATTCATTATTACGTTTTGAGTGAAAAGCTGTTAGCATTCATTATTTTAACACTTCTTTTTTCCAGATAGTGAATGGATATTTTGTTCATCATTTTGGACCTGCAAATCTACCTAGAGTTCCTAAAAATGTTGTCTTTGTGATTGACCAGAGTGGCTCCATGATGTTTACAAAAATGTTCCAGGTAAGGAAGCTGATTATGGGAAGGTTGGTTTCAGTTCCTCAACGTCTCCTTGATCTCATTGTTTGTCCAAAAGAATGCTCATTTGGGTTGAAGATATTCCCATGAAATGCCAGGAGAAAACGGTCAGTTCTGTATAATCCAAATACAGTCGCTTGTTAACCAGCTGTTTGGCTCTTCAGTGCAGCCAACAGCCAACAGCTGGCGCCATCCCAGCTGGACAAGTATTGAGCCTCACAGTTTCTGTTAGTTTGACCAAAACTGCAGATAATAATAATAATAATAATAATAATCCTTGCATTTGATATAGCGCTTTTCACGTCAGGAGGACGTCCCAAAGCGCTTCACAGAACACACTGTAAAGTGAATTGACTGTATATTTGTGGGCGAACGCGGCAGCCAATTGCGCACAGCAATGTCCCACAAACAGTCGTAGATTGAAAATGACCAATTTAATTATTGTTTTTGGTTTTGGAGGGATTATTATTAGGCTCTGTGTGGAGTAAGGAAACTTGCCCAAGGTTTCGCCCTGCCTGGAATTGAACTCAGGTCTCTCACTTGCAAAGCGAGTGCTCTAACCACTGAGCTACAGGACTCCACAAAGATAAGAGACAAAGCAAACTATTACCCTGTATCCTCCACCTGAGCAACTCCACACCCACCACTGAAGCTGGTCTATATCTGTTATTGGAGCCCTGTCTGCACCAGTGCAGCTCAGTGTGCAAGACTGCTGTTAACATTGCAACACTTTCTGCCACCATTACATCGCCAAGTTCCACCAATGCTGCTTCGCACTGATCATTAGAAGATGCCTGATATCAGCCTCTTCCTCCAGTTTGTTCCTCCTCACAACGACTGTCAACCCTGTTGTAATGTGTCACTATGTTCTGTGTATTTGTAATGTGTGTCTGTGTGGATATGAAACTGCATTTTTTTATTTGGTCATGTATTGTTTTTCGGTGTTTTGTTTCTTACAGACTAAGGAGGCACTTCACAAAATTTTAGATGATTTAAATACGGAGGATAATTTTGCATTCATTTCATTTTCTTCGAGTTTTAGAAAATGGAAGAATTCCTTAATCAGAGCAACTACAGCGAACGTGGTTGAAGCTCATAAATATGTTAGTGAGCTTCACGCCGGTGGAGGTAAAGGAACTCTTCATTACCGTTTTTAAACAAAAACAGAAACTTTATTATAGTATAATTTTAAAATTAAAAAACGAATGATGAGCTTTAGAAGTAAGACAAGGGCTTGAGAAAACAACAACTTGCATTTATAATGGGTCCTTCAAATGGGTAGCATCTCGGAGAGTTTAACAGCGGCAGCTCAGCCAACAGAAAAGAGCAAATTACCTGCTTTTTATCGTATTTTAAATCATGTTGAATTCTCTCAAAATGTTTTACAATAATGACTGTCAAGTATTGTGATTATTTTTGTTGCTGGTTTTGCACCGGCAACATCTCACAAATAGTTGATTAATCTTGGGGATTGTTGGTTAATACACGTGGTGAAACTCGCTTCTCTCTTTCAATTGTGAACTGGGATTTGACAGTGTGTGGTGTGGGTGTTTGGTGTGGGTGGCAGTGTGTGGTGTGGACAGTGTCAGCGAACTCTCCCCACACCCCCTCCAGTTCCTGCTTATTCTTAAACTTAAATTGAAAGCTTGAAAAGTCAGCTAAGAGTTGATTTTTTTGTCCGTAATGAGAGAATTTTTCTTTTGTTTCAGGAACGAACATAAATGACCCTCTGTTGGAAGCAGCAAAACTTCTGGATGACGCTCACAATCTGGGGCAGGTACCCGAGAGAAGCGTCTCCATGATCATTCTGCTGACTGATGGCGACCCCAATTCGGGTGAGCAAAGCTCAATGTCATTCTGCGGTACCGTATGTCCTTTCACTCTTGGAAAAACTCCATCCTCCACTCACTGAGCACTCACCCTAATACATAGGAAATAACGTGCTCTGATCAACGGGAAATAGGCATTTTTATTAAATGGATAGTTCTAATTTTTTTATTATTTTATTGCAGGAGAATCCAATCCCACCAAGATCCAATCCAATGTTAAATATGCCATCAATAACAAGTACAACTTGTACTGTCTGGGATTTGGTTACGATGTTAAATACAGTTTTCTCGAAAAAATGTCCATAGAAAATAGCGGCATAGGTAAGATAGAAGAACTGAAGAGCAAAGATGAAGATAAAGCAAAGGAAATTGAGACAAAAATGAAATGGACTAATGCTCTTTACAGAGCTGAGGGTGTGAAGATCAAAGACAATGAAGAAATGTTGAAAATCGCATTAAAAAGAAAGGAGAAGCTGAAGGCCCAGCGCCAGAAGAATTGGAGAAACGAACTGAGCAAGTGGTGGAGAAGATGCAACATCGTCAGAACAAGAGGCAGAGAAACCTAAAGAAAAAGAAACTGGCCAAGATAGAGAGGAAAAAGGATAAGGCGAGAAAGAAGGGCCGTGTTCTGCCAGAAGACATCAAAAAAGCACAACTTTAAAAACAATTTCATGTTTTCAAAAATAAATGCTCCTTCCCCCTCAAAATAAATTCACCGGTCTTTTATCATAATGTATAATGTTTGTAATTTTTTTAAACCATCTGCAATGTACATTTGTAATCTTATCTTCACTTATGATATGAAACACCAGATCATTACAATTAACTCAGATTTAATAACTGTAACAAAAGATCACAGTGTAATAAGGAAACAAAGGAACAGGAGTAGGCCATTCAGCCACTCAAGCCTGTTCAGCCATTTTATATCACGGCTGACCTATGACTCAACTCCATTGTGCATTTCATGCTGAGCTGTGTTTCCCACCAGGAGGCTCACAGGGAGTTCCTGGTACCCACCTAGAGAGGTTCAAATCCATACTTGTTATATCAAATGGCCAGTTCGTGATTATCCTCCTTTGGGGCAGGTGAGTGGGGTCTCCTTGGAGCTGAACTACCTCCAAGGCGACATGTTTGGCAACGGAATATCAGAGCCATACCTTTCTGGTGGTCTTTAGTCCAGTTCCTGAGGCAGGCAGTTGTGCAGTACCCCAGGGCACTAATGGTGACAGGCCAGTCATCCTGGCACATCGGCAGGGCAAATTGGTTATTGGGGGCAGGGAATCCTCACACTCAGCTCCCATTAATCCTGCAACCCAAAGCCCTAACGGCTAGGGTTGTCATAACTGACAAGCAAGGGAAAACTTGCCAGACAATGCTCTCAATGGTAAGCTAGGCAGTTCAGAGCACAAAAGGAGACCATTCGGTCCATCATGTCTGTGCCGGCTCTTTGAAAAGAGCTATCCAAATCAATCCTACTCTCCTCTCTCCCCATAACCCTACAAACTTGTCCTCCACAAATAATTATCTACAGTTTTAGCTGGTTAGATTCCAGCAGTTACCCCCAACACATACTCTAGATGCTAAGCTTTGGCTCTTGCCAACCCATGCCTAATAACTTCCAGAGTTAGGTAAGTGGAATCCATCCCACCAGGGAGAGTGATTATGGCATTCCAATAATGCAACAAGCATTCATTTCATGTGTGGGTGGGATGTAGGGAATACTGTTTGGTTTGGATACTCTTAAAAATGGTGATCAGTTTCCACGTGTGTCAGACACTTGGCTAACCAAACACAGCTTTGAGAAGTGGTTTGAGACATCTTCCTGAAGTGAAAGATGCTACATAAATGAAAATTGTTTTTTGCTGAAGGGCACCTGTGACCATGTACTGTACAAATGCCTGCAGAAGAGAATCAATTTTTAGAGAAAAGTTGAGAAACAAAACATGTGAAAGTAACATTTGCAAATAGTAGATATCACAAGGCTGATCAGAATGTTTTTGGCTCCCATTCACCTTGGAGTCATTTTATATGTACAAATATCAAGGTTTGAACTTGCAATCAGTGCAGGGCCACAGTACAGCTGTGTTTTACTAATACAGAATGATGCAACACTGATCTGTTTACTCACCAGAAAATGATTCAGGAGATAAAATAATTTCTTACATTGTCAATCGTATCTCATGAACAACTGTTGAAATGATCTTTTTGCCAGTTAGAACTTGTTTTGTTGAGAACATGGAACTAATTTAATCATTAGAAGTGCATGACCTTTATTAATATTTGCCACACATTACTTATTACGCATTGAAATTGCCATTGGCTTTACATAGACTGTTGAATAATTGTTTCTGTAATCTTTCTGGATTTTTGCAAAGGTGTTTTGGTGGACAGCATCAAACAGCAAACGGGATGCAGTTACTGGTGACTAAATAGTAAGTGGTGGTGTGGGTGCCCTACTATCTACTGCCAGTCCCAACTTCTCTATAATCTCCAATGGATTCTCATCCCATGGTGACTATGGTGTACTCAAGCTCTCCCCTGTTATCATCTGCAGGCATATGGGTCAATATCCATATTTAAAATGAAATCTCCACTTTGATTGCAAAGAACATAGTCAGATTTATCAAGTCAACAGATCCAAGATACATGGAATTCAGTGAAGCAAGATAATAAGCTTTGGATATAAGAATAGTGGACAGCAACCTATTCTAAATGGAAAACATTGAGAATTAGGGCACATAAGTCATTACAACAACAACAACTTGCACTTATATAGTGCCCTCCACGCTTGGTGGCATCTCAGAGCTTAACAATGGTGGAGCCCAAGGCTGAGCCAGGGGGAGGGGAAGGTGACCATAGGCACGGTCAAAAAGTCTTCAGGTGCGACTTGAATATGGGGAAGGAGGGGGCAAGGCGACAGGGTTGAGGGAGGGAGTTCCACAGTTTTGGGGCGTAATGGCTGAAGGGACGGCCACCGATGGTGGAGCGAAGGATTCGGGGGACACGGAGGAGACTGGACCCAGTAGAGCAGAGGCAGCGGATACTGCTGTGGGGAGAGAGGTTAGAGAGATGGGGGTGGGGGGGGGGGGGGCAAGGAATGGAAGGAATTAAACACTATAGTGAGGATCTTGAAGTGGATCCGCTCTGTGACAGGAGCCAGTGGGGTTTGGCCAGGACTGGAGTAATTGGAATACGGAGTTTGGTGCGGGTGAGAATGCGGGCGGCGAAATTTTACACAAGCTGAATTTTGGAGGAGGGGAGACTGGCGAGGAGGGCGTTAGAATCGACTCGCCGAGAGGTGACAAAGGCATGGACAAGGGTTTTGGCAGCTTTTGGGGTGAGGTATTGTCGGAGATGGGCAATGTGGCAGAGGTGCAAGAAAGCAGTGCTGGTCAGGGACCGGACATGGGGGAGGAAGAATAACTGGGGATCAAACCTAATGACTAAGTTGCGCATGGGTTCAGAGAGTTTTAAGAACAGGTCGGGTAGATTGAGGAGGTCGGAACCATGGGACAGAAGATGTTGGCAGGAGCCAAAGGGTATGGCTTCCGTCTTGTGGATGATTAACTGGAGGAAATTTGCGCTCATCCAGACAAGCTGACAGAACATCAGGATACTGAGGGTCGCAGCTGGAGATGGAAAAGTAGAGTTGAGCGTCATCCACATCCATGTGGAAGTTAACCCTGTGTCTGCAGATGACAACACTGAGAGGGAGCATATAGATGAGGAAGAGAAGGGGACCAAGAATGGATCCTTGGGTATCTACCCCACAGGTGACCGGGTGAAAGTGCGAAGAAAAGCCATTTGCAGAAATGTGCTGGTGGTTTATAAGGTAGGATTCGAACCAAGTGAATGCGGTCCCACTGAGCTATGATGGAGGACAGGCGTTGCACGAGGATGGCGTGATCAACTGTGTTGAACGCGATGGAGAGGACCAGGAGGACAAGAAGGCAGAGGAAGCCCTGGTCACAGATAGATTTGTGGCCTTCACAAGCGCGGACTCTGTACTGTGGGCAGCCAAGGCAGAAACTGGACTGGAGGAGTTCGAGTAGGGTGTGGAGGGAGAGATGTGCACAAAGTTGGAAGGCAACAACGCCATTCCAGAGCGTTGGAAAGAAAGGCAGGTTTGAGATAGGGCGAGAGTGGCCGAGGTTGGAGGGATCGAGGGTAGTTTTTTTTTAAGGAGTGGGGTGATGATTGCAGTTTTGAGAGCGAGTGGGACTGATCCTGAGGAGAGAGACTGGTTATAGTGTCTGCCAGCAGTGGGCAGAGGAGGGGGAGCTGAGTGATCAGCAATTGGGTGGGGAGGGAGTCGAGGCAGCAGGTGGTGGGTTTCATTGTGGATGAAAGATAGGAAGGAGAGATGGGGGCAAATGAATGTAGGATAGGGGCGTGGTAGGACCTGAGGGCAGGGTGGGTGAGGGAGATCTAATGGGGGGGCGGGGGGGGGGGGGGTGTGGTTGGTGACACAGGACAGAGGGATGAAGCTGCCAGGTGGATGTTGACAACATTAGAGGTAAGGAAGCCCATGACCTCTTCGCGCTTGGTGTTAGATGTGATGATTGAGGGAGCGCACGGAGGAGGTGGTAGGGGTTGGAGAATAGGACTGGGGAGTTACTGTTGACCTCCAGTATGATGTTTGAGTCGTGCGCAGTTTTTGCTTGTGACAGGGAGCAGTGGTAGGTGTGAAGATGCTCGAGCCACAGCTGGTGGTGAACCGTTAGGCTGGATTTCTGCCACCTGCACTCAAGCAACCAGGTTTGGGATTTTAGGGAGCGGAGATGGCTGTTGTACCAGGGGGTTCAGGTGGGTTTGGAGACAGTCCTGGATTTCAGGGGGACGAGGGAGTTCAAGATGGAGGAGAGGCGATCATGGAGCAGCTTGACGGCTGCTTCAGGGTTGCTGCAGGTAGAAGGCCAGAGGGATAGGAGGATTAATAGCTGCAAAGAGCTGCAGCATGTTCACCTCTCCCCAATTTGAACAGACTACCAGAGAGAGACTCTCCCTAAATTAATGCACAATCATGACAGACAGAAAAGTAGCTTTATGTTATCAAATCCAGAACCATATAAAATTGTTGTCAAAACATTCATTGATTTATTGATACAAATATTAACTATTTTACAAGCAATGCGACCCCTTTGTCTGAGCAACTCCTGACCAGCAGCATTACTTGTTTTAAAATTTGCTGAAACCGTGGATCAATGGTTAGATCAATATTTTGCGAAACTAGAACTATTACTCAACAGTGCTGGATTATAAACTGGTTCCTGAAGCAGAACTTCACAGCCTCACAGTTCCCACCATGAAAGCAATTCTGCCCTGGGTTTTGCTGACTTCTATTCCAGCCTTAATATCTGCTGATTTCATCATAGCAGATTTAAAGCACCAAAAGGTAAAGCGCTATTCATTTCCAATTTTTTAGTGATTTTTCAATTAACTAAATTATCTTTTAAACTTATTTTTCAATTTGAGCAGAGTAAATCCACAGTCCATTCAGCAAATGCCCAGAGCCCATGGAGAAGGACGTTAAAGATACTAGCCAAATTTATCTGAAGATATTTTGAGTTAGATAATTAGTCCGAAAGATAATTAAGTACAAATTGAAAAGTTAAAGTGTACAAATTTATCACATCTCTGCTGTTTTTCTATTAGGAATTAGATTGCGTGTTTTGGGCTAAACTGCAGGGATTTCTGCCTTGATGATTCATCAGTTTTGTTTGTATATCTTAAGATATTTCTTACTCTGTTGCCTAACTGATAAATGTTCCAGTTTCCTTCAGTCTTCAATAAGAAACAGACAGGTGATTGAAGCCTGAACTACAGTTATATTGCTTCTTTATTTTGAACTTGATACGTTCTCTGAGCTGGGTACTGACCATTGGGCTCATGTGCTGCAGAATGTGACCTAGAAAATAGTACCTGAAATGACAAGCCTTCAGTCTACATTCACTGCTATTTTCTTGCTGTTTTAAAAATAATAATAATAATAATCCTTGCATTTGATATAGCACTTTTAATGTCTTCAAGATGTCTCAAAAAAATCATAGAAATGCAGCCAAGAAGGAGGTGTTTGGCACAGATTCCCAGAGTGAGCTGTCCATTCAGACACACTGCATTGGCTCCCCTTCAAGTTGCTATCTTTCATGTACCTTTCTACATCCCCTCAATACTCCCTCTGCCACTTTCCTTGGCGGGGGATTCTACAAGTGAAAAAGGTTCTCCTAAACACTCTTTTCACTCTTTTTGTGTCTATCTTATATCTGTGTCCCATATCACCAAATTCCCCACCAGTGGAAACAGCTTCTCTCTATTTACCACTCATCATTGTATTTACCTCCATCAGATCCCCACTCAACCTTCTCTGCTCCAATTAAACAGACCCAAATTCTCCGATCTCCTCATTATCACAGCCCCTCATTCAGGGGAATCATTTCCTAAAATTGTATGTCCAATTCAACTTTTTCTAATTTTTCCCCCAAATAACATATGTCTCTGCTCCTGGTCCTTCCCTCCTCTTGCTGGCGTCCAGTTCTACAGGCACCTGTTTACCTCTTTTTTATTAATGAGTTGGATTATTGAGCTCTGCTGCCTGTATCTGCCCATTGCAGTACAGTTACCAATGCGAACCTGAAGTCCATCAGTCAGGTCTTTGTTAGAAATTGATTTATTTTGTGCACTGTCTAATTATACAGCACAATCTTATCAACATTATGAATAACTGTATGAATAACTGATGTTCTTTTTCCCTTGTTGGAAATAGAAAAGAAGCGTCGATGGGCACCCCACTAAAGTAGGTCTAATTCCTGATATTGCTGCTCTGTAATGGTTCTGTGTAGTGTAACTGACTTTAACCTAAGTTGTGCCACAGATTCGAAAAAACGTTGCAATTTTGATGATGTAACTGTTCAGTTTGGATATTTCTAATTTCAACAATAAGCAGAATGTCTCTGTGTTTGTTCAGTCTGTACTGGAACTGAAAATAACCCCCACTTAATATCAATTTACTATATGTATTTACATCGGACTTCTCTGGACATTATTAAGTGTTAAATATAATTTCTTGCACATAAAAACATAATCCTTGCATCCGATATAGCACCTTATCACATCGATGAAATGTTTCAAAGTGCTTTGCAGGATTTACTGTTGAATATAGTGAATGATTTTTTGGCGAATACTGGCATACATTAGTGTTCATATTATCTTTATTTTTCAGCAAGTGAAGGAGCTTGAAATTTACAGTTTTAAGGTTGATTGCAAAATTACATCTCGATTCGCTCGCAATGTGGTGACCAGTCGGGTAGTGAACCGAGCGAATGAGTCCAAAGAAGCTTTGTTTGATGTACAGCTGCCCAAAACAGCCTTCATTGCCAACTTCAGCATGTGTGTATTTGCTCTGTTACTTGAGATAATTTGTGTGTAAATAGAACAGTGAACTTTGTGACAAACTCCCTGACTAATCACAAGATTGGTTTGAACGAAAAACATCCTACGGCTCATCTGATCTCAGCCATAACCTTCAATCCTCTCATAACAGCATCAAGCTGCCTTGGAAGCACTCCGGGACACTACCCCACTTGACAGGCTATATTAATGCAAGTTGTTGCTTAAATGAGTCCAGTGTCCTGGCCTCAACCGCTCTTGTTGGCAGCCTGTTCCAGTTGTTAATTAACCTCTGAGTAAAGAAAAACTTCCTGGTATCTGACCAGAAATTGCTTTACAACTTTAAACCTGTGACTTCTTGTCCTACTGTTTCGATGCATTCTAAAGTATTCTGAGTTTACTTTTTCAATCCCATTTAACATTGTACAGTATTTTCTTGACCACTAACAGCGGTGTCCAACCACGAGGTGGCGCTGTCTCACATGATCAACGAGTGAAGAGGCTGGAGCTGTAGAACTGGGTCTTATTGAGTCAAATCAGATTTCATGCCACTGGAAATAAATATATAAAACTTAATGTTAAGCCTGAGGTAAATATTGCTCATGACTATTGCTTTATTAAGCAAATGCAGAACACCGCCTAGTACTGATCGATTGATTTGTCTATAGGGTCCTCGCTGAGTCAGCGATTCTCAAGCTTGAAGAGCCCCATCTTATCTAATTGCTGCTCATTCCTCCAACACTTGGGATCATCCTCTAAACTGCCTTCAGGCCATTTAATCCACATTCTGCTGACAAATGTGAAAGTCGTCCTGATTGGACCAACTCAGATTTTTTGTTTGGTTCAAAGTTTCCTTTGAGGATAATACAAAATGCCATTTGTAGCACATTTCACGTTGGGAGGATGTCCCAAGGCGCTGGACGATAAAGGAGGAAATGAGAGATGAACCAGCAAAGAGACAGACTGGGGCTGAGAACAATGAATCGGGGATACTGTATACTAATTCTGTGTTCTAATGCTAGGATTATAGATGGGGTGGTTTACGTTGGAGTTGTGAAGGAGAAAGAAGTGGCTAAGCAGCAGTACCAGCAAGCAGTCGCACGAGGGCAGACAGCAGGTCTTGTGAAGTAAGGATCAAAGGGCTTCTTTTCAATCTTCCTCAGTCATTTTGCCTCCTTTCCCCACAAAGACAAGCCTCATGAAGGGATGGGACACAACCTAAATCAGGTCACTGATTCCCAGAATGTACTTCTCTCCAGATATTTACCAGTTATAGAATCTTTCCCACAATATTAATGTATGTCTGAACAATTTGATTACATGGGAGAAGGTGTGACATCTCATTTTAATGGACAAAACTGACTTTTTGGATAAAGCGATCTCAGTGTAGTCTTGCATGTTAACTCACCACTACAAATGTCTAATTCTGTCTTGATAGGAATTCTCTCAGAAAACTATTTATATGGGAGTTGTTTGTATCAATTTTTGATGAATTAATCATTTAACTGCCATTGAATGTTCATTGAATGTTCCAAAGACATTCGAGCTTCCTAAAGCATTTATTCTCAAGTAAAAGCTTTTTTTAGTAAAGCAACATTTTAACCTGTGTATGGTTTAAGATATATGCTTCACATTTTTCATGAATGATTTAGGTTAGTTAATTACAGACGGGGGCTATTTTACATTTTAAAAAATCTGTTTTATATTCTTCGTGTCCAAAGAGTAACTGGAAGGAAAATGGAAAAGTTTAAAGTTTCAGTAAATATCGCAGCAGCTAAAAAAGTAACATTTGAGCTGGTTTATGAAGAATTACTCAAGCGTAAACTGGGGAAATACGAGATGGTGATCAGAGTAAAGCCTGAACAGCTTGTCCAGCATTTCCAGGTATGTAGCAGGGATGGGAGCTAGCCACTGTGGCACTTGTCCAACCAGGGCCCACTGACTCCTCATGAAGTGCACCTACACAACAACAACAATATCAACAACATGTCCTTGAAATGTGCAGCGCTTGTGGAAATGGTTGTGAAAAAGCTAATATTATTCAGGGTTTATACATAGGGACATAGAGTACAAATGTAAAGGAATAATAATAATCCTTGCATTTGATATAGTGCCTTATCACGTCTTCTAGATGTCTCAAAGCGCTTCACAGAATAGACTGTAAAGTGAATTGACTGTATATTTGTGGGTGAAACACTGCAGCCAATTGCACACAGCAGCATCCCACAAACAGTCGTGGATTGAAAATAACCAATTTATTATTGTTTTTGTTTTTGGAGGGATTATTATTAGGTGTGTGGAGTCAGGAAACTTGCCCAAGATTTTCCTCTGCCTGGAATTGAACTCAGGTGTCTCGCTTGCAAAGCGAATGCTCTAACCACTGAGCCACAGGATGCCACAATCCCAGGGATGAGGGGCATTAGTTCTAAAGAGGGTGAATTAGTTGGGTCTGTTTTTCATTGGCGTAAAGAAGATTGTGAGGCTACCTGATAGAAATGTATATCATTCTGAGGGGTTTTGATGCTAAGTAATGGGAAGCTATTGTCATTGGTAGGTTTGTCAGTGAGTAGGGGCCACAGTTATAAGACAATAAAGTTTAGGAGATTTTTTTCACTCAGAATAGTTGGGATGTGGAATGCTAGAGGCAGAGTGTGTTCTGGGTTTCAGAGGGAAGTCAACATGTATATGAATGTTAGCGGCTTGAAGGCCTATGGCAACATGGCAAGAGCAGAGGGAGTGAAAGAACAGCTTCCTCTCAGACTGGGTGCAGAATTGATCGGCCAAAGGCCTGCTTCTGTGCTATGAATTTCTATAATTGTAAAAAATATTTTATTTCCTCTGTGCCTATTTTCAAATGTTTAACAAACATGTTAACACTAATTACATTCCATCACATTTCAACCTCTCCAGATTGATGTCCATCTGTTTGAACCACAAGGCATTGCCTTTTTGGATGTTAATGCAACATTTTTAACAAATGATTTAATGCCAATTGTGAAAAAGACTCTAACAGGAAAAAAGGTACATTATTAATAATAATAATAATCTGCATCCTTGCATTTTGTATAGTGCCTTTCATGTTGGGAGGATGTCCCAAAACTCTTCACAGAATTTACTATGAAGTAGAGTGATTGTGTATTTGTAGACAAACATAACAGCCAATTGCACAAACAATGATCTGCAAACAGCCATGATTTGAATGACCAATCTTATTTGGGGTATTTTTGGCCAAGATACTGGGAGAAATCTCTTCTCAAATAGTGCCATAGCACCTTTAACATCCATCTAAACGGGACCTCACTTTAATGTCTCATTCAAAGGACAGCACCTCCGACAATGCAACACCACCACAGCATTACATTGGAGTGCCAGCTTAAACTATGTGAGTTCAAGTCCCAATGTGGGGCTCAAACCCACAACCTTCTGGCTCAGAGGCATGAGTGCTGCTAACTGAGTCAGGCTTGACAGACTGTTGTATACTTTGAGGTTTACACATGTGGATATGACAATCTTACCGTGAATTGCTGTGTGATTCAGGCTCACATTTCCTTCACACCAACACTGGATCAGCAGAGTGCCTGTACCAGTTGCCAGAACACTGGCCCTCACGGCCCGGTTCGCGTATGTGCAGTGTACGTCATCAGTCAGCGCCGAAAGGCCCACGTGCAACTGCAGCCGAGAAGCCGAGCGCGACCCCCGACCCCGACCCGCCGCACCCCCCGACCCCGGGCCGCCGCACCCCCCCGGACCCCCGGGCCGCCGCACCCCCCGACCCCGGGCCGCCGCCTGTGTCCTGTGAACATCGTCCCGTTTCCTGTTTGAAGCCTCTGAGAGTTGGTTATCGCTGACACAATGGCGGACCTGAGTCTCGCCGCTAAAGACAAGTACCTACAGCGTCTGGGAAGCAAAGTGTGCGCCGCTCAGCGCCAGGAGCCACACCAGCGAAAACTTGGGTAAACATTGTTGCAGAACCCTATTTCCCAGAGGATTGACTGAGTTTCTGGTGAAACTGGTTCTGGATATTAGATTTCAGTGAATTTGGACAGTGATGTTACAGTAAAGAAGATATAGAGATTGGCCGAAAGTATTAATACATGAGATTTGGTTTGTGTTGAAGTTCATGTTACAGAACTGTATAATATCTTTCTAGAAATGCTATCTTCAGGATTTTTTAAAATATTTGAACATTATAAATATGTAAAATTATTTACATTTGATATATCACCTGTATTTTTTAAATGTCTCAAATTTATGTATGTTTTCTGACTATCCAGTGCCTTGGAAGCCATTTGCAGTTTTACGTCCACCTTAAAAAAAACACTCAAATATTTGTGAAATTAGCATAGATTGTTTCCAGTTAAATATAAATTGTTTAAAAAGCTCACAACCAGAGGAATTACCTGAAGTTATACCTTAAAGTGGCTGCTGATTACTAATCAGAAATCATCGCTTTGACCCTGTGTTGGTGTGTGAACGCCCCCCAAAATTTTTTTTATGTAATTTCTTTAAAATTACAAGTTTCCAGAAAGATGGGCACTGAGGAGAGTCATCAACTTAAAAAGAAAAAAAGAAAGAAGCAGCCTCTGAAGGAACAGAGAGGTTTTCAGGCAGTGAGAGTCGATCTGTCTAAACCTGCTCAGGTGGGAATAAAAGAAAATCAAAATTTCAGAGGTGAGAAAATTAAAGGTGAAACATGCATGTTAAAATCCACTTGAGATGTTTATATTTATTTCACAAGTTAAGTACTTCAATTGAGTGCTCTTGCTTTCTCGTCTTCTCTTGCCTGTTGATAGTGACAGTGTTGTAGAAGTGGATTCCACTCCTGGAAATGTGAATTAATAACACCTGAAAATTTAGAAGGAATTTACTTTTCTCAAAAGTTAATTGAAAAAGAAATCCAAGAAAATATACAGCAAATTTCAAACAGATTATTTTTGTATAAATGAGATTTAAAGACGGACCCTGAAATGTTATTAATGAGCAAAACCTATTTGTAGACTGTGCCCTCCTTCCCCCCACACCCCACTCTCCCCGATCCTGATCCCCAGCTCAGGTCCAAAACACTAATTGTCCAGCACCTTAGGACGTCCTCCCGATGTGAAAGGCGCTATACAATGTAATTTTGTTGTTGTGGAGAGATGCTGAGTTGGTCATATATCCTTTCTATTCTGCAGTTATTTATTGCAGAACTGACTAATTTTACTTATTATCTGGAAATAATACATGTATTTTTAGAGCTCAGTGTTAGTAAGGTATAAAATGAATTGTCATTTGCAACTTGTGTAAATAGTGCAGTTAAAAAAATTGAAAACTTCATTCATGTAACTGGGACAATTTATAGTGTATTATTTTATGTCACTACAATGGCTTAATAATAAAAAAATCTTTCAATTGATATAGCTTATTATGTGGTTGAAACATCTCAAAATGCTCACAGGCTTTACAGTAAAATAAGTGACTTTGTATTTATGAGGTTAAGACTGAGCTACGACTGTAGCATTATTATTGCGACAGTTGACCTCTTCTTTTCTCTCACAGTTAGCAAAACAGAATTGGGCTCCTTCTCAGCGGTAAATCTTCTTCGCCAGAGATTGCATGACAAAATTGAAGAATCCCGTGGACAGGTGAATTCAAAAAATTATGTTTCTGTGAGAAGCAAAGCAATGTCTTCTTTCCAGTCGCTGCGTTAGTCGTATTGCATCTTGCCTTTTTTGAAAAAAATCAACATAGAATATATACTTTTTTTGAATAGGTCAACCAGAGAGGCTTGTCATCTGAAGAATTAAAGAAGTTACGTCTGCGTAGAAAACAGGAACGGGAAAGAAAAAAACGAAAACGAAAAGAATTGCGGATAAAGAAAGAACAGGAGACATTGCCTCAGGAAGAGTGTGTGGCATCAGACACTCAAAAAGGAGAGACAACGCAGGAGTGCAGGAAAGTGGAGGAGCAAATAATCTTCAATAAAATTGAAGTATCATCTCAAGTAGTCAATAATAAAATACTGAAGAAAAAAGAGAAAAAAGGAAAGATTAAAGGTGGTGTCACACCCTTGACTGGTAAAAACTACAAACAGCTGTTGTCCAGGCTAGAAGCTCGGAAGAGTAAGATAGAAGAACTGAAGAGCAAAGATGAAGATAAAGCAAAGGAAATTGAGACAAAAATGAAATGGACTAATGCTCTTTACAGAGCTGAGGGTGTGAAGATCAAAGACAATGAAGAAATGTTGAAAATCGCATTAAAAAGAAAGGAGAAGCTGAAGGCCCAGCGCCAGAAGAATTGGGAGAAACGAACTGAGCAAGTGGTGGAGAAGATGCAACATCGTCAGAACAAGAGGCAGAGAAACCTAAAGAAAAAGAAACTGGCCAAGATAGAGAGGAAAAAGGATAAGGCGAGAAAGAAGGGCCGTGTTCTGCCAGAAGACATCAAAAAAGCACAACTTTAAAAACAATTTCATGTTTTCAAAAATAAATGCTCCTTCCCCCTCAAAATAAATTCACCGGTCTTTTATCATAATGTATAATGTTTGTAATTTTTTTTAAACCATCTGCAATGTACATTTGTAATCTTATCTTCACTTATGATATGAAACACCAGATCATTACAATTAACTCAGATTTAATAACTGTAACAAAAGATCACAGTGTAATAAGGAAACAAAGGAACAGGAGTAGGCCATTCAGCCACTCAAGCCTGTTCAGCCATTTTATATCACGGCTGACCTATGACTCAACTCCATTGTGCATTTCATGCTGAGCTGTGTTTCCCACCAGGAGGCTCACAGGGAGTTCCTGGTACCCACCTAGAGAGGTTCAAATCCATACTTGTTATATCAAATGGCCAGTTCGTGATTATCCTCCTTTGGGGCAGGTGAGTGGGGTCTCCTTGGAGCTGAACTACCTCCAAGGCGACATGTTTGGCAACGGAATATCAGAGCCATACCTTTCTGGTGGTCTTTAGTCCAGTTCCTGAGGCAGGCAGTTGTGCAGTACCCCAGGGCACTAATGGTGACAGGCCAGTCATCCTGGCACATCGGCAGGGCAAATTGGTTATTGGGGGCAGGGAATCCTCACACTCAGCTCCCATTAATCCTGCAACCCAAAGCCCTAACGGCTAGGGTTGTCATAACTGGACAAGCAAGGGAAAACTTGCCAGACAATGCTCTCAATGGTAAGCTAGGCAGTTCAGAGCACAAAAGGAGACCATTCGGTCCATCATGTCTGTGCCGGCTCTTTGAAAAGAGCTATCCAAATCAATCCTACTCTCTCTCCCCATAACCCTACAAACTTGTCCTCCACAAATAATTATCTACAGTTTTAGCTGGTTAGATTCCAGCAGTTACCCCCAACACATACTCTAGATGCTAAGCTTTGGCTCTTGCCAACCCATGCCTAATAACTTCCAGAGTTAGGTAAGTGGAATCCATCCCACCAGGGAGAGTGATTATGGCATTCCAATAATGCAACAAGCATTCATTTCATGTGTGGGTGGGATGTAGGGAATACTGTTTGGTTTGGATACTCTTAAAAATGGTGATCAGTTTCCACGTGTGTCAGACACTTGGCTAACCAAACACAGCTTTGAGAAGTGGTTTGAGACATCTTCCTGAAGTGAAAGATGCTACATAAATGAAAATTGTTTTTTGCTGAAGGGCACCTGTGACCATGTACTGTACAAATGCCTGCAGAAGAGAATCAATTTTTAGAGAAAAGTTGAGAAACAAAACATGTGAAAGTAACATTTGCAAATAGTAGATATCACAAGGCTGATCAGAATGTTTTTGGCTCCCATTCACCTTGGAGTCATTTTATATGTACAAATATCAAGGTTTGAACTTGCAATCAGTGCAGGGCCACAGTACAGCTGTGTTTTACTAATACAGAATGATGCAACACTGATCTGTTTACTCACCAGAAAATGATTCAGGAGATAAAATAATTTCTTACATTGTCAATCGTATCTCATGAACAACTGTTGAAATGATCTTTTGCCAGTTAGAACTTGTTTTGTTGAGAACATGGAACTAATTTAATCATTAGAAGTGCATGACCTTTATTAATATTTGCCACACATTACTTATTACGCATTGAAATTGCCATTGGCTTTACATAGACTGTTGAATAATTGTTTCTGTAATCTTTCTGGATTTTTGCAAAGGTGTTTTGGTGGACAGCATCAAACAGCAAACGGGATGCAGTTACTGGTGACTAAATAGTAAGTGGTGGTGTGGGTGCCCTACTATCTACTGCCAGTCCCAACTTCTCTATAATCTCCAATGGATTCTCATCCCATGGTGACTATGGTGTACTCAAGCTCTCCCCTGTTATCATCTGCAGGCATATGGGTCAATATCCATATTTACCAAATGAAATTGATCTCCACTTTGATTGCAAAGAACATAGTCAGATTTATCAAGTCAACAGATCCAAGATACATGGAATTCAGTGAAGCAAGATAATAAGCTTTGGATATAAGAATAGTGGACAGCAACCTATTCTAAATGGAAAACATTGAGAATTAGGGCACATAAGTCATTACAACAACAACAACTTGCACTTATATAGTGCCCTCCACGCTTGGTGGCATCTCAGAGCTTAACAATGGTGGAGCCCAAGGCTGAGCCAGGGGGAGGGGAAGGTGACCATAGGCACGGTCAAAAAGTCTTCAGGTGCGACTTGAATATGGGGAAGGAGGGGCAAGGCGACAGGGTTGAGGGAGGGAGTTCCACAGTTTTGGGGCGTAATGGCTGAAGGGACGGCCACCGATGGTGGAGCGAAGGATTCGGGGGACACGGAGGAGACTGGACCCAGTAGAGCAGAGGCAGCGGATACTGCTGTGGGGAGAGAGGTTAGAGAGATGGGGTGGGGGGGGGGGGGGGGGCAAGGAATGGAAGGAATTAAACACTATAGTGAGGATCTTGAAGTGGATCCGCTCTGTGACAGGAGCCAGTGGGGTTTGGCCAGGACTGGAGTAATTGGAATACGGAGTTTGGTGCGGGTGAGAATGCGGGCGGCGAAATTTTACACAAGCTGAATTTTGGAGGAGGGGAGACTGGCGAGGAGGGCGTTAGAATCGACTCGCCGAGAGGTGACAAAGGCATGGACAAGGGTTTTGGCAGCTTTTGGGGTGAGGTATTGTCGGAGATGGGCAATGTGGCAGAGGTGCAAGAAAGCAGTGCTGGTCAGGGACCGGACATGGGGGAGGAAGAATAACTGGGGATCAAACCTAATGACTAAGTTGCGCATGGGTTCAGAGAGTTTTAAGAACAGGTCGGGTAGATTGAGGAGGTCGGAACCATGGGACAGAAGATGTTGGCAGGAGCCAAAGGGTATGGCTTCCGTCTTGTGGATGATTAACTGGAGGAAATTTGCGCTCATCCAGACAAGCTGACAGAACATCAGGATACTGAGGGTCGCAGCTGGAGATGGAAAAGTAGAGTTGAGCGTCATCCACATCCATGTGGAAGTTAACCCTGTGTCTGCAGATGACAACACTGAGAGGGAGCATATAGATGAGGAAGAGAAGGGGACCAAGATGGATCCTTGGGGTATCTACCCCACAGGTGACCGGGTGAAAGTGCGAAGAAAAGCCATTTGCAGAAATGTGCTGGTGGTTTATAAGGTAGGATTCGAACCAAGTGAATGCGGTCCCACTGAGCTATGATGGAGGACAGGCGTTGCACGAGGATGGCGTGATCAACTGTGTTGAACGCGATGGAGAGGACCAGGAGGACAAGAAGGCAGAGGAAGCCCTGGTCACAGATAGATTTGTGGCCTTCACAAGCGCGGACTCTGTACTGTGGGCAGCCAAGGCAGAAACTGGACTGGAGGAGTTCGAGTAGGGTGTGGAGGGAGAGATGTGCACAAAGTTGGAAGGCAACAACGCCATTCCAGAGCGTTGGAAAGAAAGGCAGGTTTGAGATAGGGCGAGAGTGGCCGAGGTTGGAGGGATCGAGGGTAGTTTTTTTTTAAGGAGTGGGGTGATGATTGCAGTTTTGAGAGCGAGTGGGACTGATCCTGAGGAGAGAGACTGGTTATAGTGTCTGCCAGCAGTGGGCAGAGGAGGGGGAGCTGAGTGATCAGCAATTGGGTGGGGAGGGAGTCGAGGCAGCAGGTGGTGGGTTTCATTGTGGATGAAAGATAGGAAGGAGAGATGGGGGCAAATGAATGTAGGATAGGGGCGTGGTAGGACCTGAGGGCAGGGTGGGTGAGGGAGATCTAATGGGGGGGGGCGGGGGGGGGGGGGGGGTGTGGTTGGTGACACAGGACAGAGGGATGAAGCTGCCAGGTGGATGTTGACAACATTAGAGGTAAGGAAGCCCATGACCTCTTCGCGCTTGGTGTTAGATGTGATGATTGAGGGAGCGCACGGAGGAGGTGGTAGGGGTTGGAGAATAGGACTGGGGAGTTACTGTTGACCTCCAGTATGATGTTTGAGTCGTGCGCAGTTTTTGCTTGTGACAGGGAGCAGTGGTAGGTGTGAAGATGCTCGAGCCACAGCTGGTGGTGAACCGTTAGGCTGGATTTCTGCCACTTGCACTCAAGCAACCAGGTTTGGGATTTTAGGGAGCGGAGATGGCTGTTGTACCAGGGGGTTCAGGTGGGTTTGGAGACAGTCCTGGATTTCAGGGGGACGAGGGAGTTCAAGATGGAGGAGAGGCGATCATGGAGCAGCTTGACGGCTGCTTCAGGGTTGCTGCAGGTAGAAGGCCAGAGGGATAGGAGGATTAATAGCTGCAAAGAGCTGCAGCATGTTCACCTCTCCCCAATTTGAACAGACTACCAGAGAGAGACTCTCCCTAAATTAATGCACAATCATGACAGACAGAAAAGTAGCTTTATGTTATCAAATCCAGAACCATATAAAATTGTTGTCAAAACATTCATTGATTTATTGATACAAATATTAACTATTTTACAAGCAATGCGACCCCTTTGTCTGAGCAACTCCTGACCAGCAGCATTACTTGTTTTAAAATTTGCTGAAACCGTGGATCAATGGTTAGATCAATATTTTGCGAAACTAGAACTATTACTCAACAGTGCTGGATTATAAACTGGTTCCTGAAGCAGAACTTCACAGCCTCACAGTTCCCACCATGAAAGCAATTCTGCCCTGGGTTTTGCTGACTTCTATTCCAGCCTTAATATCTGCTGATTTCATCATAGCAGATTTAAAGCACCAAAAGGTAAAGCGCTATTCATTTCCAATTTTTTAGTGATTTTTCAATTAACTAAATTATCTTTTAAACTTATTTTTCAATTTGAGCAGAGTAAATCCACAGTCCATTCAGCAAATGCCCAGAGCCCATGGAGAAGGACGTTAAAGATACTAGCCAAATTTATCTGAAGATATTTTGAGTTAGATAATTAGTCCGAAAGATAATTAAGTACAAATTGAAAAGTTAAAGTGTACAAATTTATCACATCTCTGCTGTTTTTCTATTAGGAATTAGATTGCGTGTTTTGGGCTAAACTGCAGGGATTTCTGCCTTGATGATTCATCAGTTTTGTTTGTATATCTTAAGATATTTCTTACTCTGTTGCCTAACTGATAAATGTTCCAGTTTCCTTCAGTCTTCAATAAGAAACAGACAGGTGATTGAAGCCTGAACTACAGTTATATTGCTTCTTTATTTTGAACTTGATACGTTCTCTGAGCTGGGTACTGACCATTGGGCTCATGTGCTGCAGAATGTGACCTAGAAAATAGTACCTGAAATGACAAGCCTTCAGTCTACATTCACTGCTATTTTCTTGCTGTTTTAAAAATAATAATAATAATAATCCTTGCATTTGATATAGCACTTTTAATGTCTTCAAGATGTCTCAAAAAAATCATAGAAATGCAGCCAAGAAGGAGGTGTTTGGCACAGATTCCCAGAGTGAGCTGTCCATTCAGACACACTGCATTGGCTCCCCTTCAAGTTGCTATCTTTCATGTACCTTTCTACATCCCCTCAATACTCCCTCTGCCACTTTCCTTGGCGGGGGATTCTACAAGTGAAAAAGGTTCTCCTAAACACTCTTTTCACTCTTTTTGTGTCTATCTTATATCTGTGTCCCCATATCACCAAATTCCCCACCAGTGGAAACAGCTTCTCTCTATTTACCACTCATCATTGTATTTACCTCCATCAGATCCCCACTCAACCTTCTCTGCTCCAATTAAACAGACCCAAATTCTCCGATCTCCTCATTATCACAGCCCCTCATTCAGGGGAATCATTTCCTAAAATTGTATGTCCAATTCAACTTTTTCTAATTTTTCCCCCAAATAACATATGTCTCTGCTCCTGGTCCTTCCCTCCTCTTGCTGGCGTCCAGTTCTACAGGCACCTGTTTACCTCTTTTTTATTAATGAGTTGGATTATTGAGCTCTGCTGCCTGTATCTGCCCATTGCAGTACAGTTACCAATGCGAACCTGAAGTCCATCAGTCAGGTCTTTGTTAGAAATTGATTTATTTTGTGCACTGTCTAATTATACAGCACAATCTTATCAACATTATGAATAACTGTATGAATAACTGATGTTCTTTTTCCCTTGTTGGAAATAGAAAAGAAGCGTCGATGGGCACCCCACTAAAGTAGGTCTAATTCCTGATATTGCTGCTCTGTAATGGTTCTGTGTAGTGTAACTGACTTTAACCTAAGTTGTGCCACAGATTCGAAAAAACGTTGCAATTTTGATGATGTAACTGTTCAGTTTGGATATTTCTAATTTCAACAATAAGCAGAATGTCTCTGTGTTTGTTCAGTCTGTACTGGAACTGAAAATAACCCCCACTTAATATCAATTTACTATATGTATTTACATCGGACTTCTCTGGACATTATTAAGTGTTAAATATAATTTCTTGCACATAAAAACATAATCCTTGCATCCGATATAGCACCTTATCACATCGATGAAATGTTTCAAAGTGCTTTGCAGGATTTACTGTTGAATATAGTGAATGATTTTTTGGCGAATACTGGCATACATTAGTGTTCATATTATCTTTATTTTTCAGCAAGTGAAGGAGCTTGAAATTTACAGTTTTAAGGTTGATTGCAAAATTACATCTCGATTCGCTCGCAATGTGGTGACCAGTCGGGTAGTGAACCGAGCGAATGAGTCCAAAGAAGCTTTGTTTGATGTACAGCTGCCCAAAACAGCCTTCATTGCCAACTTCAGCATGTGTGTATTTGCTCTGTTACTTGAGATAATTTGTGTGTAAATAGAACAGTGAACTTTGTGACAAACTCCCTGACTAATCACAAGATTGGTTTGAACGAAAAACATCCTACGGCTCATCTGATCTCAGCCATAACCTTCAATCCTCTCATAACAGCATCAAGCTGCCTTGGAAGCACTCCGGGACACTACCCCACTTGACAGGCTATATTAATGCAAGTTGTTGCTTAAATGAGTCCAGTGTCCTGGCCTCAACCGCTCTTGTTGGCAGCCTGTTCCAGTTGTTAATTAACCTCTGAGTAAAGAAAAACTTCCTGGTATCTGACCAGAAATTGCTTTACAACTTTAAACCTGTGACTTCTTGTCCTACTGTTTCGATGCATTCTAAAGTATTCTGAGTTTACTTTTTCAATCCCATTTAACATTGTACAGTATTTTCTTGACCACTAACAGCGGTGTCCAACCACGAGGTGGCGCTGTCTCACATGATCAACGAGTGAAGAGGCTGGAGCTGTAGAACTGGGTCTTATTGAGTCAAATCAGATTTCATGCCACTGGAAATAAATATATAAAACTTAATGTTAAGCCTGAGGTAAATATTGCTCATGACTATTGCTTTATTAAGCAAATGCAGAACACCGCCTAGTACTGATCGATTGATTTGTCTATAGGGTCCTCGCTGAGTCAGCGATTCTCAAGCTTGAAGAGCCCCATCTTATCTAATTGCTGCTCATTCCTCCAACACTTGGGATCATCCTCTAAACTGCCTTCAGGCCATTTAATCCACATTCTGCTGACAAATGTGAAAGTCGTCCTGATTGGACCAACTCAGATTTTTTGTTTGGTTCAAAGTTTCCTTTGAGGATAATACAAAATGCCATTTGTAGCACATTTCACGTTGGGAGGATGTCCCAAGGCGCTGGACGATAAAGGAGGAAATGAGAGATGAACCAGCAAGAGACAGACTGGGGCTGAGAACAATGAATCGGGGATACTGTATACTAATTCTGTGTTCTAATGCTAGGATTATAGATGGGGTGGTTTACGTTGGAGTTGTGAAGGAGAAAGAAGTGGCTAAGCAGCAGTACCAGCAAGCAGTCGCACGAGGGCAGACAGCAGGTCTTGTGAAGTAAGGATCAAAGGGCTTCTTTTCAATCTTCCTCAGTCATTTTGCCTCCTTTCCCCACAAAGACAAGCCTCATGAAGGGATGGGACACAACCTAAATCAGGTCACTGATTCCCAGAATGTACTTCTCTCCAGATATTTACCAGTTATAGAATCTTTCCCACAATATTAATGTATGTCTGAACAATTTGATTACATGGGAGAAGGTGTGACATCTCATTTTAATGGACAAAACTGACTTTTTGGATAAAGCGATCTCAGTGTAGTCTTGCATGTTAACTCACCACTACAAATGTCTAATTCTGTCTTGATAGGAATTCTCTCAGAAAACTATTTATATGGGAGTTGTTTGTATCAATTTTTGATGAATTAATCATTTAACTGCCATTGAATGTTCATTGAATGTTCCAAAGACATTCGAGCTTCCTAAAGCATTTATTCTCAAGTAAAAGCTTTTTTTAGTAAAGCAACATTTTAACCTGTGTATGGTTTAAGATATATGCTTCACATTTTTCATGAATGATTTAGGTTAGTTAATTACAGACGGGGGCTATTTTACATTTTAAAAAATCTGTTTTATATTCTTCGTGTCCAAAGAGTAACTGGAAGGAAAATGGAAAAGTTTAAAGTTTCAGTAAATATCGCAGCAGCTAAAAAAGTAACATTTGAGCTGGTTTATGAAGAATTACTCAAGCGTAAACTGGGGAAATACGAGATGGTGATCAGAGTAAAGCCTGAACAGCTTGTCCAGCATTTCCAGGTATGTAGCAGGGATGGGAGCTAGCCACTGTGGCACTTGTCCAACCAGGGCCCACTGACTCCTCATGAAGTGCACCTACACAACAACAACAATATCAACAACATGTCCTTGAAATGTGCAGCGCTTGTGGAAATGGTTGTGAAAAAGCTAATATTATTCAGGGTTTATACATAGGGACATAGAGTACAAATGTAAAGGAATAATAATAATCCTTGCATTTGATATAGTGCCTTATCACGTCTTCTAGATGTCTCAAAGCGCTTCACAGAATAGACTGTAAAGTGAATTGACTGTATATTTGTGGGTGAAACACTGCAGCCAATTGCACACAGCAGCATCCCACAAACAGTCGTGGATTGAAAATAACCAATTTATTATTGTTTTTGTTTTTGGAGGGATTATTATTAGGTGTGTGGAGTCAGGAAACTTGCCCAAGATTTTCCTCTGCCTGGAATTGAACTCAGGTGTCTCGCTTGCAAAGCGAATGCTCTAACCACTGAGCCACAGGATGCCACAATCCCAGGGATGAGGGGCATTAGTTCTAAAGAGGGTGAATTAGTTGGGTCTGTTTTTCATTGGCGTAAAGAAGATTGTGAGGCTACCTGATAGAAATGTATATCATTCTGAGGGGTTTTGATGCTAAGTAATGGGAAGCTATTGTCATTGGTAGGTTTGTCAGTGAGTAGGGGCCACAGTTATAAGACAATAAAGTTTAGGAGATTTTTTTCACTCAGAATAGTTGGGATGAGGAATGCTAGAGGCAGAGTGTGTTCTGGGTTTCAGAGGGAAGTCAACATGTATATGAATGTTAGCGGCTTGAAGGCCTATGGCAACATGGCAAGAGCAGAGGGAGTGAAAGAACAGCTTCCTCTCAGACTGGGTGCAGAATTGATCGGCCAAAGGCCTGCTTCTGTGCTATGAATTTCTATAATTGTAAAAAATATTTTATTTCCTCTGTGCCTATTTTCAAATGTTTAACAAACATGTTAACACTAATTACATTCCATCACATTTCAACCTCTCCAGATTGATGTCCATCTGTTTGAACCACAAGGCATTGCCTTTTTGGATGTTAATGCAACATTTTTAACAAATGATTTAATGCCAATTGTGAAAAAGACTCTAACAGGAAAAAAGGTACATTATTAATAATAATAATAATCTGCATCCTTGCATTTTGTATAGTGCCTTTCATGTTGGGAGGATGTCCCAAAACTCTTCACAGAATTTACTATGAAGTAGAGTGATTGTGTATTTGTAGACAAACATAACAGCCAATTGCACAAACAATGATCTGCAAACAGCCATGATTTGAATGACCAATCTTATTTGGGGTATTTTTGGCCAAGATACTGGGAGAAATCTCTTCTCAAATAGTGCCATAGCACCTTTAACATCCATCTAAACGGGACCTCACTTTAATGTCTCATTCAAAGGACAGCACCTCCGACAATGCAACACCACCACAGCATTACATTGGAGTGCCAGCTTAAACTATGTGAGTTCAAGTCCCAATGTGGGGCTCAAACCCACAACCTTCTGGCTCAGAGGCATGAGTGCTGCTAACTGAGTCAGGCTTGACAGACTGTTGTATACTTTGAGGTTTACACATGTGGATATGACAATCTTACCGTGAATTGCTGTGTGATTCAGGCTCACATTTCCTTCACACCAACACTGGATCAGCAGAGTGCCTGTACCAGTTGCCAGAACACTGGCTTGGATGGAGATTTTATTATGACTTATGATGTGGACCGAGACCTGTCGGCTGGGAACATAGCGGTAGGCAACTACAACAACAACAACAAGATTACATTTGTATCATGCCTTTCAAGTCGGGAGTACGTCCCAAGGCGCTGGGACGTTTAGCTAATTCATTATTACGTTTTGAGTGAAAAGCTGTTAGCATTCATTATTTTAACACTTCTTTTTTCCAGATAGTGAATGGATATTTTGTTCATCATTTTGGACCTGCAAATCTACCTAGAGTTCCTAAAAATGTTGTCTTTGTGATTGACCAGAGTGGCTCCATGATGTTTACAAAAATGTTCCAGGTAAGGAAGCTGATTATGGGAAGGTTGGTTTAGTTCCTCAACGTCTCCTTGATCTCATTGTTTGTCCAAAAGAATGCTCATTTGGGTTGAAGATATTCCCATGAAATGCCAGGAGAAAACGGTCAGTTCTGTATAATCCAAATACAGTCGCTTGTTAACCAGCTGTTTGGCTCTTCAGTGCAGCCAACAGCCAACAGCTGGCGCCATCCCAGCTGGACAAGTATTGAGCCTCACAGTTTCTGTTAGTTTGACCAAAACTGCAGATAATAATAATAATAATAATAATAATCCTTGCATTTGATATAGCGCTTTTCACGTCAGGAGGACGTCCCAAAGCCTTACAGAACACACTGTAAAGTGAATTGACTGTATATTTGTGGGCGAACGCGGCAGCCAATTGCGCACAGCAATGTCCCACAAACAGTCGTAGATTGAAAATGACCAATTTAATTATTGTTTTTGGTTTTGGAGGGATTATTATTAGGCTCTGTGTGGAGTAAGGAAACTTGCCCAAGGTTTCGCCCTGCCTGGAATTGAACTCAGGTCTCTCACTTGCAAAGCGAGTGCTCTAACCACTGAGCTACAGGACTCCACAAAGATAAGAGACAAAGCAAACTATTACCCTGTATCCTCCACCTGAGCAACTCCACACCCACCACTGAAGCTGGTCTATATCTATTATTGGAGCCCTGTCTGCACCAGTGCAGCTCAGTGTGCAAGACTGCTGTTAACATTGCAACACTTTCTGCCACCATTACATCGCCAAGTTCCACCAATGCTGCTTCGCACTGATCATTAGAAGATGCCTGATATCAGCCTCTTCCTCCAGTTTGTTCCTCCTCACAACGACTGTCAACCCTGTTGTAATGTGTCACTATGTTCTGTGTATTCGTAATGTGTGTCTGTGTGGATATGAAACTGCATTTTTTTATTTGGTCATGTATTGTTTTTCGGTGTTTTGTTTCTTACAGACTAAGGAGGCACTTCACAAAATTTTAGATGATTTAAATACGGAGGATAATTTTGCATTCATTTCATTTTCTTCGAGTTTTAGAAAATGGAAGAATTCCTTAATCAGAGCAACTACAGCGAACGTGGTTGAAGCTCATAAATATGTTAGTGAGCTTCACGCCGGTGGAGGTAAAGCAACTCTTCATTACCGTTTTTAAACAAAAACAGAAACTTTATTATAGTATAATTTTAAAATTAAAAAACGAATGATGAGCTTTAGAAGTAAGACAAGGGCTTGAGAAAACAACAACTTGCATTTATAATGGGTCCTTCAAATGGGTAGCATCTCGGAGAGTTTAACAGCGGCAGCTCAGCCAACAGAAAAGAGCAAATTACCTGCTTTTTTATCGTATTTTAAATCATGTTGAATTCTCTCAAAATGTTTTACAATAATGACTGTCAAGTATTGTGATTATTTTTGTTGCTGGTTTTGCACCGGCAACATCTCACAAATAGTTGATTAATCTTGGGGATTGTTGGTTAATACACGTGGTGAAACTCGCTTCTCTCTTTCAATTGTGAACTGGGATTTGACAGTGTGTGGTGTGGGTGTTTGGTGTGGGTGGCAGTGTGTGGTGTGGACAGTGTCAGCGAACTCTCCCCACACCCCCTCCAGTTCCTGCTTATTCTTAAACTTAAATTGAAAGCTTGAAAAGTCAGCTAAGAGTTGATTTTTTTTGTCCGTAATGAGAGAATTTTTCTTTTGTTTCAGGAACGAACATAAATGACCCTCTGTTGGAAGCAGCAAAACTTCTGGATGACGCTCACAATCTGGGGCAGGTACCCGAGAGAAGCGTCTCCATGATCATTCTGCTGACTGATGGCGACCCCAATTCGGGTGAGCAAAGCTCAATGTCATTCTGCGGTACCGTATGTCCTTTCACTCTTGGAAAAACTCCATCCCTCCACTCACTGAGCACTCACCCTAATACATAGGAAATAACGTGCTCTGATCAACGGGAAATAGGCATTTTTATTAAATGAATAGTTCTAATTTTTTTATTATTTTATTGCAGGAGAATCCAATCCCACCAAGATCCAATCCAATGTTAAATATGCCATCAATAACAAGTACAACTTGTACTGTCTGGGATTTGGTTACGATGTTAAATACAGTTTTCTCGAAAAAATGTCCATAGAAAATAGCGGCATAGCTCGACGGATTTACGAGGATTCCGATGCAGCTTTGCAACTGCAGGTAATGTGAGGCGTCAGTGTCTGTATGTGAGGGTAATATATTCAATACTATAACTGCAAGTACGGTAATGCCGTGATATAATTTATTCATTTGCTTCTTTCAAACTTGTGTTCGAATGCGGACTAGGGAATTTAAATGCAAATGTTCTGTAATATGGCAAATGCAAAACCAAATGATTCATCTTTTTCGTCGCATTTGAATGTAAATTCAAATGTGTTGTCTCCAAATGCAAATGTACTGGAAGCCCATGTGGCATTTTATTATAATATTATTGATACGTTTGGTCAACTTCAACTGTTTCAGACATTTAGATCCAGTATAAATGTGGTAACTTTTGTCTCGAGCACATTTAATCCTAAAATGCATTTGGACCAAAGTCTGGTTCCTTTCAAGATATTGATATTAAATGTTGATGCTTACCAAATGAATGAATCTGTATGAATAGCCCAATGATAATCTCCCGGTTTATTTTATAACATAAAATGCCATGTGCGCCCTGGCCAGTCATCCTATCCTGTGTACAATGCAATACGTTTATCTACAAACATCTATCTCCATCGAGGTTCCCTTCGAGAGGGTGTCCCCGATGTAGATTCGTACAGAAACGAGGGAAAAGAAGGCGATCGATCATCATGTTGGAAATAGGAAAGAAGAAGTTATCAAGTTGAAACAACTTGTGTATTTCTTCAAACAGTGACGAGTTAGTATTAAGAGTATTATACGCTGCTCCACTGCGGTGCGTTAGTACATTGCGACATGAAAGGCGCTAACGTCAATGTGGATTATATTGTACTGTAAGACGAGACTGATCATAGAATAGCAACATCACTCACAGAGAGAATTTAATCCACAACTGGAACTTTTACCATTTTTTGCAATTTCAGATTTGTGCCTTTTTTTTGTTGCTAAATATTTAAATTCCTTAACTCTGTTCATTCTAATCAATTTGTCAGTAATAGTAAGATAATGACTTTTTTCATCTCTTTTTTTAAACAGGGCTTTTATAATGAGGTGGCAAACCCACTGCTTTTGAACGTTGAATTACAATACTCGCAGAATGCTGTGTCAGATGTGACCCGGAGCACATTTAAACAGTATTACGATGGCTCGGAGATTGTGGTGGCTGGAAGGATTGCAGACAATGATCTAGATATGTTCGTTGCTGATATTAGAGCACAGGACGTATGTTTACATTACTAAATTCGGTTACTAGTTGCTAGTTATCAAATACAACTCATGTTGACAGTATGTTATTACCTAAATTGTCAGGTTGAACATAAGGTTCAGTTGTGTTGTGTTCTGTACAATACAGTGGAAATATGGTCCAATAATTCAGTCTTAACAATTACTGCAAACTGAGTGAAATGGGGTGGGCTGTGCCAGTAAAGGTGTCGCTTGTGCAGAGATGTCTACAGTTGCTGTACAGAGAGCCACACTCACTGCTTGATTCCCTAACAGGCCAACAGTAACATCACGATGACTTATGAGGTCAGTATGTCGGAGGTTGATAATATTACGCAGCAGCAACAATATATTTTTGGAGACTTCACCGAACGCATGTGGGCTTATCTGACCATCCAACAACTGTTACAGCAACGGTAAACTCATGGCTCTTGGCTTTGAAATCTAAAGTAGATTATCTTAATAATAGTGGCAATAACATTTATCTTTTTGTTGTTAACCGTACCGTGTATCAGCTGCTATTCTCACAGTCACAGCACGACCCCCCCCCACCACCACACAGCACACAATCATTCTATCCCGCACAGTAGTTGTGGATCTCAGGCCAATGCTCATCCTTATGTAACTGAGAGCCGTTGACTGTTCTCACCTGTACTGACTGCTCAGAATCTCTGTTTGCATTTCTTTCACCACAGATGTTAGTCTGAACTTGTGTACAATCTAAACAGTTGCAAATAATCACATTAAATCTGCGGTGCTTGTTTGGTGTAACACTAATTCAGCTGATTTGCCACATTTAGGATTTCAGTTGGTTCTGAGGAGAAGAAACTTCTGACAGACAGAGCGCGAGAACTTGCCTTGAAGTATAATTTTGTAACTCCACTGACGTCAATGATTGTGACAAAACCAGAGGAACAGATGGATCAGGGAGAGTTTTTGGCAGAGAAACCAGTAGAAGGAGGTATAATAATAATAATAATGTCTCAATAATAATAATAATCCTTGCATTTGATATAGCATTTAAAATGAAAAAAAATCTTTCAAAGTGTAAACCGGATAATTTTATGATAATGTGTGAGCAGAGGCACGAGTCTGTTAGATGTTTAAAGAGACTTGTTGGGATATTTTTCAGACCGCCCCCATCAAGCACAAAAGTATCACTCTCCAAGTCATTCAAGGATATCAGGTAACTTCATTTTATTCATTTTTATTATGTTGAGTGATGTTGTGGAGAGATAACTCTTCATTCCGGTAGATCCCACCCTCAACACCGATATCAATTAGTCTAAGGAGAAAATATATACTTTAGCAGATGTTTTCCTCCAGATCCGTGGTCTTTTGTTAGTGTATCTCATAACAATGTTTACCAGTAATTCTACATAAAACGTAACCACTCATTTTTAAAAAAATGTAATGTGTTCAATTATTTTTCCATGTTCTCCGTGCTGGCATTTATATAGCGCTCTGGGATGCTACCTTGCGTGAGGGGCACTGTACAAATGCAGGTGGTTGTTGTTGTTGTTGTCTATCCTTTGCTCCACCTGGTCTGGCCTTCTTTTGTTGGCCACTGTGGCCTCCGGTTCTCTGCCCAAGTGGCCATTGTTCATGTCTGAGCCTCAGCAGTGAGTGTGGGCAGTCACTGGACTGTAGAGGGTGTCACACATTTGCATACAAAGTAGAGGATTCTGTAGAGGGACCAGGAACAGGAATTCTGGCTTATTTGACCCTTCCCAACCCTGGGACCAACCAAGCCTTGAGACCAGCAAATGTAGCACGAATCAGGATTTGAACCAGTGAACTGTTAGTGTGGACATTACAGGTCTATCCACAATGCCATCAGAATTACCCCAAGTTAGAATATTGGTGTGTGACTTTAGCAGTTAGATTAAAGGATTATATAATTTGTCATCAATAATAGGTTTATACCTATTCAAATGCAAGGACTATATTATTATTACCTGACTTGGGCCAATAGAAAAGTATGGCCGCACTTTCCCCGCCGAATCCGCCAATCACCATCCTCTGCTTCAAGCCCGCTATAAATAGTTTGTGGCCCGCCGGCCGCCCGGCTGTTTACCCAACGTCATTATGGGTAGGGCAGCTCAGGACATGCATTCGTGGGGCGGCGCAAGCGGCAAATGGCTTCACTCACAAGCTCCGCTGTTGTGATTGTCTGTGTGTGTGTGTGTTTGTGAGTGTGTATCTGTGTGTGCGTGTGTGTGTGTGTGTATGTGTGTACATGTGTGTGTCTGTGTGTGTGAGTGTGTGTCTCTGTGGGTGTGTGAGAGTGTCTGTCTGTGTGCGTGTGATGACACCCAACTCTATCTTTCTGCCTCCATCCTCAACTCCAGGACCACTGCTGTCCTGACAGACAGTCTGTCTGCCCCCACCATCAGCCCCAGACCCACTGCTGTCCTGACAGACTGTCTGTCGGACATCAAGTCCTGGATGAGGGCAAATTTCCTACAGTTGAATGTGAACAAATGTGAGGCCTTCCTGATTGGCTCACGCCAGCGCCTCAGCACCTCAGGCTCTGGCAGCATCAACCTCCATGGTTGCAAACTACAACTCACCAGCCAGTCAGGAACCTCGGTGTCTTGTTCGACCCTGAACTGTCTTTTATTTCCCGCATGCAAGCCATGACCCGCTCTGCCTTCCCTCACCTCCGTAACATCGCCCGACTCCGCCACTACCTCACCCCTCAGGCCACTGAAACTCTTGTTCATGCCTTCATCACCTCCAGGCTTGACTATGCAAACGCCCTGCTCGTCGGCCTTCCCAACTCCTCCCTCCACACCCTGCAGGTAATCCAGAACTTTGCAGCCCGTGTCCTCTCCCGCACCAAACTCCGTGACCCCATCTCCCCCACTCTCGCCCAACTCATTGGCTCCCTAACCTTCAGAGGATCCAGGTCAAAATCCTGGTCCTCACCTACAAAGCCCTCCATGACCTCGTCCCACCCTACCTCTGCACCTCCTAACCCCCTACCAACCCGCCCGCTCCTTCCGCTCAGCCGGCTCTGGCTGCTCCACGTCCCCCGACCCACCCGACCCACCATTGGGGGAAGAGCCTTCAGCCATTCTGCCCCCAACCTCTGGAACTCCATTCCCCAATCACTCTGCCTCGTACCCTCCTTAGCCTCCTTCAAGTCCCGCCTCAAAACTCTCCTCTTTGACCATGCCATTGGTCACCCCCCTTCCCCTCCCCTCCCTTCTTCCCCCTGACCCCAGCTCGGGTCTGAAATGCTGTACTCTGTCCAGCGCCTTGGGACGTCCTCCCAACGTGAAAGGCGCTATACAAATGTAATCTTTTTGTGGTTGTGTGAGTATGTGTGAGTGAGTGTCTGTCTGTGTGTGTGAGTGTCTGTGTGTGTGAGTGTCTCTGTGTGTGACTCTGAGTGTGTGTGTCTGTCTGTGTGTGAGTGTCTGTGTGTATGAGTGTCTGTGTGTGTGTCTGTGTGTCTCTGTGTGTGTGAGTGTCTCTGTGTGTGTCAGTGTGTGTCAGTGTCTGTGTGTCTCTCTGTGTGAGTGTCTTTGTGTGTTTCTGTGTGTGTGTCTGAGAATGTCTTTGTGTCTCTCTGTGTGAGAATGTCTTTGTGTGTCTGTGTGTGTGGGTGTGTCTGTGTGTGTGTGAGAGTGTCTATGAGTGTGTGTGCGTGTGATGACATTGTATCATTTGTCTTCAGCAGGTTCATACCATTCGACCAGCGGTAAGTCATCTTTTTGGTCCACACTGGAGTTTCTCCAGCTTTATAGGAGAAGCACAGTAACATGGGCAGGCTGTGTGAGTGTCTGTGTGTGTGTGTGTGTGAGAGAGAGTGTCTGTGTGTGTGTGAGAGAGAGAGAGTGTCTCTGTGTGTGTGTGTGAGAGAGAGAGTGTCTGTGTGTGTGTGAGAGAGAGTGTCTCTGTGTGTGTGTGTGAGAGAGTGTCTCTGTGTGTGTGTGTGAGAGAGAGTGTCTGTGTGTGTGTGTGTGAGAGAGAGTGACTGTGTGTGTGTGTGTGAGAGAGAGTGTCTGTGTGTGTGTGAGAGTGTCTGTCTGTGTGAGTGTCTGAGTGTGTGTGAGAGAGTGTCTTTGTGAGTGTATGTGTGTGAGTGTCTTTGTGAGTGTGTCTGTGTGTGTGAGTATCTGTGTGAGAGTGTCTCTCTGTGTGTAAGCGAGTCTGTGTGTGTGTGTGTGAGTGTCTGTGTGGGTGGGTGAGAGTGTCTGTCTGTGAGTGTGTCTGTGTGAGTGTGTCTGTGAGTGTGTGTGTGAGAGTGTCTGTGTGTGTGTATCTTTGTGTGTGTGTGAGTATCTTTGTGTGTGTGTGTGTCTCTGTGTGAGAGTGTCTGTGTGTGTGTGTGAGTGTGTTTGTGTGTGTGAGAGTGTCTGTGTGTGTGTGAGTGTGTTTGTGTGTGTGAGAGTGCGTGTGTGTGTGTGTGTGAGTGTCTTTGTGTGTCTGTGTGTGTGAGTGTGTCTCTCTATGTGTGAGAGTGTCTATGAGTGTGTGAGAGTGTCATTGTATCATTTGTCTTCAGCAGGTTCATACCATTCGACCAGCGGTAAGTCATCTTTTTGGTCCACACTGGGGTTTCTCCATCTTGCTCTTGTTGGATATAGGAGAAGCACAGTAACATGGGCAGGATGTAATGGGAGCGAGGGGAGCTGGGATGATGTTGCGTGGCTGAAAGCTTGCCTACTGATAATTTGGTGGTTTGTGTGGGGGAAATGAAGCAGCCGGGTGTTAGTTGGGGGGAGGTTAGCTTAGCTGCTGTGACTGTAGAGTTTTAGAACTTCACAGACTCAGGTGCAGGAGAGGACATGGGCTGCAGAGTTCTGGATGGTCTACAGCTGAGTAGGGAGGAGCCTGGCATAGTAGGGTTGGATGTGATGAAGATGTGAATGAGGTTCTCAGCAGCTTGGTAGAGAAGAGTAGCAGAGGTGAACAATGTTACTGATTTGCAATGGTGAGCAATGTTACTGATTTGCAAAAAACAGAGTAATTTAACTTACAGTAATCATTTATTTAATTAAAGTTAAATTAAGTTATATTATTTATATTGTTGATGTCTTTTTCAAGTTGACAGCGATCCTCATTTTCTCATTGCAATGAGGCCACCAAATGATGCTGTCTGTTTCAACATCGATGAGAAGCCTGGTGTAATTCTCAACTTGGTCACTGACCCGGTCACAGGTGGGAATCTTAGTCTTTCAGATGCTTAATGAGATCATGGCCCACCCCCACACAGTATTTCAAAGGATTAACTTGGATTTGTAGACAGGTGATTTATATCATAGCATCCCACAAAGGTTTCTGTTTGGGCAAGTCAAACAGGAAACAGTAAAAAACACTAGTTACATCCCTGCAACTCCAGTTTTCTCTCTTTAATACCAATATTGGTTCCAATTGAAATATGAGCAAAACCACACTGCTTGGACAGGAAAGATTCATCTTCAGCTCAGATTGTACATAATAAAAATAAAATAATAATAAAAGGGTCAAATTTAGCACTGGAACAGATGTCGCAGAGCAAGTATACTGAGGGTGAATAGGAGACCATTGCAAAATTCAAAAGGATAATAAATATGGAAATGCTGAAGAAATAAAGATAATTGACTATGTTTAGTGATTCAGAAAGAAGTGTTGTTCTTTTGAAATGGATTTTATCCAGTTAAAACAATTTAAATTATACAAAGCTAGAAATAAACACAGATAACTAACATTATGTTAATTTGAGGACCATTGAATGCCATCTTGAGTGATGTCTTTATTTAACCAAGTTCTAGATCCTCGACTTAACTTTTAAATCCATTCCATTGTCTTGCCACACCCTACCCATCAAAACCCCGTCGCTCCCTGTGTTTAGTGGGCACTCACCTGCTTCACGTGGCCTGACCCACCATCTGAGTTTGGGCTTTCAGCATATCTGCCCCCATTCTCTGAGGAACGCCATCTTGGAATCTCTTCAACTTCCTTCAAAGCCCGCCTCAAGACCTTCTTCGACCACACTTTTGGCCATCTTTCCTCCTCTCACCCCTACCCCTAGACCCTCACCGCCAGTTCGGATACAAACCTTAAACTGCCCAGCATCTTGGGACATCCTCCCGACGTGACAGGCGCTCAATAAATGTCATTTTGTTGTTGATGTTGTTGTACACCTTCCCCGGTAGTGACTGCTCTCCAAAGCTATTACAGAATGTCCTGGAAGTATATCCTCATGAGTAATCAGACCTTCAGTTAGGTATTATACATCAATCATGTCTTTAATTCAGAATAAATAACCTTTGGTTTTGTGATCAAGATTATACTGAAACTTGCTGCCCAAGGCATAAACCATTGCGACCGTTCACAAAGAGCTCCCAGATAGTCTGACTATTGATCAACCTTCTGCATGTTTCAGATTTGTGACAAAATTAAAAATCAAAAACATGCCTTCGGTCACCCTCCTACTCCCATCTTCCCTTCCCTCCACTCCTGATCCCAACTCCCAGCTCGGGTGCAAATCCTTGACTGTCCAGTGTCTTGGAATGTTTTCCCAACATGAATGGCTCTATACAAATGTAATTTCTTGTTGTTGAATTAGACATTTTTTTGAAAGTCATGATATCCCTTATATTTTAGTTGCACAAAGTTGACTCATCCAATAAAACTTAATATTCAGAAGGTGTGTTTAAAGATGTTATCCTAATATTACCCACAACTCTTATTATCAAAAAGGAGGGAGTATTTTCTAGAATAGTCCAGTACTTTAGAATGATCTATTGCTTGATAATATATGCTTTAAAACTTCAATATAGGTTTTGTGGTGAATGGAGAACTGATTGGGGACAAGAAGACAGAAAATAATAAGAAAGTAAACACATACTTTGGAAAGTTTGGGCTTGTGTACAACAAAATGGAACTAAGGATGGAGATCACAACACAGGAAATCAAACTGTTCCATGGTGCGGACATCACAAGATTCCCCTGGTCAGCAACAGCGACCTCAACACACGCTGGGTAATGTTTACAGTCACACCTTCTCATTACAGCACTCCGGTCAACGCTAATTACACTAAACCCCAGCTATAGCTGGACAAATGGGGTGGGGGGGAGATCTGGTCCAGTTAGCTGCAATAATAATAATCCTTGCATTTGATACAACGCCTTACCACATCTTCGAGACGTCTCAAAGTGCTTCACAGAATATAATAATAATAATGTTTGCATTTGTTATAGTGCTTTTCATGTCTTCTAGACGTCTCAAAGCGCTTCACAGAATATACTGTAAAGTTAATTGACTGTATATTTGTGGGTGAAACTGGAATCTCTGGCCAAGTGTAACTACAATCAATGCCTTTAATTGGTTTTATCAGTGCTGGAAAATGCCAGTGAATCCTGTCACCAGCATTGTTATTGTTGGAATCCTGTGAGCAGATAGATGATAGCTTATTCGCAAAATTCAAGAATTACAATAGTGAATAAACTATCTTTTGCTCCCGGGATTCAAACTGTGTCGAAGTGGGTATCCCTGGCCATTGAAGGCCAGCGAGTAGGGTGAGGTGATAGGATAGTGAGTCTATACATGAGCTTGTGAACCCCATCTCAGGGTTGGTACCCGCATCCAGTAACCATGGATTTACTCTATTCCTAATTACAATTAGCTTCAATTGACATAAATATACCTGGGGTCTTTGCATGTCAAACCTGATGTGTACAGTTCCTGCTCAATGTAGCCGTTTAGTATAAAAATATTCTTGGAATTATTCTGAATTCACTCTGTCTAGAGAAGTCATCAGTAAGTATTTATTTAGTGTAGTTTGCCGATTATCTTCCTGAGTATCGTAATGTTTGCTGGGTAACTTCCAGCAGAGTGTCTCTGAATAGTCATCAGGAAAAGGTACCCTGGGTGATTATGTCTTCACTCACAACAAACTCCCCTTGTCCAGCTTCCCAATCTTTGACAGACTCCACTGGTTCCACTTTGAATAAATTGACTTCAGATTTCTCATGCCTTCACACCCTAGAATCTCCCACTTCTCTTCCCATCCCTTCACTCAGCTAACAGGCTTGTGGTGTCCCCCCCCCCCCCCCCCCCACACACACACCTATCCATTGTGGCTGGGCCTTCAGTATATAGTATATGCCCACTTACATCAATCGCTCTACTTCATCCCCTTTATCTTTACATCCAACCTGAAACTCTACCTCTTACCCTTCTCCCTTGTTTGGGTCCAATCCCACCACAATACAGCAATTTGAGGTACCACGCTACTTGAAGAATGCCATATAAGTTGTAATTAATATTTTGAATCTATAATAAATCATCTCCAATATTGTTTCCAGCTTCGCAATCACCATCAATAAGGAAAGAAATCTGATAGTCACAATGGGAGTTGATGTAACATTTGTTATTCTGCTCCATCGGGTCTGGAAGAATCACCCACTACACCAAGACTTCCTGGGCTTTTATACCTTGGACAACCACAGGTTTTCAAGTCAGACCCTTGGATTACTTGGTATGAACAATATTCACTTCATTATCCTCTGCTGCTTTGCAAAATCCAACTTTGCAGGTTTTGTTATCAAATTTGCTGATGGCTACATGGTATGAACACTACAGATATTGTGGGTTCCTTAGCTTAGATACACTCACAGTAACTGAACTTCAAGGTACATATATTCTCTGGGAGTCCCTCACACACTGCACCCTCTTCCTCACTCAATGATTCCATGCTACAGTACAATGAAATTGTCAAACAATATTGTTGCTTTGAGCAGAATGTTCTCCCATTGACTACTTTTTAACTCAATTATACATAAAGTATTAGGAAAATATTCAGAATTGACAGTGTCACAATAGTCATTAGACCTTTATTTATATAATAAATTGCACTTTGCAGTTCCCTGTATATTTAGTTTTCTCATTCTGATGCACTATTCAATCAAACTCAAGCAAGCTCTCCTCACTCCTCATTCAGGTCAATTTTACCACCCAATCGATGCTGAGGTGTTCAACATTCGCCCCGGATTTGATCAAGGCAAAGTGGATGCAACAATGTTTGTAAAAGGTCACAAGCTCACAGTAACCAGGTAGAATGTTTTAATGTTTGATGTGATTTCATTCTTTGTGGTTTCTTGTGTTTTTCCTTTTTAAGCCATTAACTTTTACACATATTTTATTGATGACTTTAATTTTAGGGGGAACCAGAAAGATTACAGACTGGACCCAAAACACGGAACCGATGTCCCATGCTGGTTTGTTCACAATAGCGGAAAAGGATTTATTGATGGAAACCATACCGACTATATTGTTTCCACTCTGTTTGACCCAATTAACATCAAACCAGTCTAACTTGGAAGATGACTAAAAGTCACTTTAGTGACCCCCTATTATGAACAGGAATTAATTTCAGTATTAATAGTAAATTAAACACTCAAAATAGTCTTGGCCCCTTTGATTGTGTATTGGAACGAGACAATGAAAATAAATAAAGGTAATGCATATCTCTGTCTCGTTGGTTACTGTTTATAATGAATGTCTTAAAGTGCATCACAGTGGGTTTGAGGGGTAAACACAGCAGCCAATTTGGACTTAGTAAAGTCCCATTAGAGCAATAATTAATTTAACTGGAATATATTAATGCATTTGATATTGTACCAATAATTTCAAGTGCTTCACAGTTTCTATGAATTGCAGTGACTATGTTTATATGCAAAAGCACAATAATAATAATAATAATCCTTACATTTCATATAGCACTTTTCCCATCAGGAGGATGTCACATTGATTCACAGTATTTACAGTATTTGTAAGTGAACTATGTACCCAATTTGTGACAGCAATGTCCCACAAACAGTGAATGGTTGATTTTATTTAAGGGGATTGTCCGACAAGGCCCAACTCCCAAGAGAAATGGCCTTCTCCTTTTGGATAGATCATAGGATCTTTAAGGTTCGCAGTGAACAGAGCACAGACTGGAGATGAGGTTTAACATTTCACCCAAAGGACATTTCGAGCGATGTCCGATACTGAGGCTTCAGCCCAGACTGTGGGGCTCGAACCCACAATCTCCTGCCCCGGGGACTATAGTCTAACCGCTGAGTCAGGTGCAATGTTCATGAGGCATAAATATAACTCGATTTGGTTTAAATTCTCTTAAATATGGTGTTGCGTTTTCGCATGTATCAGCCACCACATGGCGGCGCTGTGCGTGTGTGTCGGGGCTGCAGTCCCGCTCCCGGGCGGTGGTGGCGCTGTGTGTGTGTGTGTGTGTGTGTGTCGGGGCCGCAGTCCCGCTCCCGGGCGGTGGTGGCGCTGTGTGTGTGTGTGTCGGGGCCGCAGTCCCGCTCCCGGGCGGTGGTGGCGCTGTGTGTGTGTGTGTCGGGGCCGCAGTCCCGCTCCCGGGCGGTGGTGGCGCTGTGTGTGTGTGTCGGGGCCGCAGTCCCGCTCCCGGGCGGTGGTGGCGCTGTGTGTGTGTGTGTGTGTCGGGGCCGCAGTCCCGCTCCCGGGCGGTGGTGGCCCGTTGCCTGGTGATGGTGAAGCTCGGTCTGGGAATGAATGAGGAGACGACTCCGGGCGGTGCTGAGGGATCGCGGCCTCCCGCACAGTGATGGAGCGGTACAGCGTGAGCAGGACGGTGGGGAAGGGCAGCTACGGGGAGGTGCAGCTGGTGAAAGACCGCAAGGAACTCCGCCAGGTAACGAGCTGAGGCCCAGCGCCTGCCCGCGGCTCCCAGGGCCCTGAGGGCTGTGGGTTACAGCCTCACGTCAGGGTCCAGACCGCGGCTCCGCTGTGTCTGTTCACAGTGAACATCCCATAACTCTTCAAGTTTCTCCTCGTATCGTGGCCTCGGCCCAAGCGGACCATTGGACATTGTTGGCTTCAGTCACTGTGTGTGTGGGGGTCACTGTGTGGGTGGGGGGGGGTCACTGTGTGGGGGGGTCACTGTGTGTGTGTGGGGGGTCACTGTGTGTGTGGGGGGGGGTCACTGTGTGGGGGGGTCACTGTGTGTGTGGGGGGGTCACTGTGTGTGTGGGGGGGTCACTGTGTGTGGGGGGGGTCACTGTGTGTGGGGTCACTGTGTGTGGGGGGGGTCACTGTGTGTGTGGGGGGGTCACTGTGTGTGTGGGGGGGTCACTGTGTGTGTGTGGGGGGGTCACTGTGTGTGTGGGGGTCACTGTGTGTGTGGGGGTCACTGTGTGGGTGGGGGGTCACTGTGTGTGTGTAGGGGGGGGTCACTGTGTGGGTGGGGGGGGTCACTGTGTGGGTGGGGGGTCACTGTGTGGGTGGGGGGTCTGTGTGTGGGGGGGTCACTGTGTGTGTGGGGGGTCACTGTGTGTGGGGGGTCACTGTGTGTGGGGGTCACTGTGTGTGTGGGGGGGTCACTGTGTGTGTGGGGGGGTCACTGTGGGTGGGGGGGGCATCGCTGGTCCAGATTAATTGGTGCGTTTTGCGAAACAATAATCATTTTTGCATTTGATATTGCGGAATTCAGATCGGAAAGACGTCTCAAAGTGTTTTAGAAGACGAAGGAGTGTAGGGATGAGAGGATGGCCGATCGTATGGTTAAAGAGGAAGGTCTTGTGACGGACCTTGAAGGAGGCAAGGGGCGGGCGGGGGGCGGCGAAGTGGAGGATCTCCAGGATAGAGTTCCAGAGGATTGGAGCAGAGAGACACGATGATGGCAGGGTGAAAGATAATAATACATTTTCAAATAATAATACATTTATAAATCAAATAAAATTGTTGAAAGGTTTGAAGAGAAAGTTCTGAGAAATCATGGCATTACAGAGCAGCTTTGTGCTTGTATGGCTCTATGTATTGCTCCCCCACCTCTGCGACCTTCTAACCCCTGATCAACCTGCCTGCACCTTCCGCTCAATGGGCTCTATCCTGCTTCACTTCCCCCACCTCGTCCGCCCCACCATTGGTGGGCGGGCCTTCTGCCACTCTGCTTTTGGAATTCCATCCTGTCGTCCCTCCGCCTCACCTCATCCCTTGCCTCCTTCAAGACCCGTCTCAAGATCCTCCTCTTGAACCATGCCTTTGGTCACCCTCCTTCCACCCTCTGCCCTCCACCCTCCCCAACTTTCAGCTCGGGTCTGAAGCACTCATTGTCCAACACCTTGGGATGTCCTCTCAACGTGAAACGCGCTACAAATGTAATTTTGTTGAGCAACTAAAGTCATGTCACAGAGAGATTGAAATTGAGAATCCCTCAGTACATAAATGAATCAGATATTTATCTACTTAAACAACAAATTTAAAATGCAACCAAACAATTTAGATTTGTTTAGAGCTTTTCATGTCAGGAGCAGAGCTGAGGCTGATGGTACACACATTTATAATAATCCAGCGCCTTGGGGCATCCCTCCGATGTGAAAAGCGCTATACAAATGTAATTTTGTTTTGTATTGTAATCCTTGCATTTACACTTCTCTCTGTTTGCGCTTGTTTTTCAGTACGTGGTAAAGAAGCTGAACCTGAGAAATGTCTCGAGCCGCGAGCGCCGGGCAGCAGAGCAAGAGGCACAGCTCCTGTCCCGGCTTCGTCATCCAAACATTGTTACCTATCGCGAGTCATGGGAAGGGGTGGACGGACACTTGTACATTGTGATGGGCTACTGTGAAGGTGGTGATTTGTATCACAGATTGAAAGAACAGAAAGGCAACCTGCTTCCAGAGAGTCAAGTGGTGGAGTGGTTTGTCCAGATTGCTATGGCTTTACAGGTACTGCATTGGACTTCCAGCTTTAGGAATGTAATGCGATACAGAACAGGCTCAGTGGACTGAATGGCATCATCCTGTTCATCATAGCTTTGTACATCAGCAAACCTTTATATTCACTATAGAGTCACTTAATTGAAACGCAAAATACTGAAAATCTGAAAACAAAAACAGAAGTGGCTGGGAACATTCAGCAGGTCAGGCAGCATCTATGGAGAAAGGAAAGTGAGTCAATGTTTCGGGTCAACGACCCTTCGTATGACGTTAACTCACATTCCTTTCTCCAGAGATGCTGCCTGACCTGCTGAATGTTCCCAGTCACTTAATTGAATCACTTATTGAATGTGTGCATGAATACTGAGCATCAATCCTTTTAATAATATCTTTAGATTAGGAACTTCACAGCTTATCAGAATGTGTTTACCTGTAGAGAATTACTAACGTAGTGCAGCACAAATGGCAACATGGTCTACATAGGAACATGGGTAGATTCTAGGAAAGTACATGGAAATGCAGATAGAAATATAAATTGGAACACGAGTTTAGACAAGGGAACTAACATGGGACTGCACTGTACTTGGTGCAGTTTCTTCATCCCTCTCGGTCATTGTGTTATGCTGTCAGTCTGTGTGTTATGCTCTCAGTCTGTGTTACGCTCTCACTCTATGTGTTACTCTCTCAGACTGAAACCCTAGTCCATTCCATTCTTTGTCACCTCTTGGCTGGACTATTCAAACGCCCTCCTCGCCGGTTTCCCATCCACTACCATCCATAAAATCCAGATCATTCAAAACTTTGCCACCCGCATTCTCACCCGCACCAAACCCGGCTCCCCGATTACCTCAGTCCTGGCCAGACTGCACTGCCTGCCTATCCCAAAGAAGGTCGACTTCAAGATCCTCACCCTCGTATTCAAGTCCCTGCACTCCTCTGCACCCCCCGACCTCTCTGACCACCTCTCTCCTCAAAACAGTACCCGTTGCCTTCGTTCCTCCAGGTCTGGCCTCCTCCTCGTCCCCGAGTCCTCCGCTCCACCCTAGGTGGCCGTGGCTTCAACCACTATGCCCCAAGGCTCTGGAACTCCCTTCCTCACTCCCTTCCCCTCGCTCCCTCTTTTCCTATTTTCAGATCCCTGCTGAAGACCTTTCTCTTCGACAGCGCCTTTGGTCACCTTCCTCCCCCTGGCTTGGTCCCGGGATCCGTTACTGTGAAGCTCTGAGACGCCGTCCGGCGTGGAGGGCGTTATGTATATCCAAGTTGTTGTTGTTATTGTAGTCTGTGTGTTACGCTCTCCATCTGTGTTACGCTCTCTCCATCTGTGCCTTACGCTCTCCGTTTGTGTTACGCTCTCCGCCTGTGCATCACGCTCTCTCCGCCTGTGCGTTGCGCTCTCTCGGTCGGTGCGTTACGCGCTCTCGGTCGATGCGTTATGTGCTTTAGGTTGTTAGGTTGGAGTCCTGTAGCTTAGTGGTTAGAGCACTCGCTTTGCAAGTGAGAGACCTGGGTTCAATTCCAGGCAGAGGGCGAAACCTTGGGCAAGTTTCCTTACTCCACACAGAGCCTAATAATAATCCCTCCAAAACCAAAAACAATGATAAATTGGTCATTTTCAATCCACGACTGTTTGTGGGACATTGCTGTGCGCAATTGGCTGCCACGTTCGCCCACAAATATACAGTCAATTCACTTTACAGTAAATTACAGTGAAGCGCTTTGGGACGTCCTCCCGACGTGAAAAGCACTATATCAAATGCAAGGATTATTATTATTATTATTCGGTGTTGATGTGTCATGTGCTGCTCAATGTCCTTTCTGTTCCAGTATCTACATGAGAAGCACATCCTGCACAGAGATCTGAAAACTCAGAATATTTTCTTGACCAAATCAAATATTATTAAAGTAGGAGATCTGGGGATTGCTCGCGTGTTGGAGAGCCACCATGACATGGCCAGCACACTGATCGGAACTCCCTACTACATGAGCCCAGAGCTGTTCTGTAACCGGCCGTATAATTATAAGGTACAAACTGTGAGCGTGAAGCGTGGCACCAACTGGATGTTTATCACTTATCTTTTGTTAGACAAGACTGATCACCCCGGCATCAGAGTCCTGCGCCCCCCACCCCACCAACGCCCCTCACAATCTGGGACCAGATTTCCCCAAGAATGAAAATGCACTGGTTGCATTTTGATGAAAACACAGAAACCTGTTTCGGTATTTGTGAAACACTTAATAGATTTTCTTTTTTTTTTTTACCAATTTTAGTACTAAGATGATTGCGGTCAGTGTAACAGTGCCCAGAAGAGGCTCTGGCTGTGTTAGTAACGCTACTGTTTGTTTCTTGCAGTCCGATGTCTGGGCGCTGGGATGCTGCGTGTTTGAAATGACGACACTGAAACACGCCTTTAACGCCAAGGACATGAACTCTTTAGTTTTCAAGATCATTGAAGGGAAGGTACAAAGTCAGCAGTGAGATTAGTTGCTTTTTATCCACCTGCTACCTCCGTCCCCAATATTAATGACTGAGAGAGATCAGAACAACCCCAACTCCCAGCGTTAGCCTTCTGACATCTCTCGATGTTTCTGTATTTTTCCTGCTGTTTTTCTGTTCACAACAATCTGTATCCTGGTGGTTTCAGTCTTGTTTCCTGTAGACGGAAATATACTGTAAGCCGCGGCTTTCTGGACACCGCAATCTGCAATTCCTATCCAGCCGGCCAGGTCCCCATGTGTGTAGACCTCTGACGACCAACATTCCCATCAGCAGAGAGTTTAGTTGCCTGATGCCAGCATTGTAACTACACTTAGCCCAATATTTCCAGTTGCCAAACTGTAACTCGCCCCCATTGTCTCACCAGCCCGAGATTAAGTGAACCATCTGAGAGGTCCCAAGCGAGCAAAAGGGCGAGAGAGAGACAGACCAAAGAGAGAGAGAGGGAGGGAGGGAGAGAGGGGCTGTGAGAGGGAGTGTGGGGAGGGCTGTGAGAGAGCAGTGGGGCTTTGAGAGAGGTGGGGGAGAAATGGGGCATGGCTGTGGGAGAAGTGGGGGCTGTGAGCAAGGGGGAAAGGGGGCTGTGAGAGAGAGAAAGAGAGAGAGGGTGGCAGGGGGTCTGTGAGCAAGGGGGAGGTGGGGAGGGCTGTGAGTCAGAGGCCTCTGAGCAACACAGGGAGGCCAATATTTTGACCTATTTTGTTAGATTTTGCTCCTCTAATAAGTTTTCCATCTTCATACCACATCCCCGCTCTTTCCCTGTAATAATCCTCTAATCCCTTATTATCTAATTATTATCTTATTATCACGTGCTTATTATCTAAATCCCTTACTATTGCCGCAATCGATTGCCAACCTGGCAAAATAAAACTCTCTGTGAGTTGAGAATCTTTCCTGATCTCCCCTCTGCGCTCCCAGCAACCCTACCACTGTTACATTTTGAGAAATGCTTCACATTAATGTGTGAGTGTAGTCGAGCTGGTGGATTGGGTGTAACTGTAACAACAACTTGCATGTATATAGCGGCCCTCAGGCTGGGTAGGGCCGAGCGCTTGTCCCTGTGTCTCCTGTGGCGCTGGAGGCTGATCTCTGCCCTTGTCTCCCTGTGAAGCTTCCCCCGGTACCGGAGCCCTACAGCCGGCAGCTGTCGCTGCTGATCATGAGCATGCTGAGCCGCAGACCTGAGGAGCGGCCAGAGGTCAAGGCCATCCTCAGGAAACCCTACATCAAGAGCCACATCGCCGTGTTCCTGGAAAACACAAAGGTGTACGTATGTTTGACAAAATACAAATAAAATTCACTGAATTAAAATCTTTTTACATGAATCGCATTGTTTAAAGAGCAAGGTGGCCGTTGAATTATGAAGTTGATATTATTTTTAATGTATTTTTGATGCAGAAAAGCCATGAAGACCCGTAAGAGAAACGTCCCCGAGGCAACCCCTCCCAGTTGCTCGGCTGTGTCACCGCGGAATCAACCGGGCCCGTCCTTGGGCGCCCCCCAGCACGACTACAATCCGTCCCGCAAGTTTGGAAAGGTCAGAGGACATTAGAGCAAGTAACAGATTGGAATTCTTAGTCTGCACCAGATTTTGGTTGCTTCAGCACTTGATAGAAGTGCAGAGAAAGAGCAGTGAATTAACGTCAGGGACATTTAAGCGCTACTAAGTTATGTGTGGAAATAGATGTATCACATTTGAGGATATTTAAGTTTACAAAGAAATGTATTGATTTGCTGTGTTCCAGGGGGGAGAAAGTGAAGCTGAGGAGTACGGTGATCATCGCTGTGCTGGTCGGCCAGTGTCCCAGTGTTCCGCTCCCAACTCGAACCTCAGCAGCACAGATACTCTCGCTACGCTCAGCAAGGTGGACATCAGTGTGGTCTCCGGACAGCAGAGGGGGAGCGGGAATCCTGGCCATATAACAGTGGCCGAGCCACGAATACGTTCCATTGACTGTCCGATCACAGAACCCACAGCAGCTGGTGTTCCCCTGGAGGCAGATCCTGCTGATAAACCCAAATGCCGCGTTGCTGGAGCTTATGACGAGAAAGAGGCCACGATGTCCCTGCTGCAGGCTGTGTGTGAGGCTGGGCGATCGCTGGCAGAGCAGGTACAGGCTGTTTCACGTGGCAATACCGAGTCCTGTCTTTACACCGTGTTTCTGCACTTCATGACAACAGATGAGTTATGGCTGTAGGTTCTGAGGGCTGCGTCTCACAAGAGACTATTTAAAATAAATTATCATAAGTGTCATGTGAATTGTAAGGTAATTTGGAATCCTGTAGCTCAGTGGTTAGAGCATTCGCCTTGCAAGCGAGAGACCTAGGTTCAATTCCAGGCAGGAGGCGAAACTTTGGGCAAGTTTCCTTACTCCACACACCTAATAATAATCCCTCCAAAACAAAACAATAATAAATTGGTTGTTTTCAATCCATGACTGTTTGTGGGACACTGCTGTGCGCAATTGGCTGCCGCGTTCGTCCACATACGGTCAATTCACTTTACAGTCTATTCTGTGAAGTGCTTTGAGACGTCTAGAAGATGCTATATCAAATGCAAGGATTATTATTATTAGTATTAAGGTAACACAGTTGACACGAAGGCTGAATGCCTTCTCTGCTTCAGTACAATTCTCAGCAGGAACTGTGTTTTCAGATATGAACCTGAGTAAGTAAGAGAATACGTAAATCTGTCTGCCAAACCGTGTGGCAACACATCAGACAGCACAGTGGCCTCTTTGTTAACAATTATTCAGGAATAATAATTAATTGGCTTTTGTTTCATTTTATACAGATGAGCTTTGACTCCACAGAAAAGCTGCTAAGGCCATTTGTGCCTGTTGAAGTCTCAGTGAGTTTGTGTCTCTGGTTAATTACTGTACAAGAGTTTAGACAGAATGCCTGTGAGCTGTGCCTGGAAACTGCAAGTTTAATTCAAGGCTAGTTTGATTGTATCTCTTGCAAAACTTGGTGTAAATTCTCTTATTAAATAAAAATAAAAATGCCAGCCTTTCCTTGGTTATTGTACTGGAAGTGAAAACCTCATGTAATGTCTCCCCCAAATGGCAGCACCTCCAGCAAATACACAGCCTGAATTCACAACCTTCTGTCCCAGAGGCCAGAGCGCTGCAGACTGAGGTTTACTGTGTCTGTGAGAGACTCTACCCCACGTTAAGGGCAAGTTGTTGTTGCTGTACTGTTTGCCTGGCCTCTACAGTGTGTGATTGTAACCTTCAATTACTCCAATTTGCTCTCAGTCACTTAGTGGAATAATTTTTTTTACGTTAGGAAAACTGTTCGGGAATGATGGCTGCTGTGCCCAAGGATCGCGATCATGTTCCTCATCAGCCACAGAAATCTTGTTCTGAGCCGGTAAACTCCCATCAATATCAACACAGAGAGCAGAGTGAGGAGGTGGGAAACCAATACATTTCAGTAAATGTGTCCAGTCCCATCACCTCAAAACAGACTAGTGGCTCCTCAATGGCCAACCCCACATAGTGTATCGATCCCCTTCTTTGTACCTCTGGGTTACAGAGGGTTAAATCAACTGGGGCTCCTATTCCAAGGCCACCACCCCCCCCCCCCGCTTTCCCCCAGGCCGTTGTTCTGATACAATCAGAAAACTATCATTGACTTTTATCTGAAAGTTGAGCTTTTTTTTCTCTTCCAGGTAAAAGCCCCAGCCCCAAGGTTACGGTCTCCTCCACACAGCACAGCTCAGGTATGTGTGAGGTGTTACCCTGATCCTGGTGCAGTCTCCCCCTCAGTGATCAGCTGTGCAGAGCGGCGGGCGAGACCCTCACAGGTCTGTATCTTCATTATCTCAACCTTGTGTGGTTCTCGCCAGCCCGTTCTGTAGCTCTCTCTCCTCTCTCTGTGTCTCACTCACCCCCGCTCCCCACACATCACTCACACCACACTCCCCCGACACGCACATCACACTAATGAAGCCTCGACTTTTAATCCAATACAAATTACATTTATACAATAACAATTTGGAGTTATATAGCGCCCCTCAGGCAGGGTAGAATCTCACAGGGCCTTTCATATTGGGAGGACATTTTTAAAGATTCATATGAAGTACCGAAACAAGCCATTCGGCCTATTTGATCTGGCTAGTACTCACACTTCATATGCATAATTATCACAATGGCAAAAATAACATTGTGTGTTGCTGTACATATGTTTTTATGTTTGTGCAAGTGTATGTGTGCACACCCACCTTTGTGTGCATGGATGGGTGGTAGTGGGGGGCTGGGGATGTTGACCACGAAATGTGAGGTGACAATTGTGTGTGTGATCAGGAGCGGCCGTTGTCTGCCCGAGAGCGGAGGAGATTGAAGCAGTATCGGGAGGAGCTCCCTCAGCCAGGTATGTCAGTAATACAGGCTGTGTAACCTCATTGTAAACCTCCCCTCCTCCATTGTGTCATATACAGAGTAAAACCATCTTCCTCCTCATTAGTGGTTTCTTCCCCCCCCCCCCCTTCCCTCACACACCACCCCCCTCCCCCACCCACACACAAATCCCACACAGATGCACACCCCTCACACACACACCCCTCACACACCCCACACAGATCTGCATCTCACACAGACTCACATCCCATTCACACCCACATCCGACACACACACCACCCCCACACCACACACCCCATATCCAGACCCACACCCACATTCCATACGCACACCCCACCCAACCCCCACCCTCTTCTCCCTCACACACACAATGACCATGCCCTTCATTGGGAGCTGTTTTGCTGCTCAGCTGTGGGCTTATTCAGAGCAGATCCACCGGGAATGTCACTGATCGGCATTGAAGCTCCCAGTGGGTTGATTCCTTATGAAGGATCCCAGCAGCAGTTTCAGACCTGTCCAGTCTGAGTGCTTCCTTATGGGATTAGTGTCACATTACTCTGGTGTGTGTCCGCTATGACATAAACACCCAGAGACAGACATTGTCCTGACTGCTGTCACCAGCTGTTGTGTATGTGGTTAATGGGCTGAAGGGCTTTCCTCACCTTCTCCTGTGATCAAAACCTCTGTTAATCATTATTCATAGAGTTATACTGAGCATTTTATGTATTTCTTTTCTATTCCCCCCAAATGTGGGCACGTATATGTGCACATTCAGTGTCCACATCTCACAGGAGCTTCCACAATGCAGCTGGACACACAAACTCAAATGAAGAGAATGAAGGTGTTAAACCGAGCAGCCTCTCCTCAGCTTTTCCTTTTCCCCAGGAAAAGGTAATAATTCTTACAATAATTATTATTATTAGATAAAAGATAACTGGTTTATTGTGTCACAGTGAGTGTTATTGTTGTGTTTGTAATGTTATCAGTTTGTGTTACTGATAGTGTAACTAGAACCATTGAAATTTACAATACAGAAAATAGCTCCTCACCCCATGAGCTGACGCCCTGAGAGCGATTGTTTAGTCCTATTCTCCTGCCTGTTCCTGTCCTATTTTATAATTCTCCTTTTCATATTTTTATCAAATTCCATTTTAAAATGTAATCTGAATTCTGCCACATCCATAGTCTAGGTCAATGGTGGCCAACCAAATAAATATTTACATTCCATCAACTCTATATAAAACAATTCTTCACTGCTTCCTTTGTTGTTTTAATAATCACATTAACTGTATTTTCTCCAGGTGACTGACTGACTTAAGTGGAAACACTTTTCTCCCCATCTATGCTATCAAAATAAATCCCCCTCATAATTTTGAAACTGTTGTCAGGTTTCTCTTCCAACTTCTCCGTTTTGGTGAAAGCAGCTCCGGTTTTCTGCAAGAATAAGTCAAATTTGGGAACCCTGGTATGATTCTGGTGCACATTATTGCAATTTCTCATCCACATTTTGCCAGAATCTGAATGATTCGAGCCCCCTGTCAGATGATGAATGTTCGTCAACCAGCTCAACGGACCGATCTGAAGGAGACAGCAGAGAGATGTGAGTTCCATTCCAATCAGCAGACTTTTAATTATTAATCCATTTTTATACTTATGTCTTTTTTTCCAATATTGAATTCCAATATTCCCATTGAAGTTGTGGCTTGTGTTGGAGAGTGTTATGTCACTCACAAAGCCATTAATCATATGTGAACTCAGATAGCAAGAACCGAAGGTTATTCAACCTTGTCACTGATAGTGATACTAATTCAACCTTGGGTGGACTTCACAGCCGAGATCAATCCTGTCCTCACCTAATCTCAACCTATAACATCTGGTCTCCGCGGCTCAATGCTGCACTGAGCTCTGCCTTTCGCACAGCCCCAATAATAGGGCAACTTGTTCTGCATCAAAGGTTATTGGCAGGTATATTTCACTTGTTCCCTTTGAGGGTCACGTAAAAACACTGAGGAATTAATGAAAAGTTTCCCCTGGGCCAAAGTAGCCACATTCACCAGCAATGCTCCTAACCCCTTCTGTTTTTTAGGAAACAGGATTCCAGTGAAATCCATGATCTGGTCCAACTGATGACTCAGACTTTGAGTTTGGATGTTAAAGCTTCAGAGAGAGAGAATGTGCTGCCTGTTCCAGGCCCAGTGCCCGCAGCACGGTGCAGGTACAGAGACACATTGATTCTTCACGGGAAAATGAAGGATGAACCAGAGGACGTTTACTTCAAGGATTTTCCTACTGGTGTGTGACTGCTCAGAATTTAACTCCTTTATTATAATCCTTGCATTTGACATAGCATTTTATCACCTTATCGATTTTACTGTGAGGCATAGTGACTGTGTGTTTTTAGGTGAATGCGGCAGCCAATTGGCGCACAGCAATGTGTCACAAACAGCCATGGGATGAGTGACTAATTTTTCGGGAGGCATTGTTGGTCTGGATACTGGTAAAAACTTCCTTCTCTTTTCGAACTATGCCTTGGGATTTTCAACACCCACCTGAACAGGCACACAAGACCTTGGTTTAGCGTCTCAACCAAAACCATAAATTGGCTGCTGCATTCACCCACAAGCCACGGCTTTATCATGTGACTGTGAAGTGCTTTGGGACATCCTCCCAACATGAAATAAGATAAACGATTATTATTTTTGTTTTCAGAAAGTCTGACGGTGCCAGAGAAGATTAAGAGAACAATTCAAGCTCTAAGGACCGATGTTGTAAAAGGATTGGGAGTGAAGCTGCTGGAGAAAGTCTATAGCATTATGGAAGATGATGACGAGGTCAGGAGGGAGGTAAGCTCCTCATCCACACGGATTCTCAACTTCTGCCAATTTCTCATTGATCTCAGATCCACATTTCTTCACATTGTCTCTGATTTTATCACCACCCAGGAATGCCTGCAGCTACATCTCGGTACAGATTTGTACCAAAGCTACAGTCTGAAGGTCCGACAACTGAAGTTCTTTGAAGATAATTCCAATTTCTGACAAAACAGGACCTTTACTAGTTTAACAGGAAGACAGCATTTAAGAAGTGCCTTGATGGTGCAGAGATCATTGGATAATGTGTGAATCTGCAGATCTGAATGCCCATTCACAAATGTCAGATGATGCAAAGTTAAAAAGAAATGTAATTGATGACAAAGAAATTGGAAGAAACACAAACTAGTAGGAAGTGATGACACAGTACTGAGCGGCAGCAGATTCTCTTTGTGCCTGATTGAAAGGGACTCATTTCCTGCATTATACATTCTCACTTTGCTGGCAAAATATGAGATGAATAATTCATTGTGATCACTGTATTCATGGAATCATAGGAATTATAGCATAGAAAGAAGCCATTTGGCCATCAATCCTTTGCTCCTCCACTGAAGTGACCTACTCTAATCCCATTCCCTGCTCTTTGTATTTCTCCAATTCACATTTCAATGCTACAGTCTCTGCCTTAACTGACACTTGTGGGAATACATTCCTAATAACCTTCTGCTTGAAAATGTTTCCTTTCCCTCCCCTTTCACTCCATCAGTGATAAACCGTGTCTGTGTACAGCACATAGTGTAGCTATTTCACAGCACAAGACACTGCTTGTGATTAAACATACTCTGCTTTCTTTCATATTATGCTATGAACCCAATTATGTTCAAAAGTTATATTCCTAGGTCTGCTTATGTGTTTTTGCCATTAATGTGATTGTCACACTTTGTCATACACAGGAAGTTTCTTAAGGTCACACAAACAAATCTGAATAATTCAGTTCTGAAACTACTGTAGTTCAGTTAACAAAAAGAATGCACTTACTCTTCACCTGTTATTGCTTTCTCCCTTTCTCTGTCTGTTTCTTTCTCTGCTCTGTATGCTTTCTCATTCTTTTATTTTGTTTCAATGTTTAAGTTTTCTGTTCAGACTTCATTAATAATGGAACTATTTTTGCTAAATATGTCTGAGATCAGGAGCTACTGCCTGTGACGAAAAGATGAAAACTTCTTTTGCAAATGAAAATCTTAAATATAACACTAACAAGAAAAATAGCCGAGGTTTCTATATCTTCCCAGATACGCGTTGTAAAGAGAGCTTAAGATTGTCTACACTCTACATCGCTGAAAATTATTGACTAGTTTAGATAGAATATCATTGACATGTCTACACTATATATTGGCTGAAGTTGTATTGCTTTGGAAACAGGAGTCATGTACCGATTAAGTTAAGCTTTAACCAAGGATAGATTTATTGGTTTTTCCATTTGATGCGAGGAAACATTTATACTGTTATGTTTACGTATGTTGTGTCTGTAGAAAGTCTGATTCAGGCGATTTTTTAATCCAGCTCGGGTCTGAAATGCTGAACTCTGTCCAGCGCCTTGGGAGGTCCTCCTGACGTGAAAGGCACTATACAAATGTAATCTAGTTGTTGTTTGCCTCATTCTTTTTTTGGAACTGAGCTCAAGGTTGACATAGAAAGTGAGTTCCCACCATGGCCAACTATTATTGTACCCGAGGTAAGTAGGGTCTCCTTGGAGCTGAACTGGCTCCAAGGTGACATGTTTGGGAACAGAACGTCAGAGTCGAGCCCAACGTGATCTCCAGTCCAGTTCCTGAGCCAGGCGGATCTGCAGTACTCCAGGGCACTGCTGATGACAGCACAGCCAGGCTGTTCATTAGTAGGACTTGGAAACACAGTCACTGGGAGCAGGGAATCCTCCCATTCAGCTCTCCTTAACGCTGCAAGCCAAAATCCTAACGGGGTAGGGTGGTCCTAACTGGACAAGCAGCGGGAAAGCTGGCCAGACAGCACTCTCAATGGCAAGCAATGTAGTTTTAGCTGGTTAGATTCTAGCAGTTAACCCAACACATACTGGGGTTCCCATACTCTTTCAAACCCCACTGTTACTAATATTTTATATCATTAATGTGATTCACTGAAATACTTTCTCATTCAATAATCTTTATTATTCATGAATAAGGTAAATGTCAGAGTATACAGATAATTTGTGGTGTCTTATTTGTGTTTTTTTGATTTCTTAACGCTCTCAGTTTGCTTCTTGTCTTCTACCTCTTGCTCTGGCTGCCAATTCAGAGGGTTCTTACGATACATCGGCCACGGGGGGAGAGTCAGCTGAAAGACGAGGTAAAGGGTTTGGGATTTTCATGTAAAAATACAAACTGTATTTAGAACAAAAGTTAGTATTTCTAAACACAGATGGTGTGGCCCACAGCACCTCACCATAAGATTAACTGCAGAAGCCTGCATTTACGCTTGGGGAGCTTGCACCATGTGGTTTCGAATGAGAAAACAAAGCTTATTCACAACATTTTCTATAAAATTAAAACTAAGGATTTTTTTTCTAAAAACAGGAAATGAATTAACAACATTACATTTGTATAGCGCCTTTCAAATCGCGAGGACGTCCCAAGGCGCTGGATAGAGTACAACATTTGGTGCCTTGCGCAGTGCCTGGGCCAGTTCTCTCTCCAGAAGACAATCATTTATGTGGTGTTAAGTTCTACAGACAATGGCAGCCTCCTTAAGCTGTTTGGGTGTGGATGTGTGTGTGGGGAGGGGATGGGTGATATTCAATTAAACCTGTTCATAATTCAACAATTTTGCACTGAGCCAGCTGATCATGAATGAAACATGAAAAAAGTCACATACAACCGCTGTAACCCTGAGTTACACATTAATATACATGTTACATTTGCTTAAGATGTATTGTTTGACTCTGAACTTACCAAGCATGAAATTGCAAAACCGGCCAACACAATGTAAACCGTCCATCCAAACTGTTCGACAATGTAGCCATAAATGAAGCCAATTACCTAGAAAAACTAGAGACTGTAAAATCCATTCAAAGTTGAAACAGAATCACAGGAATCAACTGAAAGCCCAATTTCTTACCGCAGCTGCTACAATCACACGTTGGAAGGTTTGCTCTGCTGATTGTTGACCCTTGTAGTCCTGCAACAACAAATGGAGAATAACTGATTAAAGCTACAATGAAGAATTTAAATCAATTTGGAGTACACCATCTTCCATCAACAGTTCACCTTGTTGGATGTCAAATGCCCAACTAATGTCTATCTTCCTTGAGGAGGAGATAAGTTGGGTCTCTTTAGAGCTGAAATGGCTCTAAGTTGACATGTTTGGCAACAGAATGCCAAAATTGAGTCAACCCTCTCGCGGTCTCCAGTCCAGTTCCTGAGCCAGATGGATCTGTAGTATTCCAGGGCACTGCTGATGACAGCACAACCACCACCATGATGATGGGTTTCCACATGTGTCAGACACTCAGATGACCGTTTTACACAATGCTATTTAATTGCAAATACTAATATTAAAATGGCCATTAACACGGAAAGATGACAGATCCATTCCTTTGTTTACATATTAAATCTGGAAGCGCTCACCGCCTGTGACCGGGGAAGTGGCTCCTGGAGTTTGTTCTAAAGGAAATTAGTTGCAGATTTTAAACTTTTGCTTTAAATCACTTACGTTTTAAAACAACTAAACGTTAGGATTGACCATATTGTACGATTACACTCCGTTATAAACTATCTGCTCCGCTGGCTCTGCGCAAAGGATGGTCAACTGTGGCCGTTATGAGGTCAGTGACCCCCTAGTAACCTGCCCCCAGCAACCTCCCCTATCAGCCTCCCTGGCAACCAGCCCCTAGTAACCAGCCCCTAGTAACCTCCCTGGCAACCAGCCCCTGGTAACCGCCCGCAACTCCGGGGCCCAGTGGAGCCTGAGGCCCACCAGCGCCGCCCCCGGGGGAACACGTCACTTGTTTGAGCTGCTGGACCTCACCATGTGGGTGGCCACGGCCTTGAGGAAAGGAAACATGTCTCCCGGCCTGTGGGACACTGACCACCGCTCCCCTCGGCTCCGGCCTGTGGGTCACTGACCACCGCTCCCCTCGGCTCCGGCCTGTGGGACACTGACCACCGCTCCCCTCGGCTCCGGCCTGTGGGTCACTGACTGACAATGGCTTCCGCTCGGCGCCTGCGCTGGGACGAGGCCGTATCAAAGCCCCTGTGCTGCGCTGCCCGCACACCGCCTGCACACAGGCCCCTCTCCCACCGCAACAGCAGATCAGTCAGTAAAGCAATCAACGCGCTGCGCAATAATAAGGGCCTTTGGTGATGTGTGTGTGTGTGTCGGCCTGTGTGGGCGGGGGCGAGAGACACCGGGAGACCCAGACACACAGGCAGGTGGAGGCCACCCATCCCGTGTGCTGAGGTGGCGGTTAGTGGCCGAGGACCCCAGTAGTTCAGGTAAACTCCGCAAATCACCGCAACACCGCCCCCCCTCCGCCGCCCCCCCACCGCTCCCCCGCAACACCCGCCCCCCCCACCGCTCCCCCGCAACACCCGCCCCCCCACCGCTCCCCCGCAACACCCGCCCCCCCCACCGCTCCCACCGCAACCCGCTCCCACCGCAACACCCGCCCCCCCCACCGCTCCCCCGCAACACCGCCCCCCTCCGCCGCCCCCCCACCCGCAACACCCGCCCCCCCACCGCTCCCCCGCAACACCCGCCCCCCCACCGCTCCCCCGCAACACCCGCCCCCCCCCCCCCCCCGCTCTGCTCCGCTGCACACACACTGCGGCTGATCTCCCGCTAACACTATTGGCGATTCCCTGTGTATAACCGTTATTGCTCAGGACGAGGATTCTCTCTTCAGAGGAGAAAGATTTTCAAATGTTTGTTTGTTTCATTCTGTAGATTTGGAGCCTGTGAACAAGACATGTCACTGCGCAAAGGTAAGCGCGGCCCGAGGTCCTCGCGGGGACCGCGGGGAGACCAGACCGCAGCCGTGGGGAGTCAGTTTTACTGGGAGGAAAGTCTTGGCCGAGACGCGCCACAGTTGATGCTGACACGTGAAGGGGTGGAAACACCAGCGAATAGTAAACCTGTGGAACAGGCCGTAACGTAGGGAGACGGTGGAAGCGGAAAGTGTTGTTTGTTTCAAGAACAAATTATACAGATTTCTGCTGGAAAATAATATCTCGAGTCCTGTAGCTCAGTGGTTAGAGCTCGTCTCGCAAGCGAGAGAGAGACCTGGGTTTGATTCCCGGCAGGGGGTGAAACCTTGAGCAAGTTTCTTTACTCCACACGCCTGATAATAATCCCTCAAGGAAAAAAATGATAAAATTGGTCACTCAATCCACGACTGTTTGTGGAACATTGCTGTGCGCAATTGACTGCCGCATTTCGTCCACAAATATACAATCAATTCACTTTACAGTATCAAAAGCAGAAGTGGCCGGGAACACTCAGCAGGTCAGGCAGCATCTGTGGAGAAAGGAAAGTGAGTCAACGTTACGGGTCCACGACCCTTCGTCAGATACTTCATCAGACTGTTCTGACAAAGGGTCGTGGATCCGAAATGTTGACTCACTTTCCTTATTCCACAGATGCTGCCTGACCTGCTGAGTGTTCCCAGCCACTTCTGTTTTTGATACTGTAAAGTGAATTGACTGTCTATTTGTGGGCGAAACGCGGCAGTCAATTGCTTTATAGTTTGGAACACAACATGTCAAGTGACTGTCAGGATAGTGGAAGGCAAACCAGGTGGACTTTGGTCTTTTGTCTAGCAAATTCTTAAGATTGACCATGCATAACTTTGTCCTGACAGGAAAAAATCAGTTTAAATAAGAAGTGAAATCTACTTTTTTTTATAATTAAGTCTTTTTTGTTGTTTTCCAGTTAATATCCTGGTAATCCTGCTTGCTGCGATTGTATTTCTGATAGTGTTGCACCACAATCTAATTGGTGTAAGTGACCTCTTGAGCAAGGAAAGTTCAGGTAAAATGCTTCAGCATTTAATGTCATCTTTTATCTATCCCTACTCAGTGAGCTGTTTGTAATGCTACGTGGTAAACAATGTGACCAGACTTGAGCTATGTGTCTAGCTGTGTACATGTGAAATTGCCATTTAAGCAGGCACTTCTCTTCAGGAGAGAGGGAGAATAATAGTATTAATAAAAACGTATCTAGAAGACCTAAATGTACCTGCACAGACCCAATGGTCAGAACTCGGGGTGGGGGGTGGTCAGGACAGCTGCTCTTCATCACTTGCTGAAAGGTGCTGGTTGTTACTGGGTGAGAACAACAACAACAAAATTACATTTGTATAGCCCTTTCTCGTCGGGAGAATGTCCCAAGGTGCTGGACAATCAGTGTTTCGGACCCGAGCTAGTGGTCAGAATTGGAGAGGGTATAGGTCAGGGGGCAAGGAAGGTGAACAAAGGCACAGTTGAAGAGAAGGGTCTTGAGAAGGATCTTGAAGGACACCGGAACCCCTGTACGCCTGTGATTAGTCTGGTAATCTAGTCTAATGATGAAGGTTTTAAGATTAGAGACTAGATTCTGCCAATCCAGTATAGTACTGGGGGAGTGCTGCTTCCTTCAGATGGCCTGCCATGTACGGTACAATAATGACCAAAGTCCTGTCTGCCTGTTTAGATGAATATTAAAGATCCCGTGGCACTCTTTGAAAAGAGAGTTTCTCCAGGTGTCCTGGCCAACAATCTCTCCAAGTAGAATTTCCTCCATGGCTGTGTGCAAATTGGCTGCTGCCTGGGCTACAAAATACACATTACACAGTAAAATCTTGTGAAGTGCCTTGACACACCTCCCAGTAACGTGCCAATTTGACATTCACTGTACGCCTGTGATTTCCCACAGATTCGCTTGGTGGCCTGGGACTGGATAATTTTCACAGCCATGGAGATGATCGAAGCGAGAGAAGTGATGAAGAGATTGCCATTGTAATGCCGGCTGTGGAGGAGCGGCTGGGAGGTGTGATAGCAGCAATGAACAGTATATATAGTAATAGCAAGTCCAATGTCGTCTTCCATTTAGTCACTACAAACACCACTGTTGGCCATTTGAGGTAAATGTCATGTTTATGTGATGTGTAGGCAGACTTGGTTCATGTTCTGCATTGTTTAATTTGACATCAGTATTAACCCATTAATAACTTTCTCATTGCTCTAAGATCATGGCTTCAGATAGAAGAGCTGAAGGGGATAAAGTACAAAATTCTTGAGTTCAACACTAGTGTATTGGACGGGAAAGTACCGATTGGAGGGGATGAGACAAACCTGAAGCCAGTAAGTACCTGCTTGTCCCATCTGTGACTTGTCAGGGTCTAGTTCACAATTGTCAAGTATCTAATTGTTTTTTAAATGTCGTATTTGATTCTGCTCAATGACCATTTATGGTGACATGTTTCATGTCCTAATAATGTTGTATTTTATTGCTACAAAATCAAATGCTAATTTCCCTTTTCCTTTGATCATGTCTCCTATTCTGCCTCCTTGTTATTTGTAGTTGATGTTTGCAAGGTATTACCTCCCCACCCTGGTGCCCGGGCTGCAGAAAGCCATCTACCTGGATGATGATGTCATTATACAAGGTAAGCACCAGCCCGGCATCTCCAGGTTGTTTTGACGGTAATGTAAATATTTTGTTTAAAAATGTCCATGTTTTTTATTAAGAGTTGAGGCTGACTGTATCTATCCCTTCCTGCAGGAGACATCCGTGAGCTTTATGAGACTGAACTGAAGGTGGGCTATGCTGCAGCCTTTTCTGAAGATTGCGATTCTGTATCTTCCAAGGTGATGGTGAGAGGTGCTGGGAGTCAGGTACTACACTCTTCCGAACCTCTTCTGCTGTTGGGAACCTCTACCTTATGTCCTGCATTGGTGGTGGTGGTACTGGGAGGGTAGGGGTTATAATGGAAATGTGATTTAGGGTTTGGCGGACTTCAGATGAAGGTCAAACATTCGCAGTAAAAATGTGAGTGTTTCCAGTTTCCAGTGGCCAGAATTCACTGTAAACAGTACCCTGAAAGTTTATATTTATCATTCACTCTCTCTGCTTCCACTTCTCCCACCTCCTTATGTATATGCTCAAGCATTGTCTGGATTGTAATAGTGTGCTAGCATGGCGCAGTGGTAGCACTCTCATCTCTTGAGTCCGAAGGCATTCAGATGGACGTTAAAGATCCCATGGCACTGTTCAAAAAGAGAAGGGAGTTTCTCCTGGTGTTTTGACCAACACTTCCCCAAATAAAACGCTCCATGGCTGTTGTAGGATATTGCTGTGGTCAATTGGCTGACATGTTTCACCCACAAAATACAGTCACTACGTTTTACAGTATATCCTGTGAAGCGCTTTGAGGTGTCTCGATGATATGTTGAGGCACGATACCAAATGCAGGGATAATTACTAAATGCAGTGTGTGGCATGATGCAGATTCACGTCTCTGGAGGACAACAACAACAAAATTACATTTATAGAGCGCCTTTCACGTAGGGAGGACGTCTCAAAGTGCTGACAATCAAAAACAGCACCGAGGCCGAGTCTGTGGTCGGTGATTGGCCAAAGCTCATTGATGCAGAACAGGAATAAGACTAAATAGGAAGAAATGAAGCTCAAACATTTTGTAAATTGCTTTGCTCCAAATTTTGTTTTGCAGAACACGTATTTGGGCTTCCTCGATTATAAAAAGGAAACAATCCGAAAACTTGGGATTAAAGCTGGGACGTGCTCCTTCAACCCCGGTGTGTTTGTAGCTAATCTGACAGAGTGGCGGCAGCAGAACATCACACAGCAGCTGGAAAAGTGGATGGAGATAAATGTGGAGTGAGTGTCGGTTATCACATCTTGCTGATGAGAGAATTGTTTGCGATTTGCTTTGCAAGTCTCCTGCAACACCTTGGCTCCAGAAACTGGGCAATTGATAACATTCTGTTGCTATAGCAACAGTAAATTGCTTCATAGCTTTAAAGCGGAGGTGGCCAGCAACCACATTGAGTAGGTCACCCTGAAGGGATGGAAGAAATATGTTATTACCTGTTAGCAAAGCTGAGTTTTCTTGTGGCAGGGAGACTGTATACAATGGAGCCCTGGTGGGCGGAAGTCCCACTCCACCCCTGCTCATTGTGTTCTACAAAAAGCACTCTTCCATCGCTCCCCTCTGGCACATCAGGCACTTGGGTAAGTTCTAGCTGTTGTGATATTTGGTTTGTACCAACTATTTCCTGGATAACTGGCACTTAGCTGTATGGCCAGACTATGGTTGCCATCAGCCTACAGTGCTCTGGCTAGTCAACACCTCTGGGAGGTCAGTACCTCCGGGCTGCTCCATGTCTCCCGCCCGACCCGCCCTACCATCGACTGGACTTTCAGCCTCTCTGCACCCACACTCTGAAATTCCATCCCACAGTCCCTTGGCCTCGCTTCCTCCCTTGCCTCCTTCAAGGCTGGTCTCAAGACCCTTCTCTTCCATTTAGTCTTTGGTCTCCCACCTCTCTGCCTTCCCTCACCCCTACACCACCCCTCCCCCATCCTCGGGCCCCGACACCTGACTGTTCAGCGCTTTGGGTTGTCCTCCCAACATGAGAGGTGTTCTATAAATGTCAGTTTGTTGTTGTTGGGGCAGGGCAGCAGCTCTGGTCAAAGCATTTGACATTTTTTCACAATACTCATCATGCAGTGATGACATGACTAATGTTGATCTGCTAACAGACGTTTTGTTTTGAAGGCTCGAACATTGGAACGCGATATTCCTCTCACTTTGTTAGAGCTGCCAAGTTGCTGCACTGGAACGGACGATTCAAACCCTGGGGCCGCGTCTCATCCTATGGTGATATTTGGGACAAATGGTACGTTCCAGATCCAACGGGAAAATTTCATCCAGTACGACGCCATGCGGAGGACAGCAAAAACCTGGTGTCTAACCAGTGACAGGGTTTGTACACCACTCAGTAATGGACACACCACTCAGCAATTCACACCGATGTACTTCCAAGGACACCCTTTACGTGCCTACAATTTGTCTCGGCTGGATTATGTCTTAGGTGAAGCCATCATTCAGGAATACTGTGAAAATGCTGAAATATCAAGTGCACGATTATTATTATATTGTTCTTGGGGCTTTTAATAATGTTGTTTTCAATATAAGCTGTCCAGGAAACCTGCAGACAGCACTCACATTTTGTAAAGCATTTTGTCCCAATACTGTACATTATAGCCTGCATACTTAATGGTTTCAAGTTAGTTTGTTGTAAAACTATATTGTTCAAACTGGAGAACAATGTCAGAAAATAATCAGGTTTCCCTTTCTATTGAAACCTTCAACTAAGAAAAGGCTTGTAATGGAGAGCAGTTTAATATTATCTCCCTACAGATTCCCCAGACAATATTGTAATCAGTCTCACTGGTTCCTAGTACTAGTTTGTGAAGTTGAGATTAAAAATTTATGACCCAATGTCATTTTAATGTATTACTGGAAAGCAGTATTTTTCCCTCTTAGCAACAGGATTCTTCGGTTAGGTTTATTGACTCCAGCTGAAGGACTAGCAGTAACATACCCCAAATTAACAGGAAGGACAGGAATGATAAGTAGGTGCACTCCAATCTTCAAAGCTATAAAAGCACAAATTGTATTGTTAAGTCACTTTTAATTTGTGCCACATTCCTCCTGAAGGTAATTAATGTGTGCTGTGTGGGAAACCATCTTCACCCACTAGTTTCAATTATGTGTTTAGTTGTACATCACAGGTTAGTATGTTATTGAGACAAGGTTGCAAATTGTGATTTAAAGCAAGTCTACTATAAAATGTCTTCTTCATGTCACAGCATCTTACTCTCCATCACTGCTTTAGCCACAATTGTTCCAGTATCAGTGTGTAACCATCTGACCCGATGCCATTTGGGTTGAATGTTGAGATTTTACCAAAATAAAGTGAACCACTAATTCCATAAAGAAGGTATTTTAATGTCTGGCAATAACACATTTTATAATTACATTTATGATATACATATCAGCATTTAACATTTCTTCAAAACTCCAAAATATAGAGTAGCTAGTTTACAGCAGTGTGATCCTGGTGCTCAGACACAGCAAGTCCCAGAGGCAGTCACTAGGCAGAATCCAATGATATTGTAGCACTGGCAACATAATCAGTATTGAAGTCGTATGTATCATCTTCGTGACTTTCACACGCGAGATCCAGACTCTGCACAGTTACACTGGACTTTGCTGAAAGACAAATGGAAGCAGTAATTATATTGACACAAGAAGGCAATCTTTGAAAAAGCAAATTAAGGATGAATCCAAACAATTAATTCAATATATACTGGAGCCAATTATCCACCTTGATAGAGATCGTCTTCTTTGTGGATAAGTGAACAGTGCAGATAATTGGTCACTATGCATAATCCAGATGCCATTATGTCCCTTGTAACCTCATGTGCAACTGGTTTTTGTTTTGCTAGAATCTGACAGGCCTGAGTCCGTTTCTCCCTCAGACCTTGATACAGACAAGTGGATAGTTGGCATATCAATGAAAGATGTTCTATTCAGGTATGAGTAAGTCAGCCTCAAATGTTTCCTCACGAGAAAGTACAGTGCCATAAAGCTAAAATCAGACACAATTTAAACAAAACTTTCATTTACTGACCTGGCTTCTGTAGCCTTTTCTTCCTGGGATCTCCTGCACCCGGTCGCTTCACTGGTTCGACGTTTGTGTTTGTGGTTTGATCTTGTTCAGCATCTTCATCCTAGAGGAATAGTAAAGTCAATCTTTATATGCAATACGCAGTCACTATACTTCAGTAAATTCCTGTGAAGTGCTTTCAGGCATCTCAGTGATCAGATGATGCTAGGAAAGGCTTATATTTTAAAACTCAGGTGACTTGGTTTCAAACTAAAGTTTCTCCTCTTTCCCCTCCACCCAGGACATTGGGGTTCAAGCTCTAATTCATAACTTGACATAGCAATCAGCTGTGTGTCCTGCACACCTCTGTTGGCTCCCAGCACATTACTGTTCATTCACAAAGATTTCTATCAATGTCTAACCCTAATCAGGTAGCAAAGCCATTTTTTTAATGTGTTTACAATTTTTTCTTCCAAGACAATTCACTTGGAGACTAATTATGAACATACAATCTTAATAACATGCGGCCAGGCTGAAATTCACCTAGTGACATGCTGCTCACCCCACACACTTCATCTTCAGTCTTTTCCTCTATTACATCATCATCATCCATTTCTTCTATGTCATTCTCCTCAGTTATTCCGAGTGTCAGCCCTGCAGACTGGAAAACTAAACTACTGGCTTTGGTGGGGCATCGAACATCTGGGGAGAAACAAATAATGTAATTTGTTGGCTTTACGCATGGACATAATGTGCATCGTCTTTGTGAGAGGAGCCAGATATTAAACACACCTAAAGCTATCCGCTAACCGGGACCATGACAATGTGGCAGCATCTACATGGCCAGGACAGCCCTCAGGACAGAGGGTTTGGGCTGCACTCAGTCACTGAAAAACAAACACACTCTTGAGGGCAATTTGGTGGCAGCAGGAAAGCGGAATAATTGAAACCCTCGTGTATCAAGTATGTAATGAGCCGCCCAGTGTCCCTCCTCATTATAGACGTCTGCCTCTTTCCTGGGATATGGAGGCAGAACTGTATTTGAAGAACAAGGAAGACATTACTAAAAGGCAAGTTATCTTATTGTTTCCCACCTTGTGTACATTACCCACCTCATGCAATGAATGTTTACCTTGAAGTGTCGTTTTATTGTCTTTGGCTAGTTCTTCTGCGCTGAAGCCTTGTCTGGCCTCCTCCACAGTTTGACTGTTGATATGAGCAGGCAGTTGATGCATCACTGGAGGACATGTGTAGTAACTAACCTTGGACCTTAATTGGGAGATAGAACAGATTATTTTACAATTCTTTGTAATGTATGATAAGGCTTGAATTAATTGACTTTCATTTTTTCCTAAATTAATAAAAGTCTTTTCGTCAACTGCGCCCCTTCCCTTGCTGTTATTGCACAGCTGTTTGTCAGTGCTTCGGGACGTCCCGCTGTGAAATGTGCCACATACAGGTCAATGTGTCCTGTGTAGCTAGGTACAGGATAGCTGATTTACCCCGTCCAATCACATAGAATCTGCCGTGCTGCTGCAGCTGTGTCTGGGTCCCCGCCTTTCTTCAGCAGACCCCGTTTACGAGCCAACAAGGTCAGAAACTCCAGTGAGTTGCGAAAGTCTGAGACGTTGTATTGCAGCATGATCTGGAGGACAGGAAGTCCATATACACAAGTTAGCCACCTCATCAGACAAACAACTACAACAATTCAGCCATTAATATTAACTCAGAAATAGACGAGCAGAGATTAAAGGGAAGATCATAACTGAAGATGCTTCAATATTAATGAGAAACACATTAGCAACACTTCCTCTCTCTAAATGCACAGCGAAACACCTACCTCGGGAAAATACCATAGATTCAAGCCTCAGGGTTGAAAAAATGAAAAACTGGCTCGATAGAGACTCGATATAGCTGCATTTTGAACATGGCTTCTCTAGTGAGTGAGCAAGTACAGAGGTGGCACAAGGAGCCCCAGATCAGGAGTGAGTGTTGCTGATGTGCATGGCTTAATCTCCACAACATGAGACATTCACACACACCACAAGCTTTAACTGGTTAGAATTTACTAGCTGAAACTCTTACGTGAAGGCGAGTGAGATCAGAGTTGGATCTTTAGCGGTCACAGAAACTCAGAAATATTATGTTTCCTCATTTCTCACTCAAACTGTCTCTGTTGCTCAGTTGGGATTCACTTGGCTAATGATAAGGATGTAATGTGTCAGGAGGCTGTGTTCTAGCCGTGGGTGTAGTTACCTGCTGCTTCTCACAGTGTTTCAGGATAGGATCTGCCAAAGTGGTCGAGTGCTGCAGTGTCTCCACGTCCATGACCTCCCTTAGAGACAGGGCCAGGGCAGAGTTTGACGGAGAAGCAATGATACTTGGACTGTCCAACATCTTGACCTGTTTATTGATGTGAACCTCCTGCATAGATCTACACACAAAACATTTGCATGGTGAGTATGTAAGGGAAACCCTCATGCCAAGATAACTGCTTTAATACAAGCACCTCCCCAAAGTATCTGCTTCTGAAGTCTAGTGTTGCGGAGTGAGATCAGAGTTGGATCTTTAGCAGTCACAGAAAATCAGACTGTGATAGAATTCTCCTCACTTCTCAATGCAGCAGCACTTCCCCAGTGTAGCCCCTTTACTCAGTTCCACTTACTTTGTTAGGCCTCTCGTCTGACCCGCAGGACAAGCCCTAATCTTTTTCATGCTGTTGATTAAGCTGCTTTTCCCCACATTCGGGAACCCTGAAAAACAAATGTTTGGCTATAAGCTGAATACACTAACCTACACTGGGTACATCAGATTTAGGCTGTTACGTCCTCCTGATGTGAAAGGTGCTATACAAATGTAATTTTTGTTTGTTATATTGCCAGTTCTATTTGAATCCCTAGTTAGTCTCAGCCAATTCTTTTCCATTGACCACTTGCGTCACAGCCTGGCTCAGCAGCACATGCTCTGGGTCAGAAAGCAATGGGTTTGAGCCCCACATTGAGATGTTTGAGTTCACAGATTAGGCTGACACTCCAGCAGAGAACTGGGAGAAACTGCTTTGTCAAAGGTGCCATTTTTCAGTAAAACACTAAAATCCAGGTTAATCCAAATTCATTGCTCATCAACTTCATGCCTATATGTTAGACTTTGCTGGGTTAAACGGCTGTTTTGTTTGCCTACAAAACAGTGACTACGCTAGTTACCTGCGAAGTACTTTAAAAGCACAAGGTCTTTCTTCACCAAAGCCAATCCCTGCTACTCACTTACCAATGTAACAAGCCTTGTCTCATCAAAATGCTGAGCAGATCAGATGAGACAAGTTTGGAAGCGAGACTTACTCTACATACAATGCTAATGCTGATCATGTTACAGGCAACCATTAATGGTACAAGTGTACACAGTTGCTCATTTCAACATGAGAATTTCCTTCCCAAATGCAGGACTCACCTACGACACCAACTCTGATGGATTTCTCAGCCTCGTGGCAGTAACCGGTGAGCAACTTGAGAAGTGTTTCATCTCCAGTACAGGTACGAACCTGCGATATCGCTGTGTGAGAGGAATGCTTGTTTAACCTTTTTTCCTGCTGTTTGAACAAACCATTAGAATTAGAAGTTGCAATATAGAAAGGTTAGCAGCACAAAGTCAACCCAGAAACTGAACTAAAAATGTTGTAATTACATTTCACATCTAAAGGCTTATTGTTACTGCCGCATCCACAAAAACTGCTTTTGATAATTTGCCAAATTCCTATTTGGGATAATTTAAAGCAGATAAATATCTTTAAAGGGCAGACTATGGTTTGAAACTAGCACTATAGAGTATAATTTGTTGTTGAAACACAGTACAGACAAAGCCAAACTCTAAAGTTATAGTTTCCTTAGTCTGGCCTTCAGTTAAATCAACCTTTTATATAAACACTGAATTAAAAATTTAAATCAACTGGCGAAATCAGCGTTGGATCTTCCTCTTCACTTGGGAGTCAGAGATGTAGAAACTTTTCATCAGTTTTCAGCCAGTTCTGTAAAGTTGTGCATCAGCCTTCCACAGTGATAACACTTTCACCTCTGAGCCAGAAGGTAATAATAATAATCCTTGCATTTGAGATGGCGCCTTGACACATCGAGACATCTCAAAGAGCTTCACAGAATATACTGTAAAGTGAATGGACTGTATTGTATATATTGTGGGCGAAATGCAGCAGCCAATTGCGCACAACAGTGTGGATTGAGTGACCAAATTATTATTTGGTTCCCCGGAAAAGCGATCCACCAATCGACTAACAACCGACCGGGATCCTACTTAATACTAGGTAAACAGAGGTGTATGGAATAAGGAAACTTGCCTAAAAGATTTTGCCCCACCCGCGAATTGAACCTCGGTCCTCTCGCTTGCTCTAACCAATAAGCTACAGGACTCCATGAGGTTGTGGGTTCAAGCCTGTCAGGATTTGGAATTGCATAGTCTAAGATGACGCACCAATGCAGAGCTGAGGGAAGGGGTGTTGGATGTCCTTTGGATGTGATGTTAAACTGAGGTCCCACCTGTCCGTTCAGGTTGATGTTAAAGATCCCATGGTGCTATTTGCAAAGAAAAGGGAGTTTCTCCCGGTGTCCTGGCCAACAATCCCCAAAATAAAATCAGTCTTTCACTTCATGGCTGTGTTGTGGGACATTGCTGTGTGCAAACTGGCTGCCGTGCTTTGCCCACAGCGAATCCACTTTAAAGTATATCCTGTGAAATGTATTGGGATGTTTTGACAATGTGATAAGGCACTGTTTCAAATGCGACGATTATTATCATGCCAGACTGGAGCGGCCTTGGGAACATACCTTGGTGCTATCTGGTAGCTGCGTCGATGATTTGAAGGCCACAGTAGGAAACTCGTTCATCAGATACTGTAACCATTTCTCCACATTCACCTTTGGCACCAGATCTAAACAGTGAGGCAAGGTTACACATTTCAGTGTTAATGTAAAATTGAATTCAGTGTTTATGTAAAGCTTGACTTTGCTGTAAAAGTATCTATGTTTCAACCCATAGTCTGCCTTTTAAACACGTTTATTTGATTTAAATCATCTTAAATAGGGATGCTCCAAATCCAATCAGTGCTGTGTTTGACTCAATGCTTTGCCAATAAATGCCTTTTACCGATTTTGTTCAACACGAAGACCAGCTTCTTCCCCTCCGAGCACAGGAACGCTTGTTCCACCTCTGGGCACCGGCAGCCGAGAGGGTCCCTGGCATCCAGCACGAGAAGCAGCACATCTGAGGTGTCAATCACCTGCCAGGCCACACAAGACAATCAAACATCTCCTACACTTCCACACCAAGGAACCATCTCTAGCCTATGTTCTTACGTTAGAAAGGAATTCATATTAATCTGAGTCAATGCTTCATCATGTTGTTGAAAAGTTTCAAAGCTCTTCACAGGATTTACTGTATAGTAGTAAAGTGTAGTGACTATTTATAAGTATACACAGCAGCTAATTTGCAGAAAGAAATGTTCCACAAATATTCATGAGGTGAATAACCAATTACAGTAAAACTCACGTAAGTCGTATTAGTCGGGACCATAACATTTAATATGACTTGCGCGAAGACTGAGTTACAGGCAAATTTATATAAGTCATATAAAATCTGATTTAATCAATAATCTACCCTGCGCATGTGTAATACACTACAGCCAGTAAGTGCTCTTGTGGTGACGGGTGAAGACTAGGATTCCCGTGATTCAATGCTTCCTGATCCGTTGCCTTATGCGCACCTACCGGCAAGCCATGGAATCGCATTGAATCGTGGGAAATGGAGTGCTTCTGCACACGCGACGATGGAGATCAAGACAACCCGGTTCAATGCAGCCGGCTGGTAAGTGCACACGCATTGACGGGTCAGGACGTCGTTTCCCGCCATTCATTGCAGCCGGTAAGTGCAAGAGTAATGGAGGATAGGGGAGCGGCGTTAGGAGGTGATAAATACGACTAGTACAAATACATTTAAGGGGTCTTGATAGGAAACTGAATGGGACTCAGGTAGATGTACGACTTTGACGATTATACAATTTATAAAGAGTTTTACTGTATTTTTAACAAGGGATTGTTCGCCAGGGCCCTGGGATAAACTCCATTATCTTTTAAAATTGTCTACGGGATCTTTACTGTCCACCTGAGCAAGCAGACAGGCCCAAACATTTCACCTGAAGGAGGGCGAGAGTGACAATGCTCCAGCGCTGTGCTGGAGAGTCGGCGTATTATGATGAGATTGAAAAGTTTTCAAATTTATAAATGTGAGTAACTATGTTAGCTTAGGCTGAAAAAATATCCAGCCTTTGTCAGACTCCTATTACTGTCAGTGCGAGGAGCATGGGACTACATTAAATGTATACTTACTTTATTCAGCTCTCTGCACAAACATTTCCTTCTGTTTTTATCTTCTATTTTGGGTGATTTCTTCTCTGGTTGTGAAGCAGCCTTCTGCCAAAATAGGAATTGTACAGATTTCTCTCTAACACAGTTGAGCAAAGCTGATTGGTATGCAGGAAACAGTAATGTTACACAGGACAACTGGCACCTTAGCACGTTTCTTCTCCAATCTCACTGGATCTTTCTTTGTAGCTTCAAGTTTCCTTTTCTTCGCGGATTCCTTCTGCCTGGCTTCCTTCTGCTTCAGTTTAAGCTCCTCAAGCTAAAGGATCGACCAAGGAAAGCAGTAAGCTCTATAAATAAAATCACCAATTGTAACTTTGTAAAACATAGTTTATTCTAAAGTAAAAATGCTTCAGCCATATGTAGTGGTTTCACCGCACACACTTTACTCACTTGCTGCTTCCTTTGCTCAGCCTCGCGGAGAATTGCCTCCTTAAATGGGGCTGAGTTGGGGACCCCCGGGTCACGGCGTGACTTTCTCGGCCCGTGTTTCTTTGCTTCTTTCCGAACTTTCCGCTTATGCTCCCGGACCTGAACAACAGCAACAACAACAAATTACAATTGCATGGCGCCTTTCATGTTGGGAGGACGTGCCAAGGCTGGGACAGTCAGGAATTTGGAGCCAAGCTGTTGGTTGGGATCGGGAGGGTCGGCATAGGAGGGTGAGCCAAGCCGCTGCAAAAGAGGAGGGTCTTGAGACAGGCCTTGAAGAGGCAAGAGAGGAAGCAAAGTGAAGGGACTTTAGGATGAAGTTCCAATGGGTGGGGGATTAGAGGCTGAACAGTGAATTACACAGTTTTTTTACTGTACAGCAGCTGGAGCCACAATTAATTAGGTTATTAAAGAGTTATTTTGTTGCTTTTGTATTTATAGTTGTAAAACCAAACATATTAAATTCTCTCTGGTTTTGCCCAGGGTGAGGAAACCAGAGAGAATTAAACTTTTTGGTTTTAGAAAATCAAAAGCAACAAAATAATGTTGAACTTGTATTTAAAAAAATCTCTAAAGTTATAACAGTTTCCTTAGTCTGGCCTTCAGTTAAATCAACCTTTTATATAAACACTGAATTAAAAATTTAAATCAACTGGCGAAATCAGCGTTGGATCTTCCTCTTCACTTGGGAGTCAGAGATGTAGAAACTTTTCATCAGTTTTCAGCCAGTTCTGTAAAGCTGTGCATCAGCCTTCCACAGTGATAACACTTTCACCTCTGAGCCAGAAGGTAATAATAATAATCCTTGCATTTGAGATGGCGCCTTGTCACATCGAGACATCTCAAAGAGCTTCACAGTATATCCTTTAAAGTGTAGTGACTGTGTATTTTGTGAGCAAAAATTGTGCATAGCAGTGTTCCACAAACAGTGGATTAAATGATCAAAATTATTATTTTTATTTATTTATGAAGTAATGTATTACTCCCGGAAAAGCGATCCGCCAATGGACCAACGCAGGTTCGCACTTACTGCCCAGAACACGTGAAGGAAAGTCCGGGAGCGCGAGGGGAGAGCGCTGACGCTGAGCTGCAGCGCTGTACAATCGGGTCATTAAAGATTATTTCGTTGCTTCTGTATCGTAAAACCAAAAAAAACATTAAATTCTCTGTGGTTTTGTCCTGTGAAGCGCTTTGAGAGTCTGGAAGACGCGATGAGGCGCTGTACCGGAGGCCCCGATCACCACTCGAGCTCAGGCTTTGTCACGAGCTCAGGCCCGAGGCCGCTCACCTTCCGCTGGATCTTGAAGCGTTTGTGGCAGCTCAGCCGCTTACTGGCCTTCCTCAGCTCTGCGGGGAGAGAAGGGGGTTAGTGGCGGGGCCGGGCCGGGCCGGGGGGCGGGGCGGGGGCTCTCGGCGGGTCGCGGACGCGGGACTCACTCGGTCGTTTCATTCTCGCTGCTCCTTCACCGCGTGTCCGTCTTCCCGCAGCGCGGACTGAGCCGCGGGTTTGCGACAGTTGGTTTGCAGCAGTGAGAAGAGCTGGGATTTGCGGCAGTGAGGCGGGCTGGGCATTTGCGACCGTTGGTTTGCGGCAGTGTGGAGGATGGGTTTGCGGCAGTGAGGCGGGCTGGGGGCTGGGGGTAAGGAGCGGCTCCGCTGTTGGCGTTACGGGCGGTCTGACACCGGCGCGGTGGGGAAGGAGGGCGGTGGGTGGTGGGGGGGCCCCCGGGGAGGGGGCCGCGGTGCTGTCTCGGCTGTGTTCGGGTTTCGGGCTGTGCTGAGGCCGCTGAGAGGCCGCGGCTTGTCCTGGTTGAGGGCCCCGGTCCCGGAGCCTCTGGCGGGGAAGTGCTGCTGTGAACAGGTCATTCACTCGGTAGTTAATTCCCCTGAAAATGCTTCTGTTCACCTCAGAAACACTGAGCAGATGGACTCATTCTGTCAGTGATGGTCTGATGTTGCTGTCTCCAGTTCTCCCCTTCCCCCCCAGTGAGTGTGTTCTCTCAGGACCGCAGTTATTGTCTGATTATCAGCTGTACTTTGTGCTGATGGATTCTGGAGCTTTACAGCTCAGGTTAAGCTGTTGTAAGATGCAGTATTTTCGCAGCTTCCCACCAAGTTGTCATGACAAACGCTTGTAAATTCATACATTTACGTGTGAGACATGTCTGAGCTGTGTTCAGTCCCGGTTCTGCTGCCAATCAATCAGTTTCTGGTTACTTAATGATGTACCAATATTCTTCTGCAATAGGAGACTTCAGGTTCACGCTAACCACTGACCAGCCCATTCTACAGCAACCAGTCTTTACAGCGAGCAAAGCGCCTTTCATGTCAGAAGGGTTTCCCAAAGCACTTCACAGGATTTAGTATAAATTGCAGTGACTGTTTTGTGGTCGAATAAAGTAAATTAATTATTGAATTAAGTAAAAATCCAGATCCCCTGACTTTTGATCACAACTGAATTTTTATTTATAGATGGTTCTGAGATTGTATAACTAAATATAAGCATTTAGCTTTTGTCATTTGTTGATGCACTTATGATAATAATTATAATAATCTTTGCATTTGATATTACGCCTTATCACGTCATCGAGACTTCTCAAAACTAATTTTTTTAAAAAAGTGATCTTTGAATTTGACATAATTCAAAAAGTGACATAATATATTTGTCAAATTGGATCTTACTTTCTTAAAATACTTAAAGTTCTGACAATAATATAATCCTTTTTGGGACGTGTTTGTTCAATTTGTTACAGGTCTAATCAGTAACTTTTCAGGTATTATTCTGTCAGTCTGCTTGTATGAATGTGTTCATATTTGGTGCCAAGGTTCCACAATAACCTGAGCCCCCACACAGTAACCATCCCGTAAAAGCTTATCCTGTCTTTTATTTATGAAAAACTAATACAGGAACAGATAAAGGACAGGTCATCGACTCCTGAGGATCCTGCATCCAGACGACTTTGTGGAAACTCGTGCCATTTCCAGTAGGAATGAAACTGAAGGGGGGAAGGGGTGAGTAAGAGACTGTTGGTGTCAAAAGTCTAAACGTGTTTTGTGTGTCTGCAGATTTTGTTAATTGTTAAATTTGTAAAAGCGAATTTTTTTACACTTTTCAATCGTTAATAAATTGGATAGAAACATTGACGTTTATTATAAGCTTAATTGGAAAAGTTGCTTGAGCAACGTTGGAAATGAGTGTTTAACATTAGTAAAGCATCTGCATGTGATGCTGTGAGGTGTTGGGACTGTGAGGTGGGAGAGATCATTGCAGTTGATATTTTATTTACAGGTGTTGGTAAAGTTGCCATGGCTTCGAAGCGGAAGAGGGCAACCTCGCCTTCGAGCAGCGCCAGCGGCGAGTGTGAGGACGGGCACCACGTGTCCGGTAGCACTGGAGGCTCTGGCAGGAAACGCCGCAAAATCTCCAACGTGCCCACTGTCGATTCAGTAAGTTGTTGCCCCCTGTGGATTGGGTGAGTTGGTGCCCCTATGGATTGGGTGAGTTGGTGCCCCCTGTGCATTGGGTGAGTTGGTGCCCACTGTGCATTGGGTGCGTTGGTGCCTACTATGGATTGGGTGAGTTGGTGCCCACTGTGCAATGGGTGAGTTGTTGCTGTAACCAGTCTGAAAGGCTGATCCTTGAGCCCCAATCAGTGATTGGCTGCTTCTCTCAGGTGTTGGGGGATGGTGGGGGTATGGGCTCTATCTATGGTGCCATTACAACGTGCCCTGCTTATTGTCTACTTGTGTATGATTACAGATTGCTGTTTGCCATGAACTGTACAACACTATACGAGATTACAAAGATGACCACGGGAGACTGCTGTGTGAGTTGTTTATCCGAGCCCCCAAACGCAGGTATCATTTGCTGGGTTTCATACTTCTCTTTTCCTATAAATTACTTTCTTGTCTTTTTACTGTAGAGTTATGTGTGGATCAAAGGACATGCTTGAGACCTCAGTATTAAGTGCTCTGAGATGCTATTCTGCTTGGAGGGTTCTATATAACTGCAAGTTGTTGTTGTATTAAATGCTGCATAATCTTAAATCTGCCTGAATTAAACTGCTATATACAGTGAACTGCTGATAATAAAAAAAGGCTTATATCAACACACAGTTTATATCATCATATCGTCATTTTCCTAGCTGCCTCCCATCACAATGTGAATAAGCCTCTCACCCTCCTATTTCGTGATTCCGCTTAAAATGTATAAAGTCGCAAACTACTCATTCGGTTACGTAAAAGTACTTAAAATATGACTTGTTGAGGCACAATATCAAATGCAAAGGATATTATTGTAAGTGTCAGACGCTGAAAGCAGCTCGTGCAGCTCGTGTACTGTCCCGCACCAGGCTTCGGGAACACATCACTCCCACCCTCGCTCACCTCCACTGGCTCCCCATCCCCCAGAGGATCGAATTCAAGATCCTCACCCTCACCTACAAGGCCATTCGCGGCCTCGCTCCCTCCTACCTCTCCGACCTACTATCCCCATACCTACCTGCCCATACCCTCCGTTCCTCCGGCTCCGGTCTGCTCCACATCCCCCGCCCCAACCGCCCTACCATCGGTGGCCGGGCCTTCAGCCCCGAGGCTCTGGAACTCTATCCCCCAGTGCCTTCGCCGCCTCCTCCCTTTCCTCCTTCAAGGCCGGTCTCAAGACCTTTCTCTTTGACCGTGCCTTCAGCTCCCCACTCGACTCTCTACCCCCTCCTCGCTCCCTCCCTTCCCTCCCCTCACCCTGACCATTTCCCCCCAATGCTCGGGTCCTGACCCAACTGTACAGCGTCTTGGGACGTCCTCCCGACGTGAAAGGCGCTCAATAAATGGAATCTTGTTGTTGTTATTGTTGTTGAAACGGGTTGTGGCTGCCGTGTGTTTTTCCTGGTACCAAGTCACTACAGTAAAACTCACATAACTTATTCAGTTTTCTATCAAAACCACGTAGATTTCTTTCTTTCTCTTAGATCGGATTTTTATCTGATTTATACAAGTTTGTCTGTAACAAGGATGTCGCTTTAAGCCATATTAAATGTTATAGTCCCTACTGATAGTGTTTCTGTGAGTTTTACTGAACTGTACTGACTTGGCACCAGGAAAAACACACAGCAGCCACAACCCCTTTTGAATTATGTTAGGAGTGTGTTGTTATCACAGTGTGTGTGTGCGCGTGTGTATGTTGTTACCACAGTGACTGATGTGTGTTTTATTACCACAGTGACTGGTATGTGTGTGTTATTACCATAGTGACTGGTGTGTGATTGCAGTTGGTGTAAATGTACTGAGTCGATTTAGCAGTGGTTAGATAGATAGAGACATCCTTGTTTAAATACTTTTCATGAGCATTGATGTAATGTAGGAACCAGCCGGATTACTATGATGTGGTTTCCCAGCCCATTGACCTCTTGAAAATCCAGCAGAAACTGAAGATGGAGGAATATGATGATGTTGATCAGTTAACCGCTGATTTTCAACTGATGATCAGTAACACAAAGGCCTATTACAAGGTAAGAGGATCTGTTTCTATCAGCAATTATTCATGTATCATGTTAACTCCTGAGTTACTGCTCTTGCATTGTCGTCCTCAGAGAGACCATGAACATTGATCTAGGGCAATGGTTAGTGAAGCTGAGCTTTACAATGAATCCCAAGATTGAGCTGAATATTTGCTCATTGCATGGTGATGAAATTGGTTTGATCCTAATTGAACTATTGTCTTATTGATAGATTGGCTTCCTCGGGTTGTCAATGGAATGGTGTTTGTTGAGATGACAGTACGTCTGCAGTTGTTGGACAATTTACAAATTGTATATTGATTCCTCTGATGGCTTCTAGCCACAGACTGTTCTTGCACAGAACAGGTCATCTCATCACATCTCTGCTGGTGTTTGTCTTTACATGGAGCCACAACTGATCACTTCTCCTGCTCTTTGCTATGTTCAATATTAGTGTAAATAATTCATGTGATTGTCTTTCAGGAAGATTCAGTGGAGTATAAAGCTGCCTGTAAACTGTGGGATTTGTACATCAGAACCAAGAACGAGTTTATCCAGAGAGCAGACTATGAGGATGATGATGATGACGATGATGATGATGGTCAGGACAACCCTGGCACAGCTGAGGAGGAAGTAATAATTCTTGCATTGACACAGCAATATTAGATTGTTATTATCATGTCATCAAAATGTCTCCAGACACTTCACAAGATTCACTGTAAAGTGTAGTAACTGTGTAGTTGTAGGTGAAAGCAGCAGGATGTGGCACTTTCTGGTCTGACCTTTTTCTTCCCACTGGAGGACATGCCTTTCCTGCCACACAAACATGCACAGAGTGCCGCTCTCACTGTTCAGACAGGCAGTAATCTGTGACCTTAGTGTGGCTTATTACAAGCTATCCATTGAGCACCAAAACTAGCGTGCACAGACATAGTAGACAAATCAGATACATTGCCATCAAAGCCCTGCCCAAGGCAATGACACAGCCCACAAGACTTAACAATTTAAAATCCAACAAACTTGCATTATGCAAGTGCCTTGGGATGTCCTATTGACGTGAAAGGTACTATATAAATGTAATTTGTTATTATATAGAGCCCTTTACCGAAGATAGTGTCTCGGAGTGCTAATAGCGTCCAGACACCACAAAATCTTCTGTTCCTCTCCAGCAGTGACCCGTGTGCTGACCTATATACACCTCAGCTTCCATCTGAAGATGCCAATGTATTCCCTGGCGCCTGCTGTGTGACATGATCGGCCCAGGACTCTGCAGTGTAGAGAAGACCTGGTATTAAGTTTCCTCTTCACGTTGCAGGTTAGCGCACCCTACAGTAATTTGAAGGAGCAACTGGAGCATCTGTTCGAGGCTGTGGCCACATACGTGGACCCAGCAGGGAGGCTCGTGAGCGAACTGTTTCACAAGTTACCCTCGAGAGTGGTGAGTGTGATAGAGAGACACGTGCGATAGAGAGACTGACAGAGAGAGACCCACATGTGAGAGAGAGTGCGAGAAAGACCCACGCACGAGGTGGATAGATAGAGACCTGTGTGTGCAAGGCAGAGACCCCTGCGCAACATAATAGAGGGGGAGGGAGGAATGGGTGGAGACTCGTGTGGGGTATGAACACTAGCACGGACTGGTTGGGCCGAGCGGCCTGTTTCTGCGCTTTACATTTCTTTGTGATCTTTAATCTCCCTCTTGCCTGTGGTACGGGAGGGGAGGCTGGGTTTGAATCCTGCACCAGAGATTAACACGTCCTGTGAATTTCAGCAATATCCTGACTACTTTGAGATTATAAAGGAGCCAGTGGATCTGAAGGCAGTCGCCCAGAGGATTCAGGTTTGAACATTTTACATTTGTTAGTCCCACTTCACTGCGTTTGTGTTTCTTTACATTGAAGTTGTTTAGTTTCTCAATATTTAGTGAAATATAATATCTTGAGTTGCTGATGTACTTTGGATGTGGATATATATTGAAGGACATTGAATACACACATTGTCTTGTGTATATCTGATCTATATTAACCAAACTCTTGTCTTCCTGTAGAACGGTTTGTATAAGAGTGTCAATCTGATGGCGCGAGACATTGAGCTTTTAGTCAGAAATGCCAAAACCTACAATGAACCAGGGTCCCAGGTATTCAAGGTAAGGTTGGGAAATGAAAGCTCTCAGTTAACTTTATATTGTGAGATTCTGCAGTTAGATTTCTAACTGTAGGGAATTATTTTATTGAATGTTAATTGAGTGCTCAAACTCTCAGTTACTAAAGTACAAGAAGCCTCGATCTTCAATTAAAAACACTGCCAATCTTTGGACAACTGGTGCTTAATTTTGCTGATGATGCCGTTTCCACCTCTGCAGGACGCAAATACTATTAAGAAACTATTTAATCAGAAGCGAGCTGAACTGAACCTAGAACCTACGAAATCCAGTCTACGGATCAGGTACAGTTTATTGATGGAATGGTTTGTCTCGTGCGTCTGTTCCATGGCTGAAAATGCCAAGCTTGGTTCCAGCAGGTCCCTGTGACAATACAATACAAAGTTACATTTATACAACGCCTTTCACATCGGGAGGACATCCCAAAGCACTGAATAATAACGTTTCACCATTCCATCAGGTCTCTTCTCCCATATGACTAAACCCAACAAGTTTGTGTCATACCAGCACATTTTGCTCAATGTAAAACAAATATTCACATAATAAAGCAACTAAAGATCATAACTAGATTGATTATAAAAAAGCTGCTAAAATAAATGCAAAACTCACTATTTTTAATCCAAATAAGAATTTTAAAACCCACCGAAACTTGTCCTGTCATTGTGTTTTCTTGATCTCTGTTCTCTCTGAATTTCTTTTTACTGTTTATTGCCTCTTGTACTCCACCACCTCTCCCTTTTTTTTGTCTGTCTGTCTCTCTCACACTCTCTGACTCTTCTTTCTCTCTCTCTCACTCTGCGTCTCTAGTTTTTCATGTAAACCCGCAATACAAACCCAAGTGCTGCTTATTGTCTAAGGCTTTGTTCTGTTTCTCTGTGTAGGAACCGGCGCTCAGCCCAGGGAGACCGTCTCTCTGCCATCACCATGGCACTTCAGTATGGCTCGGAGAGCGAGGAGGAGGGTGGCTTTGCTGGTGAGGCTTTGGGTGAAAACCTTTCTGCTTGCGACGTTTGGCATGGGACTGTCTTTAGCACTCTGGGATGTGAGGGGCACTGTATACATACATGTTGTTGTTTTTGTCTCTAATCCTGGTTCTGTTCCTACAGGGGTTTCCCGCTATGAGGAAGGCGACTCTGAGGGAGAGAGCATTGGTTCCTCTGTTGATGTTTCCAGCCCGATTTACCAGCTGTTTGACACAGTCAGGAGTTACCGCAACAGCCAGGGGCAGCTCCTGGCCCAGCCTTTCTTCCGCTTGCCGTCCAAGAAACATTATCCTGACTACTACCAGCAAATCAAACAGCCCGTCTGCCTGATGCTCATCAAGTAAGAAATGTTTATCAGAACACAGGCCGGTGACTAGGGTGAGCCTGAGTGCAGGTCGGCTCACTGTGAAGCTGTGCAGCTCTGCAGGTGGCACTCAATTAGCACATGGTTTAGATACAAACACTGCATTGTTCTCAGAGGATTGGAGGAGGCGGTGTGGATACCAAGGGAGGGGAGGGGGACACCAGGATATGGGCCAAAATTGGGGTGTGTGAGGGGGCATGTGTTGGATGGGGATGTGTGCAGTGTGGGTTTGGGGGGGTGAGGTGTGGGATTGGGTTGGGGAGGTGTGGGATTTGGGGTGAGGTGTGGGATTGGGGTGAGTTCTGGGATTCAGGGGGTGAGGTGTGGGATTGAGGGGGTGAGGTGTAGGATTGAGGGGTGGGGGTGAGGTGTGGGACTGGGGTGAGGTGTGGGTTTCGGGGTGTGTGAGGTGGGTGTTGGCTATAAGTGCTGTTCTCTTCCAGTTAAACGGTGCTGAATACCCTATTCCCACTCTTCTACCCTAGGCAGAAACTGAAGAGCAATCAGTATGAAACCTTGGATCAGATGGATAATGACTTGAATATGATGTTTGAAAATGCCAAACGCTATAATGTTCCCAACTCTGCTATCTACAGACGAGTTCTGAAACTACAGCAGATCCTGCAGGTAGCGAGGGCTCACTCTGTCAGTGTTTAATATTTATTCCCAGTCAGTCTGGCTGCCGCTCACCCTGGCACTTGCTGTTTCAGGTGAAGAAGAGGGAGCTGTCTCGCAGAGACATCATTGAGGACGGGGACAGCATGGTGTCCTCAGTGACCTCTGACACAGGCAGCGCCAAGAGAAAGAGGTGAGTGACTCGAGTTAACAGCCGGAGGTTAAACACGGACATTGTGAGTGACTGATGAGGGGTTTACAGAACACTGCACGCTGCTGCCATTCCCCAGTGTGGCTGGCTGGTGGGAAAGCTGCTCCAAGTGACTCCGGCTGCTGTTGTGGATCCTTAACATCTTGCTTTTAGCTGCTCTGATCACTGTAACATTTCTCTGGCACCGTCCAGACCCTCCTGTCGGGGACATAGCAATTCTGTCCTTGTCTAACTGCTCACCTTCTAGCATCTGGTGTCTGGATAGTGCTAAGGAGCAGGAATCCCGTGCAAACTCTCCTGGACCCAAGGCTGAGATCAGTACCTGGGGATTGCTCTGGGACTGTGTGTACATGGCTCAGGGCAGCTGCTTTATCCATGGAGCAGGCGGGAAATTGTGAAGCTTATTTTCACCGAATTGTAATTATATTAGCTTTTACTGGATACTTTCATGTGCAGCACAATTCCTGCTGAAACTCATGACTGTGTGAGGTGCCAGGATTGGGATTGACTTTGGTGGCATAGATGGATTTCCTGCTGTACTTCATACAGTGATATTGATGTTTATATTTCACTGATGTTCCTGGACCAGTGTTCACCAAAACCTGTTTAATTACAGTTTAAAGAAACTAGAAAAGAGCGGAAGGAAAAGTGAGACCCATTTGAGGCAAAGACTGAAGATCCTGTACAACACTGTGGTGGAAGCGCGTAACCCGGCCACAGGGCGAAGGTTCTGTGAGTTGTTCACTGTCAAACCATCCAAGAAAGATTATCCTGATTATTACAAAGTCATCCTGGAGCCCATTGACCTGAGGATAATCGAGATGAACGTCCGGAGCGGGAAGTACACCAGCGAGGAGGCCTTCGGGGACGACCTGAAACTGATGTTCAGAAACGCTCGGCACTATAACGAGGAGGGCTCCCAGGTGGGTTACAGCACAGTGAGAGGGTCACACTGGGCACACAGTGAGAGTGTCACAGTAAGTTAATCCTATTCCCCTTATTCTGATTCAGCACTTTGATAAATTGTTAAATTACTGATAGGTTTATAATGATGCCAACATCCTGGAGAAAATGCTGAAGGAGAAGAGGAAGGAGTTGGGGCCGCTGCCTGACGATGAGGAGACCGCCTCGCCCAAAGTCAAGCTCAGTGAGTCATCACATGGCCCATCACACTGCACTGCTAACCCAAGCTCCCCACGTCACTGCCCGCCTTAGCTCCCTCGCTCCCTCCCTCATCTCACTCACTCACTCACTCCCTCCTGCCCAATGCAGCGAGTGAGGCCCACGTGCCGTATCCATTGAAGCTGATGTTTGTGTTCAGGCAGGAAGATTGGAGTTTCACCAAAAAAATCCAAGTACCTGAGCCCCCTGCAGCAGAAGCTGAATGAACTGTACGAAGCCGTGAAGAACTACACAGACAGTCGTGGGCGCAGACTGAGCGCCATCTTTCTGCGGCTGCCGTCTCGCTCCGAGCTTCCTGACTACTATCTGACCATCAAGAAGCCCATGGACCTGGAGAAGGTGCGGAGCCACATGATGGGAAACAAGTACCAGGATGTGGACGCGCTGGTGGAGGACCTGGTGATGATGTTCAACAATGCCTGTACCTACAACGAGCCCGAGTCGCTGATCTACAAAGATGCTCTAGTCCTGCACAAGGTGCTGCTGGCCACAAGGAAGGATCTGGAAGGAGAGGACGATTCTCACATCCCCAATGTTAAGCTGCTGATCCAGGAGCTGATCCACAACCTGTTTGTGTCTGTGTTGAGCCACCAGGATGATGAGGGCCGGTGCTACAGTGACTCTCTGGCTGAGATCCCAGCCACGGACCCAACCTTCCCCAACAAGCCACCGCTCACCTTCGAGATCATCAGGAAAAACATTGAGACCAATCGCTACGGGAGGCTGGATGTGTTTCAGGAGCACATGTTTGAGGTACTGGAGCGAGCCAGAAGGTTGAACAGGTGAGCATGTATTTCTGTGTTCACATATCAGTGTTGTTGGTGTATGTTGGTGTCCTGTTCCTTCCCCATTAAACCCAATTCCTGCTTTAAGCAGCAGACGGGATTTGTCAACAATGTTTGTATTGACCAAAGAGCAGGATGTCACTAAGGAGTGTTCGTATCTCTCGGGTAGATGAGGTGTAGCCAAATGTAGAGTAATAACATTGCTGTGTTGTGCTGTCAGGTACAGAGTGAGCTTCCCTCTGTTGTGGGGCAAAACGTAGCAAAGCAGCAGGTTTAGATTGATGGGGACTGAGAGAAGTGTTTACATAGGGTGTGTTGGCACATCCTCCTGACATGAAAGGCGTTTACAAATGTAATTTATCGTTGTTGTCATGAGGATATTCTGTGATGTGTAACTATTCTCTCCTGTAGAACGGATTCTGAGATCTATGAGGATGCAGTGGAACTGCAGCAGTTCTTCATTAAGATCCGTGATGAATTGTGTAAGAATGGCGAGATCTTGCTGTCCCCGGCCCTCAGCTACACCCTCAAACACCTGCAGCACGACCTGGAGAAGGAGAAAAAGTCAAAGCTGCCTCGAGAGATTGAGGAAGACAAGCAGAAACGTGAGGAGGAGAAGAAAGAGTTCTCAGGTACCTCATGGCTTCTCTTACTCTCAAGTTCTTTATATTAACATTAAGCCAAGCTTGTCCTCTGAGTGGAGACTTGGTGACATTAGAATAGAGGGGGGGAGCAAGGGATGGAGGGGTGGAGCGAGGGAGGGAGCGGGGGAGGGTGAGGATGAGCAAGGGAACAAGAGGTAGGGAGGGAGAGGGGGAGAAGCATTTCTTTGTGGGTATTTAAAGGGGTGACATTTGTAAAACATGCCATGTTTCATGTGCACATTTTGCCCCACAAACTGTTGTAAACAGAGAAGAACATGAATGAGCAGGTGGGCAGTGACGGGCAGTTGGGGACCCAGCGCACCTACAGCCAAGACTGCAGCTTTAAGGACAACCTGTACCACGTTGGTGACTATGTGTACGTGGCTCCCGCTGAGCCTGACCTGCTGCCCCACATTGTCTGTATAGAGCGGCTATGGCAGGATGATACAGGTACAACAACAACAACTTGCACTTATATAGCGCCCTCCGAACAGGGCAGCGTCTCAGAGCGCTTAACAGAGCCTGACTCCGAGCCGGTGGGGGGGGCGAGGTGGCTGTAAGCACGGTCGAAGAGGAAAGTTTTCAGGTGGGACTTGAAAAAGGAGAGAGAGGGGACAAGGCGGAGGGATTGAGGGAGAGTGTTCCAGGGTTTTGGGGTGTTTCAGGTGACAATGTGGGGCATACAGGTAATGAGGCCACTAGATCAGTGATCATTCTCTAAATGTAATAATTTGTTCTCAGATTGCTGCTTCTTATGTGTAAAAACAACCGTGTTTGTCCATAAAAACAGTCACTACACTAGTGTAATGTAGTAATAGTATAGCAATTTTAAAAAATGTTAGCCCTTTGAGGCGTTTCAGAGCAAAAAGGTGATATACAAATACCGATATTTGAGCAATTTTCAGGTAAAGGAACATCTCAAAGTGCTCATAGATCTAGATTAAAGACCAAAGGATGTCTAGAGGCTGTAGTTTGTGATGTTGACGATGTTCTGTGCTGAAGGCTAACGTGCCTGCTGTGTGTGTGTGTGTGTGTGTGTATGTGTGTTTGTACAGGAGAGAAGTGGCTGTACGGCTGCTGGTTCTATCGTCCCAACGAGACATTCCACTTGGCCACGCGCAAGTTCCTGGAAAAAGAAGTTTTCAAAAGTGACTATTACAGTAAAGTGCTGGTCAGCAAGATCCTGGGCAAATGTGTGGTTATGTTCGTCAAGGTGAGAGTTTGCTTTGTCATATTGTCAGCACAGCCACACTGAGGCGCTCTATCTCCCTGAGCCCCTCTGTGGCCAGTGTGGGGGAGGATACACATACGTCCCCAATACCCAATAATCAGCCCTGGTGACCTCACTGAGCTACTCCTTAGCCCAGGAACTGGCTCTGACACTTGATCACAGACCCCGGGTTAGAGTCGGGATTCCTAGTGCTGAGGGACGGGAATAAGACTTTCCCATTCTAATGTCTATTTCTCTTCCCACCAGGAATATTTCAAGATCCGTCCTGAAGGCTTCAGGGATGAGGATGTGTTTGTCTGCGAGTCTCGCTATTCAGCAAAAACAAAATCTTTCAAGAAGATTAAGCTGTGGACAATGCCGGTGGGCACCGTGAGGTTTGTGCAGCGAGACATTCCCCTGCCCGTGGTGAGAGTGGCTTCCGTGTTTGCCAACGCCCACAAGACAGAGAGCAGGGAGCCAGTGGGGCCCGTACCAGAGGACAGCAAACCCGACGACAGCACCAACATCATTGACAAGGTGGTAGCAGGGTTCAGTGACAATGGTTCAATGTGGCTAAAGCAGTTTACCTGAGATGTGACAGGAATGTGCTAACCACACTGATCATATTCAGTTCCATACACTACACACAGCAACTTGCACTTATAGAGTGGCCTCTAAACACAGCCTCCTGGCTGGGACCTGTGGAGAGGGTGTGCTGAGGGAGAGAGACAATAATAATCCTTGCATTTGATATAGCGCCTTATCACGTCTTCAGGACGTCTCAAAAGGCTTCACAGAATATATTGTAAAGTGTAATGATTGTATATTTGTGGGCAAAAAGATGTCGGCAACAAACCACTTTTGGAGAACGTAAAACTGTCAGTGGCTATCGTATAATCTGGGTGTAATTAGCATCTCTCACACTCTCTCACACAGTCTCACTTTCTCACACATTTAAACAAACTCTCTGTCTCCCACTCTCTCTCACACTTTCTTTCTGTTTCACACTCACACACTCTCTCTCTCTCTCTCACCAGGAGCGGGAGGATGTGCCGGTTGAGATAGCGAGTGGGGAGCCTGGCTGCCATTACCACGAGCAGCTTCATTACAATGATCTGTGGCTCAAGGTCGGGGATTGTGTTTACATCAAATCCCATGGTTTAGTGCAGCCTCGTGTGGGCCGGTGAGTTTTGGCTTTGCACGTAGTCGGGCTCCATCGTGAAGTGCATCAATGTTTTTGTTTTGCCAGAAAGCCTGACAATAGAAAGTATGTGTTTGGTGCAAATTGGATTATTGTAATAATAATTCTTGCATTTGATATAGTACCTTATCACATCTTTGAGGTGTCTCAAAGCGCTTCACAGAATATACTGCGTATTTTGTGGCTGAAACAAACACTAATGTAGGCAGGAAATTAGTGTATTTGCGATGCCAAAGTGATTATGTATTTTCCAGTGTGGAGAAGATGTGGGTACGGAATGGAGCCGCCTATTTCTTTGGTCCCATCTTCATCCATCCCGAGGAGACGGAGCACGAACCCACCAAAATGTTCTACAAGAAGGAAGTATTTCTCAGCAATGTGGAGGAGACCTGCACCATGTCCTGTATTCTGGGTAAGTGCTGTGTCCTGGGCTGTGAGAGCTCCCATGTGGCATGTATAATACAGAGTTTAATACAGGGTTTGATACAGGGTTTGATACAGGGTGAGCCTAGGTCCTGGGGGCGTGTGTAATACAGAGTTCTGGCGAGATCTTGTCACATGGTGAACAAATGGGAAATTTTAGTTTAATGTATTGTACTTTGGGCTCCTTTACAAATGGTAAAATGGTTTAGATGTTAATAAACATGCACTTGGTGTTAGTGAGGGAGAGGAGACAGGGATGTGGTAAGAGAGGACAGTGGGCACCATGATACATGGTGAGTTGCTGGGATTCCACACTGTGTTGACAGGCTTCCTGGTGAGGCAGAGTTTGAGAAAGGCTGCTGTCAGTCTGGCTCAGTGCTGTCAGGTAACTGTGTTCCTCCTGCAGGCAAGTGCAGTGTGTTGTCTTTCAAGGACTATCTGTCCTGTCGCCCGACTGAGGTGTCTGAGAGCGACGTCCATGTGTGCGAGAGCCGCTACAACGAGACCGACAAACAGATGAAAAAATTCAAAGGACTGAAAAGATTCTCCCTATCAGCTAAAGTGCTGGATGATGAGATTTACTACTTCAGGTAAGGGGTGTAAACACACTGTGTGCTGTACTCCCTGTTCACTGCACACACGCTGGGGCTGGCAGGACAGGTGTTGTGTAAGTTATTGTTGATGTGTCTAAGCGTCGGTCTGGCTGTGTTTGTTATACAGTGTGTGTCAGTCTGGCTGCGTTTAACGTACAGTGTGTGTCAGTCTGGCTGTGTTTGATGTCCAGTATGTGTCAGTCTGGCTGTGTTTGATGCACAGTCACTAACTTGAGCTCCTGCTCTGCTCCAGGAAACCCATTGTTCCCCACAAGCAGCCGTCTCCTCTCCTGGATAAGAAGATCCACGATTTAGAAGCGAAGTTTGCGGAGTTTGAAGAGCCGGATGATGATGTCGAGGAGGGAGGTGAAGAGGGGGCCGAGGCAGGGGAGCAGCCCTCAGCACCACAGACGCAGACACCTGCTCCCAGTGAGATGGAGGTCACTCCACATACACCTCCTCAGGTATGGAGATGCTCCTCGTGTCCCAGTTCCTCTCATTGCCCCCGATGTTAGTGCAGAGTTGCTGACTCCATCTCCTGTGTTTGTAAGCAGTCGACGCCTAAATCTGCCAAAGGCACAAAGCAAAAGGAGGGCAAGAGGAAAACCAACCCAAGTGGCTACATCCTGTTCAGCAGTGAGATGCGAGCGGTGATCAAGGCCAAACATCCCGACTTCTCCTTTGGGGAGCTGAGCCGTCTCGTGGGCACCGAGTGGCGGAACCTGGAGGCCGTGAAGAAGGCAGAGTATGAAGGTAGTTCATTGTTCATTCAGTTACAATCCTGTTCACACCCCGTCTTTTACATGCTGGCTTCAGTTGGTGGCCAGTAACCCGTGCCGGCGTGAGGGTGGCATTGTAACATTGTGTTTACTCTGTTAGTAATTGTCTGGATGATCAACGCAAAGTGATGAAATGGGGAGGATTGTCAATGTCCGATCATGTTGTTTCAGAGCGAGCAGCAAAGCAGGCTGAGCAGCAGGAGCGAGAGCGAGCAGCACAGCAGCAGGCAGCCTCCCCACGGGCTGGCACTCCTGTGGGGGCCATCATGGGGGTGGTGCCCCCTCCCACACCAATGGGCATTCTCCACCAGCAGATGAGTCCTGTCACAGGTAGTGCATCACAAGCAAAGGACTCGGACTGTCTCACAAACTGCTGTCACCAGGTTCCAGGAGAGGAGGGAGGGGTCATTTTACAATGTTTTCATTTCAGGCCACACACTCTGCCACAATCAGGCTGTGATCGAGTTGCTAGTCCGTCTCCCTCACTCCTCTCTGCCTCAGGATGAATATGTCTGAACCAAACCACTTTGCCTGCAGTCTGTTTATCAAGAGTATTTCCCAATATTTTCCTGCCTGATCCTCTCTCAATGCCCAGGAAGGGTTTAGGCAGATAGTTAGGTGGAAGCAGTGAGAGTGAGTATCTGTGTGAGGGTAGAATGAGATGCTGGGAAGTGGCTGTGTAATCGGTACATCTGTCTCCATGTATCAGTGTTGCTATGTGCTCTGAACCTGCTCAGAGCTCGACTGTGTCAAAGTTTAGGACGGGAAGATGGTTTGGCTTTCTGTAGCTACTGTTGGAAAGCCTGTCACTGTGTTTACTGGCTCTAGCCCAAACTAGTACGATTATGTGAAGGTAAACACATTCAGAGAAAGGGAGCAGCTTTTACACAGTGCTTCATTCCCCTTCAGTCAGGCAGAACTTTACCAAAATGCCTGGTGTGAAAGGACACATTTGATCATTGTGCAATGCAGTCTCTCCATTTGGTAACCAATGTACCATCGCCACATACTAACTGTTTATTTCTTCATGCAGTTCTAGCTCTGCTCATCCATCACTTTGCATGTCTCATTGCGCTACCAGAGGTTCCCTCTAAGTACTCCAGCCGACTACAGCAACAACAATAATAACTTGCATTTATATATAAATGTATATAGCGCTCCTCACGCAGGCTGGAGTCTCAGAGCACTGGCTACAAACCAGAACACAGTGTGCATTACAAAGGAACCATTTCCGTGGATTTAGTTTAGTGTGGGTATGAAATTGAGCTGATGGCAGGCACTGTGTGATAACCTGGCTTAGAGGGAACATCTGCGGGCTGTTGCATGTTGTTTACATCCTTGATGCATGTTTGAAATTTATTGTTGTCCTTTAAGGCCTAGTAGGTGGCTACGCCCAGGGCCTGCCGCCATTGCTCGTCCCCAGTGATGGGCTGGGGGGCTTGGGCAGCATGTCGTCACCCCAACTCCTCTCAGCCATTCAGCCGCTCGGTAAGGACATCATTGCTCGTCTCAATTCTCTTATCATCTGCTTGACATGTCCATCCGTCCATTAATGCTAACTGTGGCAAAGCTCCGGGGAACCGCTGTGCAGCTCGGCACACAGCCCTGGGCAGCAATACCAGGGGCTGGAGCTGATAAAGCAGTGGTGTTATCGTGAATAATGAGCAGCATGGACCACCTCAGCTGCTCTGCTAATCTCAGAGTCTTTCTAATGTTTAAATACAGCTGCAAATTCACAACAAAATCTGTGTTGTTTCTGGCTCACAGGCAGGTCCTCTGGCTCCAGATCCACATGAGAAAGTCATTAGAATTGGCCATTGTACCAGTGTTCTAGATACAGTAGCTCACTGATGCTCTGGGAACTGTAAATACTAGAGTTGCTGCAGATAAACCTCGCCAATGGCTGTATCTGACGTAGTGTATTCAAAGCTTTTCTACGTTACTAAGAGTGTAACTAAACGTTGGGCATGATCATCTGGGTCTGTGTGCAGTGCCTACACACACAGACACACACACACACACGCAGACCGACACGCGCGCGCACACGCACACACAACCCAAACCATCAGGGTTTTCTACATAAATCCCAGTCTGGGTACAGAAGGGTCGTTATCTTATTACCGAGTGTCATCTTCCCACCACACTTGTCCATGTTTCACGAGGGCACGTTTGTCTGATTGGAAAACCGGCAAAATCGTAGAATGAATAAAACATTCTTCTCTTAGATACAGTTACTTGAAGCTGTGACTAATGCTGTTACGATCCTTGTTGTGAATCTTTTTAATCCCTGACATGTCTCCCCACGGCAGGGGTCCTGGGTCAGGGGGTGGCCACGCTGGTGGGAGGCTCGGCCGCCGGCAACACGGGAGTTGTTTACGGACAACAGGTAACTCACTCACTGAGGGTTACCCTCACATCCAGGGTGTGGTGGGGTGTGCGGGTGTGTTGCGGGTGTTTGTGTGGGCGGCATGTTTGTGTTGCTGCCGTGTTGTGAGTGTGTGTGTGTTGTGTCCATGTAGCAGGCGTGTTGTGGATTTGTGTGCGCGTGCGTGTTGTCGGCGTGTGTGTGTGTGTTGTGTCCATGTAGCAGACGTGTTGTCGGCGTGTGTGTGTGCGTGCGTGTTGTCAGCGTGTGTGTGTGTTGTGTCCATGTAGCAGACGTGTTGTCGGCGTGTGTGTGCGTGTTGTCGGCGTGCGTGTGTGTTGTGTCCATGTAGCAGACGTGTTGTCGGCGTGTGTGTGTGCGTGCGTGTTGTCTGCGTGTGTGTGTGTGTGTGTTGTGTCCATGTAGCAGGCGTGTTGTCGGCGTGTGTGTGTGTGTGTGTTGTGTCCATGTAGCAGACGTGTTGTCGGTGTGTGTGTGTGTGTGTTGTGTCCATGTAGCAGGCGTGTTGTTGGCATGTAACGTGTTGCTGTGTTACAGGGCGTGGCTGGGCAGCAGGCCCCGCCCCCCTACCCCTCACAGCCAATGGCAGCGCAGGTGCAGCCTCCCTCCTCCCCCATGTTTGTGGCCCCGCCCCCCCGGACCCAGCGGCTGCTGCACTCAGAGGCGTATCTGCGCTACATCGAGGGACTGCGGCCGGAGGCGCTGACCGTCAGCAAGTGGGACCTGAGCCTGGCAGGTGAGCACCGGGGGGGCATTACTGTGCCCTGCAGGTCAGTGGCAGCGGGGGGGGGGGCATGCACACACCACAGCGACTGACACGCATGCACACACCACAGCGACTGACACACAGGAGTCCGTGGTAAATAGTTAAGCCACATAGCGCATCACACTCAGCTACACTCGAACACTACATGTACTATAGCAGCTCGGGTTCAACAACAACAACAAGATACAACAACAACAACAACAACAAGATTCCATTTATAGAGCGCCTTTCACGTCAGGAGGACGTCCCAAGGCGCTGCACAGTTGGGTCATGACCCGAGCATTGGGGGGAAATGGTCAGGGTGAGGGGAGGGAAGGGAGGGAGCGAGGAGGGGGGAAATGGTCAGGGTGAGGGGAGGGAAGGGAGGGAGCGAGGAGGGGGAAGAGAGTCGAGAGGGGAGCTGAAGGCTGAAGGTCAAAGAGAAAGGTTTTGAGACCGGCCTTGAAGGAGGAAAGGGAGGAAGCAGCGAAGGCACTGGGGATGGAGTTCCAGAGCCTCGGGGCTGAGAGGCTGAAGGCCACCGATAGTAGGGCGGTTGGGGCGGGGGACGTGGAGCAGACCGGAGCCAGAGGAACGGAGGGTACGGGCAGGTAGGTAGGGGGATAGTAGGTTGGAGAGGTAGGAGGGAGCGAGGCCATGAATGGCCTTGTAGGTGAGGATGAGGATCTTGAAATCAATCCTCTGGGGGTTCAGGCCGAGGGCTGCGCGGCGCGGGCACACGGGACTGTTGCGATCTGACTGCCGGCTCTGGTTGGTTTGAGCTGTTCCTGTGTGTGAATGTGAGGAGCTGTGTTCCAAACTCTTCTGTTTCCCTTTAGCCAGACGGCAGGACGTGCACCTGAGTAAAGAGCAGGAGAGCCGACTGCCTTCTCACTGGCTGAAGAGCAAAGGTGCCCACACCACCATGGTGGATGCTCTGTGGCGTTTACGTGACATTATGCTGCGCGACACGTTAAACATCCGCCATGCTTACACCCTGGAATAATCCCCGGCTTTGCTTCCAGCCTCTGTTGTGGGGAATATGTCTGTGTTTGTGCCTGACCGGAAAAAGGCAAACAATACACCTCTTGTCGGGTCAGGTTGTAACATTTGTTTTTATAAAGGTTTTAATAAGCTTTAATTGGATGTTTCAGTTCGGTGTTCAATGTTCCAGCAATTTTCACAGTTTCCCGGCGGCTGTGAGTGAGTGTTTGTGAGGAGTTGTTCTGAATTCAAGTTTTCATTTATAAAAATAAAAGTACCTCGAGTGTCTGTGTTGTCTCTTCTCTTATCTCTGCTGTTGGGACCGTGTCTCTCCCTGTGGTGCAGACACAGACCGGACGGAGTTTTATCGGCTCAGGACCCGAAACCATTCAAGGGCTTGAAATTCTGAGGCACTGCAGAATTTCTTAAAAACTGTGGAAAAAAATTCTTAGTCGTTTGGAGTCCGGTTTCCTTTTATCAACTGCAGACAAACAGCTTCAAAATTAGGACCGAATGTAATTTTTTTTTTACAATTCTGCACAATTTTAAATGAGAAGTAAACCATTAGTTTAAGACCAAATTTCAGGCCTTCAGTTTTTTTTGGGGTCAATTTGTGACAGAAAAACAGTTTCTGTTCTTGTGGAGGACCTGTGAGGGGTCGGAGACCGGGAGGTCAGGGCTGGACACAGAGCCAAGGCAGCCCAGAGCAGCCCACACATGGCAGCTGCACCCCCCCTCACACAGCCCCCCCACACACAGCCCCCACACACACAGCCCCCCACACACACACAGCCCCCCTCACACAGCCCCACAGCCCCCACACACACAGCCCCCCCACACACACAGCCCCCCACACACACAGCCCCCACACACACACACACACAGCCCCCCACACACAGCCCCCCACACACACACACACAGCCCCCCCCACACACAGCCCCCCACACACACACACAGCCCCACAGCCCCCCCCCACACACACACACACAGCCCCCACACACACACACACACACAGCCCCCCCACACACACACACACACAGCCCCCCCACACACACAGCCCCCCACATACACACACACAGCCCCCACACACACACACAGCCCCCCCCACACACAGCCCCCCCCCACAGCCCCCACACACACAGCCCCCCTCACAGCCCCACAGCCCCCACACACACAGCCCCCCCCACACACACACACAGCCCCCCCACACACACACAGCCCCCCCACACAGCCCCACAGCCCCCACACACACAGCCCCCCCCCCACACACACACACAGCCCCCCCCCACACACACAGCCCCCCCACACAGCCCCACAGCCCCCACACACACAGCCCCCCCCCACACACACACACAGCCCCCCTCACACACACACAGCCCCCCTCACACAGCCCCCACACACACACACAGCCCCCACACACACAGCCCCCCCACACACAGCCCCCCCCCACATACAGGCCTCCCACATACAGGCCCCCCACACACAGCCCCCCCCATAACACAGCCCCCCCCTCACACAGCCCCCCCACACACAGCCCCCCCACACAGCCCCACAGCCCCCACACACAGCCCCCCCCCACACACACACAGCACCCCCCCACACACACATAGCCCCCCCTCACACAGCCCCCACACACACACACACAGCCCCCCACACACAGCCCCCACACACACAGCCCCCCCCCCCACACACACACACACAGCCCCCCCCCCCACACACACAGCCCCCACACACACAGCCCCCCCCCCCCCACACACACACACACAGCCCCCCCCCCCCCTCACACAGCCCCCACACACACACACACAGCCCCCCACACACAGCCCCCACACACACAGCCCCCCCCCCCCCACACACACACACACACACAGCCCCCCCAAACACAGACACCCCACACCCACAGGCCCCCACACACACAGGCCCCCCCCCACACACACACACACAGCCCCCACACACACAGCCCCACCCCCCACACACACAGGCCCCGCCCCCCCCACACAGCCCCCCCCCCCCCCACACGCTGTCCCGCTCTGGGCCTCAGGTGCCGGCGATGCTCAGCCCGAGGCTGCGGCAGTGGCTGCGGCGGGTCCCGGGGTCGCGGCCGCTCGGGGAGTATCGCTTCCTCCCCGGGTTTTTCGTGCTCGGGGCCGCCATGGAGTGGGTTATGATCAACATCCGCATCGGCCCCGAGACCTTCTGTAAGTCACGGCCCGCGGGCCGCACCCGGCCCCCGGGGTTTCCTCGCTGCTCTGACGGTTTGACAAATAATCTCCAATCCGAACGTTGGAGGGTCACAGCGAGTTTGATTCTGGGGTAAAGCTGTTGACCTTCAGCCACAACCGATCAGTGACGAGACACCGGGTGTGTGACCCTGAGGAAGTGGCTTATTAATGGGGGGGGGGGAGGGGGGGTCATCGCACACGGTTCATGTTGTTGTTTTGATGGGTTTCAATGGCTGTAATATTCTGTGATTCTATAAAATCTCTCGTTTCTGACCTGTGGACAGTCCGGACGGACACTGACCCGGACCTTATTCTCATCTGTCAGTGAGGACAATGCGGCCCCTCAATCCGTGACTGTTTGTGGGTCACTGCGGTGCCCAATCGGTTGCCAAAATAGTCAATTCACTTGACGGTGTGTCCTGTGAAGCGCTTTGAGACGTCGCGATGAAGTGATCGGGGGCCGCGGGTCCGGAGCGAGGACTACTGTATTGTGTTATTGTCGTTATCGCTGCTAATGATCGTTCATTTATTACTGCAGACGACGTGTACCGCAGGAAGCGCTCTGAGCGGGAATACCTGGGGAGGGTCGAGGCCGCGGGAGAGCGGCCCCCGGAGTAACTCGGCTCAGGGGCCCCCACCGCATCGCTTCCTTTTACAAACCTGTTGTTGTCGTGACTGAGGTCATTGATCATTGATTATTAAACTGTGACAAACGGGGAAACACCGACACAGTTAACAGCCAATAAAACATATTGGTTGTACAGTTTACCTTTCTGTTCAATGCCTCTCTGTGTGACAGCGACAGCGACAGCGCCCCCCAGTGACCCCCCAGTGACAGCGCCCCCCGGTGACCCCCCAGTGACAGCGCCCCCCAGTGACAGCGCCCCCCAGTGACCCCCCCAGTGACAGCGCCCCCCAGTGACAGCGCCCCCCGGTGACCCCCCAGTGACAGCGCCCCCCGGTGACCCCCCAGTGACAGCGCCCCCCAGTGACCCCCCAGTGACAGCGCCCCCCGGTGACCCCCCAGTGACAGCGCCCCCAGTGACAGCGCCCCCAGTGACAGCGCCCCCCGGTGACCCCCAGCGACAGCGCCCCCAGTGACCCCCAGTGACAGCGTCCCCCAGTGACAGCGCCCCCCGGTGACCCCCCAGTGACAGCGCCCCCAGTGACAGCGCCCCCCGGTGACCCCCCAGTGACAGCGCCCCCAGTGACCCCCAGTGACAGCGCCCCCCAGTGACCCCCCAGTGACAGCGCCCCCCAGTGACCCCCCGGTGGCAGCGCCTTGGGTGAGGTTACCCTGTCATTGCGGGCCGCGGACGCTGGGGGCGCTGTGGCGGCTCCCGGCTCCCGAGCGGCCATTGCTGTGAGGCCGAGGCGGGACGATGGCCGCGCTGTGGCCGAGGAGCCTGAGCTCGGGGTCGCGGTGGGGCGCGGGGCCGCGGTGGGGCGCGGGGTCGCGGTGGGGCGCGGGGCCGCGGGGGGCGCGGGGGGGCCGCGGGGGGGCGCGGGGCCGCGGGGGGGCGCGGGGTGGGCCCGAGGCTGCAGCACCGCGGCCCCCGTGTTGGGCTGCGAGAGGAAGCCGCTGCCGAGCGGCCCGGACCCCGGGCCCAGAAGCCGCAGCAAAGGCTTCCTGTGGGGCCGCTACACGGAGATGAAGAAACTGGTTCACGGTAAAAAAAAAGAGGAGCCGCGGGGGAGGGGCGCTCGGCCAAGTCAGGCCCCCGGGCCGGGTCCGGCCCGCGTGGCGGGGGGGAGGCTGTTCACTGAGCCTCAGCCACCGCTGACCCAGTGAGACCCGGGGGTGGGGGTGGGGGTGGGGTGGGGTGGGGTGGGGGCGGTGTTTGGCTCCGGCCCCACTTTGTTGACTTCAGGGCCACATTTACAAACACTGTCTCTCAGCGATTTGTTTGATGTAAAATCTCAGTCCCTGTTTCCCGGTGCGGATTATTGTCCATCGTCACCGACCGGAGGTGTTCAGGGGGTTGTAAGGCTTCTCTGGCGAGTGCGGTGGGTCAGGGCTTCGGGGGGTCACCTGTGGGGGAAGCGCTCTCGCTCTCTGGGGACCATCTGACGCCAAAGGGGCGAAAGGAATGTCATGTGCCATTATAACCGGATCGCAATTCCGGAACGACAAACAGCTCTCAGCCGCGTCCGTCTCTGAGACAAGACCTTGAGTTCCGTCACCTGAGACGAGGCTCCAGTGCGGCGATGGGGGGAGAATCCGCTGCATTGTCGGAGATACCGCGTGACATTTAACTTGTGGGGTGGGGGGGGTCCTGTCCGCCTGCTCGGGTGGATGATAAAGATCCCTGTTTGAAAAGAGAAGCGAGTTCCTCTCTCCCGGTCTCCTGGCCGAGCAGCCCTCGGATAATAAAGACATCATTCACGTCACAGTTGCTGGCGGGACATTGCTGAACACCGCCTACAAGTACACAGTCACTACACTTTACACAGGAAAAACTGAAGCGTGTTAAGTCGTCTTTCAAATGACAAGGTTTATTGTAAGAACATTTATAAGAAACTGATTTCCATTTATTCTCAGAACTTCTTCCTCCCGGAGTCTGTAGTCTCTTGAATCCAGCGAATATCTATTCAAACAACGAGATCAAACTGGAGGACATTGAAATCTACGGCTTTGACTATGACTATACTCTGGCTCAGTATTCCCGCTCACTCCACACCATGATCTTCAACGCTGCCCGAGAGATCCTGGTGGAACACTACAAGGTGAGGGCGGACACCGCTGATCGGCAGCGACTTGGTGAAGATCATTAGATTCATATATAATCCCAGCTGATCCTGCGCCTTATTGTAACGAGAGATATAAACCTGCGTCACAGAGTGAGTTACTGTGGTGTCGGTGCCACATTATTGACTACTCGTCGCACCCACTCGCCCGATATCACTAAATGGCCCCACTGATCCAGTGACTAAACTCACTGCTCCTCAAGAGCGAGACGCATTTACCAGACATTTTACATTGACCTCCTGCTGGGCTGCACTGACACTGACAGGCTTTGCCGATCGGGAGCTGAGGCTGTGACTTTCTGTTTCAGTACCCGAGTGGGCTCCGGAAGTACGACTACATGCCTGACTTTGCCATTCGTGGCCTCCACTACGACGTGCGGAAGGTAAACGCTGACAGGAGTCCCAGTGGGGAGTAAGGGGGGTGAGGAGAGTGAGGGGTGAGGAGGCTGGGGTCTGGACATTGAGAGGAGATTTGTTAGCTGAAGCAATCATTTAATTTGGCGTTTTTTTATTTTATTACCATAGCCCAGCTGCTAAATAATGTCCCCGCTGCCTCTTTGCTTATTTCACTCACAAAATACACAGTCACTACACTTTACAGTATATTCTGTGAAGTGCTTTGAGACATCTCAACTACGTGATAAGGCGCTGTATCAAATGCAAGGATTATTATTATCAACAACAACAAGATTACATTTGTATAGCGCCTTTCACGATTATTAACTTCTTGTATTTTGATGTCATATTTCTATGGAAATTTATTCTTTCTCTGGCAGGGTATTCTGATGAAAATTGACGCTTATCATTATGTGCAATCCGGAACTGTGTACAGGTATGGCCAATGTGTGTCTGTCTGTGTGTGTGTGTGGGCATGTGGGTGAGGTTGTGGGCTGTTTGCCAGGGAGTGAGGCTGCTGGTTGCTGACTGTCTCTCTCCCCAGGGGGCTGAGTCCAATGCCTGATGAGGAGGTGATTGAGATGTACGAAGGGACTCAGCACATTCCTCTGCACGAAATGAGTGATTTCTACGGCAAAGTACGTCTCCGTAATTAATATATAGTTTTGCTTGTTTTAAGAAAACTTTTGTCAGTGATTCCATGTTCCCCCCCTCCCCATCCTTCCCCCTCCCCGGAAAGCTTCCTCCGATTGTGAATTGGGACAGTGAGTATCAGTGGGGACTCGATCAGACAATCCCCACCCTTCCATGTTCTGGGGGTGGAGGAGAGGGGGTTGTTGGGGGGAGAGGCAATGTGCCTGGCACCTGCCTGGCATGTTGGGAAAAGATGTGTTCTTGGCATGTGCTTACCATGTGTTTATAATCAGGGGCCGTCAATGAAGCAGTTTATGGACATTTTCTCACTCCCTGAGATGACGCTTCTCTCTTGTGTGAACGATTATTTCATCAACCACGGAATCGAGTTCGACCCCGTTCATTTGTTCAGGGACGTGAGTGTGAGTATGAGTGTGTGTGTGAGTGAATGTGTGAGTGAGCATGAGTGTGAGTGTGTATGTGTGTGATCACAGGGACGTGAATGTGAGAGTGAGTGTGTGTGTGAGTGAGCATGAGTGTGTGTGTGTATGAGTGTATGATCATAGGATGTGAGTGTGAGGGGGGTTTGTGGGGGAGAGGGGAGGGCTGTGTGATGGGGGCTCTGTGTGGGTGGTGAGCTGTGGAGGAGAAGGGTGGCTGTGGGGGAGAGGGGCGGGGGCTGTGGGCGAGAGTGGGGCTGTGGGGAAGAAGGGGTGCTGTGGTGGGGTGGGCTGCGGGGTAGAGGGGGTGCTGTGGGGGGGATCACAGGGCTAATGTTAATGGAAGGCAGTCATGGTAATCGACTCCTTTCGCCCACAGGATGCCATCAGTACCGTCCATGTAAAGGGGATGATGTACAAGTGGATCGAGGGGGATCTGGGTCAGTGAGAGCGACAGCTCAGGCTCTCATCACTCTCCATGGCTCATTCTCTCTCTTTCTCTGTCTCTCGCACCCCCTCTCTCTCTCTCTCCCTCCCTCCCTCCCTCCCTCCCTCCGTCCGTCCGTCCGTCCGTCCGTCCGTCTGTCTCTCTCTCTCGCTCTGTGTCTCACACTCGCTTTGTCTGTCACAGAGCAGTACATTCTACGTGGAGAGGAGACGTATGCGGTGCTGAACCGCCTGGTGAATAACGGGAAGAAGCTTTTCCTCATCACCAACAGCCCTTTCAGCTTCGTGTAGGTGCTTTTCTCTATTTACTGTGTGAGTCTCGCCTCTGTGTGTGTGTGTGTTTGAGAGAGCCTGCGTGTGTGTCTGTGTTGTGTGTCTCTGTGTGTGTGTCTCTGTGTGTGAGTGTCTCCCTTTGTGTGTGTGTATGTGTGTGTGTGTGTGAGTGAGTATCTGTTTGTGAGAGTGTCTGTGTGTGTGAGTGTGAGAGAGAGAGAGAGGTTTGTAATGAGTGTTTCCCTGTTTCAGTGACATGGGGATGCAGCACATGGTGGGGCAGGACTGGCGAGATCTCTTTGACTTGGTGATCGTTCAGGCTGAGAAGCCGACATTTTTCACTGATCGACGCAAGTGAGTAAAACACACAGCGGGGTGCGCAGGGTAGGGGAGATGGGGAGTCGATGGTGGAGGGTCTGGGGGTGGGGAGAGGGTTGGGGGCCTGGGTACCAGGCAATAACTGAACAGAAAACACTGTTTTTCAGGCCGTTCCGGAAGCTGGACGAAGCCGGGGATTTACAGTGGGACAAAATCAACAAATTGGAGAAAGGCAAAATGTATAAGCAGGTCAGTGTCTGTCTGGTTGTGTGTGTTTGCCTTCCTGTCTGTGCCTACAGGGTGGGTGTGTACCTCTTGTGAATGTAATAGGACATCAAGTACTGATTTACGAGCAGTGACACTGAAATCAGCACAAACTGATTTCTTTCTGCAGATAAGAGAAAATCCCTTTGTGATTTGTGGTTAATTTGTTAACTTCAAAACAATGCTAATCTGCCCCATGACCCCCCTCCCCTGCTTTCTCTCTGTGATACCCTGAATCCCTCCCCCCCCACCCCGCCTCCAACTCTGCCCCACCCTGACTCCCCTCTCTCTCTCTAACCACAGGGGAACCTGTTTGACTTCCTCAGACTGACCGGCTGGCGAGGATCGCGAGTGCTGTACTTTGGGGATCATCTGTACAGTGACCTGGCGGTGAGTGCGAGGCTGGAGATCACTGTCTCCTTGTCCTTTGGGCTGATGTTGCGATGAACCTGCTGCCACACCCTGTGCATGTGGTGTGTATGTATGTGACTATGTGTGTGGAAGTGTGTGTGTGTGGTGTGTGTATAAGCGTGCTGTGTGTGTCAGTAACCCTCTTGCCTCGTGCAGGACCTGATGCTGAGACATGGATGGAGGACGGGAGCGATTGTGCCAGAGCTGGAAATGGAAATCAGCATCATTAACACGGAGCAGTACACACACAGCGTGACCTGGCTCCAGGCACTGACCGGCCTGCTCGAGAGGCTGCAGGTACAGGGGGGGCAGCGGGGGGCGCAGAGTATAACTGTGACTGAGTTTACGTGCCTGTAGGAACTCTGCAGTGTTTACATGTGGCTCTGTCCTCAGGTACATCACGACGCAGAGTCACAGCTGGTGCTCGGTGAATGGATAAAGGAACGTCGGGAACTGATGTAAAGTCTCCTTTTACTTCACTCATTTTCGATACTCGGGGGGGCGGTGAGGGGGAGTGCAGAGGATCAAGGGGGGCTGGTGGGAGGGGAGAAAGGTGGGGGTGGGGCTGAGGAGGAGGGAGCAGGGCTGAGCGGGGCTGAGAGGGTAACAAGGATTTGTCTGGTTTCAGGTCTCTGACAAAGAACTTGTTCAACCCCCAGTTTGGGAGTATCTTCCGCACGTACCACAATCCCACCTATTTCTCACGTCGGCTCAGCCGTTTCTCTGACATCTACATGTCGTCCATCAGCTGCCTCCTCAACTACGATCCCAGCTTCACCTTCTACCCACGTCGCACCCCCCTGCAACATGAGGCTCCGCTGTGGATGGACCAGCTGTGCACCGGCTGCATGAAAACCCCCTTCCTGGAGGAGATGGCACACATCCGCTAGAGCTGCCAGAGAGTGGGGCCCGCCAGCAAGGTGGGGGGCAGCCAGCGAGATGCCGGAGTGGGAACTGGATTGTTTCACTGATGTGAGAGATACAATAGGTATACAATAGACGTATAGTAGATTTAATATGAGATACGATGGAGATCGATTTCCTGTAGAAGTAGAAGTGGTGTTTTACTAATGTGCGGTGGCCACTTTAACCCTTTGCTCACCGCCCGCAGTCACCCCATTTCCAGGCTTTAAAGACAGTTTCGTAGTTTGTGCCAATCACATTGTTACTACATATAGCAGACCTGGGCGGGAGCTGTGCCACTCGCTACTGTGTTTCCTGAAACTAGGTTAGTCTAGTTTAGTTTAGCTAACAGTGTGGTGCTGCCAGTTGGACACTAACCTGCTGTTTTTTAAAAATTGCACAATTTTAGAGGGAGATTGTGTCGTGTAATTGCAATCCACCTGCCGTCCACCAAGTGAGGCTCAAACCTACGCTTCTCACAGGTCAAACTAGTGACTATCCTCCTTGGGGAAGGAAAGCAGAGTCTCCTTGGAGCTGAACTGACTCCATGGTGACATGGTTGGGAACGGAATATTGGGGACTTTTCGCATTGTTAATCCTAACCCTGTAAACCAAAGCCCTAACGGGTAGGGTGGTCCCAGCTTGACAAGCAGTGGGATGCTATCAATGTCAAGCTATCTGGTTTTAGCTACTTTAGACTCCAGCAATTACCCCAACGCATACTCTGGGGTCCCCATAATACTTGCTGAAATTAGGTCCCTCCAATGAACATCTCTGGAATTGCCATGACTAGGTGGGATGCATGGAACCTTGTTTGGTTTGGACTGTTAAGCATGTGATGGGTTTCTGCATTTGTCAAGACACCGACTGGCCAGAAAAAAGCTATTTGTATAGTGTCTGGAAGCTGCTTTCCAGAAAGGGTTAGGGTTAGGTGGAGGCAGGTGTATATGTGTTGTTGTCTGTTACATATGGAACTTAGTTTACTGGGAGACGTGTAATTTTATAGTTTACAGAGTTACAGAGTAATGTGTTTGTATGAAGTAGGGAATGGCCAGTGCAGGGGGTGAGGCCAGAGTCTGAGTTTGATTTTCTTGTGTGCAGTGTTCCCAGACTTGGCCCGTGTGCTTCGTGACACACGTGTGCTCAGTGCTGCTTGTCACATGTGTGACCGGCACTGACTGCACATCTTCACTGGGTCATCATTTGAAGGAAATTTTCAAAACTTAATGTAGAGAATATTTTTGTGAACAATTTTTTAAAATAAGCTAAACTCCAACCCCGGTACCAGCGTGACTACGTTTAACTGAGGGATAAATAAAGACAGATCACATTCTGTGCTCTGTGTGTAGCCAGGAGCTGTTTGGTGCTTCAAGAGCAATTCCTCATCTGCACATAAGCTGACGCTAACTGGAAGCTGCTCAGGTTTTTCAAAGCTGTAAAGTTTACACTGACCCCCGTGTCCGTGTGTTCCGTGTTAATGTGGAGCGTGTACCTCCAGGTACATGTTTGTGTTTACCCCACATGTGACCGGTGTACCAGACACGTGGTTTATGGTGTGAACGTTTAGTGTTCTCCAGTCTGCGCTGAGTATTAATGCAATGTTTAATGATTTCCCAATTGTTTAATATGTTGGGAGGTTCAGAGTCAAACTAAACCTTCGTGTTGTAGATAAGCTGTCTATGCAGCTGATCACTGGGTCATTGTAAGAGTCCAGTGAAAACAAGATAATGTAACAGTGATTGATATAACTAGATTATAGAAACTCATTAAAGAAAACTAACAATCATTAAAAAAATGCTGTTTAATGTGAGATCAACTGAATGTTGTGTGTCTGTGTGATAGACTGACTCCGTGAGACTGACACCGTGCATGTGTGAGACTGACTGTGAGAGAGACTGTGTGTGTGTGAGAGAGAGAGAGAGAGACTGACTGGGAAGCTGCCAGCTTGTGATTTACACTGGGAATGACTCCTTTGGTAAATATTTTTGATAAAGTTTATTGTTTTAAGTGCTTGAGGTTCAGTACAAAATGCTGATATTTTATAAAACAAACCAGGGACAAACACTGTGGCCTGAGGGAGCCTCAATCTCACCCTTTTATCTGCAGTTTCTCAGTCAGTAGATGAACTCTTGTATAAGGATCATAATCTAGCCTTGCAGTGTTAGTAGATGGTTATTAATAATTTGCCCTGTTTATAAGTGGAAATATTTCCCACTTACACCAAACACACTAACTGTAACCAGTCAATATCAACCCAGATTACATCCCAATCGCTTGTTGCACAGATTCCCAGACACGTGGTGTGTAGCCGGGAGCTGCTCCCCATTCCCCCCGACGTGTGTGAGGAGGAGAGATGTCTGTCTGTCTCTGGTCTGTCTGTCGTACACAGACTGTGCTGCCGTCTTTCGCCCACTAAACCCGGCTCCTAGTCCTGGATAATGTTCTGTGTGTCAGAATAATCACCGTAATCCTGTAAATAGAAGCAACGGTTAAGTTTCTCCCAGTCCGCACACACCAACATGTGTCCGCAGCCCGTGCACACACCTGCACATACAATCATATAATTATACAGCACAGGAGGCCATTCAGCCCATCGTGTCTGTGCTGCCTCTTAAAAAAGCTGTTCGAATTCAACCCCACTCCCCCGCTCTCTCCCCATAGCCCTGATCAACCCCACTCCCCCGCTCTCCCCCCATAGCTCTGATCAACCCCACTCCCCCGCTCTCCCCCCATAGCCCTGCAAACTTGTCCTCCCCAAATAATTATCTACTTCTCTCCTAAAACTTGTTATTGAATCGGTTCCCACCGGCCTTTCAGGCAACGCATTCCAGATCCCAACAACTCGCTTTGTAAAACATTTCTCCTCTCCTCCCCTCTGTTTTGACAACTATTTTAAATCGGTGTCCTCTTGTTACCGACCCACCCGCCACTGGAAATAGTTTCTCCTTGTTCACCCTATCGAATCCCCTCATAATTTTGAAAACTTCTTTTAAGTCTCCTCTTAACCTTCTCTGCTCCAAGGAGGACAATCCTCGCTTCTCTCGCCTCTCCTCGTAACTGAAGTCCCTCATTCCTGGTACCATCCTGGTCAATCTCCTTTGTATCCTCTCTAATGCCTTGACATCCTTCCTAAAGGGTGGGGCCCAGAACTGAACACAGTCTCTCGCTGAGGTCTAACCAGTGTTTTATAAAGGTTCAACAACAACAATAAAATTACATGTGTAAAGCGCCTTTCACGTCAGGAGGATGTCGCACGTGCTGGACAATCAGTGTTTTGGGCCCAAGCTGGGGATTGGGATCGGTGGAGGGCAAGGGGGGGAAAAGAGGATGATCGAAGGCACAGTGGACGAGGAGGGTCTTGAGATGCGTCTTGAAGGAGGGAAGGGAGGGGGCAAGGCAGAGGGACTGCGGGATGGAGTTCCAGAGGGTGAGGGCAGAGTGGCAGAAGACCCGTCCACCAATGGTGAGGCGAGCGAGGCGAGTGACGTGAAGCAGGTCGGAACCCACCGAGCAGAGGGAGCGGGCAGGATGGTAGGGGGTTAGGAGATCGGGAAGGTAGGGGGGAACAAGACCATGGAGGGCTCTGAAGTTGAGGAACAGGATGTTGAATTGTATCCTCTGTGTGATGGGAAGCCAGTGGAATCGGGTGAGTTTGGGGGTGATCGGGTCATGGAGCCTGGCGTGGGAGAGGACACGGCTGCAGAGTTCTGGATGATGTACTGCCTGTGTGCACACCAGTACATATACACAGCCCGTGTGCACACACCAGCATATGTACACAGCCCGTGTGCACACACCAGCATATGTACACAGCCCGTGTGCACACACCAGCATATGTACACAGCCCGTGTGCACACACCAGCATATGTACACAGCCCGTGTGCACACCAGCACATGTACAGCCTGTGCACCTACATACCCATACAGGGTGTGGCACTGGCAATATTTGATGACACAGCAAATCCAGAGATGGACCAGAAGCTGCTTGTAATTATTATTGCTCCCGGACGCTCTGCCACATGTTTGTATTTGACCCGAGCGCTGGGAGAGAAACCACGGCTTTAGCTACTCACATCAAAGGGCTCGGTGCTGTCCACTGCCGCCCCGTACGCACTGTACAGGGGGTTGGGCACAGAGACCACTGCAGGCTTATCATCATCGTCGTCCTCCTCGCTCTGCTCAGTAATAATAATTAAACACATAGTTCATTAATGACAGCAATTCCTGAGTTTCTCAGCCTCCCCTCCCCCACATACACCTCCCAACCCACCCCACACACACACAACTCCCACCCCCCACCCACACCTCCCCCCCCCGCTGGGAATTACCTTGAAGTAATGAAAGTGAAAATTGTCATTCTTGCGTCTGAGCCAATAGCAGCTCAGGCCGACACCTGCAGCCACGAGGCCGATCACAGCCAACAACACCGTCACAACCAGAGCCTTGGGCAGTGAATGAGAGGCCAGAGCCGGAGCCTGTAACAGGAGAGAGTGACTGACTGGGTCTGCAGACCCCCCACCCTGCTCCGCTCCCCACTGCACTGCCCCCCCCACTCACAGCACCATACTTACCCCCGGGGCCTGCAGGGGGGCTTCGATGACCTGGATGATCCCGTTGGTGGCTTCAATGTCCCATTGCACAACACGGCGGCCGTTCACCAGTTTCGAGCCCTGCAAAGGGAGGGAGGGAGGGAGGGAGAGGGGAATGGAGGGAGACAGCTTGGCATCAGTAATTAACTCCTTGTTGCCTGGCGACACCTCACTGTCTGGCCATGTGAGAGCGATGGATTAGAGTCTAAACTGGTCACAATCTGACTCTCTGGGTGTTTGTAAAAGTAAAAGCAACAACAACAGTTTGCACGTCTCTATAATGCCCTTCACGTCGGGCAGCATTTCAGAACCACCACATTTACCCAAAATTTAAACCTAATTGTAATAAGTAATAAAAGCCGCGTGAACGCTGTTCACAGCCTCAGTAACAGGTTTAGTTTAACAATCTCGTCACGTGCAGAACGGTGTTATACCTGCCCGGGCGGTTTTACCAACTGGAAAATTGGCTTCAGAATTACGAATGAATTTTAAGAATTTTTAAAATTTCTGCCCAATCTGAGCCTCAAAACACATGTCTTTAAAAAGATTGCTGAGAAATGTCAGCCTCTGCTCACAAGCCAGGAGACAGCAACTGGGGCTGGGATCAGGGTGAGGGTGGGATGGTGCTGGGCTGGGATTAGCCACGAAGGTAGCATCAACAACACAGCGATCGGGACAGAGGAAAGTAACAAACCCCCCAGAGTGTGACGTACGTTGATGCGTGTGTGATTGTCAGAGACGCCATCTGCAATCAGCAGGTGGTTCCCCAGCCGAGAGCGGAGCCTGAGACCGTCCATCATCTGACTGTAGTGCAGGCTGTGATTCTCAGACACGTGATTCTCCAGGTCTCTCCACGACAGCGTCTGGGTAAAGGCAGAGAGACAGAGAGAGAGAGACACAGAGAGAGAGAGAGAGAGAGAGAGAGATCCATCTAAACCCCATATTCCTTATACACTGAATATCAAACCACATTCTTATCCCAATCCTCCATTGTACCCTTTAATATTATTTCCCTTCAGATATTTACACATTTCCTGCTCAGACGTTATTTAAGGGAACGTATATGTGGTATCTGTCATGTGAGGGAGATAGTTGTACATGGGAGAGAGAGGGTCTCTTACCTCATTCTCCCCAAACCCAGAGTCGATGGGAACAAAGAGGGTTTTTCTGGTTGTCTCCTCAGAAAGGAATGTGAGTAACTCCAACCCTTCCTTACTCGAGCGGGCGAAATCCAGCAATTGCTGCGAAACAACACATCAATGAGCATCACAGACAGACACTCACCATAAAACACACACAGACAGACACTCACCATAAAACACACTGCAAACAGCTGGTGTACGTCGCAACACACATTTACATAGTGCTTTCAACAACAATTTACGTTTACAAAGTGCCCTTCATGTGGGGTGAACAATGGAACCGATCTGACAATAAGCCGGGGTGAAAGGGTAGGCACGGTCAAAAAGGAAACTCTTCAGGTGTGAAACAGGCAAAGAGGGGCCAAGTCAGCTGGTGTCCAAAGGTTCGGGGAGCAGGGGCTGAAGCCAGGGTTGCTGATGGTACAGCGGAGGGAGGGGTTGAGGGAATACAGAAGGCGTGTGGAGGAGTGGGCTCTCAGCAGGTTGGAGAGGTAGGGAGGTGCCAGGGTATACAGTGACTTTGTTTCTTTACAGAATGGTTTAATAAGGAAGGAAACTGTAACAAAACTCACTGAATAAAAGCGAGAGAAGTTGGCGTCACTGGACAGGACCTGAACCAGGTTCCCATGACATGAATAACCGTCTCCCACAAAGCCCTCGGCACACCAGCACTCCACATCTGAGGAGCAACATTAACAGCGCATTAACTCTGCCCAGAACACTGAACCGATTCCCCTGTGCCCCGATTCCCCTCAGGAGTTGCACAAACCACAGCAGTGAGCGTTGACATACTTACCTTGTGCTTAGAAGCTGTGAGTATTGCACAGCACTAAGCGGTGACACACTTACCTCGCGCTCGGAAACAATACGCATCCCAAAGCTCACTGCTGTTTTTTCTCACTCCGTAATCGATGATGCCATTGTCACTGGAGGCGCAGTTGGGGTTGGAGGTGGTGGTGGGGTACCCGGCTCGACTCCCCTCCAGCCAGCCCACTGTGCACAGGTGATACCCAAACTACAACAACAACAAGATTCCATTTATGGAGCACCTTTCACGTCGGGAGGACGTCCCAAGGCGCTGGACAGTTGGGTCAGGACCCGAGCAGGGGGGAAATGGTCAGGGGGAGGGAGGGAGCGAGGAGGGGGTAGAGAGTCGAGAGGGGAGCTGAAGGCACGGTCAAAGAGAAAGGTCTTGAGACCGGCCTTGAAGGAGGAAAGGGAGGAAGCGGCGAAGGCACTGGGGGATAGAGTTCCAGAGCCTCGGGGCTGAGAGGCTGAAGGCCCGGCCACTGATAGTAGGGCGGTTGGGGCGGGGGATGTGGAGCAGACCGGAGCCAGAGGAACGGAGGGTACGGGCAGGTAGGTAGGGGGATAGTAGGTCGGAGAGGTAGGAGGGAGCGAGGCCGTGAATGGCCTTGTAGGGGAGGATGATGATCTTGAATTCGATCCTCTGGAGGATGGGGAGCCAGTGGAGGGGAGCGAGGGTGGGAGTGATGTGGGCGCGGTGTCTGGTGCGGGACAGTACACGAGCTGTAGAGTTCTGAATGACCTGCAGTGTGGAGGGAGGGCTGGGAAGGCCGGCGAGGAGAGAGTTCCCATAGTCCAGCCTTGAGGTGATAAAGGCGTGGACCAGAGTTTCAGCAACGTGAGGGGTGAGGTAGTGCCGTAGTCTGGCGATGTTCCGGAGGTGATGGAAGGCGGTGCCAGTTGTGGTGCGGATATGAGGGAGAAAGGACAGCTCAGGGTCGAACAGAACCCGAGGTTCCTGATGGCTTTGAGAGGTGGAGAGTGCAGCCTTGGATGCTGATGCTGTCAGCGCCTGAGGTGCGGAGGCGCTGACGTGAGCCAATCAGGAGGGCCTCAGTTTTCGCACGTTGAGCTGAAGAAAGTTGTCTCTCGTCCAGGACTCGATGTCGGACAGGCAGCTGTCAGGACATCGGTGGTCGTGGAGTTGAGGGTAGAGGAGGAAAGGTAGAGTTGGGTGTCATCCGCATACATGTGGAAGTTAACCCCATGTCTGCGGATGATGTCACCACAGGGGGAGCATATAGAGGGTGAAGAGGAGGGGACCGAGGACAGAGCCCTGAGGGACACCGCACGAGACAGTGCGGGGGGTGGGTGGAGGAAAAGCCGTTTGTGGACACAAAATGAAGACGGTGGGAGAGGTACGACCTAAACCACTAAGGACAGGGCCTTGAAGGTTGAGGTGGGAGGACAAGCGGTGGAGGAGGATAGCGTGGTCGACCGTATCGAATGCTGCCGATAGGTCGAGGAGGACGAGGAGGCAGAGGGAGCCCTGGTCGCAGATGGTCAGGATGTCATTGGTGACCTTGACCAGGGCAGTTTCTGTGCTATGGGCAGCACGGAAACCCGACTGAAGGGGTTCGAATAATGAATGGGTGGAGAGGAAAGAGCGCAGCTGGGAGGCGACAACTCGTTCCAGGACCTTGGACAGGAAGGGGAGGTTGGAGATGGGCCGGTAGCTTGATAGCTGCGACGCATCAAGGGAGGGTTTTTTCAAGGTGGGAGTGATGGTGGCAGTTTTTAGGGGAATGGGAACAGAGCCAGAGGAGAGGGACAGGTTGATGATGTCTGTGATATGTGGGGCAAGGAGGTGGAGCTGGGAGATAAGGAGTGGAGTGGGGATGGGGTCAAGGGAGCAGGTAGTGAGTTTCAGGGATAGGATGGCTTTGGTGACAGAGGGTGGGGAAACGGGTACGAAAGTGTGTAGTGGAGGATGGGTAGAAGTCGGAGTGTGGAAGGGAGCGGGTGGGTGGAGGTTGGAGGGGAAGTGACCGCGGTGCGGATTCCCTTGATTTTGGATTCAAGGAAATCCAGCATCTGCTCACAGTGAAGGTTGGAGGAGATGACCTGCGTGGGATCTCAGTCAGTACAAAGACTATCAGGTCAACACAAAGTGAACACACAGTCCTACACTCAACCTCTCTTCCTTTCACTCCACTCCTTCACCCAATAACCAATGTCATCTGGAGATTTACCCACTTAACCTCCAAGAAGCTCACACACATTTACACTGTCGCACACACACACGGTTACATTTACACACTTTTACACACTGTCGTGCAGATACAGTTACATTTACACACACACACTTACATTTGCACACAGTTACATACACACCTGCCCTTACAGCACATGGGCAGAATTGCTGTACTTTGCTATAGCCCTCCTCTCCGTGGCGTTTACCTGCTGAGCTGCAGCAAGCTGACTGAAGGTGGCCAGGGTGGCTCCCTCAGCTACACAGGCGTCCATAGCCTCAGTGTACGTGAAGCTGTACTTCCCCCGGGGAGACTGCCAGTGAAACACCCCCATTGTGGTATCTGTAACAGTGAGGAACATCAGCAAAGAAAACTCTGACCGCCACAGAGACTTACACCACAGCTGGGCTGTGAGTTACACACCTGACAGCTCAGGCCTGAGCCACCAAATAACTGATTAGTCCCTCCACACATCCCTCCCTCCATCCCCAGGTCCCTCCCTTTCCTCTATCCCCCCCCTCAATGCGGGGCTATTGGGAACCCTGCACTAAGCTTTCACCTTGGAAGTGGAGGTCGATGCAGATGGCATCCGGATGACAGAGGCCGTTCCTGTCCAGGCAGCGGTTCACGGGGGGGCTGATATTCTTTAAGCATTGGATCCCGTTCCCCCTGAACCCAGATTTACACTCACATTTCCGGGTAAACTGCAACACACAGCAAGAAAAACAATCAACAACTGACCCACAGAAAAGGTCTCCAGACACTGACTTACCCAGTGTCTCAGTGTCTACCACACCTCCTGGTAACTCACTGTGTGGTTAATCACCCTCTGCGTACAGATAGATTTATAATGTCTGTCCTAAACCCGCCCTCCCACTCCCGCAACACCCTCTCCCCCCCCACCCCCAACCCCACGCTGGGGGGAGTCTCACTCGCACTTACAGCTCCGAGGTTGATGCAGACGGCATGCTCACTGCAGCCTCCGTTCCTCTCGACCTCACACTTGCTCACAGCTGTGCACACGTGCCCGTCCCCCATGTAGCCCAGGCCACACGAGCAGCTGATGGTCACCCCGAGCTGCGTGCAGTTTGCGTTACCGCTACAGCCTCCATTGTTGTCCCGGCAGAGATCAGCCACTGGCAACAGAGCAGCACAAACAGAGAGCGTTAGTCTCAGCAGATGGGAAACGTGAGGACACATGAGGGGCTTATCAAGTGGAACTTATCACAGCCAAACTTTTATTTTAGTGTGTAAAACAGTCACCATTAACTAGGATCACTGTGCTCCACTACAGCAAACACAAGACAGCGAGTGCGATGGATGCTTGTGCAGAGGCTCGGGACTGATTGACATGTTACGGAATGCTCACCTACACACATTCGTCCATCACCCTCATAGTACAGCTCACACTCGCACACGTTGTTGGCTTGGCACACTGCATTATGATGACATTTCGGGGAACACACAGGCAGCGCCTCTGCAAGAGAAAAAAGATCCTCTCAGGACTCTGACTCAACACATAGAGACAGCAGAATAGCGGGAGGCCACTTCATCTGTTAAACGTGCGCTCGGGCTCGCTCCCCCACTGGAGCTCTCTACTCTATCCCCATTCCCTGCTCTCTCTCTCTCTCCCCATCGTGTCTGTGCTGGGGCTCGCTCCCCCACTGGAGCTCTCTACTCTATCCCCATTCCCTGCTCTCTCTCTCTCCCCCCCCATCGTGTCTGTGCTGGTGCTCGCTCCCCCACTGGAGCTCTCTACTCTAACCCCATTCCCTGCTCTCTCTCTCCCCCCCATCGTGTCTGTGCTGGGGCTCGCTCCCCCTTTTATATTCTTACCTTTTGAACATTTATTAAATTATATTCTTTCCCTCTTTAACCTTTCAAACCTCTGTCAGACCTCTCCTCCCCTTCTCTATCCAGCAAAGCAAAGAATGTTAGGTGTAATTCAACCACCCTCATAACAAAAGATTATTAATGACTGGAAACTAACCATATCCTCTGGAAGACACATGAAAGAACGTGTGGGGAGTGTGTGTGTGGTGCGGGCGTGTGTGAGTGGGGGGTGGGTTTGTGTGTGTGTGGTGATGGGAGGGGGGGGGGGGGGGTGGGGGAGGGAGATGTGGTGCAGGGTGCGTTACCTAACTGGCTTTGGCAATGATCTCCAGTCCAGCCTTCGCTGCAGAAACAGGTTCCTTTACCCGTTTTACCTTCATCACATCTCCCGTTCTTCGTGCAGGTGCAGCCTGTAATCACAACCAGGAAAGTGAGCACAGTTTACATGAGGGATCAGATCACGTTGCTGAGCTGCTCTCGCTCCTCACGGTACCTACTTGTACAGTTTGCTCCGAACCGGCTGGGGCCACACAGCTCGCAGGCGGTGCCAGTGAAGCCCTCGTTACACCAGCATGTGCCTCGTCCATTCCAGCCATCGCTACAGTGCCCGCGGTTACTGCACGGGGAACGTGCTCCTCCAGGACATGCTGTAACACAGACAGCCCATCAGTGTCCAGGGATAGAGGCTGAATCATCCACTGGACCCTGGGCACGCAGAGACCGAGATACAGACAGAGAGAGAGAGAGATACACAGACAGAGAGAGACAGAGAGGTACAGAGAGAGACAGAGAGTCACACACACAGACAGACAGACAAGACACACAGACACACAAACAGAGATAATGATAATTGCATTTGACAAGAGCGCCTTATCATGTCATTAAGACATCTCAAAGCGCTTTACTATAAATTGATTTCTGACTGTGTATTTTATGGGCGAAATGCGGCAACCAATTGCATACAACAGTGTCCCACAAACAGCAATGGAGTGAGAAACTAATTTTATTTGGGGGATTGTTGGCCAGGACACCAGGAGAAACTCGATTCTCTTTTCAAACAGCACCACAGGATGTTTAACAATTCCCGATCTCAGTTTATAACATCTCACCTGAAGGATGGCATCTCTAACAATGCAGTGCTCCCCCAGTTCTGCATTGGAGCGTCAGCTTAGACTGTACGCTACCCACTGAGCCAGGCTGCCACCTCATTGTGGATGCAGATAAGTGGGCGCGAGGATAACTGATCATAATCAGCCGTGTACTGTACTGTACCTTGGCAGTCATGGCCGTAGTGATGTTTGCAGCATTGAGGCAGCCACACAGGGGTGAGGCAGTCCGCACTGCAGCCGGGCACGGTTCTACTTGAATGTGAGACAGAGCCGAAGGCTGAGCGGTGAGATCTGGGCACATACCAGCAATTTCTGTGGTAATTTAACATCCCCCCCTACAGATACACAAGGATATTCACAAGGTGTGAAATCTCCCAAGTTTACACAGCAATTACGCACTAAAAACACACTACAGCTCTCAGTCAAACACACACACATTGCAGCTCTCAGTCACACACACACACACACACACATTGCAGCTCTCAGTCACACACACACACACACACATTGCAGCTCTCAGTCACACAAACATTACTTACCTTTAGCTTTGTTCCGGGAAGACACCGAGGGACCGCGGAGCAGTTTCCACAGATTCCCTGTGGGAGACAAGGACGGACACAGAGTGAGCAGGAGCTGGCGAAGCTCAGGATCAATCAACAGTATTTTGCTTGGGAGACAAAAGTCACCCTCCATTACAATCCAGGCAATTCCTTCATTATAAAGCAACGTCAACATCAACAACTTGTGTTTATATAGTTTATATATATCACACAGGGCCCCTCACACAGGGCACTCAATGTCACGCCTCTGTGATGTGCCAAGGCTGTGAGCTGCCCACACTCCGAGGAGCACCAAGGCTGCGACTGCGATTACTCACAGACACCGGCTGCGACTGCGATTACTCACAGACACCGGCTGCGACTGCGATTACTCACAGACACCGGCTGCGACTGCGATTACTCACGGACACCGGCTGCGACTGCGATTACTCACAGACACCGGCTGCGACTGCGATTAATCACGGACACCGGCTGCGCTGCGATTACTCACGGACACCGGCTGCGGCTGCGATTACTCACGGACACCGGCTGCGACTGCGATTACTCACGGACACCGGCTGCGACTGCGATTACTCACTGACACCGGCTGCGACTGCGATTACTCACGGACACCGGCTGCGGCTGCGATTACTCACGGACACCGGCTGCGGCTGCGATTACTCACGGACACCGGCTGCGACTGTGATTACTCACGGACACCGGCTGCGACTGTGATTACTCACGGACACCGGCTGCGACTGTGATTACTCACGGACACCGGCTGCGACTGTGATTACTCACGGACACCGGCTGCGACTGTGATTACTCACGGACACCGGCTGTGACTGTGATTACTCACGGACACCGGCTGTGACTGTGATTACTCACGGACGCCGGCTGTGACTGTGATTACTCACGGACGCCGGCTGTGACTGTGATTCCTGACGGACGCCGGCTGTGACTGTGATTACTGACGGACGCCGGCTGTGACTACTTACGGACACCAGCTGAGACTGTGATTACTCACGGACACCGGCTGAGACTGAGATTACTTACGGACACCGGCTGTGACTGTGATTACTTACGGACACCGGCTGTGACTGTGATTACTTACGGACACCGGCTGTGACTGTGATTACTTACGGACACCGGCTGTGACTGTGATTACTTACGGACACCGGCTGTGACTGTGATTACTCACGGACACCGGCTGTGACTACTTACGGACACCGGCTGAGACTGTGATTACTCACGGACACCGGCTGTGACTGTGATTACTTACGGACACCGGCTGTGACTGTGATTACTTACGGACACCGGCTGTGACTGTGATTACTTACGGACACCGGCTGTGACTGTGATTACTGACGGACACCGGCTGTGACTGTGATTACTTACGGACACCGGCTGTGACTGTGATTACTTACGGACACCGGCTGTGACTGTGATTACTTACGGACACCGGCTGTGACTGTGATTACTTACGGACACCGGCTGTGACTGTGATTACTTACGGACACCGGCTGTGACTGTGATTACTTACGGACACCGGCTGTGACTGTGATTACTTACGGACACCGGCTGAGACTGTGATTACTTACGGACACCGGCTGTGACTGTGATTACTTACGGACACCGGCTGTGACTGTGATTACTTACGGACACCGGCTGTGACTGTGATTACTTACGGACACCGGCTGTGACTGTGATTACTTACGGACACCGGCTGTGACTGTGATTACTTACGGACACCGGCTGTGACTGTGATTACTGACGGACACCGGCTGTGACTGTGATTACTTACGGACACCGGCTGAGACTGTGATTACTTACGGACACCGGCTGTGACTGTGATTACTTACGGACACCGGCTGAGACTGTGATTACTTACGGACACCGGCTGCCTTGTGAACGTGTCACATCGAGCTCCCAGGTGTGGAGGCTCCAGGAGACCGTTGATGCCGTACGCAATTCCACCATCAAACACCAGGTGTCGCTGCACAATCTGTGCCGCTCCATCGTTCAACATCAGCGCTCCCTACAACACCGCATATACACACCTCAACACCGCATATACACACCTCAACACCGCATATACACACCTCAACACCGCATATACACACCTCAACACCGCATATACACACCTCAACACCGCATATACACACCTCAACACCGCATATACACACCTCAACACCGCATATACACACCTCAACACCGCATATACACACCTCAACACCGCATATACACACCTCAACACCGCATATACACACCTCAACACCGCATATACACACCTCAACACCGCATATACACACACCTCAACATATACACACACACCCCAACACATCATACACACACACCTCAACACAATATATCATACACACAGAGCTTTAACAACACCTCAATACATTCATTGTTCATTGTTACAGAATATTTCTTAGGTTGAGAGATCAATGATGTGACAGAAAGACCTAAACTGGACTTAGTAATACTACAATAATAATAATTCTGGCATTTGATACAGCGCCTTATCACGTCTTCGAGATGTCTCAAAGCGCTTCACAGAATATACTGTGAACATTGATGTGACTGCCCATAGGCCTGAACTTGATGACACTTTCACAGGTTTGAAATTATGTCCAAAAGGCCAGTGGCCCCTGGGTTTACAGAAGCTGGAGTTTCTACAAGAACCTGGTGAGAATGTGCAGCACCTCGGTCCTGTCCTGGCCCCACACCCACTTACAATCTCAAACCGGCTGCAGGTAATCGAAAGCGTGGATCCCTGCATCGTTCTTGGCTCAATTTTCAGTGGGAAATCCACAGCGTCAATCTGTAATAGTAAACAAGAGAGGCTTTGTCAACACAGCTCCACCAGAGCCCCAGCAGCACAACTCCACCAGAGCCCCAGAAAGCCCCCTGCCCTACCCCTACCCTCCGTACCCTCCAGTCACTGATGATGTGGAAGTTGAGGACTTGCAGGAGATGGTGCAGGTTCTGGTTGCTGTACAGCCAGTGCTGCTGGGCTGGCAGGAGGGCAGCCAGAGCCTCGTCTGTCGGCCAGAACATGGTGAATGGCCGATGCAATGGGTCAGCGATCACTGGCATCAGCCCCACTTCCTGTTTGGGGAAAATATACACCACTGAGAATAATTCTCTTTAATTGTATTTTTCACATGAAAATATAACTTTTAGTCTAAGTAACAATCAGATACCCAGAACACAACCCCCCCAGCCTCATTGACAGCTCTCCCCCCACCCCTCACTGACAGCCTCCCCTCCTCACTGATAGCCTCCCAATACCCCCAATACCCCCACCTCACTGACAGCCTCCCCCCAATACCCCTCCGCCTCACTGAAAGCCTCCACCCCTCACTAACAGCCTCCCCCAAAACCCCAGCCCACCCCCTCATTGTCAGCTCTCCCACTAACACCCCATCACTCATACAATCTCTGACCTTGACCAAATCACTAAATCGTTTGTATCCATTCTCCTCCGCCACCGTTGTCAGGTTTTTCTGCAAGAGCAAGAAATGAGAATCTGTGATTTCCCAACAACAACAACAACAAATGACATTTCTGCAGGGAGTTTAACGTACCAGGGGAGCAGGCACCGAGTCTCCAGCCTCGCTCAGGGTCAGGTTGTGAGGAACCAAGACTTTGCTGATGTAGTGAATGATGCCATTGGCCGTCACGTAGTCTCTCCTCACAATCTGAGAATCGCCGTTCAGGTAAACAGAATTCTGTGTGTAAAAGGGTCACATTTTGTATTAAAACTGTAAACTGCAGTAAAGAAGGGAAGGGCTAATTCCCTGTGAATTCTTTGCCTTCCTCTTATTAGACCAGCCGCCTGTGCATAAACATTTCCGTTTGGAAGCACACTCTCTATCTCTCGGGATTAGTGCACCCTGGACACCTAGTCTCAGTGAGTATCAGGAGCAGATTGACAAGAGCCGAGGCTTGGGAAGAATTCCAAGACCTTCTGACGTGACAGCAGTGCCGTGGAGGATTGAGGACCTGCTTGGCTCAGGAACCGAGACTGCCACAAAGGGTCACCTCGATTCTGATATTCCAGTGTATGACACGTCACCTTGGAGCTACCTCAACCCAAAGACACCCCCATGTGCCTCCCCCCCACCCCCGGATGTTCACTAGTTGGTCCAGTGGTCGTTTCACTGCTGGCCAGGAGGTGCCACACTTACCTGTCGGACAGTAATGTGAATGCGGTGCCCAGAGAGGGCAATGAGCGAGCTCTGTTCTATCAGCTTGCTGTGAAGCAGCTGCCGACAGCCCACCAGGTGATACCACAGCAAGTCCTTCACCAGACCCCTGCGCTCCCACTCCTCCACCTGCAGGAAATGCGCTCTCATTAGTTGTGCAACGAGAAGCAGAAACAAGGTTCCTGCCTGGTGCCCAGCTCTCTGTGTACACACTGCCCGGTGCCCAGCTCTCTGTGTACACACTGCCCGGTGCCCAGCTCTCTGTGTACACACTGCCCGGTGCCCAGCTCTCTGTGTACACACTGCCCGGCGGCCAGCTCTCTGTGTACACACTGCCTGGTGGCCAGCTCTCTGTACACACTGCCTGGTGGCCAGCTCTCTGTGTACACACTGCCTGGTGGCCAGCTCTCTGTGTACACACTGTGACTGGGTATGATTCTCTGTGTACACACCATGACGCAGGGCTTCCCCAGTACACACGGGGAGGGAGAGGGGGTCGGACAGGGTTGTGTGAGCAGACGGGCGCGGGGGAGGCAGCAGAGACTGGCCTGGCAGTTGGGGGAGTTTCAAGAGTTTGATGTTACCGTGTTGTCCTGAGCTGTCAGCTCCGTATCCGGCAAAAACAGGGTGAACGGTCCCTCGAGGCTCAGCTCCCTGAACAGATTTCTCTGTTGTGGGTTTAACAGGAGAGGGAGAGGTTAGCGTGAGGCTGAGTGTCAGACTGGGGAATGTGAGCAAGTCAGAAAGGTATTACCTGAAGTTGCTGGGAGAAGACAGACATTGCCGGCAGCCGAGCCAGCTCCTGAGAACAAAGTTTAATTAGTTTAGAGATTTACGTTTAAAACACTGGTTTAATTGCCTTTGCTACAACTTATGCACAGAATGTGTGTGAGAGAGGTGTACGCAGGCTGAGTGTGTATTTGCGTATGTACCCAGGCTGAGTGTGTGTTTGCGTGTGTACACAGGGTGAGAGTGTGAGCGCGGTGTACACAGGGTGAGTGTGAGCGCGGTGTACACAGGGTGAGAGTGTGAGCGCGGTGTACACAGAGTGAGTGTGAGCGCAGTGTACACACAATGCAGTTATATGGTTTGATGACCAATGTTCCTATACCCAGGGAGACGAGCTCTACCTCAAAGATTCTGCCCCGACAGGAGAATCCAACCCCAATGTAACCGGGAACACAGCGGCACAGCCTCACACCGGGGCCCACCAACACACACTTGGCAAACAGGCTGCAGCCTCCATTGTCCTGCAGACAGACGTACAGACAGTCAGACACACTGACAGACAGAAATCATCAATCCTTCATTTTAATACTGGGTTATTGCCATTGTACTTTACCCAACTTGATTCTCCGTGTACTTTCTGCTCAGCAATAATAGTGTCAGAAAATGAGCACATTCAGTATCAATAAGGCTGTAACTGTTCCCAAACCAATTGCACCTGGGACCCTTACAGTCACTACCCACCCACCCACCACTCGCCGTGCCAGGCTCAAACCCAGCCCACAGAGTCACACCAGTGACTATCCCCCGCCCAACACACAGTAAGAGACACCGCAGACCAGGTATAGTGAGCAAGTGAGTTACACAGAGCACAGGTCTGCGTCTGACCTGAGTGCAGGGATCCACAGGCTTACACATCCGCATTGAGTCTTCAACATATCCAGACACACAGGTACAGGCCACCTGCAATACAGCAACGGCAACAGTCAGTGTAAACTATGCAACTGATTAAAGCTGTGAGTGTTTGTGTGCTCCAGTGTGAGTGTGTGCCCTGGTGAATGTGTGAGTGCACCCCAATGTGTGTGTGTGCCCCGGTGTGAGTGTGTGTGCCCCAGTGTGAGTGTGTGTGTGTGTGTGCCCCGGTGTGAGTGTGTGTGTGCCCCAGTGTGAGTGTGTGTGTGCCCCGGTGTGAGTGTGTGTGTGTGTGCCCCGGTGTGAGTGTGTGTGTGTGTGCCCCGGTGTGAGTGTGTGTGTGTGTGCCCCGGTGTGAGTGTGTGTGTCCCAGTGTGAGTGTGTGTGTGTGTGCCCCGGTGTGAGTGTGTGTGTGTGTGTGTCCCAGTGTGAGTGTGAGTGTGTGTGCCCTGGTGTGAGTGTGTGTGTGGGGCCCAGTGTGAGTGTGTGTGTGGGGCCCAGTGTGAGTGTGTGTGTGGGGCCCAGTGTGAGTGTGTGTGCCCCGGGGTTGTGTAAGATAAGACCAGAATTGGTGGTTACTTACCCGGCCGGCTGCTGTCTTTATACACTCCTCATGTTCACCACAGGTTTTCAAGGCACAGCCGTCCAGTTCTAGATGAGAAATAGTGTATAACAGTGAGAGCCACAGCCAACAGAGATCTCCTGACAGCCTGGACAGCCTCTACAGTCACATACAGTCCAGTGTAACTTATTATCTCATTCCTTCTGGTCCTTACTCTTCTGCTCAGCCCATTCCCAGCCCATTAATAATAATTATCAATAATATTTATTGTCAATATATTACTGGTTTAGATTCAGTGATTGGTTGCTCACCCACACAAACCACACCATCGCCGGTGAAGCCAGGGACACAGGAGCAGGTCCTCTCGCCTGCGGACACCTTGGTGCAGGTCGCGGACATGGAGCAGCCGCCATTGTTCCTCTCACAGGGATCCCACTCTGTAACAACACAACTAGCGTTACCCTCACCACTGCCCCCAGCACACAGTCACTACACCTACACACTCACTGTAACACAGCCAGCGTTACTGTCACTGCTCCTCACGCACAGTCACTACAGCTACACTCCCCCCTGTCCACCGCACAGCCACAGTATAGTCACTACACCTACACACTCACTGTAATACAGCCAGCGTTACCGTCACTGCTCCTCACGCACAGTCACTACAGCTACACTCCCCCCTGCCCACCACACAGTCACTACTCACACACTCACCGCCCCCACCTCCCACACACACTCACTGTATACGAGTTAGGGGGAGGGGTACCTGAGCAGGACGTCCCGTTTCCGGTGTAGCCCGCTGTGCAAACACAGGAGGGGGTGGAGGAGGCCATCCCTGGGACACAGCTGGAAGAGACAAGAGGCTGAGCGTGGATCGGGCTGACACAGTGACTGCTTTCCCCCACAGGGTGTCAGTGTGTGTGGCTGAGGGCCAGACTCACACTCACAGCAACAGATGAAACGCACAGATGTTGCTCTTTCTGTGGGACATTACACAAACACTTTAGGAACGTTCCACACTTCCTGTGTACAGCCCCAGCACAAGCTGATGTCAGGTCGACGTACACAGAACAGTCGCAATGCGATTCTTCCCGTAACTCAAACAAAAACAGGTTTAGCAGCTCAGTGTAGCCATGGGGAAGGGTTTACTGTTCCCCCCACCCACCCTGTACCCCTGGCTGCTCCTCTCACAGGCACTTACTTGGCGTGTGGATGGCAAGTCCCGTTACAGGTGTCACTCACAATCTCTGAAAAAGAAGCGTTGGCAAATTATACCACAACTCAGATAGACTTGTGGAGCTTATAAAGCTTGTGCTCTTGGTTGACCCTAGTTTTATTCTCTTCCAATTAACTATGCCCCTCCTTTCCCCTCCTGAAATCAACTAATCGCCCTCCTCAGGCTCCTTCCCACTCCCCTCCTCACACCCTCCAAAGCCCAGAGTGGCCTGACTGTGAGTGTGTCAGCCCTGAAACTGTCCTAACCGGATCTCCTGACACATACTGTCCCGGAGGCCTGTCCTTGGCCAGCAGACTGATACCCCTTCCTAACCCAGCAGTGTGAGCCCAGACACAGCCTTGGCTGCTGGGATCAGTAACTCAGCATAGAGTGTCGGCTGACACTGTGTGGCTCAGACATTGACTGAACATCACTGAGCCACCAGGAAATTCTTCTTCATCACCTAAAATATCCAGATTGCTGGTGTATGGGGAGGATAGCTGGAGTCTGAGAGCATCGGACATTCCTACTTTATTGTATCTGCAAACACAGCATCCCAGGTCTCAAACATAACCCTCCTTACTGCCCTCACTGAGAGAAGCTTCCCAACGAGATTCCATAATGACCACCACACAGCGCTGCCTGGCGATCAGATTTGCTTCCTGGAGCCTGGGAGCGGAGTTCCTGTGGTTACCGGCAGCTCTGGGTTGTGATTTACACTCACTGACAAACACCAGGACTAGACATGGTTAAACAGTCAGGGAGTCACTGACAAACCCCCCCCCCACCCATGTCAGTCTGGCAGAGGGCCCCTACCCCAGTGGGTACATCAGTCTCCTAATGTTCAGGTTGTAATGAACTTGTGAAATGTAACAGCAACTTACCCACATCGCAGTCTGCACCACTCCAGCCTTTGTTACAGTCACAGCTGCCATTTCCAGCCAGTCCGTCCCTGCACTTGCCATTCACACACCTGCACTCTACACAGGCAGAGCAGAGCAGGGCAGGGCAGAGCAGAGCAGGGCAGGGCAGAGCAGGGCAGGGCAGAGCAGGGCAGGGCAGGGCAGGGCAGGGCAGGGCAGAGCAGGGCAGGGCAAGAGACAAAAGGAGACGGCGGGGCAGGGGGAGTGCAGGGGAAGATACAAAAAATTAAGGTAAGCGAACACAGATTCCCAGGATACTGCACTCGCTCACACATTACTGTACACCCAGCAGAAAGCCTGGTACACGTGTCCTCACGCCTGGTGCCCTCTGGCTGCTGTAGTGTGTGTTGGTGTTTGACATGGAGTATGTGTTAATGTGTGTTAGTGTGTGACCAAGATAGAGTGCGTGTTGGTGTGTGACTGAGGTGGAGTGTGTGTTGGTGTGTGACTGAGATGGAGTGTGTGTTGGTGTGTGACTGAGATGGAGTGTGTGTTGGTGTGTGACTGAGATGGAGTGTGTGTTGGTGTGTGACTGAGGTGGAGTGTGTGTTGGTGTGTGACTGAGGTGGAGTGTGTGTTGGTGTGTGACTGAGGTGGAGTGTGTGTTGGTGTGTGACTGAGATGGAGTGTGTGTTGGTGTGTGACTGAGATGGAGTGTGTGTTGGTTGTGACTGAGATGGAGTGTGTGTTGGTGTGTGACTGAGATGGAGTGTGTGTTGGTGTGTGACTGAGATGGAGTGTGTGTTGGTGTGTGACTGAGGTGGAGTGTGTGTTGGTGTGTGACTGAGGTGGAGTGTGTGTTGGTGTGTGACTGAGATGGAGTGTGTGTTGGTGTGTGACTGAGATGCTTGTCCTACCCAACTTGCACGTGGGTCCGTATCGCCCGGCCTCACATGATTCGCAGGCTGTGCCCTGGAAGCCTTCCTGACACAGACACTCGCCAGTGCCGTTCAGCCCGTCCTGACAGATCCCAGAGCCCGAGCACCAGACCCCGGGGCCCCCAGGACACATCTCACACCCAGGCCCAAAGTAGCCAGAACAGCAGCCCAGGAGCTGTGGGGGAAGGAGAGGCTGTGAGTCGGGGCTGCCCAGGCACTGGGTTACAATAAGTGGAGACCATGCGTGCACATGTGCACATGTGTGGTATGTGCAGAACTGAAAGCCACTTACTACTGTTACGCGGGTGCAGTTGGGTTTGCAGCCAGACAGGGTGACCCGTTGCTGGTACTGATATTCCTTGTAACTGCAGTCAGGTGTCCTGTCCTGGCCAGGAAGCTCCTGGGCACAAACACACAGAGCGTCACAGCATATTTACTCAGTATGAACTTTCCAAGATAATTTGATTGAAGCTTTGATTGAATATTGAAAAATGCATTGGAACAATGCGGAACTCAATATAGTGTTAATAAGCAATACAGTCAATTCACTTTATAGTCTATTCTGTGAAGCGCTTTCAGATGTCTAGAAGACGTGAAAATCACTATATCGAATGCAAGGATTATTATTATTATTACACTGACTAATGAGTCAGGTTTAAAGCTGTACTCACCACAGGAGTGGTTCCTTGAGGACAGACTGGGGGTTGGTCACAGCTCCCACATTGTCCCTTTAACAGAAAGTTAGCTGTGATGTGATTCTCGGGCACGTCACAAGCATTAGCACTTAGCCCCTCTCTCTCGGTTCCCTTTTGTATCATGCTTTAATGCAAACTATGCTCGTTGCCTTCTCCACACTGAGTAAACACACACACACACACAGAACAAGTACCTGCACAGTGTCGATCTCCCGGATGTTGCAATGATTACGGAGTACTGGGAGAACACGAGACACTCCCAGGAGAATCCCATTTCTTGTTTCCACCTGAAGTTTCTCCAGCGGAATATCATTAGCAAAGACCTGGGAGAGCAAGTGGGGAGATTATTGCCATAGTTAAAGATGATAAATGATAAGATTTATTGACACAAACAGGAGAGCTCTCTGTCTGCTGATATAAAGCTGCTCAAACCTGATCGTTGTCAGCGGAGAACGTGATGCGGTAGGAAACACCCAGCATCGTTTCCTTGCGAATTACAGCCTTGATGTTGCTGAACAGCAGCTTCTCCCCTAGAATCAGGTGATATTTGACAGAATCCTCCTCCTGCAACACAACACTGACAGCTAGTACTGAGTTCCACATTAATCCCTCAGCCCGGCCCTCCCCCAGTGCTGTGTGGTGTTGCTCCTCTGTAACAGGTGTCAAGGCTTGTGACTTCACACCCGACAGAGCATGAGACAGAGCACACAGGTCAGTAGGGAAAGAGGAGTGGTAGGCAGGAAAGGAACGTAACAAAGGGACCATGAACTGCTAATGAAGACACACTCCAACAGCAAAGTGTCAAGAACTGTAAAGGAACTCACTAACAATGTTGAACAGGAGCTATAGAGACTGTAGACAGTAAAGTGACTAAAGGTGTTTGTAGAGTCTGAATAGTAAGTGACGGTCCCCAATGGCAAACTCACCAGCTGCGGCAGTCGCTGGGCCTGGGAGTACTGAGTGAGGGCAGCGTCACTCGGCAGCAGCACAGTGTAGCCCACAGCGGCCTCCAGCACCTCCACCAGACCGTATAGCTGAGGGGATGGGGACAGACACAAAGGAACAAACACAGGAGCAAGTTATTAGAAGCCTTTTCTGGTATTGTATTGAGTACACATGGATTCATACACATGGACACACGCATACAGGGACACACTCATGCAAACACATACACCGGCACACAGAGCAAACACATACATGTACAGATACACCTGCACCCCCACCCATTGAACCAAATGTAAATGCACACACACTGCAACGTGACAATTACCCGCTTGTCTCTGCCACTATTCCACCCCACCATGTGGCTTCAATCAACAATGGTGGGGCGAGCAAGGCTGGGGACGTGAAGCAGGCCGGAGCCCGCTGAGGGAAGGCAGCGAACAGGATGGTAGGGGGTTAAGAGGTCGGAGAGGTAGGGGTTCCAAGACAATGGAGGGCTTTGAAGGTGAGGACCAGGATCTTGAACTGTATCCTCTGTGTGATGGAAAGCCAGTGGAGTCGGGCGAGGATGGGGGAGATAGAGTCACGGAGGCTGGTGTGGGAGAGGACACGAGCTGCAGATCAGTTTCTTTAATATACATTTCACAACTTTGGAGCTGCTATTTAATAATGAGTCCTGCCCCAGACTCAATCCCAGAGACAATCGCCCCGTTATTCCATCAGCAAACACACTGCGACTCAGTAACTGTGGGATGACAGGACTGTGACCACGCTATACACACAGCCACTCACGCCCAACTATACACAGCACCCCCCCATCGCCCACTCGCCCCCCCCCCAGGCTCACCTGCAGGGCCTGTGTGAAGAGCGAGTACTGGGAGAGGTTACCCAGGGCCTCGAGCAGCCCCGGGCAATGGCCAGCAACGTCCTCCCAGGGAGGCACCAGCACCTGCAGAGAGAGAGATAGCTGTCGTTATGTCATGTCTTTAGTAACACGTTTACAGCTTTCAGTGGGAAACAGGTCTTGCTGTTCTTGTACAAAACACAGAATAAAGATCATCAAGCAAAACATCCTACAAATGAGCTGATAAAATCAAACCTTCAATAATAATATTATTAAACCTAGAGACCTCAGCACTTGGAGCAGAGCTGTAGGAAGGTTTTACCGAATGGCTATCAAATAGAACCCTGAGTTGCCAGATACCAGGAAACATCCTGTGACTATTACACACATGGTCAGTAATGATCAAAAGGCAAAAATACTGCAGATACTGGAAATATGAACTAAAAACTACTTCTGTAGAACAGAAATAACAGAAGGGAACATGCAGCAGTTCAGGCAGTGTCTATGGAGAGAGGAACATGGGTTAACGTTTCATGTCGATGACCTTTTGTCAGAGAAATGTGCTGAGTGTTCCCAGCGACTTCAGTTGTTAGGTCAGTAATGATCTCGAGTAGGTGTGTGAGGTGGGGCTGTACCTGATCGATGATGTGGATGAAGCCGTTGACTGCTGGGATGTCAGCCATCAGCACTCGCGCCCCAGCAACACTCAGTGTCTGCGAAAACAACATCAAGAGCAACTTGTACCAGCTTCACATTAAAAGGAGCAAATGTGAAATTCAAAGCGCAAAATAAAACATTCCCTGTTCCATGAGCTAAATAGCCTGATCCCAAGCCAATTACCGCACCCACCACAGCCTTAGCCACACCCAAACCTGTGTAAACATTATATAGAGAATAATATTATATAGAGAAACTTAAGAGTCCATATTTTATCACCTCTTCATTTCTGGAAATTGTTTCTGAGTTAAAATTGATCGAGTCCTGAACGTAAGGTCAGGGAATGTAAAACACTCTCTGACAGTCAGCCCCACACAGACAACAGACACACAGCTACACAGTGAACTGACCCCGTTCTCGCTCGCCACCGGCCAGGTGATGAAGGTGTTGAGAGTTTGCAGGTCCTGGCCTCTGTGCTCCATCAGCTGATCAGTGCTGAACCCCCCCACAAGGATATGAGACCTGTACACAGAGTTGCACACTGACTGACATCCCTCAGTCACAGGCAGTCACAAACACACAGTCCAGCACTGAACTCATTGCTCACAATGGAACACATACACACAGCTGAGAAGACTCCCGAGACACTGTGTTTATTGTAGTTTTACCCCAGTGACAGGAAGGAGGGAGACAGGCTGATAATCAGAGCTAAGCTGATGTGTGGCCTGAGATGGGGATGCAGGAATGGGTGACAACACTGACTGCTTTGTGTGGAGCACAGCCCCAGTCGGCCTGGCACCAGGAGATGCCAGTTACCAGCCTGGCATCAGTTGATTCCAATGGCAAAGCTCCATTGTTATAGCTTGATGTTGTTATCAATAACTTCAGAAGTTAGAAGTTCCCATCAGTAACTTAGCAATGCCAGGACCACCCATCAGCAGTGAGTGATGTCTCCTGTATATGGTGGTGGGAGGCAGGGGGGAGGTTACTGACTGAGTGGCCAGCCTCAGGCTGCTGTGGGGGGGGGGATGCTAGGGGGATTTGTACCTGACTAAGACGCAGAGACTGCGTGACTGTTCCCAAGCCGCTTTCTCAGTCCTATTCATGTCCTTTATTGCTGCATCTGACGGAGCCAAGACTGTCACATTAGCTCCTCCTCGGAGTTCTGTTCTAAGCAAACATTTCTGTGTGAAAGAGCAGAGAATAAATAAATCACAATCCTTTTGGACACAGATACATCATTTCTCTCACACAGACATGTAATCATGTACCATCAACAACAAATTGCATTTACCCAGCGCCTTTCACGTCGGGATTGACGTCCCAAACGCTGGACAGTGAAGGGTTTGCACCCAAGCTGCGTCTGGAGTCAAGAGGGATGGAGGGCAAGCGAGAGTGGGTGATGGGAGGGTGCCACTAGTCCCAGCACAGCCCAGCTCAACCCCAGGGAAGGACAGATTCCCCATCTGTAGTAAGTAAATGATCCCCATGTACAATACCTGTAGCCACGCGTTGAACCCAGAAAAGTATGAACTTCCTGCCAGCTCCTTAAAGATAAACGAACAACAGTAACAGTCACCCTTGTAATAAGCACCGCAACAACATCAAATCAGCTGCTTAAAAAATTCAAGCATTTCCCACAAATTGGCTTTTGCAGTCACTTACACTCAATACGTCCCTGAAGCAGATGATCCCATCTCCACCATAACCCTCCGGGCAGGTGCACTCTCGGCTGCCGCTCTCAGTGGCTTTGCATTCAGCCTAATGGGGGAAGATGAGACAAGATGATGTCTTGTTGTTGTGGAGATGTGACTGGTTTATTAGCACAGACAAGCCTTGGGCAGAACAACATCTCCACTGCTGGGATCCCAGCCTCTTCTTGCACTGGGAAGCCAGCGGTGGGATGATTGTGCTGATGATCTGGGTTGATCACATCACTCACCAGCTCCACTGAATAACTTATGTGTCAACACAACGTGTGTGTCAGCCTGGCTCAGCTGTTGGCACTCTCGCCTCTGAGTCAGAGAGTTTGGGTTCAAGCCCCACGTCAGGAACTAGGAACCATGGACAGGACTTTTCTTAAGAAAAAAGTTACAAGTAACTTTGACAAAGGCTGTGAGTCTTCATCAAGGAGTTGCCAAGGAGATGGATTTCCTGGGAATTCTCCATCCCTTGATCCACAATAGGTTGATCCACTTTACAGTCAGTGAACAACTGAGTTCTGGTGGCAGATAGAGAGTGTTTACCTTGAGGTGACAGCCACCATTGCTCTGCAGACATGGGTCTCTGGCAGTGCAGATCTTGCCGTTGCCTGCAAACCCCTTCCTGCACACACAGCTGCTCTGCAACACAGGATCCAGAGGTTCCAGTTACACACAGCGACTCAGGAACTCCCACACATGGCGAGTCGGGAACCCACACACACGGCGACTCAGGAACCCACACACACAGCGACTCAGGAACCCACACACACAGCGACTCAGGAACCCACACACACAGCGACTCAGGAACCCACACACACAGCGACTCAGGAACCCACACACACAGCGACTCAGGAACCCACACACACAGCGACTCAGGAACCCACACACACAGCGACTCAGGAACCCACACACACAGCGACTCAGGAACCCACACACACAGCAACTCGGGAACCCACACACACAACGACTCGGGAGCCCACACACACAGCGACTCAGGAACCCCACACACACACACACAGCGACTCAGGAACCCCCACACACACACACACAGCGACTCAGGAACCCCACACACACAGCGATTCGGGAACCCACACACAGTGGCTGCAGCAATCAACCAGCTCAGTTACAGTGACCCAGTCTCCACACGTCAGCCTCAGCATCTGGGCACGAGATGGAACGGGGAATCCATCCAAGCCGGACTGGGTCAGAGACAATCAATCAGAGATTGTGAGTCAGTGTCAGGGTAATGTGTGAGGTGGGTTATGATTGTGAGTATCTCGGGGGGCTGTGTGAGGCAGGAAGGGCTATGAATCGCTGTCAGGGGTGGGGGGTGGGATGGGGGCTGTGTTTGTGGATGCAGCAGTACCTGTCCAGGGCCGATGTACTGACAATCAGCGTTACTATGGCAGCCTCCTCGCATGTTCAGCAAACACTCGTTGATCTCTGTGCAAACATGCCCGTCTCCGGACCACCCTGTGTTGCAGATACAGGATGCGTTCCCAGGCCCCAGGGTAACACACTCTGCCTGCAGACAGAGACAATGGGTGAGGACCCCCGTGGGCATGTGAAACACACCCTCCCCTCTTCCACTAATTAGAAAACCGATTCTGACGAAAGGTTATCAACCTGAAGCTTTCCTCTCGCTATAGACGCTGCCTGACCTGCTGAGCACTCCCAGCCACTTTCGTTTTTATTTCACATTTTCAGAATCTGCAGTATTTTGCCTTTTGTTCACTCACATTCCTGTCGCACCCTCCACGATCCGACCGTCTACACACATCCTCGGATTGGCAGGAAAGCCCATTGCCCTCATACCCGCTTTTACACACACACCTGCAAAGAAAGAGAAAGAGGTGCCTGACACAGAGTAAATCTCTCTTCAGTTTATTTGTGTTTCCCTCATGGTTTATTTCTGTAAAAACCCACTCCCCCCCCACCCACCGCAAATCCGGATCAGCATCCTCAGTTGGCGATGGGAAAGTGTTGGACTGAAATAGGTGGTGGTTTTGACAATTATACAACAACAACTTAGATTTATATAGCGCCCTTCACACTGGGTAGAGTCACGGAGCACTTGACAGTGGCAGAGTCTATCAGAAGGTTGTGAAATGAACACAGGAAATGAATTTTCTTTTAACTGTACCTTGCCACAATGTTAATTCCATCTTGCCTCATCTTTACTGTAAAACCATTTTGACTTAAAAAGGTAAAAACACACAGAGTTGCGGAAATGTCTTAGTTTCACTCTCATGCCGGTTTCCCCCAGGTCTTGTAAAAACCCACCTTCAAGGTAAAATGTTTTTATTGGCTAAAACCCAGGGGAAGTTTCAAGGTCAGGAAGCGAATTAGTTTGGGATTGATGTTAACTGTGTTGCTGCTGCAGCGCAGCCTCGCAGCTCAGTGCATCTCCCTGTGTCTCTCTGCGATGGGGTACCGGGACACCTACCTGACGGTGTTGTTGGTGTAAGTGCACTCAGCGAATGCATGGCAATACTGCGACAGATTCTCAGAGCCGCATGTCTCTGTCCTTGTGTCACAGAGATTCCCCATGAAGCCATCCTCACAGGAGTTAGGGAGGCAAATCCCGGAGTTTTCTGGCCTGTTGTCACATGAACCATGCAGACAGAGGCAATCTGAGAAAGAGATTAATCCCAGTCTCAATCTGTGACCATGATGGGAAATACAAGCACTGAAACAGTAACAGGGAAAAAATATTTATTCTGTGATTATGTTTAACTAAGCCTTGATTTAAATGGAAGATGTACGTTGGACAGGAATGCAAGGGCCAGATATGACAGTGCATAGATCTGTGTATGTGTGTGTGCGTGTGCGTATACTAATCCAACCCTCCCCACCAACCTGGGCAATGTGTTCCGTACATGTCCCTTCCCCCCTTTAAACTCCTCCCATGTGAAACAGCTCCACCTGAACGGCTTCTGTTCCCACTTTTTGCCATGACTGACCTTGCTCACAGTTGGTGCCGTGTTTATTGGGGTGAGAGCAGATATGACAGGCAATCCCTTTGAAGTTTGGGTGGCATTTGCACGAACCATTTCCTTTAATGCCGTCGATGCACTAAGAGAGAAACAAAACCAGCTCCTTAATTGCTCAGCCTCCGCAATGCAACATCATTCTGTTAACGACACCTCCTGTCAAGAGGTATTCTGCCTCTCTGTGTAACCAAACGAGATGCCTGGTATCAATCCTACACCAACTCTCCCTGGGATAGAGCGCTGGGTTACAGGACTGTGAGATTCACAGAGGTTCAGCTTCCCAGAGACAATCACACTTGATCAGTCAGTTTGGAGACTGAGTGAAATTAAACCTATTTTCCCTGCACTTACCTCCCCATGAGCGTAACAAGGTTCCTTAAACCCTCCTGGACAGGCCCGGCATTCCCTCCCATAGAATCCTTTACAACAGGCGGGTTTCTGGAAGAATGAAAGAGCTCACATTATGGAGCAGCCAATCAGATTAAACTGTTTCAAACTACTTTACACTAATTAGTGCCCAGTGAAGTGACTGTTTTACAAGTCAACTTTGTGTCACCAACATGCAGTCTCCTTCCAACAGCTTCCAAATTAAGGCTGAATTTGAGTATTTTCTACAATTCTGTATAAGATTAAAGTTTAACACCAAATGACCTTACAGCTAAAATCGGGTGGAACTTGGGACCTGGGATTCTGGCAGACGCTTACCACAATGGTCTGGTTACAGTGCTGGGCACAGCCCAGCTTTCTGCTGTACAGAACCCCATCAGCCGAGGCATCGTACTTACAGCCAACATCGTATGTCTCCTGTAGACACAAGGTTGTCAGTGAGTGAGGAGACATCCATGTGAGCCCCCCACCACACACGCACACACAGAGCTCGCCAGCAATCCCTGCTCTGGCCCCCAGGAATACTACTTAACATCATCCCAACCCGACCTGCCAACTCCCAGCAGAACACTGCTCCAGGAGAGGGCACAGGGCAATGAGGATCCCTCAGGAGGGAGTTCCTGTGAGTCCTGTTCGTGGCAGGAACAGTTATTTGCCAATTGGAATAGCATGTTTCACTCCCAGTGCCACACAATAAACAGCTGGACAGAGATTTAAATCATCGAGCATCAAGCTCTCATTCAGATAGGGCTTTAATGGGGGCAGGAAGAGGACTGAGGTGGGGCGGGCGGGCGGGGGGGAGGGGAAGGGGACTGAGGGGATGGGGGGAACGGGAACCCAGAGCCACCATTCTGTGATTGAGCCTCACCATCGGGGCCGCTCCCTCCGGACACTTCCTGCTGCTCAATGCTGAACAATCCCCACACGGAGCCTAAAGAGCAGCAGCACAGCACACGGTGTAACAGGCCGTCAGCAGCCATTAGTAAACTTCACACAACATTTTCTTGAACGTTGAATACCACACACACATATCAATGATTCTTACAACATAATTTATATGCAAGCCCCCCCCCCCCCCCTCCGCCAGCCAACCACACACGCACGGCGTCACACACAGGGTGTGAGTGACAAATTCCTGTCCTGGGATTGCAGCGACAAGGGGCTAATATGCTTGGCCCGGGCACTGACTTGCGACAAAGCTTTGGCTGCTATTTGCTTCTCTTACCGTTACGATGTGGTGATGAATCTTGTTGCACTGTTTCGGGAGGATGGGAATGATGGAGGGAGGAATAAGGATTCCATCCAGACTATGAATAACCCCGTCTGAAGCAATGATGTCTCGTCTGTATAAAGGAACGGCTTTGTCCCCCAATGTGATCTGACCCTGAGGCAAAGAGGCAGCAAGTCAGTGCCAACATGACTAGGACACAAACCCCAGACAGTGAGACACCATTAATAAATGGTTTATAGAGTTTACTATAATAACACTGAAAGCACCCAGCGCCTTGTCACATTAGAACCTTTCCAAACACTTTACACCATTAGGTGAGATCAGCAGCAGGCGAGTGTGGGACTTACATGATGATCCACATTGATGGAGATGATCTGATTTGCTTTGCTCAGGATTCGAGGAATCGTTGCCAATCTGTCCACTGTCAGCTGGGAAACAAAATGGTAATTAATGAACATTGTGGACCACTTGAGACCACACACTGCGGCCCCGAATCTGACAGCCATCTCCAAGGGATCCTTTAGTCTCCCACTGCTGCTTTCACTCAAACACCTCCCCCTGCCTCCTGCACATGTCCACCCCCCCCCACACACACGGTATAACTCCCATCACCGCCCCCGCCCCACCACCGATGGCACCCTTCCTCCAGGACAGGACGCTGCGAGCAGGAATGGGGCAGCCTACCCTGGCAGAGCTGAGGATGTGATGCTTCACAAGCTCTTGTAGTTTCAGACGTCCCTGGTTTAAAAACAAAACACAGATAAAGTTGAGTTCATGTGTTCAGCACAGACCTCGTCAGTCCCAGAAAATCCAGCCCCGTCACATCGAAACAGCTCAAACTCAAACAGTAATGACTGTCAAGAGCAATGTAAACACAACAGCTATTTGGCACACAGAGCCAGGAAGTGAATGACCCATTTTATATGGAAAATTGTTGGCCCGGACACCAGGAAAAACTAACTTCTCTTTTCCAATAGTGTCATGGAATTTTTAAAGTCCACCTGAACAGGCAGACAGGACCTCAATGTAGCATCTTGTCCCTTACATAGGGCCTCTGACAATGCAGAACTCCCCCAGTATCAAACTGGAGCATCAATCTACACGTGAGCTGAAAGTCCTGACAATCAGGGTTTAACCCACACCTTTCTGACCCAGACGTGTCAGTACAATCTGCTCAGGGCTACTTTAATCGGCCTCGGTTTCCATTACTTTCCACGTGTTTCCCACAAACAACTCCGGGAGGGGAGGGGAGTTCCTCATCTACTCTGTTACTATTCCATCTGTACAATCGGAGACTGGTTAATGATCTGTGTCTCTCACCTCAGTAAACATGTAGAAGAGGGTGCCGTCTCGCAGTTTGTCCACAGCTCTGTTGCTCGGCACAAAGACAGTGAAGGGACCTGGGCCTTTCAGCAATTCCGGGTACTCGATATTCTGTCACATAATAAACACAAGACTTTATCAGTCGTTAACAGTTCCTCCGATACCCGCTCATCACAGGGACAAGAGCTGAGCCGCATAAACAGCAAAGATTAAAGACATCCCAAATCTGATTTATTTCAGAGAAGGAACCAATGGATCTGCAGAGCTTCCCCCTCTCCCTCCCCCACCCACGGTCCACTGACCTGCCCCGAGATAGTAACCCACTGTCCACACTGTGAGTGATGAGCCCATCACTGCACAAGCTCCGTAATAATAGTAAATAACAACTAATTGCAGAGTTCTGTAATGTGTATTTCTACACACGGCTCACACAGCCACCGGCTCACACTATCACCAGCTCACACAGCCACCGGCTCACTCTGCCACCGGCTCACACTATCACCAGCTCACACAGCCACCGGCTCACTCTGCCACCGGCTCACACTGTCACCAGCTCACACAGCCACCGGTTCACTCTGCCACCAGCTCACACTGTCACTGTGTCACCGGCTCACACAGCCACCAGCTCACTCTGCCACCAGCTCACACTGTCACTGTGTCACCGGCTCACACAGCCACCGGCTCACACTGTCACTGTGTCACCGGCTCACACAGCCACCGGCTCACACTGTCACTGTGTCACCGGCTCACACAGCCACCGGCTCACACTATCACTGTGTCACCGGCTCACACTGCCACCGGCTCACACTGCCAACCGGCTCATACTATCACTGTGGCACCGACTCACACAGCCACCGGCTCACACTGCCACCGGCTCACACTATATTTACCTCCAGCATGATTTGGAACCTTTGGAACACATGTTCTTTAGCAAGAATCTCGGCAACAGTTTTCTATGAAAACACACAAAGGTGAATGTCAGATCACAGACATGTAACGTAAGAAAGTATTCAGAGCAACAACAACAACAATAACTTGCATTTATACAGCGCCCTTTACGCGGGGTCCTGGAGTGCTTCAGAGCAGAAAGGAGAACAAGAGAAAATGCAAGTGTAGGGACCGTGCTAAAGGAGACGAGGAAGGTACAACAGAGCAGAAGCCCCTCTAAATCACTCCCACGTTCAGGCAACGTGGTCACTAGGGGCAGAGAATCTGCCGGAGATTTCATACCCAGCAGCTAGGAGCCACAACAGAAACCCCTCTCTAATATCCTCCAGCACATGGCAGACAACACAACAGACACACAGGTTTGAGAGGCCAACAGACTGGGGACCTCAAAGTGTGCGACGGGGTATCTGCTAGAGTCTAACCAGCTAAAACTGCGTAGCTTGCTGTTGATAGTACTGTGTCTGGCTAGCTTTCCCACTTTTCCTGGCGTTTACTACCCTTCCTGGCAGCCCAATTCTAACCCCCGCCCCCCACCTCCTATCCCCACCACACCCCCCACCCCCGTGTAAAGCAAGGGGAAGAATGTTGGTGATTGGAATCAACGCTTTGAGAGTTCAGTGAGGAACTTGCATTTTATTGTGCCTGTTTCTAAGCGCATCGCAGGAATTACACACACATTTAGTGACTGTGTAGTTGTAGCCTGTCAAAGTGTAGTTACCCTCTGATCCTCCAGATTCTCAGAGTTATTTCCACTGATGAAACCGTCAATGATATGGAGGATGCCATTGGACGCCCCCACATTGCTCTGTACAATGCCGTATGAGTTATTGTGGATCAGAAGTTCAATATTCTGGAACATTAAGGAGAACAAAGTGAGGTTAAGAACCAAATGGATCTTTTCAAGTGCGAAATCCTGTTGAAACATTTTCTGCAGCTCTTAAAAAAGAAGCAGCTTCCAAATGAAGAGTGAGTTTTAAGAATGTTCCACAACTTTCTTAAATGTTAATATAAAACAGCCTCAGAGGCTGAGACTTGAGTGAATTTCACACAGATGGGAAAGGAAGAATTTCAACGTGTTTTCCTAATGATAATAATCCTTGCATTTAATATAGCACCTTATCACATGTCTCAAAGCACTTTACAGATGATAATGTAAAGCGGAGTGATTGTGTATCTTGTGGCCGAAACACAGTCGCCAATTGCAGTGTCTCACAAACAGTCGTGGATTGAGTGACCACATTTTTTTTTAAGGAATTATTATCCCCGGAAAAGTGATCCACCAATCAACTAACAACTGGGTTCCTACTTATTGGTAGGTAAACAGAGGCATGTGTGTGGAGTAAGGAAACCTGCCCAATATTTTGCTCTGCTCGGGAATCGAACCCAGATCCTCTCGCTTGCGAGACGAATGCTCTAACCACTGAGCTACGGGACTCCATGATGTGGAATGAGAGCTGGGATTTGCACAGGACAAACACCCACAGACACAGAATGGCTGTAACCAGCCCTTACCTCTCCATCCCGCAACACTTCAACTGGGTCTCCGGTCAGTGTCCAGAAGGTGCGAGTAATTAGCAGGTCCTGCAGGAGGAAGGCTCCTGGGATAATGTGCAGTTGGCAGGACCAACCATCCCTCTGCTCCAGGGGCAGTTAGACAAGAGAAATCATGTTACAGCAGCCAGGCAGCAAGCATTGCCAGCAATACACTGACCGCCAACACCAACACTAACCACCAACACTAACCAGCAAAACCGCCTGCAAAGATTAGTGTCACATCATCAACATTTGTCTGCCAATATATTAAATAATAATCCTTGTATTTGATATAACCCCTTATCATGTCTTTTCGAGATGTCTCAAAGCACTTCACAGAATAGACTGTAAAGTGAATTGACTGTATATTTTGTGGGTGAAACCCGGCAGCCAATTGCGTACGGCAGCGTCCCACAAACAGTCGTGGATTGAGTGACCAATTTATTATTTTTTGTTTGTTTTTTATTTTTAGGGATTATTATCCCCGGAAAAGTGATCCACCAATCGACTAATAATCGGTTACTTGATGGCGTGTGTGTGTGGAGTAAAGAAACTTGCCCAATGTTTCGCCCTGCCAGGAATTGAACCCAGGTCCTCTCGCCTACGGGGTGAGTGCTTTAACCACTACGCTACAGGACTCCACAATATAATAATACTTTTGGATTAAATTCAATCTCTTCCATCACATCCATCAGGAACTCAACAACCACAGAGCTTTGCACAAGGGACTGTGTAAGGGAAGTGAGCAGGTTAGTGTGACTATGTATGTGGAGTGAGTAATACAGTGGGACTGTGTATGTGGAGTGAGGAATGACTAGTAGAGGAGTGCAGTGTGTATGGGGAGCAAGGCATACAGTGGGATTGTGTAAATGTGGCCTCAGTCACTCGCTGACAGTAACATACCCGAGTCTCCATGTCTCTCACCAGGGGAAGAAAGACGGTGAAAGGCCCCATTTTGTTCAATGTTAATGAACATCCATTTTCTAAAAAGCAAAGAAAAACGTTACTGAGAACAGTGAAACCCTACAACACTGATTACTTAAATAAAACACATTACACTCCCTACAAGGTTAGGGTTAGAGTAGGGCATTACCGGCAATAGCTCTGGGTTTGGGTTAGAAGTGGGCGGGCCATTGCTAGCAATAGCTCTGGGCCAGGTTTCAGGTTTGCAGCAGAGAAGGTTTGAAAGTTACCGAACATCCGCAGTGAGTCGGGGCTATAGTCGCTTGTGACCAGCGTTCGAATCACCTTCAGTAATGGACCAAAGCAGCTGCTCCCGTTGCTGATGTGTCCTGTTCCACACACGCACCTGGACACAGCAACATTGCAGCAATGTCAGCCGTGCTAGAGACCAGCGACTCTTATAAAGGGAAATTAGACAGATCTGGAAGAAGAGGAATATTAAAGTGTGTGTGGGGGGTGGGGAGGCTGTGTGTGTGTGGGTGGGCTCTGTGTACAGGGGGAGGCTGTGTGGGGAGCCTGTGTGTGTGTGGGGAGGTTGTGTGTGTGTGTGTAGGTTGGTGGGGGGACACTGTTTGTGTGGGGGGGAGGCTGTGTGTGTGTGGGACGGGGACGGATGCTGTTTGTGGGTGGAGGAGGCTGTATGTGTGTGTGTGTGCATGGCGGGGACGCTGTGTGTGGGGAGGGAAGGTGATGTGTGGGTGGGAGGCGGTATGCGTGTGTTTGTGTGTGGGGGGGCTGTGTGTTTGTTTGTATGTGGGGGGGGTCTATGTGTTTGTGGGGGTGAGAGGGAGGAGAGGAGAGAGTGAGTAGGAGAGTGGGATGATGATTAGATTCGGAGGCGAATGTGGAGAAAAACATTAGCATAAACATGAAGGACCAATAGAGCTGGCGTTTTGCTTTAACATTGGATGATGCTATGATGGAGCCAATACACCCACGTTCTCTCCAGCGATAACTTCTCATTTTCAAAAGTATAAACCAGATTCTTTTACACTAATGTAACTCAGTGAGTGTCTTGGTCTGACCTGCAGTGGATAGATCTCACTGGTCCTTCCCTCCTGTATGCTCCAGTGATAGCGACTCATTCCCCACCCCCCATCGTGGGATGTACCCCCTCCCGCTACACCCCACCCCACCCACACATACACAGCGCCATTGTGGCGTACCCCTCCAAACACACACACACACCTCCATCGTGGACTGTTTGGAGAAACACTTACTCAAAGTCTCCTGGTAGAACAGTTACACACTTTGCTGACTTGTCACAAGACGAGTTTGGACAAACATCTATCAAGCTGCAGCCGGCGTCAGGATTGTCCCCAGAAAATCCCTCCTTACACGAGCAGCTGGGCTTTAGAAAGACATGGAAGCAGCAGACAATAAATCTCCTACACAGGCAACAACAACAACAACAACACATTGCATTTATACAGCATCTCTCAGGAAGATGTCACATGACACTGAACAGTGAAGGGTTTGCACCCGAGCTGGGAGTTTGGATCAGAGAGGGGTGGAGGGTAGGGGGAGTGGAGTGAAGGTGGGAGCATGACCAAAAAAGGCAAGATCAAAGAGGAAGGTTTTGAGAGGCCTTGAAGGAGGGGGCGAAACAGAGGACCCCCAGGATGGAATTCCAGAGAGTGAGGGCAGAAAGGCTGAAGGCCCCACCAATGACAGAACGTGCTGGGTGGGGGACATGGATCAAGCAGAGGGAGCAGACAGCTTGGTTTAGTAGGTCGCAGAGGTAGGGTCGAGCAAAACCGTGGAGGTCTTTAAAGGTGAGGACGAGAATTTTGAACTCGATCCTCTGGGAGCCAGTGCAGCCAGATGAGGATGGGGCTGATCGGCTCACGGAGATTAGTGCAGGAGAAGACATGAGCTGCAGCTTCTGGAGGAAAGAGTTGGGAAGCCCAGCAAGCAGGCAGTTAGCATAGTGAAGCCTTGACAGAATGATACTGTGCCTGGTTTTGCCCATCAAACTGGCAGGTGGTGGAGTTCTGGGGACAGCCGCCGTTGTTCACACTGCAGGGGTTCAGGGGCAAACACACACTCCCGTCCCCCAGGAAGCCACGACGGCAGGTACATCTGTGTCCCTCCCCAAAGAGCTCGCACTCGGCATTCCTGTCACACACCCCAGGTCCGCACCGCTCTGCACAAACACAACAAACACAACATCACTGCAGACTCTGGTCATGATTCACAGGGCACAAGCTCGGAGTGGACACTGGGACGGTGAAGGGAGACGTTCCTGCTGAGAGTTATTACAATGTGAAATGCTTCACAAGTGGCTGTTGAGGTCGAAGCCACAACATGGATAAAGGAATCTGATAAACATTTGGAGAGGAAGGATATAAAGGGGAACCTGGGAGAGAACAGGAGAATGGGTCTAGCGTCATTCGGCTGGAGGAGCTATTTGTGCTGTTAATATTATTATTATTATTGTTGTTGTGTACCCGGCCCCGCTAACCCTTACCCACTTGCTCTGACAGTGAATTCCCCAATTCCTGCCCAGCACACTTACCCTGACATTCTTGCCTCTTCTCTCCAGTCACGCACACAGTCCTATTTGGACAGTTCGGGCCCTCACAGGCAGCTGTTTCAGAGGAAATTGAACCATGAGAACAATAATACGTTTTCCAGACTGAAAAGTAACACTGAGATCTGAAATACAGATGGGGGGAGGGGGTGGGGGGCAGGCTAACCATGGTATTATTAGTAACTGTACAACTAACCGCTGAAACTGTTTACAGACACACAATCCTTTTCGCTGATGGCTAATTACATAATTAAGGGCACCTGTGTGCATTTGGACATTATTAGCACATATGCTATTAGCCCAGCCTGCACTGTAGCCACAAATTTCATTCATGTTGCAGCTTCAATGGCCTAAACCACAGTCTATTATTCTGCCAGCAGTACTCAAAGCAAACTGTAACATAACAACAACACTCTGCTGTTATACAGCGCTTTCACATGGGCTGTAAGTATTGAAGTGTTTCACAATCCCACTGGGAATCATGATGGGCCTGAAGTAGAGGGGTGTTTGAGGGTTTTGACAAAGGCTCAGTTTAACGGGAATCAGAGGCAGAGAGTGAGGGCACAAGCCAAAGCAGCTTTAGAAGAGGATCCCAGAGAATGATGGGAACATTGATGGCTACAGAGGGTGGGGTGAGCAACAAGCAACAGCTCAGAGGATGAAGAGCAGAGAGGAACAACAGGAGGTTAGAGCCAGAGGAGATTACACAGGTCAGGGGCAGCGAGAACATGGAAAAACATGCCAAATTGAGACTAAATTTTTGGAAATTCTCCACTTTTCAAAATTTTTGGTCTTAAAGCCTCTGACCATTGTTTGCATTGACCAGAGTAAACTGCATTAGACTGCATTTCTGTATTTGATGCCAGGATATCTTTGCAAAGAAAACAAACCTTTATCAGATCAGTGGCACTAATTGATGCCGGAAACAACTTATGGCAGGAAACCAAGACATTCCCTTTCCTGAGATTCTTGGAACACGTTGTAGGGATGAAGGAGGAGGGGGAGGTAACGATGGGATTCAGCAACAGGAATCAGTTTGGCTGAGATCTCAACTTGAGGAAGTAACATTTACCCCAATTAGGGTTAGGTAATTGCCATTCTGTAATTATCATCCAATGTGGAGAGAGAAACGGAGAGAGAGAGAGAGAGAGAGGAGAAAACGGTGTGGGGAGGGTATCAGGATGGGAGAGGACCTTAACAAACAACTCTAAACCCGCCTACCCTGGCACTCTTACCCCAGCACTGCCTCACTTACCCAGACACTGTGTGACACTGTTACCCCGATCGACACTGTTACCCCAGCACTGCCTGACTGTTACCCCGACACTGTGTGTCTCTGTGTCAGGATGTAGCTCTTGTTAAGCCACAGCCACTATGCAGCTGTGTAGCAGTTTCCCTGCCCTGCAGCCCCTGCACATGTGCTTCCCACTGATTTCCTGAGTTAATGATGAAGTTCAGATGTCCTTGAGACACTGTTCCTCCCGAGGGTCGCTTTCTGCACAATCACCCGAGTCTGGCAATCAAGCTGCTCACAAACACCACACTGCAACATCCTTTCCAACCTAAACTTCACACGCACAGTAGAGGCTGATTCCCTCCAGCTCTCCCGATTCCCTAGAGTTCTCAAGTTTAACCCTCTTCCTACACATGCTGAAGGATGTCAGCTTGCATCCGTTGGGAGGACTTTCAATTCTGACTTGAGTTTTTAGTTCACGCCCCAGTTTGGAGTTTGAATTGACAGTACAGGCTCAACACTCCAGCACTCTGGGGAAGCACTGGGTTGCCAGAGGTGCCATCCTTTGAATGAAATGCTAAACAGAGGTCCTGTGTGCTTGTTCAGGTGGATGTTAAAATCCAATGACACTAGAGAAAGAGATGGGAGTTTCTCCCAGTGTCCTGGTCAACAATCCTTCTGATTTAGTCACACAGTCACCTCACAGCCTGTACGCAGAATCTTGCTGTATCCCAATGGCTGCCGTGTTTGCTACAAAAACAGTCACTATCATTTGATTGTAAAGCATTTCAATGTGATAAGATCCAATAGAAGTCCAACTTTTTTCTTTCTCATGGTGTGTAAAAACATTATAATATTTCCCTATGGAGCAGTGCATATGTGCCATAGATTCCACAATAGTAGCCAATAAACTGCCTCATCAATGTTTGGGTGAGACTCCATTGCTTAACAAAGATTTGCAATAGCGGAAAATACTGCAGTTCAAGGGAATAAAGAACAATAAACGTGGGATTCTGTGAGGATAGGGTTCCCTCCCTCCATCCCTCCATCCATCAATCAACAAACCAACATGTGTCTCATTGAAAGACTTTGTAAAAATATACAACTCCAGAAAGCTGAACAATTGAGGTAACACGAGGCGTTTCCTGGGGTTGAGCATCTCGGAAACCAATATTTCTCACAAACAAACCTGGAACACAGTCAGGCCCAGACGCTGTCTCGTCCACACATTCTTCACATGCGAAGCCCTTGTACCTGGCCTGTAACAGAAGGAAACACTGTGACTGTCGGCTGCAGAGCTGGGGACCCTGAGTTCCAGCTGGTATCACATTGCTCACCACAGCACCAATAGAGGAACTTTGAAACACAAGTTACATGTTGACCACAACTACTTGTGGCCTATGTTTATAACAACATAAATGCTGTACATCTCACAGCTCCTGGCTTTGCCCTCACAACTCCTGCCTGTTACTACCAGGAGGAGATGACACTGTGATGTAAACATGGTGGTGCAACAGGACCTAGCTCTCTACCTTGCTGTACAATTCATTGGAGTTAAACCAACAACAACTTGCATTCCTATAATAATAGCACCCTTCATGCGGGGCGGCCAATTTACGCACCGCAACATCCCACAAACAACCGTAAATTGAATGACCAATTTTTTTTTATTTGGGGAGATTGTAGGCCAAGACACCAGAAGAAATTTGCTTCTCTTTTCGAATAGCGCCATGAGACGTTTAATATTCACCTGAACAGGCAAACGGAGCCTCAGTTTAACATCTCCTCCCGAGGTCGGGACTCAACACGGATACATGAACTGACCTCACACACACATCTCCCGTTCCCCGTGATCCCATCTAAACAGATGCCGTGGCGATTGCAGGAGTTGTCAGGTCCGCCTGGGCAATCTGAGAGAGTGTGACACAAGGACAATAACGTTCCAGGTAAAACAATAGATGTTGATGTGTCACAGCTACTTAGCCATACAATCATGGGTTCAACCACAGTAATATAATCATATGTATTTATACACATACAAACAGAATATAGGTCAGGAAACAATGTAGGCACAAGACTCACACACAACCCTACAGCAACCCCACCTCTCAGTGTGTGTGTAACTGGGGGGAGGAGCATTTTACTGGTGGGGGTCCAGGTGTGTGTTATTGCACACACACCACACACACACACAGCTCAGTGTAATTGTACCTGGGGGAGATTGTGACTGAAACTGTTGGATTCACTAAAGAAATTCAATGGAAAAAACTCAAAATCAGAGTGCGATTTGCTTCCTGATCTTTATGTTGCACTGGTTTCATCCAAAAAATCCCTGAAAGCAAATCAGCTTGTGGCCTTTAGAACCTGCACCATTTCTACACCATTTCTTTCTCTCCTAAAGGAATACACATGCAAACACATACACACACACACAAGCACATGTGCAGACATACACAAGAACACGTGCAGACATACACATGTAAGCACATGTTATACACACATGTACACCTGCGGTACTCACTCTGACACGTGGGGCCCCAGTATTGTTTGCAACACTCAAATTGGTTTAAAGTCTTGACGCAGAGGTGTCGGCAGCCTTTCTGTGTGACACGTTCCCCACCACCCATGTCCACAGTGAAGCTTCAAATAGGAATTAGAATAAAAACATCATAAAACATTAAAATACTCCAGCGGTGCCCAGAGAACCGATAGACTGAACTTCAGTCACAATTAATAACAAGCCTTTGACCTTAGCCAATTACAGCAACAACAACTTGTATTTATATGTATTTATATTTATAACCTCATGCAGGGTTGCATTGTTCACCTTGTGTACATTGAGAGCACTTTAATTAAATGGGACACAATAAAAGTACAATAGTAATAGTGGCAGTGACTCGCAACATGACAAGGCCAGGAGCAGAACAGGAGGCTTCTGAGCCACACTCTCCCACCGCTCTGTGTGGTGTGAATGTAAAGTTAAACCAGGAAACAGAATCAGGGTTTAAATCAACCACTTGTATTGAATTCAATGTGTTGCATTGTTTGACAAACAAGAAACAAAAATAGAACGTGACACGTTTACCAACCAATGCCTGAGAAAGGCTCACAATGCTCTCACACTACACCAGTCACCAGCACAGCGGATTGTGTCAGGGATTGAAGGAGACACACACATTGTGAGCAGCAACTCTTATGCCTGAATTAATTAATTTGCAATAATTCAAAAGTAGCTTCAAAATAAGCGCACGAAAGGTCACTGCAGGAGAAATGCTTTTAGGGCGACCACCGTGTGGGCCAAACTCACAGCACAGGCAGCAATGGGCAGCTCCTGCCTCCACTCCCATTCCAGCAACACAGTCACATTGAAGGAGCTCCGGAGCAGCACTTGTGCTCAGGTGGATGGCAGTGCTGCAGTCTGTGCCCACCTCACAGTAACCCTAACCTTAACCCTAACCCTAACCCTAAGTCACCCACTCCAGGCACCATCCCAGGGGGTGGGAGGATGGATTCTGGCGACCGGACACAGATCATCAGTTCGCTATCGAAGTTCATGAAGTAAAAAATATTTACCATTCGTAATAATTAAGAAGCTGGGAACAGGAATAGTCTCTTTGGTCCACTGAGCAGGTGGTACATTTATTAGTTATTGAAGTGCTGAACTTTATGGCTCTCAGATGTTCTCAGCTGTGTGTGACTCGCTGGGGGAGTGGGGTGTCAGTTCAGAGTGTTTGCGGATCTCAGAGCCCTGGGACTTACCTACAGTCTTGGATCCCGATCCCACTGCTGATCCTGTGAAAGCCTTTGGAACACAAGACACTGTGGCTGACGGCACAGGAGGTGCAGCGAGTGTGTATCCTCAGGGAGGGGGGGCGGCCCTGCAGGGCTGAGGGGAAGATAACCTGGTCACATGTTACATCCAAACAACAACAACAACTTGCAATGTATATAGCACCGTTCACGTTGAGTAGCGACTTGGAAACGTAATGGAGGTAAACCTCTCTGAGCTGAACCAGAGAGCGATCCGGTACATTGGGAGATGGGGAGTGAAGCTCTGCAGCACATTTGATGTCAACACTCCCAGTGACATGACATGTGAGTCATGTCATCCATCACCACCCACCGCCCAAAGCCCATAGAGACTGAGTGTAGCGAGAACTGTGGGGACATACACCGGGACAGCCCCCCCCCCCCCCCCCCCCACCGGCTGATCAATAGACACCCGTTATCACAAGTCCACCCACAGACCCCCACACACCAACACCACCCTCAGGCCCTGACGTTTGTTTATTCTTTATGATCTACAAACTCACCACAACCACAACAAACACATTCCGATATAAAGTATACATACTCTTTGCTTTCTGATGCCCCTCAGCCTCCCCCACCCCTCCTCTGCGCCTCACTCCATCCTTCCTCTCCTCTGCCCCCCACCCCCCCCTCAGGGAGCCCGGTCTGGGGGCCACAGCCATTCCTTATTTAGGGCCACAGATCACAGCGAGGACACGGCTGACTGACACCCAGAGAGAGAGAGAGAGAGAGAGGAGATTACCTGCCAATCGACGCCCAGGACCAGGGGGGACAACAGCGGCAACAGCAGCAGCGGCGCCCGAGCCCACACTCCCAACTCCGGCATTGCTGCCTCAGCTCAGCCACCGGAGTGTCGGGGGGTAAGAGAAGAGGAGAGAGAGAGAGAGAGGGAAGGAAAGAGAGAGAGAGCTACATGACAGGACAGAGACTGTGAGAAACACACAGCGCGACCGAGGGCAGAGGACTGGTCCCGAGGAGTTGGGTCTCTGTACTCTGCGACTTCCCGAAAACAGGAAAAGCGCGGATTTCCTGCGCGGTATCAGAGCGGCGCAAACACTCAGGAATCCTGTGTTTGGGCTTCTCACAGCGGCGCTTCAGTGGGGGACAGCGATATCCCTGCACAGCGCGGGGGGCTGGGGGGGGGGGGCTGGGGGGGGGGGGGGGGCTGGGGGGCGGGGGGGGCTGGGGGCTGGGGGGGGGGGGGGGGGCGGGGGGGCGGGGGGGGGGGGGGGGCTGGGGGGCTGGGGGGGGGGGCTGGGGGGCTGGGGGGGGGGGCTGGGGGGGGGGGGGGGGGCTGGGGGGGGGGCTGGGGTGGGGGGCGGGGGGGGGGGGGGGGGCGGGGGTGGGGGGGGGGGGCTGGGGGGGGGCTGGGGGGGGCTGGGGGGGGGGCTGGGGGGGGGGGGGCTGGGGGGCGGGGGGGCTGGGGGGGGCTGGGGGGGGGGCTGGGGGGGGGGGCTGGGGGGGGCGGGGGGGGGGCGGGGGGGGGCTGGGGGGGGGGCTGGGAGGGGGGGTGGGGGCCTGGGGGGGGCTGGGTTGGCCGGGGGGGGGGCTGGGGGGGGCGTGAAGGGCTGGGGGGGGTCCGGGGTGGGGGCGGGAGGGGGGGGGGGGGTCGGGGGGGGGGGGGCGGGGGGGGGCGGGAGGGCTGGGGGGGGGTCCGGGGGTGGGGGTCTGGGGGGGATCTGGGGGGGGGGGAGGGGCTGGGGGCGGGGTGAGGGTCGGGGGGGGTCTGGGGGGCTCCTGCCGCTTGGAGACGCCACTCGGTGTATTTGTGTCTGTTCTCCGATCTGCTCCTCACTGGGACCCAGTGCTCAGGGACCGAACCCCCACTCACTGATCCCGAGATCACTGCACAGCGCAGCGCAGCGCACTGTACTGTACAGACACACAGACAGAGATCGGGGACAGATACACAGTGCTGTACACTGTGCAGATGCACAGAGGTTGCACAGGACACACTGCCAGGAGCGCACAGCCTGTGTTGCTGTACGGACCAATTACAAACCAGTTGTTACTGTACAAAGTCGACCCAACAAGCATTTATATAGAGCCCCTCACACAGGACAGCGTCCAAAGCACTTCACAGCACACAGGGACCGCTGTATGGACGGCTCACAGCACTGATGGCCAGAGTGACCTCAGAATAATGTTGTCTCGCAGTAACCGGCTCGTTAGGAAAACTGATAAAAAAATAAAAAAAGCAAAGGGCAACAAAAACTGCACATTCTTCATTTAACAATTGGCGAGAAAAGACTGCAATAAATCACGTTTAATGAGACGTCCAAACAGAACCGACCATTTATCCGCAGAGTTCTTGTCTGCTTAAGGGGGGTGTAAGGTTAAGCGAGTTTGGTACAAACCTCCCAGGAGTGTCCCTTTAATCTGAAAAGTTTAACAAGACTTCAGTGAATAGACAGACCCCCCACTCCCTCTCCCTCTCTCTCTCTCTCCACGGGGTGGTGGTGGGGAGGGTCCAGTGCTGTAAAGTAACCCTTCCCTGACCGGACAATCCACAGCCTGGGCCATACACACACAAACCCTGGTCCAGTCCTGACTCTCTGCACCAGGAGACGGTCTGTTACAGTCACAGTGTTATTGCTGCAGCGATATTCCTTCACACATTGATATTCAGTGTGAAAACACAGCAGCAGCAAATGTAAATCTTCGCAGGCCCCCCCCCCCCCCCCCCCCCCCCAGCACTGTGTGGGTTAATGCGCACACACTGCTCAGTGTTTACCTTGGCAACTCTGGTCTACAACATGACAACACTGTCATCTCTGGCCAACTGGCACTACCCGTCGGTCCCTTTCCTGCTGCACATTGGAATGACATAATCCTCAATGTTTTATTAGTTACCACTGGAATCGCGGAATGGCTCCGGCGCAGAAAGTGGCCATTTGGCCCATCGAGGTCTGAGCTGCTGTTTGTCTGCACATGAGGTGGGTTCCCAGTCCAGTCCACGCCAGGCCAGTCCAGGCCAGTCCAGTCCACGCCAGGCCAGTCCAGTCCACGCCAGGCCAGTCCACGCCAAGCCAGTCCAGGCCAATCCAATCCAGTCCAGGCCAATCCAGTCCAATCCCACGACTATTTCAGGATTATTTCGGAGTAAAAAAGAAAGAAAATACACGCCAGACAGTGCTGCTGTGAGGGAGGCGCGGGGAGACACAGAGATATGGAGCCTCGGAGACGGGAGTGCGGCGGTTTGGGTGGTTCCTGTTGTTTTCAGATGTTATTTATTATTTATTATTATTGTGAACAATATTGGGTTTATTATTGCGAATAATCCGCTTTGTGGGGAAGTGTTAAACCTGGCAGTTGCGAGGGACCCGGGGTTTGGCTGAGGAAAGGCTTCCTGTGAGGCACATCCCGATGGAAATGGAATTCCAGATATTTCACAAATCTGCAGGAGATCAGCGTCAATCCCACAAAACACGGGGGTTCTCCCCACATAACTGACACCCGGGGGGGGGGGGGGGAGGGGGGGCATCGTTTACAGATGAGAACATTTCTAGTTAAAAATAGAGATCGGAGCTCAGTCAGTCAGACACACACACTGCCCCCCTGCCCCCCTGCACCAGCCACACTGCCCCCCCCCCTAACCCTAACCCTAAGTCACCCACTCCAGGCACCATCCCAGGGGGTGGGAGGATGGATTCTGGCGACCGGACACAGATCATCAGTTCGCTATCGAAGTTCATGAAGTAAAAAATATTTACCATTCGTAATAATTAAGAAGCTGGGAACAGGAATAGTCTCTTTGGTCCACTGAGCAGGTGGTACATTTATTAGTTATTGAAGTGCTGAACTTTATGGCTCTCAGATGTTCTCAGCTGTGTGTGACTCACTGGGGGAGTGGGGTGTCAGTTCAGAGTGTTTGCGGATCTCAGAGCCTGGGACTTACCTGCAGTCTTGGATCCCGATCCCACTGCTGATCCTGTGAAAGCCTTTGGAACACAAGACACTGTGGCTGACGGCACAGGAGGTGCAGCGAGTGTGTATCCTCAGGGAGGGGGGGGCGGCCCTGCAGGGCTGAGGGGAAGATAACCTGGTCACATGTTACATCCAAACAACAACAACAACTTGCAATGTATATAGCACCGTTCACGTTGAGTAGCGACTTGGAAACGTAATGGAGGTAAACCTCTCTGAGCTGAACCAGAGAGCGATCCGGTACATTGGGAGATGGGGAGTGAAGCTCTGCAGCACATTTGATGTCAACACTCCCAGTGACATGACATGTGAGTCATGTCATCCATCACCACCCACCGCCCAAAGCCCATAGAGACTGAGTGTAGCGAGAACTGTGGGGACATACACCGGGACAGCCCCCCCCCCCCCCCCCCCACCGGCTGATCAATAGACACCCGTTATCACAAGTCCACCCACAGACCCCCACACACCAACACCACCCTCAGGCCCTGACGTTTGTTTATTCTTTATGATCTACAAACTCACCACAACCACAACAAACACATTCCGATATAAAGTATACATACTCTTTGCTTTCTGATGCCCCTCAGCCTCCCCCACCCCTCCTCTGCGCCTCACTCCATCCTTCCTCTCCTCTGCCCCCCACCCCCACCCCCCCCTCAGGGAGCCCGGTCTGGGGGCCACAGCCATTCCTTATTTAGGGCCACAGATCACAGCGAGGACACGGCTGACTGACACCCAGAGAGAGAGAGAGAGAGAGAGGAGATTACCTGCCAATCGACGCCCAGGACCAGGGGGGACAACAGCGGCAACAGCAGCAGCGGCGCCCGAGCCCACACTCCCAACTCCGGCATTGCTGCCTCAGCTCAGCCACCGGAGTGTCGGGGGGTAAGAGAAGAGGAGAGAGAGAGAGAGAGGGAGAGGGAAGGAAAGAGAGAGAGAGCTACATGACAGGACAGAGACTGTGAGAAACACACAGCGCGACCGAGGGCAGAGGACTGGTCCCGAGGAGTTGGGTCTCTGTACTCTGCGACTTCCCGAAAACAGGAAAAGCGCGGATTTCCTGCGCGGTATCAGAGCGGCACAAACACTCAGGAATCCTGTGTTTGGGCTTCTCACAGCGGCGCTTCAGTGGGGGACAGCGATATCCCTGCACAGCGCGGGGGCTGGGGGGGGGGGGCTGGGGGGGGGGGGTGGGGGGCCGGGGGGGGCTGGGGGGCTGGGGGGGGCCGGGGGGCCGGGGCCGGGGGGCTGGGGGCTGGGGGGGGGGCTGGGGGGCTGGGGGGGGCTGGGGGGCCGGGGGGGGCTGGGGGCTGGGGTGGGGGGCGGGGGGGGGGCGGGGTGGGGGGGGGGCTGGGGGCTGGGGGGGGGCTGCGGGGCCGGGGGGGGGGGGCTGGGGGGCCGGGGGGCTGGGGGGGGCTGGGGGGCTGGGGGGGGGCTGGGGGGCCGGGGGGGGGCTGGGGGGGGGCTGGGGGGCTGGGGGGGGCTGGGCTGCCTGGGGGGGGGGGCTGGGGTGCCTGGGGGGGGGGCTGGGGGGCCTGGGGGGGGGCTGGGAGGGGCCTGAGGAGCTGGGGGGTCCCGGGGTGGGGGGCTGGGGGGGTCCGGGGGTGGGGGGCTGGGGGGCGTGAAGGGCTGGGGGGGTCCGGGGGTGAGGGTCTGGGGAGGGATCTGGGGGGGCGGTCCGGGGTGGGGGTCTGGGGGGGGATCTGGGGGGCGGGGGGAGGGGCGGGGGCGGGGTGAGGGTCGGGGGGGTCTGGGGGGCTCCTGCCGCTTGGAGACGCCACTCGGTGTATTTGTGTCTGTTCTCCGATCTGCTCCTCACTGGGACCCAGTGCTCAGGGACCGAACCCCCACTCACTGATCCCGAGATCACTGCACAGCGCAGCGCACTGTACTGTACAGACACACAGACAGAGATCGGGGACAGATACACAGTGCTGTACACTGTGCAGATGCACAGAGGTTGCACAGGACACACTGCCAGGAGCGCACAGCCTGTGTTGCTGTACGGACCAATTACAAACCAGTTGTTACTGTACAAAGTCGACCCAACAAGCATTTATATAGAGCCCCTCACACAGGACAGCGTCCAAAGCACTTCACAGCACACAGGGACCGCTGTATGGACGGCTCACAGCACTGATGGCCAGAGTGACCTCAGAATAATGTTGTCTCGCAGTAACCGGCTCGTTAGGAAAACTGATAAAAAAATAAAAAAAGCAAAGGGCAACAAAAACTGCACATTCTTCATTTAACAATTGGCGAGAAAAGACTGCAATAAATCACGTTTAATGAGACGTCCAAACAGAACCGACCATTTATCCGCAGAGTTCTTGTCTGCTTAAGGGGGGTGTAAGGTTAAGCGAGTTTGGGTACAAACCTCCCAGGAGTGTCCCTTTAATCTGAAAAGTTTAACAAGACTTCAGTGAATAGACAGACCCCCCACTCCCTCTCCCTCTCTCTCTCTCTCCACGGGGTGGTGGTGGGGAGGGTCCAGTGCTGTAAAGTAACCCTTCCCTGACCGGACAATCCACAGCCTGGGCCATACACACACAAACCCTGGTCCAGTCCTGACTCTCTGCACCAGGAGACGGTCTGTTACAGTCACAGTGTTATTGCTGCAGCGATATTCCTTCACACATTGATATTCAGTGTGAAAACACAGCAGCAGCAAATGTAAATCTTCGCAGCCCCCCCCCCCCCCCCCCCCCCCCCCCCCCAGCACTGTGTGGGTTAATGCGCACACACTGCTCAGTGTTTACCTTGGCAACTCTGGTCTACAACATGACAACACTGTCATCTCTGGCCAACTGGCACTACCCGTCGGTCCCTTTCCTGCTGCACATTGGAATGACATAATCCTCAATGTTTTATTAGTTACCACTGGAATCGCGGAATGGCTCCGGCGCAGAAAGTGGCCATTTGGCCCATCGAGGTCTGAGCTGCTGTTTGTCTGCACATGAGGTGGGTTCCCAGTCCAGTCCACGCCAGGCCAGTCCAGGCCAGTCCAGTCCACGCCAGGCCAGTCCACGCCAAGCCAGTCCAGGCCAATCCAATCCAGTCCAGGCCAATCCAGTCCAATCCCACGACTATTTCAGGATTATTTCGGAGTAAAAAAGAAAGAAAATACACGCCAGACAGTGCTGCTGTGAGGGGGGCGCGGGGAGACACAGGGATATGGAGCCTCGGAGACGGGAGTGTGGCGGTTTGGGTGGTTCCTGTTGTTTTCAGATGTTATTTATTATTTATTATTATTGTGAACAATATTGGGTTTATTATTGCGAATAATCCGCTTTGTGGGGAAGTGTTAAACCTGGCAGTTGCGAGGGACCCGGGGTTTGGCTGAGGAAAGGCTTCCTGTGAGGCACATCCCGATGGAAATGGAATTCCAGATATTTCACAAATCTGCAGGAGATCAGCGTCAATCCCACAAAACACGGGGGTTCTCCCCACATAACTGACACCCGGGGGGGGGGGGGGGGGAGGGGGGGCATCGTTTACAGATGAGAACATTTCTAGTTAAAAATAGAGATCGGAGCTCAGTCAGTCAGACACACACACTGCCTCCCCCCTGCACAGCCACACTGCCCCCCCCCCGCACAGCCACACTGCCCCCCCCGCACAGCCACACTGCCCCCCCCGCACATCCACACTGCCCCCCCCCCCCGGCACAGCCACACTGCCCCCCCCGGCACAGCCACACTGCCCCCCCCGCGCACAGCCACACTGCCCCCCCCCCCCCACACAGCCCCCCGGGGCTAATCCATGCCACTGTAACTGGGCTGTATATCAGTGTTTCTCTCTGTCGAGCTCAGGGCGAGGAGCGGGAGGGGGGGAGAGCAGACACTCAGTGTCGGTGGGGTGGGGGCAGAGCAGATACTCAGTGTCGGTGGGGTGGGGGCAGAGCAGATACTCAGTGTCGGTGGGAGAGCAGATACTCAGTGTCGGTGGGGGAGGGGAGAGCAGATACTCAGTGTCGGTGGGGTGGGGGCAGAGCAGATACTCAGTGTCGGTGGGGGGGGGGGTGGCATTTATATAGCGCCGCTCGCTCCTGCCCCAGAGCCCTGAGAGCCCTGTAACCTCTGTCTTTATTGGCTCAGAACCACGGCAGATACTTCATTTAACCCACTTGAGACTGTTTTTTTAAAGAAATCCTTGTTTATTTATACACTCAGATTCCAAAGTAATTATTTCCAGATATTCCCCGAGTGAGGATCACTTTTTACATCTGCTGTCGCGGTGCACAGACTCTACAGCAGGAAGTTACCACAGCCACTCGCTTTAGCTGACCTCAGCTGACACGTGTCGGTTCTGGAGCCAGTGACACTGAGCGGGGACCGGGGGCCGCTGAGAGGCTTTAATGTACCAGCTGGTTCCTGCGTGTAAATGAGGAGTTGGTGGGGGTCGTGTTGAGGGGGTTAATCCCCTCACATGGGGACCGGCTGCCAGGGAGTGTGGTAAACAGGATGTGGGGGGTAAACTAGATCACTCCTGGATTCTATCCAGAGCAGCTGCTGCTCTCAGTTGCAAAAGCATTTTAGATTCTCGCTGTTCACTCAGAATCAAACCCTCAGGTCCCACCGATCCCAGCTCTACACATGGCCACGCACACACATCTCCTCCCCCACCCTCCCTCCCACATGCCTGTGGTAAAACCTTCTGCCCAACACTTAAAGGCAGGCAAGCGATGGGGCATCCATCAAAGCTAAACATATACAGGAATAAATTCTGATATTCCTACCTCCACAGAAAGAAAATATCAACTAATTTATCCCAAATATCTTTCTACATCCTCACAACGTGATAGTAGGCGCTACATAAATACAACTTGTTATAGATCGCTTGAAGTAGCAGCTTAAAGTCGAGCTCTGCCTCAATGCACACGAGCTGACAACCACCACCACCACAACTTGGATGTATATAGTGCCCTCCACGCCGGACGGCGTCTCAGAGCTTCACTGTAACGGATCCCAGGGGTGGGCCGGGGATGGGGGGGGGAGAAAGGTGACCAAAGGCGCGGTCTCAGCCGAGCACAATTAGTAGGAACTACAACAAAACTTGCATGTAGGTAGCGCCCGTCACACTGGACTGCGTCTTGGGAGCATTGTCACTCATGAGTCAGTAGAATGTGGGTTCGAGCCCCACAGGTGACTTTGCAGCCCCAGACTCCTGGCCATGAGGAGGGAGCGCCGCACTGTCCTGAGGTCCACATGTTAACCAGAGAGCCATTGATTACGAGCAGCTCTGCCACCTGCTGGAGATTCATGGAACTTCAGCCGCTTTCAGAATGGGGGACAGTCCTCTCCTGAATGAAGCAGAAACATGAGAGATAATTCAAAGCAGACACTTCACCAAAAGTTTGAATACTTGGGAGAGACTGACTGAAATGCACACGAGCGTGAGAGGGAAGAGGCAGCCAGAGGGCCCAGGGGAGTAAAATACAGAGAAATCAGCAATTGGGAAGTTAAGAGCAAAGAACCACAGGCGCCAACTCAGATTGCTGAGTTCCCGGCTCCCAAACTGGGAACTGACTCGGTCTGCGGTCAGTCAGTCTGCAGGGATGTGCAGCCAGATTAATTCATCAGAAAGTATTCTTCAGGAATGATGAATGGCCATTTTAGGGGATCAAACTCAGTGATTTATTTCAAACACCCTGTCCACAGCCGACACCGATTCTCCAGCAACTGAACAATAATCATTCACTGCTCTTCAACCCCGACCCAGCAGCACAGACACCAGTCAATGTTTATCTCAGTCCTCGATTCTCCAGACTGGTTTCCAACCAGAAACCCAGCCAGTTATTTCTGAGGGATCGATTGGGGTTCTTAATAAACAGCTTCAGCAAACACTGGCGCAGGATAAGGATGTGCAGGTAGATGTGTTCAGGCCAAAACAAATTGCTGTAAATGTCAGCTTTGGAAGCAGAGTGGGTGGACAGGCTGGGACAGGAAACACACTTCCTGTTTTTCTCTTGTGAAAGAAGTTTGGAAAATGTTAAGAATATAAAATAATTCTTACAAACTATAGCCAGTGTAAAATGTTTTTTTATTTATTGCTCCATTAATTGTTAGCCGACAGAAGTGTTAGTGAGCAAACCTTTTACTACATAACCAATGTCTTGTTATTTTTAAAAACTATTTGTTGTGGCCCCTCCTTTGCTTCACAGCGGGCCCAAAACCCTGAACAATTTAATGTCTGTTACGTCGTCTCCTGAATCCTCCCCAGCTTCAGTATCCCAGTGCTGTTGGCACCAAATCTTCCTCCTTCATTACAAAGACATTTTCAAAATAAAAACAATTGTTTGTATATATAAATTGTTGACAGGGTTGACATATCCCAGTTGCACACAGAGGGTTGTGATGGACAATGTGGAACGCGTGGCAGCAGAAGGCACATAGATTCAGAATCAATCAACAATCCTTGATAGAGAGGCTATAACATTGAAACTTCTCTGCTGAAGACCTTTCTTTTCGACTGGGCCTTTGGTCACCTTTCCCCCCCCCCCCCGGCTTGCTCCCGGGATCCGAAACTGTAAAGCGCCCTGAGACGCCGTCCGGCGTGGAGGGCGCTATATAAATCCAAGTTGTTATTGTTGTTGAAACGTCTCTTCACAAGCAATCCTGCCAACTACACTGACTTGTGTACTTGTCGGCACAGCAAATCGAGATGTTTAAAAGGGAGACAAGATACTTGGGAATTAAGAGACATGGAATAAAAGCAGGCAATAAAGGAATATTAATATATATTCTACAATATAATACTGTTAACATGATCACTGAGCTCAATGGCTCCTCCTGTTTGTATTATTTACTATGAATTTAGTTTATGAGAGTTAAAGACGGATTGGAAGCAGCAGCAGAACTACTACAAGCTGCCACTGGCTTCTCCAAGTGCGTGATCAAGCCGTTAGGTTATTATGTTCACTTACATACTGTGTTTGAAACCTTCCCCTGTGAGCCACATTACATGGTTTAATTTCTTACAGTACAGAATTGCCAGATGAAATTACAAAAGCTGCTGCTGTTATCTGGCTGCAATGTGTTTACTGACGAGATAGTTAGAGCTGTGTAGAGACACCCCCACCTGCTGGGTTTTAATCTGTTTTGTACGCTCAGCCTCGGGGTACCGAACGTGTGTGGACAGTTCACTTTGCTAATTGTTTCAGATTTTTCCCATCAACCAAAAGTAATCAAAAAATAAACTGGCCACTTAATTCTGTACAGAGAGAGAGAGAGAAAGTGGGAGCCAGACTGAGGGAAGAATCATCCATCACCAGGGTGTGTTTTGTGCTAGAAACACTGCCCAGAAATGTGGTATTCAGCTCTGGACACGAACAAGTTTTAAACTAAAACATAACTCCTACGAGTTTTAAAAGGGTCTATAAGACCAACAAACTTTATTGTAAATCAAATGCAGTATTTTAGCAGCATACTAAACACAGCTGTACATTAGATTACAAAGAAACATTGCACTTAATATTTCGAAACATACAAGCATTGCATGCAGTGACGTTTCTCTACACATTGCGCAGTGATGTGTAAAAGTAAACAAGTGTTTAAGTGGAATCTGTAAAAAATAAACCTTAAAAGCCCTAGACATCAAACAAAGGTCTGACTCCCGTGATATGTACAATTCTCTCGATGCTCTGTGGACACGTCAGTGATCGCCACAGGTTACTTGCCGTCAGCAGATCGTCAGCCTGTGAGTTCCACCGGCAGTTCCCGACTACAGAGTAGCTCCCACTGCCGGGCGAGGAGGGCAATCAGCTTCTCTCTACACTCTGCGCTGGGCACGAATAGGCACCACTGCACCTCAGTGCCCGCACTCGACCTCCGCAGCCCCCTGGAGCCCCGGCCCCTCAGCGGATGCTCAAAGTGGTCCAGCGTCACATCGCTCATGAGGTCCAGGTCTCGCACGTCGTCAAACACAAAGGTGACAGCCTGTGGGAAGGGCTGGTACCCGATCAGCACCCTGTCCAGGTGGCGGATTCTCCGAGTGTCACTCAGCCGGTACCGACCCCGGCTCGGGGGCTGCTTGGCACAGCCGGGCAATGGGTAACTAACGTAATCCTCTTCAAACAGCAGCAGGTCACAGCTGGTGAGGATCAGGGTTTGGGGCTGGAGAGGGCTCCCAGCCTCGGGCCCCACACGGAACGCCAGCAAGTACAGCAGGACGTTACAGGTGGGGACGCCCAGCGGCTCCGCCAGCTTCTCAGCCACCGTAAACGTCAGGTCAGACACCTCCTCCTCACTCGGGTACACGAACTTCACACGGCTGGCGTGCACAATCTCATAGTTCTCCATTTGGCCTGTTTACAAACAGATGCATAAAGTTAAACATTACTTAACTCAGCACATTCTATATTCCACCATCTCCTTCCCCCCTCACCAGCTCCTGGGATTTCATTCAGGAGGCGGCGTCTGAAAGAACCCCCCCCCCCCCCCCCGAGGGGTGCAGCAGCGACAGACAGCACACGGGTAAGAGTTGACACCCCGACAGCACACAATGCCAGACACCGGGCAACACGGGTGTCACGTGGCCTTGTCACAGACACAAGCCACCAACACACTCTGTACCTGTGCTCTTCTTCCCAAATTCCGTGTAGAAATCCGGCTCCACAGGCTCCGGCGAAGGCGTTCGCTCCAGTAGAGATAAGACGCCCATTAGCTGCTGCACGAAGGTGTGCGTGGTGTAGCTGTCGCGCGTCAGGCAGGTCACAATGCTCTCAGCGCAGGGCCCTGAGCCAACAGTAAACACACAATCAGTGCAGCTGCCAACTTGCCCTATACACACAGCACTGTGGAGTCCTATAGCTCAGTGGTTAGAGCACTGGCCTGGCAAACTAGACACCTGGGTTCAATTCCAGGCAGGTCAGGGCGAAACCTTGGGCAAGTTTCCTTACTCCACACGTCTAATAATAATCCCTCCCAAAACAAAACAATAATAAATTGGTCATTTTCAAACCCCTTCTGTCTGTGGGACATTGCTGTGTGCAATTGGCTGCCGGGTTTCGCCCACAAATTTACAGTCAATTCACTTTACAGTTATCCCGTGAAGCGCTTTGAGACGTTGAGAAGACGTGAAAAGCGCTATATCAAATGCAAGGATTATTATTATTATATTATTGCACTGCCAACCTGACTTATACACACAGCATGACATCAAAGTCTAACTGTTCTCCTGACATCAAACTCAAACACTAAGTGGCAAATTGAGAAGCGAGGCAAAATCTCTAACTAATAATAGTAATCCTTGCATTTGATATTGTACCTTATCACAATGCTGAGACGCTGCAAAGCGCATCACAGAATATATGTAAAGTGTAGAAACTGTATTTTGTGGGTGAAACGTAACAGCCAATTGCACACAGCAGTGTCCCACAAACAGTCGTGGATTGAGTGACCGCATAATTTTTATTGGCTCTACAGTCGGTCTGTCACTATGTAACACACAAACGGCTGTGAGAGGTTCCTGGCGACACTGGGGTTAGTTTGTGAGTTTCACAAACAGACATGTAAACAGGATCCCGGGGGTGGGAGGTGACCTGGGCGCTGCCCTGTGTGTGTGGGGGGGGGCTGCTAAATAAACACAGGTTGTTGTTGTGGTAACCTGTAACACATTAAAGGGAGGAAGGGACTGACCAGAGATTCGGAAATACTGATCAAACAGGCCAATGTGAACACACTGCAGACTGTTCAACTTCAGAACAAAGCAGGACGACAGCAGCAGGTCACTGGGATTAGGCATCGGCCACAGCTCGCTCCGAACACCTACAAACAACAGCAACAAATTACATTTATATACTGTCTCTCACGTCGGAAGGACGTCCCAAGGTTTGCACCTTAACAGACTGAAACTACATCAAGCTCAGCACATTGGCAAAGAGGTCAGCGCTCTAACAGGAATTTACACAGTGATTTCTCATGTCGAAGGCCTTCACACAATGAAATTAATCAGAAATTAAGTGAATGTTGTACAGAGAGAAACACAGCAGTTGATTACACAAGGAAATAGGATTCAGCGATTCACAACATCAGCGAATGTTGCCGGACTGGGGGTGTGAGGTGCCCACACGGGTGTTGAGTGATAACAACAACAACTTGGATTTATATAGCGCCCTCCACGCCGGACAGCTCTCAGAGTGCTTTACAGTAACGGATACTGGGACCGACCCAGGGGGAGGGGGAGGAAGGTGACCAAAGGCGCGGTCGTAAAGAAAGGTCTTCAGCAGAGACCTGAAAATGGGAAGAGAGTGAGCGAGATGAAGGGAGTGAGGAAGGCAGTTCCAGAGCCTCGGGGCGTAGTGGCTGAAGGCACGGCCGCCGAGGGTGGAGCGGAGGACTCGGGGGACGAGGAGGAGGCCAGACCCGGAGGAACGGAGACAACAGGTTGTGTTTTGTGGGTAACGCTGCCCACACGGGGACACGGTATACACAATGCCCTGACCTGGCTGAGTCCCTCCATCGCCCAGCAGTAGGTATACGGCGCTGGTGGACAGCATCAGACACGCCGGCATCTCCTGCTCTGCCCGCGTGTAAAACACTACCGATGCCCACGTCACATGCCTCAGCTCCTCGTTCTCAACCTGTCAACACAAGTAATCACTGGCTCAGAGACCAGGCTCCAGCCCACAAACTGTCCCCGTTCCCCAAACAGCCTCACCCTGAACAGTCAATGCTTGTCAAACTCCACAGGATCTTCGCCTGACGACACTCCCCACCCCCAACCCACAGTGAGACATTAACCTCCCTCCCCACACAGTCACACACACACACACACACACACACGTTACCTCAGCCACGCTCCGGTGGAAGAATTCCCAAAGGCCTGTCCCTGTGAGGGCAGTGAGGTGTGACAGAGCCGGGGAGACCGGGAGGTGAGAGGGACACTGGTTCTCCTCACTCAGTGTGTGCAGCAGTGACTCAGCTGGGTATCGTAAAGAGAGGCTCATCTGCGATCGACAGGGGTTGGACTGACTGATTACCAAAAGAAGAAACATGTTACTTATGGCCTGGGATTCACACCCAGGCTCAGGAGTGAAGCACGGATTCACATCACAAAAACCACAGCACATACTCGGCATTTGGCCCATCTCGCTTCTCCCCTCACAAGCCACTTGTCTAATCTCAGTCTCCTGCTCGCTCCCCACACCTTATAATGTTGTTGTTGTTCTTCAACCTATTCCAACTTTTGAAAATAATTGACGGATTCTGCTCCAGGAAGCTTTAGGTGGTAAAGCATCCCCCGTTCCCACCAGTCTGGGTCGAGGCACCTTTTCTAATCTCCCTGTAATACTGTCACCCACGGAATTCACAGCGAGACAATCCCTCGTGACCAGAACACAAACCTCACTCTCACACCAAAAAAATCTTTTGTTTTGTTCAACAGTGTACAATTAACTAGACACGCAGTGAGGACAGCTCTTACCGTGCGGTGTCCGGTGTCTGTCCAGCTGACTCCGCGCTGTACAGAGCTGCGTGACTGTGGCCAGGGGACAGTTTGTGGACGAGGATGGTTTTGATGCCCTGGAGCTCGGCTCTCAGTCGTGTGAAGAGCTGGAGAAAGCGAGCCTTGTCCTGCGGCAGCACAAACACCGCACTGACGAGCTGAGATCCGACCAGGAGGTGGGCGACATGATTGTGGCAGAAAGCGTCGCCCTCCCCCTCGCTGGGGTCCAGCAGCACCGCAGCCAGGGGCTGGCGACTCACCACGTCATCACTGACCCCAACACCGTCCAGGTATGGCTTTGCTGTTGTGCAGAAATCCACCTTCACAGCGTGAAGCCACTGGGCAGTCAGGACGAGCAGACAGGGCAGGGAGGTGGGTGTCAGCTGTTCTTCCCTCACAGGGAGCAGCAGTGAACACAGTGACGTGCGGGTGTGAGCAGGAGTGTCCAGGGTCTCTGCTGGTATTGCTTCCCCCCCACCCGTGAGCAGAATGTAAGCTATGAAATGGGTTTGGCTGTCGGCGGGGGGGAGCTGCAGGATGGAGCGGGCGGTGCAGCAATCTGGGGAAGCTGCCTTCACACGCTCGTACAAACTGTTCAGGCTGTTAGAGTCAGCGATCACACACAGATAATCACCGGCCTTCAGCCTGACACTCAGCCACAGCTCGGGATCTGGGCTGCGGAGGGCCAGGATGTGGGAATAGGGGAAGCAAAGCATCAGCTGGAGCTGTGACAGGAGCAACGTTTCTCCCCGGAGATCAGGCTGTGGAGTCCGGAAAACAGCCACCACCTCACTGGTCACAACCACACAGCCCGCAAACAGTCTTGTCTCCTCACTGGAATGAACACACACAGCCCACAGCACCTCCTCCTGTTCCTGCTCAGTTTCTGGACTCTCACAGCCCAGAGCCTGGTGCTCTGCACATCCCAGTGTGTGCTCCCCACTCCCCAGGGCCGGCTCCCTACACCGCAGTGTGTGCTCCCCACTCCCCAGGGCCTGCTCCCCACACAGCAGTGTGTGCTCCCCACTCCCCAGGGCCTGCTCCCTACACGGCAGTGTGTGCTCCCCACTCCCCAGGGCCTGCTCCCCACACAGCAGTGTGTGCTCCCCACTCCCCAGGGCCTGCTCCCCACACAACAGTGTGTGCTCCCCACTCCCCAGGGCCTGCTCCCCACACGGCAGTGTGTGCTCCCCACTCCCCAGGGCCTGCTCCCCACACGGCAGTGTGTGCTCCCCACTCCCCAGGGCCTGCTCCCCACACGGCAGTGTGTGCTCCCCACTCCCCAGGGCCTGCTCCCCACACGGCAGTGTGTGCTCCCCACTCCCCAGGGCCTGCTCCCCACACGGCAGTGTGTGCTCCCCACTCCCCAGGACTTGCTCCCCACATGACAGTGTGTGCTCCCCACCCCCTTGTCCCATTTCAAAGTATCCAGCGTCTGTGTGGCAGGCCTGTCCCTGTGCCTGTGTGTGTCCTCCCGGCTTTGCCAGGCTGTCACTGTCAGCCTTCAGGGCCGCCTGCCCAGCCATCGCTAACAAACACGAGGAGAAGTTGGGGTGGCTGTCGCTGTACATCAGCCAGGAGTGAGGCAGCACTGGGGTTGTCTCAGCATCGAGTGGGCAGCTTCCCGCACGGTCTGCCCCTGCCCCTGGGAAACTCAACCTAGAGGGTAACAAGGTCACGAGGGTTAGTGTAGCTCAGAATGTAGGGACAGATTCCAATCAAACACTCACTCGTTCAGCCTCAACCAACCCTAACAATAACAACATTTATATAGTGTCTCTTATGCTATAGGGTAGAGTTCCAGAGCACTATTCTGTGTGAGGGGATGTATAAAAGGGGATGTATTAGACACACTATAATTATACAGGTACCTGATTTTATTCTAACCTCCAAATTAATTCATTTTATGATTATATTCAATTTATGCATAACCCTCCCCCAACCCCCCCAAGGCTGAGTCTCCCCACAGTGTCAGTGTGTGTCTGTACCTGTTGGCTGTGTGTTTATCGCCCCCCTTGGAGCTCTTGTTCCCACATTCAACCTCTCGAGCTGTGGCCTGAAATAAAATTCATAAAAAGGCAACGTTTAATTTAATTGCTTTAAAGATTAAACACTTAAATGACAAACTGACACTGAAACATTTTTCAACAGTTATAAGTAAAGTAAAAAGATTGTCAACTGTGCCCAGAGAAAGGCAACAAAAGGCATCACCTGGCTCTCTGTGTCACAGCGTTGGTGGATCATTGACATCACAGGAGTCACACAGTCACTTTGATGTGGAAAGCTGACTAGGGCTGGGTTATTATGTATTATTTCTACAAGAAATAAAATTCTGGAATAAATACTGGTATCAGGAATGAAGGCACATTTCTTTAATATTCAGCCCACAGTTAGTTTCCAAACATTAACAATACTCTTGAAGCTGGTTAATGATGGTGTCACTCGCAGAGCTCTGATCAACAGTCGTCTCGTTAGTAGCTCTTTTAGGCTGTGGGCAACTTCAGCCCCAAAACTGCTGTAACCTCACAGAACATTCAAAATTGTTCCAATTATACACACAAGGTTACCATGGCACCCGACACGTCTGTACAGCACAAGCAATCATAAGTGCATGTTTCACACATGTGACGTGGGGATCTGGATACACAACGCACACACGGCAAGGACATAGAGCAAAGGAACGGACTCCGATTGGCTAAAGTGGTTAGTAACAGAACCCCCGGTTTGTGATTGTGTTGGGACGAGGTTATAATGAGCAATAATAATAACCACAGCTAGTCAGCGTTTACACAGGAATCTGGATAACTAGCCTGGGCATTCACACAGTGAAACATTACTATAAGTTGCACTACATTAAACCCTCAGGTGGCTATTTGCCAGATAGGTTCAGATACACTTTACACAGAGACAGACAGTGATGGCCATCCCAGCAGCTGGATACATACATGATTACCTTGGCTGGAGCAGGCAGGCTGGTGCGGGGGAGAGCAGAGGCAGGCAGCATGAGCAGGGGGGCTGGGTTTGAAGCTGGGAGCTGAGTGTCTGGACTCCTCACCGATCTAACGAGAGACAAACCGATTAGGACAACACACAACGCCAAAGCTCAAGCAGTCAGCGGGTCCTGATGTTGATAAGGAGAGGAAGCAAGATGTTGAAGTGATACAGAAACAAGCTTTTCCCCCCTCCCCCAACGCCCCCCACTCCCGCTCCCCCATCCCCCCGCTCCCCCCACACCCTCCCCCATACCCCACAGACTCGTACCCACACCCGGAGCCACAAACAGGAAACTGGACTAGAATCTGACTGTCACCTTTCCGTCCACATTGTTCATTCTATCCTTCGCCTCCTTGGCTTTCTGAATGGCCTTCAGCACCTCCACTGTGTCCAGTTCTTTCTCACTGGTGATGGTGTCGTCCAGACAGACCTGCAGACACAAACACACAGGAAACAAATGGCTCTGATTTCTTCAGATTTTGGGACACAATCACTGAACATGTGACATTTTAGTGACTGAAATATTCAAAGTCAGAACCGCTCAATAGTCACCTAAACACCCTCACATAATATAGTGCCATATAATTTCTCCCTTCAACTAGACGCCTGTGTATCAAATTTCTTCTTCTCTTCCCACATTCACATTACTCTGTATAAAAGGCAAGTCGTTTTCCCTATCTCAGGTTTGAACAGATTTCGTAAGGAACACCAGCAACAAATATTATTCCAAAATCATCAATATCATCAGCTGCAGACATTAGGTTTAAAATAATTATTTTACCAACAATCAACATTCTGCCAAACAAACCATTAGTAGCTGCAGTAAAACAGACTTCATTTATAAAGAGCTGCTCTGTTCTCCCTCTCGCGCCTGCTCAGTGTCTCCTGTCCCCTTACCTCGGAGGCTCGGTCCCCAAACTGTGCCAACACCTTGGTTCTGTAATCGGGGATGATGCTGAGCGGGTTACTGGCCAGAGAGACCCTCTCCAGGCACGGCAAGCTCCCGATCGGCCTGACCTCCTCAATCTGGAAAGGATCAGGTTTGGTAAATACATGCCCTCGTCTCTCACGTATTTAACAAGAAGTGACACGTCCCAGGGTGCTGGACAGTCAGGGATTTGGACCCGAGCTGGTGGTTGGGATCAGGAGGGGTGGAGGGCGGGGAGGGTAGGGGTAGGAGGGTGATCTAAGGTACAGTCGAAGAGGAGGGTCTTAAGACAGGACTTGAAGGAGGTGAGGGAGGGAGTGAGGCAAAGGGACGGTGGGTTGGAGTTCCAAAGGATGGGAGCAGAGAGGCTGAAGGCCCAATCGCAGATGGTTGGATGGGCAGGCCGGGCGACGTGGAGCAGGCCAGAGGGTTTATCGTTCAAAAAACATACAGAACGTGGCCAGTTCCAGGGAGACAAATCCTAACGTTTACATACAGTAGGGCACAGTGCAACTGTCGTGTGAGCACATCTTAGGATTACCTGTGATATCTTGTTATTACTGAGATCCAGGTTAACTAACGAGTATAGCTTGTTAAATCCAGATAAGCTTTCTAATTGGTTTCCTGACAGGTTGAGGGTTTTGACGTTTCCCAGTTTAGTGTGCAGGCTTTGCAGCACAGTCAGCCTGTTATACGACAGGTCCAAGTGAATGAGGTTATACAGATGCTGCAACACAGAAACCCAGGAAAGGACAAGTTACACACAAGAGAGCACATTAACTACAATAAACTCTAGCCACCAGCAGCAGAGAGGAGAGGAAGCAATTACTCCCCAGAGCTGCAAAGTTGAGGTATAAAAGTTAGTCAATAATATTAATAATCCTTGTGTTTGATACAGCAACTTTCACATCAGGAGAAAGTCTCAAAGCGTTTCACAGGATTTTACTGTAAAGTGTAGTGACTGTGTATTTTGTAGGCAACCACGGCAGCCAATTTGCACCCATCAATGTCCCAAAAATAGCCATAAAGTGAATGACCAATTGTATCTGGGGAATGTTGGCCAGGACACCGGGAGAGAAACAACTTCCTTCCCTTTTCAAATAACACCGCGGGATTTTTAACACCCACCTGAACAGGCTCTAGCCTTCAGACAGGGACCTTGGTTTAGCATCTCATCTGAAGGATTTAGGATTAAGATAAATTTAAAATATCCAAGAAATGCAGTTTCCCACAAAAGCTGCTGGTTTATTACTCAGGAGAATAGCCGTAGATTAGTTGTGCTTTGGTAACTACACAGTAACGTTTATCCCCAGACATTCCCACCTGTAAATTCTCCACTGCAGGGATTTCATTGTAACTCAGGTCCAGGAACTCAACCTTTGGGATTAATTTCTGGAAAACAAAGCCCAAACATTCAGTGATGTAACCAATGCTCCAACAACACAGAAAGTTTAACCCAGTGAGGATCGTTAGGGCTGTGTGCACAGTACAGACTCTCGCTGTCACTCACCACAGACTCATCAATGCTGCATATCTGGTTGTGACTGATGTCCAGTGTGGTCAGGGCTCCCCATCGCGGGATAACAGCAGCCACTGGCCGCTCCGAACTCGTGCCCTCCGCCTCCCACTGCTCAAACTCCGAGGCCTCGGGCACCAGCACAGCCTGAAACACAGAAACCATGTACATCAGGCACCAACACATTACCTCACTGCCTGACCTGATGTCAGTGCACTCACAGAATCACTGAGCTGCTCGCAGTCACCTGTCAACACTTGCTGCAGAGTAAGGAACTGGCGGCTAGTCTGTAGGTGTAGTTATAGCAGCTGGAGGCTATTCAGTCCATCGAGTCTGTGCTGCAGCTAGTGCAAGGTCACACCCAGCCCAGCCCCGCTCATCACAAGCCTGCACCCAGGCCCCATCCCAGCCCACACCACTGTGAAAGTTACCTTCATTGAAGACGTTGAGAATGATAAGCTCATTGTGGCCAACGTGTTCTTCAGACTAGGCAGCCCAATGATCCGCTCAGCTTCACAGTTGTTTATCTGTTAAAGCAGAATTTCAGCATCAAACTATATCCAACACTATATACTTATATTTGCCTGTTCACAATAAAAACTTTGGGAGTGATGTTAATCTAGGAAACTGTTATATATGGACCTGCGAATGTTATTCAGTGCGAGTTACAAACGGCTGTTTTAGTTAATCATTTGTTTATTAAAGGGCAGCAACAATCTCTCGCTGTTCAAGATAACAAAATATTTGAGGATAACTTCAGTGGAGACAAGGACAGAGTCCAGTTTGTGTAACACACACAGGAAGATTGAACGAGATTCACCAACACTGGGTCTCTCCTCACTGACCTCAATCTGATGGATGGACTTGAAGATGGACAAGTCAAAGACCAGGTGCTGCTCCTGAATATTGCTGCTTCCCACAGGGCCTCTGGTGCCTGTGATCTGACAAACCAAACCGTTAGTCAACTAAGATATCAGCAGCTCTGTATCCTCCTGCCTGGCCAAGAGAGAGAGAGAGACACACACAGACGGGGTGGGAGGAGGGTGGGGCAGGGATGGGAATAGACTCCAAGCAGATATCAGACCTTTTCACAAAAAAAATCAGATAAAGATTCACTCCCCGCCACCCACCCAACCGTATAAATTATATCAAGATGAATTCCGGGGGTAATTAATCAGGTTTAATACCCCTCCCCTCAGACAGATCATGTGGTCGTTAGCGATTACATGGCCTTGGATTAGGCCAGCGGTGACGTGAACCTCCCTCCCACACAACACTCCGCGTCCTGGGCGGGTCAGTGTGTGTGTGTGTGGGGGGGGGGAGATCACCTTAACTCCCTCCCACCCCAGTTCCCAGGGCTATTGCACAGCTGTTATACCCAGCAATGCCCAACTTGGTGGCTGCTCACTTTCAGGTACTTCAGGCGGCAGGTGAAGTCCAGGATGTGTCCCAGGTCTGTCCTAGCGTCACCGTTGGCACAGGGTGGAGTGGCCAGGCGCAGCTGCTGGCTGATGGCGTAGAGCTGCAGCGGCCGCAGGCAGAACACCTCCCCCCCGAGCAGCAACTGCTCCCCTGTAACACACACACAGTGTCAGCCACTCACTCACATACACACACACATACACACACACACGCCATTCAGCCCGTTCCGACATTTAGACCATGGCTGATCTGTACCTCAACTAATCCTTTCAATTCCAATTTCCCGTTTTCTCCCCGTATCCCTTAATACCCTGACCTACCAAAAATCTATCAACCTCAGTCTTGAAGGTGTGGATGGATCCAGCATCCACAGCCTTTTGTGGGAGAGAATTCCAGATTTCTGCCATCCTTTGAGTGAAAAAATGCTTCCTGATTTTATCCTTAAATGACCTATTTCTAATTTTAAAACTATGCCCCCTACACATACCCTGTCCTATTCCCCCACCTCTTACCCTACCCTATTCCTCCTCACACACCGTGCCCTATCCCACCTCTGCTCATTCCTCACTCCCGCTGTCCCAGTGGCTGAGCCTTCAGACACGTTACGTCCCTCGTCTCTGGAACTCTCTTCACCTCCTCTCTCTCTCTCTTTGCCTTCTCTCATTGATCATGTTTTTGGTCAACGTCATTAATTCTCCCCTCTTCCACCCTGCTTGGGACATCCTCTTGACGTGAAAGACGCTATTTAAATGTAATGTTGTTGTTGCTCAGTGTTCCTTCAGTATCATGTTTGTTTAGACTGTCACACTCTGTGTAACTAAAAGCTGAACAAAACACACAAGGATGCCGCGTTTTGGACAGATTGTGATTGACCAGGTTTTCTTTACCCCAATTACCCCCAACACATGGGCTTCTCTCCTAATCTATCCATAAAACTAAACCTGTAAAATACAATAGACCAAAGTTATTTCGGGTCTGTCCCACGGCTGCAATCTATGTAATGTAATATGCAATACACAAGGTGATATGGAAATGGCATTTAGCAGAATATATTTATACAGAACAAGGACAGCTGTCGAGGGAAAACGTAAACCTCGTACCTTTGTGGAAGAGTTGTTCAGCGAGGGCCGCAGTGATCCCATTGATCTCCTACGGAAACACAGAACACACTTAGCTTCACACCATGCATCTGCGCTGCCATCACACTGAGGCACAGTCACTAATACTGTGTGCACACTGTGGGTGGGTGGGGCACGGCGGGGGGTTGCGGGGGGCACCCAGTATCTCTTTGAAAAGAGCAGCAAATTCATAACAAAACGTTTCCAATAAAGAGGAAATGCATCAACAGGGACACGAGGTGCGGTGAGTGTGATTTCGACTGTGAGTGTGACTGAGTGACTGTCATTTTATGATTCTCGCCTGAACCCATCGTTCAGTGTTAAAGGACAAACACGTGAGCTTTACAGCGAGTCCAGAACATTGATTTCAGGCACTGTGTTGCCAATTACCACAGACAAGCAAAAAAAAAGCTTGTGTATGTCTGTCTATCGATGGCTGCACGTCTCTCTGGGAGAAAATGAACAGAATAAAGTAGACTAAACTACCTTTATTCCACCGCCAACCCCAGACCAACACAAACTTGCTGCAAAAGTGAATTATAAAAACACAAGAGAACAAAACGATCAAAAATAACAGTTAAGTTTATAAAGAGTTTTCAGTTACTTACAACAACGATGAACCAAACACCTAAACATTACAACAGGAATTTTATATAAAGTAACTCACGTAGAGGTGAAAATTGAGGAATGAGGACAAGACCCTGGGGGCAGCGACTGGGAACTTGGCGAGGAGAGTTTGCAGGTAGATCTCCAGCTCTTTCTGACGTTTCTCCACAAAGGGTTTGGAATTTTTGCCAATGATCTTCTTTGGGGGTAGCAGGTTTCTATCGATTCGCTTTCCTGCTGTGAGCTGCACAACACAACAGGACACTGAGTGACCAATGTCAATCCCTCACACTGCAGCCACAGTCAGCATTGCAAACATCTATAGACCACTGTGTAATGGTGCATAATGTCCATCTGCTGTGCACAATTATCTGCCGCGATTCACCCACAAAATATTGTCATTACTTTTCAGTATAACCTGTGAGGCGTGTTGAGACATCTCAAACACGTGATAACGCGCTATATCAAATGCAAGGATTATATGTACACTTCCTCACAAAAGGGCTTCAGATGAACAGGGTATTTTAGCACATTTGATTTCACCCAACAGTACCGAGCAGCTGCTGGTGGATCCTGTGCTCACAAAATTTGCCGATGAGGAACAAGAGAATAGATCACACGGGTTGATTCATTGTTCACCTTCTCATGTAGCTCATGGAAATCGCTGTAGCGATGTTTAACTGTCCAGTGATGGTTCCCCACGCTCACCTCTATAACGTAGACCTAGGAAAGGGAACAGGTGTTCAGTTACCGACAAAGCACTGACTTACCCTCTCCCCAGGAGGCAGTGGCTCACACTGCGATCAGGTCTGAGGCCTTATCCAAACAGCTATTGTCACTGATTAATGACCATTTTGTGTTGCTCACTCCACTGCCCAGTGCAGTCAGAGATCCAGTGTGGCAAGTTCTTCCAAAGTTATGTGGCATTTTTAACTATTTACAAAGTGTTTGGGCACAGTAACATGCAAGTCCCTCGACAGGAAACTGGCCATTGCCAACATTAATACACATAAGTGACCTGGATCAAACCCAGCCTCTGTCCAATCACAGACTGGCAAAGTCCTATAAAATTTATCCTTTCACTGACTCAGACAGAACATTTAATACCAAGTACTGATCCCAGAAGAAATCATTCCTAACCCTCCGAGCAGTCAGTGCAGTAACCATTTGAGAAGGTTATTAGCCAGGACACCTGGAGAATATTTCTTTCCCTTTTCGGAGAGTGTCGTTGGATTGTTACCATCATCCTGAATACAGACAGGGTTTAATAACAACGACTTGCATTTATACAACGCCCTCTCCGCCGGCCCAGAGCACTTAACAATGGTGCAGCCCGATGCCGAGCCAAGGGAAGGGGGAAGGGGACCATAGGTACGGTTGAGGTCTGGAGAGCAGTGATGCAGTGCTTCCCCCCCCACCAGTATTGCACGAGTCAGACTGGACCCTGAGCTCAATGCCAACAAGACTGACACTGACACAAGGCCGACATTGCAAACTGAATGTTTGGTTTTGTCTCACAATTTAGCAGTGTCTGAAAGTTACACTTTGTCAGGATTCCCCCGTGATCCTAAACATGCCGTAGCCTGTGCGACTGTGTGTGAGGGGTGTGGGGAAGCTTTATCTGAGTACAATCCATTGGCACCCAATACCCGACAACTCAAACTGTAACTAATTATTATTCCAATCTCCTTCAGATCAACTTTAACACTAATATCTATTAGAAACAACAGCTGCACAGTAATTGAGTAACTGATCTGCTGTACATCCAGCGCCTGGGGTTAAAGGGATAAACATAAACAGGCAGCGAGTGTAGGTGTGAACGTAGGAGCCCGGAACATTCTGCCTGTTCGGCCATTTTATTAGATCTTGTTGCATCCTTTGGTACCACTTCCTCACTTGTCTACGCGCTCCTCAGCAAAGCGTCGCCCCGACTGACACTGAATCTACAGCCACGTAAAGCAGCCAAACTCTGCACTGTCTGTGAGGAAACGTGAAGCTTTGATGTGAAGCCGTGGTCGGGGGGAAGGGAGGGTCCACAGAGCTTTAACCACGTCTGAAGTCGGCCGAACACTGTCAGCACTGCTCCGCTTAAGGGTTTGAAGGATGATTTCATGACATATATGACACCGGGGAGAGGAAGCCGTGGTGTGGAGGAGGGTGGACGGAGACTGGTGCGGAGTGTACACACAGCGCAGTCGGGCCCAAGCGGAATGTTTGATGCTGACAGTTTATATAACTGTAAATACAATAACAAACTCAGTCAGAGACAGGATACAGAGAGAGCAGCCGCACACCCACACACACACCCACACACACCCACACACACACCCACACACACACCCACACACACCCACACCCACACCCACACACACACACACACCCACACACACCCACACACCACACCCACACACCACACCCACACACACCCCACACACACACCACCACACACACACCCACACACCACACCACACCCCACACACACACACCACACACACCACACACACACACCCACACACACAGCACACACCCACACACACACCCACACACACCCACACACACACCCACACACCCACACACACCCACACACCCCACACACACCACACACACACCACCACACCCACACACACCCACACCACCACACACACACACACACACACACCACACACACACCCACACACACACACACACACAGTCACACACACCCACACACACACACACACACACCCACACACACACCCACACACACAGTCACACACACAGTCACACACACCCACACACACAGCCACACACACACACACCCACCCACACACACCCACACACACCCACACACACACACACACACACCCACACACACACCCACACACACAGTCACACACACAGTCACACACACCCACACACACACCCACACACATCCACCCACACACCCACACACACAGTCACACACACAGCCACAGACAGACGGGGGGTGTGGGGGGGAATGTTTAACCACAGACGGAGTTACCGCCTCACGGAGCCGCGCTTTAATAACAGCCATCAGCCGCTCCGCGTGAGGCCGCGGCCCCCGACCCGACCCGACCCCCCCGGGCCCCGGGGCTGCACCCCCCCCCCCGCGACCCCCCGGGGCTCCCCCCCCCCCGGGGCTCCCCCCCCCCCGGGGCTCCCCCCCCCCGGGGCTCCCCCCCCCTCCCGCCGCTCACCGTGTGACTCTCCACCTGTTCGGAGCCGCTGATCGTCACCAGTTTCCGCTCCGCCGCCGCCATATCCCACTCCGGCCCCGCGTCACCGCCATCCCGTGCACGTCCCCGAGCACCCGGGCACGCGCACATCCCCCCGGGCACCCGCACGTCCCCCCCCGGGCACCCGCACGTCCCCCCCCGGGCACCCGCACGTCCCCCCCGGGCACCCGCACGTCCCCCCCGGGCACCCGCACGCAGATTCCCTGCGTCGCTGAACCAGACATTACCCAACACCCCGCGCCGCCAGCAGAGGGCGCTGTGCGTTGCTGTGGAGAAGCGGTGACTTGATCAGATGTTATTACACCCGCGGGTGGCGCTCGCGGGTCGCAGTGTTACTACCGGGGCTCAGGGGTCAGGTGGTAGGGGGTCAGGGGTCAGGTGGCAGGGGGTCAGGGGTCAGGTGGCAGGGGGTCAGGTGGCAGGGGGTCAGGGGTCAGGGGCTCGGGGGGCCGGGGCTCGGGTGGCTCAGGGGTCAAGTGGCCGGGGCTCGGGGGTTCGGGTGGCCAAGGGTCGGGTGGCCGGGGGTCGGGGGTCAGGGGTCGGGTGGCCGAGGGTTGGGTGGCCGGGGGTCGGGGGTCGGGTGGCCGGGGGTCAGGTGGCCGGGGCTCGGGTGGCTGGGGGTCGGGGGGGTCGGGGGTCGGGTGGCTGGGGGTCGGGGGTCGGGGGAGGCGGGTGGCGGGGGGGCCGGGGCTCGGGGGGTCGGGGCTCTCACTGTTAATGTAAATCATTGTCAGCAATAATAAACACATTTTGGCCGTCCACAAATCTCAATCTATAAATGACAAAAAATAATTTTTATTCGGATAAACTTTAAGGTAAAGTGGTCCGAGAGCTCACCCTCCCTGAGAGGCGCTGTACAAAACCTGTTGTTGTAGTTGCAAGTACAAAAGGAACCAGTTTACATTTTACTGTCTGTCAGTTATTCATAGAACCATAGAAATTTACAGCACAGAAGAAGGCCATTTGTCCCACCGGGAGAGCAGGTCCTGCACGAGCTTCTTTCAGTCCCGTTTACCTGTCCTTTCCCCACAACTGTGCAGCTGACTCTTTTTCAGGTATTTCTCTAGTTCCCTCGTGACGTTAACAGGCGATGTGTACACATAAATCCACAGTACAAGCCATGTTATACTGAAACACGCACCGCATGGGGGAGCTCAGCTCATTTGACCAGGTTCTGGGCTAGAAATCCTGTTGAGTCCACTCCAAATTGTGCCCTCCAGAGGTCAATCACATGAGCTCTGCCTAAACATATCTTCCTATTTGTATTTCTGTGTATGGGCTGTGTGTGTCTAATGTAGTGACTGTTTATTTGTAGATAAACACACTTCATCCGCTTTCTGTGCGAGTGAGAGATTCTCGGATCTCAATTGGAGTTGGGTCAGGATTTCACTTTGTTTCTAGCTGTGGGGTTTGGGTCGGGGAACCCTATTAACTGGGAACTATTATCTGTCCTATTGCCATCACTGTCCTTTTGCCAGGGAGGCTCCTATTGCCAGTCACTTTTCTCCACTGTTCAGAAGCTGTTTTATTCGCTTTATTTTCAGTGTTTGATAAAACTGAGATGTCACTGATCCCCGATTAGCTACCAGTGAGGTTCAGCTGGAGACTGGGGACCCACAGGGACATGTGTTACAGCGGCCAAGGCCGGATTCCTGCGGAATTTTAGCCACATAAACCCTCCTTTCCCCCCCACCCCCTCTGCCCCTGGGCTGTTCCATTCTTATTTGACACATTATCTGTCACTCACCAGCCTGAGGTTAACATGCTGAGTACGAGTTGGTATAAAAGGGACCTGTGAGTGAGGGGAGCATCATCATCTCTCCAGCCTCTGTCTCCGCACAGCTCCAGCCATGGATGACATTTACAAGGCAGCGGTGAGTAGACTCGCTCTCTGATGCAGTAATGATACTGAGATGTTTCCCACTTCATGTTTGTCACATCTCTGGAACATGGCAATGAAACAAAGAAGTTTTACCAAATTTCTGGAGAGTTTGAGGGACTGAGTGTTTGCAGAGTGAGAGTGAGCTCCTCCGCCTGAGCTGTGCCCAGGATCAGGAGCAGAGCATTGTGTAATGAAGGGATATCACCACAGTTTGCTATCAGATCACTGAAATGTGTGCATGGGTACGGGGTGGGGGTGGGGAGTGATTTTAAGACACATGTTTGAGATTCATTTTTTCAGCTCAATGTTTCTCTCCTTCCCAGAGAGGGTTTGATTAATTTTAGTTTTCTCTTTCTGAGCTGGAGAGGGCGGGGGACGAGAGGTGGGACACAAATATATCCAAGGCACCATCAGTTTCTCCCCAAGTGACAGTGACAGGGTGGGGGGGGTAGGCAGGAGCCTGGCTGATTCCCCTCCTGACTAACCCGGGGGTGAGTGCGGGAAAGGCAGGAGCCCTCACTAACCCCAGGGCCAGTGTTAGCCTCAGTTCCAACTGGGCTGAGATCAGGAACTCAGCACAGAGTGTGACTCAGAGCCTTGCCCCATGCCCTGTGTATGGTGCTGCCCAGACCTGTCCAGGCGGCCCTGGGGAGTCTGTGTCATATCAGCTGATCTGAAAATATCTTTGCAGAAGATCAGAGTGAATCCGTCATCACCTTGTGGTGAGATACAGCGAGAATCAGACCAAGTCTCGGGGTTAGGTTTGTACCCGTGCAGCTGTCATATTGTCTGATCCTATCACCGAGTAGATTCTCAGCCGAGGCCAAAATCAGGAATGTTACTTGGGGTAAAAAACGTCTGGTCTTTTTACAGCGTTATGAACCACAGGTCTCTTCCAAAGCAGTTCCTTCCCACAGCCTCCGCGTGTGTGTGTGTGCGTGTGTGTGCGTGGGGAGGGTTGGTGCAGTGCTCTGTGGACATATCCCAGTGTCAGTCAGTGGCCAACAACCTGACCTCTGTGTCACTGTTTGTTTTAGCTGCAATCCCAGTTGTCCTCTCATCACTGTTAAATATAACAAGGAATCAGATTCCAAGAATACACACATGCAGCATCCCACCCCACAAGACCAGCCCCGAGACCACCCCACACCCCACCCCCCAACCTCTCCCCCACAGGTCCCATCACACACACGGCTTGAAACCAGCCCCAATTGCTCTCAGCAGTGGCCCACAGTCATGGATTCACTTTGCCACGACACTGGTGTGAGAAGGCGATGCTGTGTTGTTGCTGTAGGTTATTGTGCTATTGTCTACCGAGACTCAGTGGCTTGTTTTGTGCTGCAGGTCGAGCAGTTGACGGAGGAACAGAAGAACGGTGAGACACACTCACTTCTCTCCCGACTCCACAATTCATAGCTTTTAAAACCGTTTTACCCTAAAGTGCTGAAACGTTGCTGTTTCTCCCAGAATTCAGAGCGGCCTTTGACATCTTTGTGCAGGACGCGGAGGACGGCTGCATCAGCACCAAGGAGCTGGGCAAAGTCATGCGGATGCTCGGCCAGAACCCAACCCCTGAGGAGCTGCAGGAGATAATGACGAGGTGGACGAGGATGGTACGAGATCCGCGGTCTCAGCAACTGCCCCGCCCCCTCCCCTGACAGTCCCTGCCCCCACCACCACTCCCCATCAGACACAACCTGCATTTATATAGAGCCCTTCACACGGGTTGGGGTCCTGGAGAGCTTTGCCATCCCCTCAGGCACTTCGCCCAGTGACTGAGGAGTACAGCGTATTGTATGTGAATCTGTTTCCCTTTCCCTCCCTGCACACACACAGCAAACACCAATACACAGCCATCACCCCACACCTCCTGACCAGCCGCGGTTATGTAATGAACAGAATGTCTCTCTCTGTCCAGGTAGTGGCACCGTAGACTTTGATGAGTTTTTGGTGATGATGGTCAGGTGTATGAAAGACGACAGCAAAGGGAAGTCTGAGGAGGAACTGGCAGATTTGTTCCGAATGTTTGACAAGTATGTGACGGGAGGGGGGTGGTGGGGGGAAGGAGGTCACTTACACTCCAGCTCAAACTGGATATTGGGGTGTTTTCATTTGGAGGTCGCTTATATATGGGGGGGGGTGTTGTATTTTGGGGGAGGGTGTATGTTGGAGGAAGGGGTTACCTACATTCGATGCTGATCATGTCACAGTTAGCACAGTGACCCTCAGTGACTCTGTCCTGACTGTGAACAGGAACGCTGATGGTTATATTGACCTGGACGAACTGCGGGTGATGCTTGAGGCCACGGATGAGCCCATCACAGAGGACGACATCGAGGAGCTGATGCGAGATGGAGACAAAAATAATGACGGCAAAATCGACTATGATGGTGAGTAACCGTCAACATTGCTGAACGGCAGATAATTAACCTTAGAATTCTTGTCTGGGTTAGAGCTGTTCCTGGTTCCAGAAACTGTGCTGGTTTCTTCCAGTTGAACCAATTCACTGGTTGACGCTCAAGGGCCGTCAAAGCAGGTTTGGGAACGAGTGTGAAGTGAGTCAAATCCCAGCCACGGTTTGGGATCCAATTAAACATTAAAAGTTACTGGCCGTCAGCTTCACCCAACTGATACTGTGAAGTGCAGAAGAAAGTGCACAATATCCATATCAACCTCTGGCTCTAATACATTAAGAAATACAGTATAATCTCTTGTGCAGACACAGAAATTCTCTGCTGTTTATGTCAGCTGAGCTATGCCAATGTTTCTAATTCACTTTTTGATTCACTAAAATGTTACAGAGTTCCTGGAATTTATGAAAGGCGTTGAGTAAAATCTCAGTCACCGAACTTGGACTGTCTCGTCTCCAGGAAGATTCTCCCGCTACACACCCGCAGCTGCCCGCTGACACCAGGCAGAGAATTAGCAACTATTTTTGATTCATTTGCCTCCCCTGAACTAGTTACTGTAAATAATTCCATATTGTGATCACTTTCTGGGGGTAATAAACCCTCCCAAAAAAAGATTATGACCACTCAATCCACGACTGTTTGTGGGACGCTGCTGTGCGCAATTGGCTGCTAGTTTCGCCCACAAAATATAGTCAATTCACTTTACAGTATATTGTGTGAAGCGTTTTGAGACGTCTCGACAATGCGATAATCAAATGCAAGGATTATTATTAATGTACACAAACAGTTTTGAAAGTAAGAAAATGAGTTAACTGTAATGGGCAGTATGAATTTTCCAATGGATGGACTTCACGTGCATTAAACGCAAATAAACAACAAGTGTATAATAAGTGTACAACAATAACAAACAAGCGTTTGTGCCTTTTCTGAATTGTGTTTGTTTAGAAAGGACAAGTCACTAAATACAGAGAGTCCTCCAATACCTTCAGCCCATTTACCCTCCAGAATACATATCCTCTGGTCTCCTGCTACAGCACTGAGCTGTGGCCACGACCTCCTGTAACCTGCTAATTCCTCCTGTGTAAAGAAACACTTTCTGCTATCTATTCTACCCGTGCCCTTCACTCCCTGAACCTGCTGCTCAGCATCACTGGCCTCTATTCCGCAACTTTCTACACCCACTTTTGCTGTCACGGTCTGGACACTGCAGAATCCTTGAACTCACAGGGGTGACGTCAACACGGGGAGAGGCCAGAGGCCATCACCACAGCGTCGGGGGAGGAGGATAAGAGACTTGTGAAATCTCCAGCTCACACCCTGAAGTCCAGGTTGCCCTGAACATGACATTAGAGAAGAAAACAAAACTTTTCCCCAGAAATTCTAAAAGCTAGTTTAAGTTGAATATTAAAATTGAGGCTCAGTGCATGTGGTCCAAAGTGTTCTATTGTCCAGCGCCTTGGGACGTCCTCCCGACGTGAAAAGCGATATACAAATGTAATCTTGTTGTATTTATAGAACGTTCTGGAAAGCACAGTTTTATAGTTGATCATGGGGGTGAGAGGGGGAGAAGGATCCAGTTATCCTGTGTGAGGCTAAAGCCAGGGCTGCTTTAGCACAGACAGAATTCCACAAAGGAATTTTAATGGACTGGAAGCAACAGAATGTCATTGAATGTCAGTGACTGAGCTCAGTGCCCGGCTGCCGTCCACATTACAGAGAGACCAGAGCTGACCTGACAACTCAACACCAGACCAACTGCAGACCCACACACACACACATCAATGGAGATACAGCTTTAAGACAATAACAGATCCCATCATCTACTCCATCTCCCTTTCATCCAATCATTTGTTCACTTGCCTTTTGCATGACTTTTATTGAAGTCCTGTAGTGGTTAGAGCACTCGCGAGAGGACCTGGGTTTGATTCCCGGACACGGTGAAACTGAAGCCCCTTTTAAACCGTTTATATGTGTGTGTGTGTGTAAAATACGTGTGAAAGGAGCTGCAAGGGCCCATGCCTGTGGCTGAGCTCCCCACTGCGCCCAGGAGAATCCACCCACTGACAGCTTCAACAATGAGAGATATGAGAATTCCCGAGTCCAAGGGCTTTGGCTCATGGGGAATTTCCGTCAGGATCTCAAACATACAGCTGTCACCTCAGCCATTTGGGTCCGGGATTCAGAACAGCCACCTTCACATTTAGTAAAAGAACAGGAATAACAACATCCAAATTAAGATTTTTCCAAAATTCTGCACATTTTGGGATAATTTTGCACCAATAACCTTCAGGCTGAGACAAAGAGATATTTATGGCCCTATAACCCAGACTCCACCTCAGTCACTAAATCATGTTTTTTTTGAAGGGTGTTTGGGTATTCACGCATAAGTCTCTACATTCACACCGTTACCGGAGTATTGTGGCCTGGGCTCAGTGTGGGATTGACAGGCACTGCGGTAGCTGGCTCCCCTGCGGAGGCTCGGGGGTTCTGCTCAGGTTTCCTCTACACTACACAGCTGAAGGAACAGATAACAAATCAGTCAGACAATGAGACCACAGCGGTTACATTTATACCTCCTGTTGTACATCAGTGCCGGCTTCACAACGCTACCCAAGTGCAAACAGTGGCACCAAGTGTTGGGTCGAGTAGCTGTTTCCGTGCTCTAAATTCCTTGTCTGTTTCCTGCACACAGCACTTTGCGACGGGACTCGTATTTAAAGAGAAACAATGTAAAATGTGCAGGGAAAGAGATTAGTGAGCTCCAGTGGGGGAGAGAGCCCCAGCACAGACACGATGGGGAGAGAGAGAGAGAGAGCAGGGAATGGGGTTAGAGTAGAGAGCTCCAGTGGGGGAGCGAGCCCCAGCACAGACACGATGGGGAGAGAGAGAGAGAGAGAGAGCAGGGAATGGGGTTAGAGTAGAGAGCTCCAGTGGGGGAGCGAGCCCCAGCACAGACACGATGGGGAGAGAGAGAGAGAGAGCAGGGAATGGGGTTAGAGTAGAGAGCTCCAGTGGGGGAGTGAGCCCCAGCACAGACACGATGGGGAGAGAGAGAGAGAGAGCAGGGAATGGGGTTAGAGTAGAGAGCTCCAGTGGGGGAGTGAGCCCCAGCACAGACACGATGGGGAGAGAGAGAGAGCAGGGAATGGGGTTAGAGTAGAGAGCTCCAATGTAATTCCCATCTTTCAAATGTTACTTTCAGGTTCTATAATAATAATAATAATACTGGCATTTGATATAGCGCTTTTTAGACGTCTCAAAGCACTTCACAGAATATAATGTAAAGTGAATTGACTGTTCTTTCAAAAGAGTCAACAATGGACTGACCACAATAGGGAAGAAACGGACTGAAGTGTAGAATTTGTGGCCTTCTCTGGTCCTGTGTAACATAAGAATTTAGTAACACTAAGCATTGAGAAACATCATAAAGTTCAATAGCAGAGTTCAAGGGTAAAGGAGCCAACTCCTTCGCAAAGCTCATTTATCCCAATACATAGCTGAGAACATTCACGTCATTACTCCTAAATCATAGGGTATAAATACCGGTGAGCCAGTAGGTCTGGCCCCCAACTGCTGTCTTCTTTCCCCACACAAAGTCGCCTGAAGAGGTTACATTTAACACAGCTTTCACCAGCATTGTGCCACGGCAGCTATTTGTGTTCCCATTACCTTCTATGGGAAGCTATGTTATCCCCAAGCACAGGGAAGGTCTCAGATAACAAGGGAGTGCTGTAACTCAGAGGGGCTGCTCGTCTGTCTGAGGAATAAAAGAGATTAATATACTAGCAAACCATCGCCATTCTCCTCCCTTAGAGGATGGAAACTCCACGATAAACTGGTCACTTGTGACACCCAGGCGATAACCCATCCTCAGATACATCTCAATCCTACTACAAAGTCCTGACTTCATCTACAACTTGCATTTATATATTGCCCTTCACCCGAATAGTGTCTCGGAGCGCTAGTTTCTTACCCTGCGCCAGCGATCTAAAATAAAAGTTATTGTTCACCACAACACTGCAGTGGGTTTGGTCTGTAAACTGTTTGGATGACAAGCAAAACACATTATCGGCTTTGCTCTCAGTCTGATATTCAAACCCCTCAATTAAGACTGCTTCATCCTCACTAACCACCCATCATCTGCAATTACTGTAATTAACAGCAGCCTGTTCCTGGGGGTTTGATAACAGTTTATCAACATGGAATATGATGTTTCACACCCAGTCCAGGTGTAGGTGAGATCAAAACATCGATCTGATGAGCAGTGTAAAGGTGGGGCGATGGGGATGTGGGTGTGTGTCAGTCTATAGGCAGCATTTCAACACTCGCAGCATCACACACTGAAATATTTTCCATGGCAAATTAATCTTGAATGTGTCACACACATCGTGCAAATCTCAACAATTGCGTAAATCTGTAAGAATAACAGTAATGTAATGGTATTGAGATGGTATTAACCTGACACTGAGCAGCTGCTGGTCAGAGGCAGAGCTGGGAGGAGAGGGCCACAGCTCACATACTGGAAACCGGCCAATGTCAATTGGCGTTGTTGGCAGTGACCTGATACTGAGTGACCAGGGTGTACAGATCCTGTCTGAAATGTGATAATAAGGAGATGGCATTACCCTAATTCTGGCGAGTTCCCCCCACCCCGTTCTTCAATATGCAGTTCCCCTCACGCTGATTAAAGCATTGCAGGCAAATCATTACAGACATAGAACTACTGATCCCGAGCTCCCGTGACCCACGGGCAGAGCTGCTCTGCACAGAAAGACAAGCACCTTGTGCTATGAAAGCACGAGGTTCAGCATCACACCACGAATACAATGAGGATTTGGGAACCCGAAGTGATCACCGCCTGATGGCAGCAAGCCCTCAGCTCAGCTCAGGGCAGCAGGAGGGGCTGTGAGACCACAGAGACACAGCCCAGCCCCTGAGTACACTTCTCGCTGTGGCTTTGCCGAGCGCAACAATCAATTTAAATTTCTTAACAAAAGGATTGAGAGGCTTGTGATACAGGAGAAGCAGCATCGACTGTGCTTCAGTGACACTCCAGAGCAGCCCACACACCAAGCAGTGCACCACACACTTCTCGTGTAGTCTTTAGTGATTCTGGCAGGAATAAAGGTATAGATCAGCCATGATCTAATAGAATGGCGGAGCAGCCTCAAGGGGCTGAATGGTCTCCTCCTGTTCCTATATTCCTCATATAGAGACGCTTTGTTTACTGCAGGGAGAAACACGAGGCGAGAAATTCTTAAAACAAAATCACTTCTCGTCACCTGAGGCTTTCCTCACTGAAAATAAAATAATAATAAATAAAACGCTGAAAAAAAGTGTGAATGTGAAACATACAATGATCTGTGCAACAACTCTCATCACATTATATTTATTGTAAACAAAATAAATGATACAAATGGTTGTGAAAATACTGACATTGTGTCAGCACAGAATTCATCCATTATTACCAGGGAAACAGCAGTGGCATCACATTCATCTGATGTGTCGGCCGATCCTGAGTCTGGGGAACACAGCGCAGCGTCGCCTGCTGCCGGGGAAACCCGAGTCTCCTCTAAGGTCTGCCTGCCTCCACGTCCTGCTCCTCATGTGGACAAAGATCTTCCAAAGCCAGCTCTGAAATCACACCAGTAAACGTAAGACACGGCGGCAGGCGGGACAGACAGCCTGCGTCAAGAACTATTAGTGTTTCTGTCTGCCCGACCCCAAGCCCAGCACCACCCAGGCTGTTCCTGCAGGATTCCTACCACCTTCCTCATTGCATCTCCCTGTATCACAAAGCCATGTAGCAGCAAGCTGCACCGGCACAAACACAGATCAATGGACCCCATCAAACCTGTGCTGGTGTATTTCTGCTGACAGTTCTCTCTCTAAACCCTTTAATACAATAACAATTTGTGTTCATACAGCGTCCTTCACGTGGGGAAGCATCTCAGAGCTTTTAATATTCCAGCTGAACGGGGTTCACTGACGGAGATGGAAGTATTTCACATTCAGTCCATGTTATTTTACTCTTTGCTTCCCCGTATCTTACTTGTGAAATTATTTCATTGTGGATAAACACACGCGGAGAAGTTCCCTTATCCCGGAAAATGAAACGGTCTCTGGCAGCTCTTACCTTCACTCTCCTCCAGGTCTGGGATCTGCTGTAGAATGTGCCTGATGCCGTGCAGGGCCTGGCTGTGCTGGTGCAGGACCTGGACACAGTGTTCTGTGAAGTGTTTGTCCCTCTGAGACAAGCGATGGAGCAGTAACAGGGTCTCACGTATGAATGTCACCCCCTGCTGCTCTGTCACCACACAGCAGCCTCTCCTCGGTTCCCGCTGGGTCAACCACCGGCGATGCATCATCACAATCAGAGCCTTCAGCACCTGCCACACACACACTGGACAGTGAGTGAGACACAGCACACAAGAGAGAAGGGGTGGGGGTGAGAGTTGGCCTGTGTGACTGGGGGAGAGAGTTGGCGTGTGTGGCTGGGGGTGAGAGTTGGCCTGTGTGACTGGGGGAGAGAGTTGGCCTGTGTGGCTGGGGGTGAGAGTTGGCCTGTGTGACTGGGGGAGAGAGTTGGCCTGTGTGGCTGGGGGCGAGAGCTTACCTCAGTGCTGCACTGACAGTCAGCCTCTAGCAGCACAGCCACGGCTCCTGAGTGGGAGAGGCAGATGGAGGTGAGGAAACGAACCACCTACGGTGAGCACAATCACACGCGTCCCAGTTAGAATCCAACCAGAAGGTCCAGACTAATAATAACTACACAGCTCCTGCAACCTGATACTGCAATTTAGTGTCAGTAAATCCTTGCGTGAAGACACTCAATTAGAGCAAATGCAATAACTCAAATATCAGAACAACTTGATCTGCGTTGGGGCTAAACTGGCCCCTAATCCACAGAAATAGAAAGCTGGCGTGAAGCCCATGTTACCGTCCAACATTTATTCACTTTAGCCCATGTCACAGTCCGAGGCAGGAATCACAGACCTAAATTATTGTTGCTAACTGCACTAGGAGGTCACCAGTGAAGCTGCCAGTTTACAATGGAGAAAAACACAGTTAGTGTCAGTGTTAGCACAAGGGATGGTGTTTTACCTCCTGTTCCAGCTGGAGCCACAGCCTGTCTGTGGCCGAGGTGTCAGGTCTGGTAGAAACATACGTGTAGAGGTGAAGGAAGAGACACAAATCTGCAGCGAGAGCACAGGATCGTTATTGTAAAACAGCAGTACCTCAAGGCACTGCAACAACACACTTGTAAAGCGCTTTTCACATCGGGAGGATGTCCCAAGGCGCTTGACAGTCAGTGTTTCATACCCGAGCTCGGGGTCGGGATTGGGGAGGGTGGAGGGCAAGGGGGGGGGGGGAAGAAGGGTGATCAAAGGCACAGTCGAAGAGGAGGGTCTTGAAGGAGGCAAGTGAGGGGGCGAGGTGGAGGTACTGCGGGATGGAGTTTCAGAGGATGGGGGCAGAGTGGCAGAAAGCCCGCTGGCCAATGGTGGGGCGGGCGAGGCGGGGGCTGTGACGCAGACCAGAGCCCGCTGAGCGGAGGGAGCGAGCAGGATGGTAGGGGGTCCAGGTAAGGGTTGTGAGGCCATGGAGGGCTTTGAAGGTGAGGACCAGGATCTTGAACTGTGTCCTCTGCACGCTGAGAAGCCAGTGGAGTCGGGCGAGGACAGAGCCCTGGGGGATGCAACACATGATGGTGCGGGGGTTGGAGGAGAAACCATTAGTGACAACACCTCAATGTACAGCAACACCAGCACTTTACACAGAGTCAGGTGTGAAACTAGAGTTTATACCACAGTAAACATGATCAGCTTTAGGTCAAATGTGCTGAGGGAAACGTCAATAAACACCTTGGAAAAACAACTTCTGAAAAAGTTTTAATACCTTTCTATTTTCCATCCTCAGAATTGTAATAGTCAAACACAGAGACCAGGACCTTGGGTTATCTCCAGGGCCCTGGTGCACACAAAGCCCTCCCTATCGGGGCCGCGAAACTTTGCCCCGACGGCAGACTGACAACGATCTCCTCACCTGACTGTGAGCAGAGCTGAGAGAGCAGCTCCTGCCGGTACACAACACTGGCCAGCAGCTGGACAGCCAGGTGGACGGTGGAGCAGGGAGCATCCGCGGAGAGACAGCGCCGTAGTGCAGAGCCACGCAGCAACACCTGAAACCTGCAGCAAACCCAGAGCGTTAGGGTCACAGCAGGATCCGCGCATTAACACCTGACCTCAGCGGGTTAAGCTCAGTTTGGCAGATGATGCTCTTACTGAATGCTCAGCGCCTTGGGATGTCCTCCTACGTGAAAGACGCTTTACAAATGTAATTTTGTTGTTGTTGCTGCAGAGTGCAGTCAGGGCTGAGGACAGCTCCCACCTACCTGCTACCGTTAGTATCACTGTCTCACTAACGCTCTACACACAGAGTTTACACATGCTGACAGATACCCCCTGCTCTAGTGGTCACAGCTCGTTAGTTGGGAGCGCTCTGGCCTGTGGGGAGGGGTCACACGGTGCTGGGTTTGAGCCCCATGTCAGCAGATTTCAGTCTGGGCTGTGCATGCCTTTACCTGCTCAGGAGTTCAGCTGTGGCGTTTTTGGCCAGTTTTCCTAAGACTCTCAAGCTTTGGTTTATGAGAGTTTCTCTTCGATAAGAAGCACTTACAACCAGCGAGTCTGCGAGCTGCAACAACTTGCTGAACAAGCAGCGCTGTGTGTGGACCGAGAGCGGGGTCTCTGTGGCTCCAGCTGGGCTCACTGCAGCACCGCTCTCTCTCACGTGTCCTGAGTCCCCGCTGTGGGTGGGACCCCCGCTAGAGTCGTCTGACAGGATGCGAGTAACCGCTGCGTAGCTGTGAGACACCAGGAGGTGGAGTACGCCAAGCGCAGCGAGCGCTAACTCCTCCGCGCTGACCAAGCCGTCATCCACGTTTGCTGAGGATTCCCAAGAGCCGGAGGGGCCCAGCTTCCTGCTCCCTGACGGACTCCGTCCCGCTCGCTCTCTCTCTCTCGTCTGCAAGGCTTGGCAGTACTCGCCCATAAAGTAATCCACCAGCGGCAACAGCTGTTCAGCGGCAGGTAACCAGCTTCGGGCTCCCAGCCCCATACAACGCTCGGGACCACTCTCGCTTGGCTCCTGGGTCTCCTGGGCCAGGGTCAGCCTGCTAATTCCACACACAGCCAGGCGCTGGGCTTCCTGCAGCCGAGGGCAACTCCCTGCCATCCCAGCCTCCAAAAGTCTTCCAACGGATGAGGATCCCCTGCAAAGACAAATAACAGTTCGGCATTTTTTATTCCTGACACATCTCTGCGCACCCCTTCTGCACACCAACTGCCAGTCCTGCCCCCCCACCCACCCCCCCATCCCCACGAAACCCAAAGCTCTCCCACTTCCCCTGCTCTTAGTCTGATCACCATCGTCTCAGTCATATCGACAGCCACACACACACACACAGGCTGATACTCACACTGAAACGTGTCTGCGCACAGAGGAGTTGACAGCTTGGGGGCTGTTGCTCAGAAGGTGGCTGAGGCCCAGGGTGGCGGGGGCTACAGGCGGCCCAAGCAGGAGGTTTGCCAGGACAGCACCTGGACAAGCACAAACCCCATAATAAACAGATCATTCCCACCACACACGTTGCCAAAGCTCTTTATAGCACCTGTAGAGTTAAAATGTCTCAAGTGCTTAACTGTAAAAACTATGCAGTAAGTTATTTGCACACAGCAAAAACCCACCACAGCCATAAAACACAGAGCTAATTTATTAAAGGATCATTGGTCAGGATGCTGAGAATAGCTCCCTCTTCTCGTCTCCAATAATCACCTAAACACGTGAATGAAACTTGGTTTACAGCTTTAACCAAAGGACGGCAATGTGATAATGTATTGCTCCACACACCCCCACACATCCCCCAGAACAGAGAGTTGGCCTAGCTGTGGCCTTATGCTCCACATGTGAGAGCTTAAGAAACATAACACAACAGCAAGTGAGGAGAGCTCTGTCCATTTCCGATTTGTAACATTTACCTTCAGACTTTCTCCTGCGCGAGACGGCTCTGCCAATGGAATACAGAGAAGGAGGTTTATGCAGGTCCTTCTTGGCTAAGCCAGTCTCTTTCACATCTCTCGTGCCTATAAACATAAGAGGCCTGCCTGTCAGCCATTAGTCTTCAGAAAAGTCTTACTGAAATTTCACGAAATCAATGTAATAATAAAGAGTACATGAATATATGTGCTGGGGGGGGACGGGGGACTTATAATTGTAAACATTAATGCACTAAGCACTACCCTTTACACAAGGAAAAAAGCAATGACACTGTGCCACAGTGAGTGGGGCATTCACATAGACAAGTCAGGCATTCACGGTGGGAAACACCAGCCCAGATCAACATGTACACACACTGTGAGTAGGGAGCATACACACAGCTCACACACACGGTCTCAGGGGAGCCATCGTGTACATGGGTCTACCGTTTGGAGAAGGGAAAAGAAATTAAACATTGCAGCGATAATTAGCAATCAAGAAAAACATATGATGATTCATGACAAAAGTTATAATAGCCCTTGGATTTGATATCACATCTTTGGGACATCTCAAAGCACTTCACATGATATACTGTAAAAGTTGTTTGACTAATTTTGTGGGCGAAACGCAGCACAAAGTTATAATTAAAAACAGGATTTATAGAGGGCGGATAGGTGAGTAATTAAAGGTTATAATAAACTGTCTGAACAAACAGTCGGCAACGCAGAGCAATGAGGACCAGAATGTCACATAATTAGATACAAACAGGTTTCAGCAAATCCACAATATTACTATGGGCTGAGCTGTTGCTATGTTAGTAACAGGCACACAATCACCTGCTCGGTTGGATGTTGGAGCAGACACCTCAACAGCAAAGTTCTCTCTGTTCGTAAAGGAAACGCAAGCAGTCTGAGGGAAGGCGGAAGGTTCCGGCTTCAAAGACCCAGAGGGAGTTTGCCTGGGGCTGAAGAGAGATCAGTGATGATGCAGTTAGTACAGGGCCTGAGAGAACACAGCACCTCCATATCCTTCACTCCATCACTTAACATACCACAAACTTTATTTTGCTTATTGGAAATGACAACGTTTCACACGTGAGACTGTTAAGAGATTGGGTTGTGAGGGATTAATTTGCAGTATGTAACAACTAAAGACAGACTTACTGAAAGCTGGAGCGTAAGCAAGTGGGGGAATGCATGCTGCAGGTTGACACAAGGGAGAAGAAAGGAGCAATGGTAGTTAGAGATTGTCAGCTCACACACCTGGTTATGGCCTCGCTGGCCGTAGACTTGCTTACTCGCTCGCAGGGCTTCAGTTTCCCTTGCAGTTCAATCATCTCAGCCTCTTTGAACTCCAACTCGGACTGCAGCGATTGCACCTAAACACAAGCCCACAGAGTTCAGCCTGAGGTGGCAGCCAAGAGCAGAGCAGAGAGCAGAGGCTACCAGAGTGCAGGACAGGTTTTATTCAATCTCTGGACATTATTTGCGCACAGACTGTGGTGTGCAGAGCAGAGACCCAGATGGAGAGAATACAAGTCTGACCTTACCTTCCTGCTTAGCTCTCTATCCCTCTGGCTTTGTGCATCCATTCTCTCCTGCTCACTCAGCAGGTGCAGCCTTTTCTGCTTATCCAGGTCAGACTCCATGCGTCGTAGGGAATCACGCAGCACCTTGACCTCCCCGTTTCTAAGCTGCAACTCTTGTTGCACTTGATCAAACTACAAAGAGAGAGTGAGTGAGAAAAAGATGTATCTGGTGTGTGTGTGTGGGGGGGGGGGCAGGGGAGAGAAAAGAGCAGGGACGGTTTGAAGCCGAGCCCAAAAGCTGTCCTTACCCGACATCCACACACCACACACACCCTACAGGAGGTAATCTCTGTCAGCGATCTGAATCGGGGAATCTTGACTGATTCTCCCCTCCATAACCCAAGGCATTGAAACCAACTGTAAACCCAACTCAGTGCAGTGTGGTCCAGGGCTGGAACCTTCTCATCTCGTCTCTATCTAATCAAGCAAAGGAACCTTTATCTCGTCGCTATCTAATCCAGCAAAGGAGCCTTTCAGCCAAGTACCTTTTGTCGCAGCTCCTGTTGTTGCTCCTGAAGAACCTCGAATCCAAAGGGATCCTCAACTTTCCCATGGCTGAGCCCACTGCCTGTGGAGGGAAATTCACAGTGTGACAGAGACCTTGTGCACTTGAGACGCACAGCAACAGAGCAACGTGAATCCATGGAAATGGTCTAAAACAGCACTTGTCAGCCTCACTCAAACTAGCGGGGACCTCACACTTGAGGCTGCTGTGAATTCTGAAGAGTCTATTTCACCAGATCTGAGAGCAGTGCAATCCAGGCAGTACCTGTTTTATTCTTGTTACTGTTCACGACTGGGTGCACTTGGTCATTCTTCCTAGGGGTCATGTGTCCAGCCACAGCTTGCACATCTTGTGTTAGGGCCTGAGAGGCTAAAATGTCCAGTTCCTCCAAGTCATCAGCAGTGAAGTCTTCATTATCTTCGAAGGGATCTGCCTTCATCTCCTCCCCTTTGTGACGCTTGTTTGGCGGGAAACCTTCAGTGTCATCGCTGCATTTCTTCCTGCTGCGGCTGAGTAAGTGTGTGGCTGGACCTGCGGCCTGTCTCACGCTGTAGATCAGAGAGCTGTTCCGTCTCTTCGCTTCAATCCCGAATAATGCGTTTGCTGACATTGTTCCGGCACCAAGACCTGTAAAATAGAACGTCACTCTTTCCAAACTGTCCCACAAACAAGCCGCGAAGTGAACGATCAGTGTTATTTGGTTGAACAATCCCTTCTGGGTTTACTCCCTTGTTTTCCAATAGCGTCAAAGTCCATCGGACACTGCCAGCTCAGGAGTTCAGTAGGTGCTCCGGGATACCTCCCTGCACGAGGCGCACTATATGAATGCAAGTTGTTGTTGTTGTTGTGTAAAGCCTGACCTGAAGGATGGCGGCCCCAACAACCTGCCCTCCCCCTCCCGCACCCCCACCCCCGCCCCGTGCTGCACTGGGGCACCAGCCTGGACTGTGACAGCAGAGACCCCGACCCACCACCTCCTGAACCAGAGACAAGTTATTCTCTGAGAAACACATCAACAACAACAACAACAACATTACATCCGTCTGTAGCGCCATTCCCGTCGGGAGGACGTCCCAGTGCCACACACATCAATATCAATATTGGGGAATGGGGTCAGAGACAGGTCTCCCCCTCAGCACCGCCTCCTGTGCCGCAGTGTCTCAGCACATGGGACCGGATTACCATTGCAGCCCCGGGCCCCGCCTCAGGCCCCCAGGCCCAGCCCCGGGCCCCCCCCGCCTCAGGCCCCCCGGCCCAGCCCCGGGCCTCCCCCCAGGCCCAGCCCCGGGCCTCCCCCCCGGCCCCCCGCGGCCCTCCCCCCCGCGGCCCTCCCCCCAGGCCCAGCCCCGGGTCTCCCCCCCCGGCCCAGCCCCCCGCGGCCCCGGGACCCTCAGACACACACACACACCGATCCTCGACCCTCCGGCCGCCGACCGCAGCCAATCACGGCGCCGCTTCCCTCCCGAGCCCGGGGCCGCACCTCCTCCCATCCCGCGCTCCCATTGGTGGAGCCGCGGACAGGGCCGCCCCCCCCGCAGAGAGTTCCGGAAACGGCCTCCGGGCACTGAGCGTCTGGCGGGAACCGCGACACGTACAGTGGTGGGCTCGGAAATACCCCCCCACCCCAGCCCCCCACCCCAACCCCCACCCCAACACCAGCCCCCCCCCCCCACCAGCCCCCCCCCCCCACCAGCCCCCCAACACCAGCTCCCCCAACCCAACACCCCCTAACCCCAGCCCCCCAACCCCCCCCACCAACCCCCCCACCCCAACCCCCCCTAACCCCAGCCCCCCCCCCCACCCCAGCCCCCCACCCCACCCCACCTGCTCTGCCTGCAGGGTCTCTGCTCATCTGTTTGGCGACAGGAGTTAAGGACAAGATTGTCTCACACCACCATTGGCATCTGTCAGTTGTGTCGCTCCTCACACGTTGCATCTTCCCCGTAACATCCCCCAAGTTAACATTTTCTCTGAGGTGATGCTCCTTTTCAGATGAGCTTTAGATGGACAACTGTCTCCGCCTGTGACTGGTCCGGAGCAGCTTCAGATCCAAACCGACAGAACAAAATAGCAACGTTCCATCGGCTGCTTGTCCTATAGCATTGCCCCTGTGCGGCGCACCATCTCCCGATAGTGCTGAACGTGTGCACTTCCTTTCGTAAGATCGCCACAGTGTCACCGGTTGAGACCAATCGACATTAAACGGAAATTATATCGGGTTGTTTTTAGACAAGATTGTTCTGACTTCCAACTCGTCATTTTTACTCTCCAGAATAAGGGCTACTACCATTCAGTGTTAACGATAAAGCATTTTGAAGTGTAAGACTGTATTCCAAATGAAGTTCCTCTCACGACGCCTGGCTCCTTCCTCCTGGCGGGATGTAGTTAATCGTGGAGTCCTGTAGCTCAGTGGTTAGAGCACTCGCTTTGCAAGCGAGAGACCTGAGTTCAATTCCATGCAGGGCAAAACTGGGCAAGTTTCCTTACTCCACACAGAGCCTAATAATAATCCCTTCAAAAAAACCAATAATAAATTGATCATTTTCAATCCACGACTGTTTGTGGGACATTGCTGTGCGCAATTGGCTGCCGCGTTCGCCCACAAATATACAGTCAATTCACTTTACAGTCTATTCTGTGAAGCGCTTTGAGACGTCGAGAAGACGTGAAAAGCGCTATATCAAATGCAAGGATTATTATTATTATTATTATTATTACTTGCTCCTGAAGACACTCTGTGTGTTACACAGAGAGACACACACAGCGCGACCCTCGTTCAGGGGAGTCACGTGAACACGGTGATTGACAGACAGAGGGGCGGTATCTTTAAGTCGCGTCACGTGCTCAGGGGCGGGGCATTGTGACGCGCCGCGGGCCCTGTGTGACGTCACGCCGCGCTCCCATCCCCACGCTCCCCGGCCTCGGCTGCTCCCCGGCCCCCCGCTCCCTGTGTGCGGCCGCCCAGGATGAAGAGCGAGATCACGGCAGCCGCGGGCTTCCTGGCCCGCTTACTGAGAGTCACCGGCCTGATCCCCGAACAGCAGCTGCAGCACTTCAGCCAAGTCCTGGAGAGATCGCTGGCAGGTAGGTCCCCCCCCCCCCCGGGCCTGAGGCTCTGTCCAGCCCCGAGCCCCAGGGCTGACCGACAGCCTGTACCTGTCGCCCCCTCTCCCTGACCCTGTGGCTCAGGCCTGTGTCAGGAGCCCCCACGGCTGGGACTCTGAGCTCACAGTCTGGGCCCCGGCGCTGGGGGAGCGCTCGCTGCCGTCCTTCGGATCAGCTGTTGAGGCAGAGGCCGAAAATCCCACATCGCTGTCGGGAACCGGGAGGGAAGGCAGTGGGGTTTCTCCCCGTTTCTCGGCTGCCAATCCCCAGTCACCTCATGGCTGTTGGTGGGACTTTGCTGCGACCCAAAATGGCTGCCGCGGTTACCCACACAAACACAGCCACGACACTTGACAGCAATATTTTTGAAGTCCCTTTGAGATGTGTTGATAAAGAGCTACGATGTCCAATTTCTTTCTCGAGTCGCATTGGCGCCGACGTGAGCGTTGAGTTCTGGCTCTTCTCGCTCCCTCTCCAGAACTTTTCCACCTCAAACCACAGAAATTTACACCACTGAAGAAGGCCATTTGGCCCATCGTTTCCAGAGGAATCCTTTCAGTCCCATTTACCTGCCCTTATCCCCATACCTCCTACAGTTTTCCTTTTAAAAGCGCATATGGATTTCACCTCAATCACTGCTCCCAGCAGAGCATTTCATATCCTGACAACTCTTTGTGTGATAAAAGGTATCCCGACCTCAACGTTTATACAGCACAGAAGGAGGCCATTCGGCCCATTGTGGCACAGACATGATGGGCCGAATGGCCTCCTTCTGTGGTATATAATTCTATGCTTCCATTTGCTAACTATTTTACATTGATGCCCTCTACAACAACAACAACAAGATTACATTTGTATAGCGCCTTTCACGTCGGGAGGACATCCCAAGGCTCTGACTCACTGACCAGTGGGAAGAATCAAAACCCCTCAATATTTAAAAAATCTCTATCAAGTCACCCCTCATCCTTCTTTGTTCCAATGGAAAGATTCCCAACTCCTTTAGTTTGCTTGTGGGCCTACTCCATATAAATATTATGTGTTTTCCAATAATGATCATCTACATATTTACTATAAGTACTAATGACCTTAAAACACTTCAAAGTCCTACGAGGAGGTGAATGCTGGGGCAGTTTGGATCTCATGGGTTTTGGGGAGAGGAGTGGGGAAGACGAGTTGCTGAGGAAGCTTTGTTTCATGTTTCTCTCTCTCTGACAGAACATTACCGGCATCACTGGTTCCCACACATGCCTTGCCGAGGCTCAGGCTACCGATGCCTCCGGATCAACCACAAGATGGACCCTCTGATTGGGAGAGTGGCCAACCTAATCGGGCTGGGCAGCCAGCAGCTCTTCCAACTTCTACCAAGCGAGTTGACACTGTGGGTCGACCCATTTGAGGTCTCTTACCGAATCGGGGAAGATGGGTCTATCTGCGTGCTGTACGAGAATGGAGCTGCCCAAGGCCTCTCCCCTCTGGACAGTTTGATTAGCTGCAAGGACGAGTTTCGGATTGGCAGAGCGAGCCCCTCCGAGAGCTACGTAATGACTGTTTCCAGTTAGTTCTTTTACACACACACAGCTATTGTACAGTGTGCAGCCCCTTCCATAATGTAGTGAAATGTTGATCTTTAGTTACCGTTCAGTAGTGCGACTGCCAAAACCTTTGTTTGATGTGGCCGGAGGCTATATGCAAAACTGTTTTTGCGGCACATTAAATTCCTGGATTGTATATTGTAAAAACATGTACAGTCAGTGGGTAATTGTGCTTTACAGATTTATATTTTAAAAAAAGCCATGGCTGTTTGTAATAAACCATCAAAAGGAATCTGCATTGTTTGTTCTAGATGTTAAATGCCTATCTTTACAGCCTCCTTTCATTTTCTGGTCTACAAAATATATTGCAAATTTGTTATTGGGCATAAATGTGGTGAACACACAGAGCTGAGCTATAAACTTTGGCTAAGGCATTGGACCAATGGCAGTGGTTTGTAGGTGTTGAACCTACAACCCTTGAACTAGGGCTCTGTTTGTACAGCTCTTTGTAGCTCTGATCTGATCGGACACCTGCCTTGATATATAAATCAACTGAGTCTTGCACAGCGACAGAGCCTGAGAGATCTCAGATATTTCTTTCGTTTGGATGGCAATTAGGACACAAATCAGGAGATTGGTTCTTTCATTCCTGGTCTATGATTTGTGTATCCTTCCATCGTGAGCGCCCAGGAAATTCTTTCCATTGCTGAAGGTAGTGCCTGCCAATTGCATACAGTTGACATTTTTCAGCACAAAAGGAAGATAATGAATGATTGTTATCATTGCCACCACCCAGTGCAGAGCTGCCAGAGTAAACAAGACCTTCCCACTTAGCCACACACGATTGCAGATTAAAATCACAATCTCTGCCTGAAGTTGTTTCGGCAGGAATTAAATGTTCAGTTCTGCCTAATCATTTGTCAATAGACAGCCAGAGTTTAAACATTTTCTTATTTTTTTTGCTTTTATTTGGGTGGGAGGCATTTGATGGCATAGACAAGGTTCTAAAAATTGATGCATTTGTATTTTCTCTACATTCTTGGCACCTCTTCAAGAGGGTCGTATGAATGTTGTGTTCTTTGTCCGGGAGGTTATAAAGAGGCCGAATCAGTTGGGATGTTTAAAAGTGTGATAGATGGACACTTGGGAAGGATATTAAAGGTGGGGGAATGGGATTAAAAATCTGGCATAAACAGAATGAATGGTCTCTATTTGATCCTACGTCCACCTTGTGGTTTTAATTAAATATCAAAATAAAATGGAGAAAGAGGAAGTTACACAGGAAGCAGATGCCTCTAGAAAGCACTGGCAGTGCAGACAGACCTAGAAGAAGCAATCTAAAACAAAGCTGGAAACATGTTTGTGGAGAGAAATTGAACTGCCAAGAATGGTAAGAAAAAGGTCAAACTATCTGAGTGTGTCAGATAATCTCACTATGGAATAAGCGAAACCCACCCGAACAAGCAACCTGTGCCTGCATTGCCTCTCTTAAGGTCATAGCACACCAGAATGGAAGTATGAAAACCAGCAATGTGTTTACACTGCAAATTTGTGGGAACAGAAATTGGAACTGTCCAATTAGACAAATTAATTATGTCTACCTTGTCCTCATTGATGCCCGTGAGATATTCAGATACTGTTCTGCAACATTAATCATTGCATTTAATGATTATGATGTAAGTACCTAAAATGTTAAAACTTTCCAAAGTGCTTCACCGTTAATTACTGTTAAGTAGTGATTGTGTATGTGTAGGCAAACACACCAGCCAATTCATGCATCGAGATCTCTCACAAACATCTATGAAGTGAATAAATCTGAAAGAGACTGGGAGATGTATCTTCTTTTTAATATCACCACGAAAAGGAGAAATATAAAGGGGGGAAAGGCAGCAGAATATGTTGAAAGGACAGCTCTCTGAAAACCTTTGGTTGGAATGGACTCCTTCTGTGCTGCACATTTTTATGGTTCTACCTCCTTTTAAAGAAAATATGACAGCTTTTTAGTAACCAAAGGGAAATAACTTACTTTAATTCCTGGTGAGTATAAGACAATTATTCTCTTTATACATGGGTTATTCTGGTACACACCGGTTTGCATGTCAAATTGCCTATTGTTATAATCCACATAATCCACCGGTCCAGGTAGTCCTTGGTATGTTTTGTACACATTTGTGTATTGTTACAGACGGATATTGTTATAATTCTTCTAATATTATACAAATCTGTGCTCCTATTAACAAAAGATGAGAGTAACGTTATTAGTGTGGGGATGGAGGGGCGGGTACCTACAATCTGGTTCAGAGACGAAGTCCAATGGGAGCGCGGGGCGAGTTGATTGACAGATGGATGACCCAATGGGAGCCGGGGACGGGTTGATGGAAGGCACATGGTACAATGAGGAGAGACTGTTGAACACTACAGTACTGGAGCGGCCTTTAGTTAGTAACGATCATTTCGAGTCAAAATCAAAAACGGAACAGGCAAAATAACTGTTTTTTTTTAAAAAAACACCTTACGACAGTGAAATTAAAGGAAACTATTGGATTTTTGACTTTTTTTTCTTATTGAAATTTCTTCAGAACAATCTTGAAATGTTTGAGGTGTTTATGAGGACAGTTCCCCCACAGTGGGTGTGATGTTATAATGGTGGGCTGTGTAAAGATGAAGCGGGTATTGTTGTGCTCAGTGTGAGGGAAGCCGCCATGTTCCACAGCACTGTCTCAGACCATTCCCCCTCATTGTGGCATAACTTCCGGTCCTCGGCGCTATTTCCGCCTCCGGTCGCGCAACCTAACTTGCTGCGAGCGATGGCGGTTCTGACCAATCGCAGCGCAACTGGTCGCCGGGTTCTCGCCCAAGGACGTCGCGTTCCGCTGGCGGTGACCAATCAGCGGAGGGCAAGGGGGCGGGCTCTGATGCCCGGGGCAGTAGAGTTCGGTTGTACCGCGTGTCTCACGAGCGGCGGGGAGTGAGCGCGAGACGAACGCCGGCATCAGGCGGGAGGGAGGAAAGGCCGGGACCGGGCAAGACAGACAGAGAGAGAGAGAGAGAGAGGGGCCCCGGGAGCAGTGAGAGGCCCCGGGAGTGGGCTGGAGGCCGCGGCAGGGATGGAAGGAAAGGAGCCGGAGGAGGACGAGTGGAAGTATCACGGGGAAGGAAACCGCAGCCTTGTGGTGTCGCACGTTCAGGTCAGCGGCCGGTGCCGGTGCCGGTGCCGGGGGCGGGAGGGGCCTGGGCCGGGCCGGGCCGCCTGGCCCCGGGTGTTCCTCTGGCTGTATCTCGGTGCTGCTCGGCTGTCCCGGGCTGTAACGCGTGGCCCCGATCCCCTCGGAGCTCCCTGTGGCCCTCTGACAAGTGAAGCCCTCCCTCCCGCTCTCCCGCCCCCGATTCTCAGTCTGTGCCCATTCCTCACAGTTTTCCCAATTGAGGGCAATGGGAACCCCGCGCCTTAGGGATTATTATTGAAGGCGCCCAATGTGATTGAGTTAACCACCGGTGTACTATACTAAACCGAGTGCTGGTGTCAAGAATAACCCCGTGTGAACACCACCATATTAGTGACTTTGAATTGCAAGTCTTTAAGTTGCAGTCGAGGCCGACACTCTGTATTATTGGAAGTGAACATTCTTTAGTTGAAATGTTAACCCGCGGTCCCAGTTACCTGTTCAGGTTAAAGACTCCGTGCATTATTGTGAGTTTATCTCTCAGTGTTCTGGTTCAGGATAATTTGATCATTCAGTAAATTGTCTGTTTGTCAGATCTTACTGTGTGGAAATTGGCTGTTGAACTTTTTTTTATATAAATGTGTATTCACCGCACTTGACAGTAGGTAAATGTTTTCAGAGGTCTTGATGTGATAAGTGCAGTAACAAATGGAAGATTTGTGATATGTGATGCTGGATCCTGGCATATCTGTCCCACTGGTGTGGTTTCTGCATTTTACCATCATGTGGATGTCAATGATCCTGTGAAAAGAGGAAGAAATTTCTCTTGATGTCTTGCACAATTTCAACTGGTCATTCACCTCATGGCTGTACGTCTGATCTGTATGATTTTGTGAAAAAGCATTATAAAAATTATTTACCTAGTATCTTATTCATTGTGATACTTACAACAACAAATAGCATAGTGCCTTTCATGTCCCGAGATGCTAGATATTCAAGGGTGTGGACCTGAGATGGAGATTGTATTCGGGAGGGGTGGTGGTAGGGGGTGGTGGAGGAAGATGACTAAAGGTGTTGTCAAAGAGAAAGGTTTTGAGATGAGCTTTGAAGGAGGTGAAGGAATGCATGAAGCAAAGGTACTCCGGGATGGAGTTCCAGAGAGTGGGGCAGAAAGGCTGAAAGTCTCAATATTGATGGTTGGGCGAGCAAGGTGGGGGCTATGTGAAGTCCTGTAGCTCAGTGGTTAGAGCACTCGCTTTGCAAGCGAGAGACCTGAATTCAATTCTAGGCAGAGGACGAAACCTTGGGCAAGTTTCCTTACTCCATACGTCTAATAATAATCTCTCCAAAAACAATAACAAATTGGTCATTTTCAATCTACGACTGTTTGTGGGACATTGCTGTGCGCAATTGGCTGCCGCGTTCGCCCACAAATATACAGTTAATTCACTTTACAGTGTGTTCTGTGAAGCGCTTTGGGACGTCCTCCCGACGTGAAAAGCGCTATATCAAATGCAAGGATTATTATTTATTATTATTATGTAGCAGGCCAGTGCCCACTGAGTGCAGGGAGCAGGCAGGTTGGTAGGGTTTTAGAAGATTGTTGAGGTCAGGTGGGGCAAGATTGTGGAGTGATTTTAAAAGTGAGGGCGGTGGGAGCGAGCAGGTTGGTAGGGTTTAGAATGTTGTAAAGATCGGGTGGGGCAAGTTTGTGGAGGGATTTAAAAGGGAGGATGAAAATCATGAATTCACTCTTCCATCTCCTGTAAATGAAAAAAAGTGCCCTCAACTATTGTTCAATGAAAAACAATTTCCTTCTCTTTCCAATTTCCCTTAATTTTTTTTCACTGTAATTTCCAATTGAAGGAGTTGCTGGTGCTTACGTCTGAGCTGCTGATGTGCCTCTAACTCACTTCAGCTCTCTTAAATCTATTCATTTTTGACTCGTGGTTGTTTCTCCCTCACCTTACTCAACTCATTTATTTTCTGCTTGTTGCTGATACTGGGTGTAACACCGAAACCTGCTGTAATGTTACTGAACTGGTTGAGTAAAGTTCTGTTTTTATTTTTTATTTCTGATCAGCCAGAATTGATACTGAATTTGTTATACAATACGATTTATATTCATACAACTCCTCTCACATCAGGAGGGTGTCCCAAAGAACAGTTACAATGCTGGATGGGAACCTACAATGAGACACAGAGCTTTGCCCCCCACACATTTTGTACTGTGGTTTCTGGGGTTGTGAGCCAGTTTGAGTAATGCTGGGAGCAACAAGTTTTCTTCCATTTTCTAAGAAAACCTCTCCTTAATTTGAAAGTGGGGTGAGAATTCCTGGAGGGGAAAACATTGTGCCTGTCATCCTCGCTGTATGTGTGTGTCCTCAGGCACAGTGCAGCCGCTTCTCACAAGTGGCCATGTGTTCATGCTGCGGCACGGCTTGCTATTGTGCTGAGGAAAATAATATTTGGCATTTTTGTTTGCAACGTGTTAAAAAAAATTAAATAGAAAAATCCGTAGAAGCTAAACAAACCATGCTGTGTTTGGGTTGCAGTGAGAAAGATTGAAACCAACTGCTCTTGATAGCCTGACTCCAGCAGCCGGGCTTGAATTGGAACTCCCGACTGCCTCTGTTCTTCTTGTTGAGGACTGGAGGTGCTATGTGATGTAAATCAAGGAGTGCATTCACCTCTCACTTTTTATCGCTGGTGTTGATGAAATTGGAATATTTATTCTAAATTATAATTGGTGCTTAAAGAGGAGGATTATTAAAGGATGCAGGGAGTGAGGAGAAGGTTGGAATTAGCTGAGGTGGGGGATGAGGAAAAAACCATACATGTTGATAGGCTGAATGACTTATTCAAGTGACAGAGAACTTTATGATTTTCAAATGTTTATCCAATTTCCTTTAAACATTCTCAGCCATTTGAGGCAAAGCATTGTTCGAATGGATGACTCCGTTACATGAAAACTTTTAACTCCACCCCTTTATCTCTTGTGATGATCTCTGTTCTTATGGTTCACATAATTTTTTTTACTAACTTTCTTTTATGTGCCTGTTATCTGTGAAGCCATACATCAGTCTCCCAGTGCTGGAGGAAACATTTATGACTGTAACATTGTAGATTTGAAACCAGACCTACCTGCAGATAGAGTAACATCTATAATTTTCTCCACATGCTATGTCATTTCGTGAAACACTTTGAGACATAGGAACAGGAGTAGGCCATTCAGCCCCTTGAGCCTGTTCCACCATTCTATAAGATCATGGCTGATCTGCACCTCAACTCCAATTACTCGCCTTTGCCCTTATTGAGACGTCTCAATGACATGATAAGCATCTCTATCTAATGGAAGGATTATTGTTATTTATTAATTATTTATTATTAAATCAAGACTTTCACACATTTTCAGTGGCATTTATACTTTTGGAGCAGATATTATTTTAAATAGGAATTTTGTAGTTGTTTTAATTTTAGTATTTTTATGCTTACTAAACTAAACACGTCAGCCTTGGCTCGAGAGCCTCACGCGGGCTTGTGTGTGATTTCTGGACCAAGAGGAACAGCAGCAACAACAGAGCTGTGACATCAGTTGGGGACGTTTTACCTTTTGCCCTATGTATTAAAGTTGTGTGGAACTTTGCAAACAACCCTTTTCCCCCCAAATGTTAGTTGGAAGAAATCACGTGAGTTTGTTTGAATGAAGTTCCTATGTTGTGCTCATGTGTGCTCTCCCCTGTTTTACAGCATTGCCAGGTCCTGCGGTTCCTGAAGTTCCCTGCTGAACTTGCACAACCAAACAAGGTATAATTGTCAAAGCACTGTTGGTGTAGCAATACCAGCCTATACCATGAAGTAATTTAAGTATTAAACTGGGCGCTTCATAGACAGCTTCAAGATTTTAAAATCTCCAGAAACAATCTTCAGGCACACTGTGGGGTTTAGTTAATGTATTACAGTCCAGTTGTCTCAATTCTAGACTAGGTTTTACCTCAAAATCAGAAATAAGGACTATAAGGCAGTTGTTAGAGTTGTTAGAGTTAGTAAGTTAGTTAGTAAGAGTTATCACATACAAGGTTGCTCTTTAGGGGAACTCACTATTGGGACTATCAGGGCCATCACTGGTCTCCAGCTTCTCTCTGAAGCTCCATTACAGCTTGTCACTGCTATAATCCTATAGACTTGTGCACATATATTTGAACTTGTGCCTGTTTCAGTGGCGTGCAGGGCAGGGCATGTCTATGGGGAAGGTTCTGTGATGCCAAGGATTGTTTTGCTATGAGGTAAAGTTCATTGCTGCCATTAAATAAAAGATTTATATATTTTATGCACATGGGAAATGTATTACTATTTGTATTACTATTACTTAAAATAGGAAAATATAGAAAGAAAATAATTAACATCCTCAAAAGTGCTCGGTGAAAGTGTGTGTATTTGTGTGGCAACCAACCTTAAGTATGGATGACAGTAAGAGTGTACTAATTGTAAAGACCAGTGCTAGACTGGTTGATGGATGGTTCAGTGTTGTTAAAAGATTTCATATTTTAGGCATTGGAAGAAGTTCCTCGGCGTCTGAATAACATTGTGGACTTCAGTAAACATGTGATGAAGCCTTTATTGGGAGAGAACTTTGTGCAACCCGGGGTAAGAACCCTTCTCATCTGTTACTGTGCTCACTGGCAGTTGTGTTTTGAGATTAGGTTTTGGAACACCCCCAGGCATCTGGACAAAGATAGAGTCTTTATCTGCATTCTTTTACAATACAAACATGCAGAATGTTGATAAATATTAGTATTCAGTGCATGATCATTCCAGTTATAAAATGTCACTGTTCCCAAGGTCTCTAACCATGGTATTCAGAGGGAAGATACTGGAATGAAATTGGATGATAATCCACTAAAACTGCTCACGCTCTGCCCATGTTCAGTGTTTGGGTCTTGCTGAATCTGAGAGCTCCCTGGTTTCTGTTGCATTTCCCCTTTTGCTGTAACTATTACCTTGCTTTCATTTCTTCTTGACTTGTCCTCAACCCAAGGTTTCTGAAACTCAATGTTTTGAGTTGCTAAAGCTTCCCATTGAATACTCTAGCAGACAGTGGTGCTAGACTGTGTCCCAGCATGGGGCCTGCAACGTGCCTCTAGCCCCTCTAAACAGAAGCCAAGCGAACTCTGCAATTACAATAGAGGGAGTTAGTGGTTTAATGTGTATATTGTTCCCAGAGACACAGATTCTGGAAACCTTGGACCTTGAGGTTAGACTAGCAATTGGAAAATCAGCTCCCTGAATTTTATTTTCCTGGCTGATAATACTCTAGGGTGGGCTGGGCACGGAAACGTAAGCACAGCTTTCTAGATCTGCTCTTTTACTTTAACTGCCAATTGTAGAGTTTCAACTCCTCGGGGATTGTTTCTTCCATGTAACTGGAAACCTGAACTGGTGTTGGAGATAAGTTGAACGTATACTTGTGGAACTGCTCTTCTCTTGGCGGGGAGAGGGTTGAGTATTTTTAGTATAATTTTGTACTTCATGTTATTGCATTGTGATTTTAACTCTGACACTTGGCTAAACATGGTGTCAGCTACTCCAGCACTATTAACTCTCCTCCCCCCCACCCCTCAACCCCACACACTTCTCTTAGGAGGTTATTCAGCTGCCTCTGGACTTTGTTTGCCAACTGGCTTTGAAGATCAAACCAGAAAGACCAGGTAAGATATTTTCCCCCAGAATACCCCCAATGTAAAACTCAAACCATTAGATGTGAGACACACCCAAAGAGTGAATGGTATCCTTGGAGATGCATTCTGAGCACCTGAGAAATGATTCACATCTGACTGGCAAATCTCACCCAATTTCATTACTTCTGAAATCTTTGCCCATGCATTTTTGTAACATGTTCCCTTTATAATTCCCCGAATGTGAATTGGGTTCAAGGTTTCACATTGCATTGTTTGTGGTTTGCCTCTGGTGCAGGTGGAGTTGGTGTGAAGCTGCATTTCCTGTTATGAATTGCACACCTGGCCTTGTATACACACTGGCACTCGCTCATGCAGATCATTGCAAATCTGCCTTCTGTTCTGCTTGGTGAGGACTGGAGTGGAGGTCCTCGTAACGTTAACCAAGGAGATCAGCGTGGAGCATATCCACCTCACTCTGTCGCTGATGACATTATTTAGAGACCTATTGTAAACCACTCCTTTATCCCATCCTATTCTTTTAGGGCAACTCATTGTTTATTAGAGCAATAATAGTGTGCATTTATATAATATAATCCTTTACATTTTATACAGTGCCTAAAGTCTCATTGCTGTATGTTTGTAGAGAATGTAACACTTAAGTCAAGGACAGTCAGAGCTTGAGTAGGTAGTACTAGATACCATGCAGGAAAATAAGAAATGTAAAAATATTGAGCAAATGGTTGGCTGAAGAGATGGGTTTAGACCAGGATAATTTGGTAAAAATAGCTCCGTAGGAGAGGGATCATGGCATCCCTCACTCCACTGAGAATCTCTGAATGAGGTCGTGGGTGGGGACATTACACTTCGCCCTGGGCTGAGCCCAGGGCTATCCTCTTAATTCTGCTAATGTAGCAGCAATAAGTAAAGCTGATTTATATCAGGTGACAAGTAGAGCCAGTCAAACAAGAATATTTGAAATGCAGCTGATTTAAAAGGGATTTGTTTTCTACCAAATAATAAATACCCATTGTTTTCTCTGAGCTGCTGTAAGCTTTACCCTTTCAGTACAAACCCCTGATGTGCACAATGTGCACAGAGCTGAGTTCCAGTCATTTGAATCAAGATTAAATGGTATAGTATAAGTTGCTTGAAGCTACTAAGACCAGTGTGTTCACATCAGTAGTGCTGGCTGTTGGGACTATGTTACATATGATTGAACGGGTGGTGCTCTGGGCTTTCCATGTGAGAACCTAGGATTAACGGTGTTAATTACTGCTTCTCTGTTTGTTAATAAATGGTTGCTGTTCTTCAACACCTGGAATGTATATGTTAGATAGACTGCGTATAGCAGCAGTTATCTGTTAGTTCAATTTGCCTATGTAATTACAAGCTTAAATACAGCATTATACAGTCTGAAAAGGGCAATCACTTCACATTGCCATGATTTCTGTGTCTAAGGAAATGTTGGCACACATTCCAAATGGCGCTGTGCCTTGATTTGGCCTGAAGTGAAATTGCTGAACCTTTTACTCCATTATGTGTTCTGTTGAAAAGCAGGCAATTAAGTGATGAAATGTCCTGTGTTTTACGCATCAACCCATTGAGCACCACACAGCATTATGCAGTTCCTGTCCCGGTAGGGTAGTGAAATATCCAGAAGGTTTGTGTGGCACAGGCGGCTGTCAATTGCTCATTTGCTGCTACTCTTGTATGTTAGTTTGAAATGTCCCAAGTTAGAATTCTCTGTGTTTATAAACATCAATAAGTTGCCTGTGCCAGAACCAGGCTAACAATTGTTTGTACACATTTAGTGACTCATTGACATTGTTAGACAAAATGGATGTTCATCACAAAACCTTACTGTGCCACAGTTTTTACTGTTGTAATCAGAGGGTCAGTCAGCTGATGAGATCACTGTTTCTGTTGTGGTCAGCGTCAAGAGTGGAATATAACCTCCATCCCACTGGGACTTCATAACTATATATGTATAATCTACATTAGAAAGGAATCTAGTAAAGAATGAGGTTGGGATGCTGTGGCTGTGCTGAATGGCCTTGTGTATTCTCTGCTAGTTTGTTGCTCTGTAGCGGGGAGTATGGGGGGCTGGGGGTAGGGGGAAGTATTTTGATGCAGATTCGCCATGTTTGTGCTTTGAGTAGTTTATTTGAAAATAAGCTGTTGTTTCAGTCATTATAGATGGTAATGTGATTTCAGCATTGATAAACAATGTAATGGTGGGGGGAAAGTCATTTTCAGTGTAAAGCCATTTTGTTATAACTTCCCTTTTAAGTCTTGCTGTGTCTTGTGATCTGCAAGTTGTTACTGCCTCACTGACCAGTGGATATCTATTGGCATTTAACCCTATCATAGATCTTCATTAATCTTCAATCGTGAGTCAAGCCTTCCATTACCCTCGGGTTGTATTTCAGATTTGTGTCTGAGTCAGTGAAACTAGTGTTTCCTCATTCCTTGGAAGCACTAAATATGAAGATATTGGTTTCATGACTAACATTAGAATCAGACAGAATGCAGTTCTGCCGGAGTTCCAGAGTCCTATAGACATTGATTGGAGCCTCATTTACGCAAACACAAATTGCCAAATGTACTGAGGGATCCTGGTGATTGGGGGAGAGAGAGAGAGGGGGCAGTTGTAGTGTCCTTGAATTCATGTCATGAGTTTCAGTGCTTTGGAGTTTTGTGACTCATTTCCCATTGGTTTTAGATGGCAGATTTTTGTTTGTCAGAGTTTTCAATCATTTGCATCTGCATTTGTTTTTTTTAGTGAGTCACAGCCCAGCAGGCATCCGAGGAGCTGTGACTGATGTCTGTGGCCTAAGTAATCAGATTTCTGTGCTGACTCCTGACATTGGTAATTTACCCCTTGGGGAATTGAAGCCCATCTCCCAGGAAAGCTTCCCCTGCAACTGAACAACATCCCAATCAACCAGTACAATTTTCCTTTCTTTTATTGAGGCTGATTGGTCAAATCTTGAGAATTTTAGTTAGAATATTAGGAGTATGGGAGGGAGGGAGGCAGAATGGTCGTGGACTTTCTGTTCCCAAAATCCTTCGGCATCTGTTCAGTTTAGTGTTTTGTAATCTTAACAGATGTAAAGTGGTGCCTTGTTTGTTTGGTTAATGTTTTGCCTGGTAATTAGAAACTGATGGAGGTGTTTTATTCCACAGGGTCACGCTGTAATAAGGTGATGGACACGTTTAGTGGCTACACCTTGTGTCTCCCAGATCTAACCAAGTTCCAAAGCTGCCAACGGATTGAGAGACGGCCTCCACTCTGCATAGAAATCAAGGTGTGTGTCTGGTTCAGCCCCACCCGTATGTGTTACATTATTTCATCATGTTGGTTATTTGTGACATTTTGCATGTATTTATCATGATTATCAAGTGGGAGTCATTCCATAATAACCTGAGAGGTTTTGAAATCCTATGTAAGAAGTTTTTCTTTAACCCCATCCTTTTCTCTGATCCACAGTGCTTTAAAACGTTGCTTGGCTGAGGCAGGGTGGACACATTGCTCCCAAATTGCTTATCCATTGGTGTAATCAACTGCCTTGGAAGGGGGGTGTGTGTGTATATGGAACACTGGGTGACTGAAGTCTGTGTGTGTGTGTGTGTGTGTGAGATTGGGGCATTGGGTAACTGAAGTGTGTGCGTGTGTGCACATGACTGTCACAATCTTTTTTTATGGCATTGAGTGATTTTTCTCTGAAGCATGGCGAGTGCACACTATGTCCTGATGACCTGACCAAGATGAGGAGCTCAGTTTGCATAGATAACAACCAAGGCTGAGCCAGAGTTTGCTGGAAACTTTCTATCTTGTACTGATTACTTGTACTTGGGTTGGATATTTGTTATTTTCTTACATTTGAAGGAAGCACCAGAACATCACTGATGTGTAAGCAGTTTTGTAAACACCCATCCATCCAGAGCAGCCACATGTGACACGTTGTGAAACAATATAATAATAATAATAATCCTTGCATTTCATATAGTGCTTTTCACGTCGGGAGGACGTCCCAAGGCGCTTCACAGAATATACTGTAAAGTGAATTGACTGTATATTTGTGGGCGAACGCGGCAGCCAATTGCGCACATCAATGTCCCACAAAGTGTCGTAGATTGAAAATGACCAATTTATTATTGTTTTGTTTTGGAGGGATTATTATTAGGCTCTGTGTGGAGTAAGGAAACTTGCCCAAGGTTTCGCCCTCTGCCTGGAATTGAACTCGGGTCTCTCACTTGCAAAGCGTGTGCTCTAACCACTGAGCTACAGGACTCCCACACATTCCTACTGTGTGACCTTACAGTCCAACAGGGTAATGATCTTACTTCCCACTAGGTGGGGAGGACTTTTACGTGGGTTTAATTAATGGAACGGACTCCACTTGTTTTACAGCCCAAATGTGGATTTATTCCTTTCTCCAGCCATGTTACCAAGGAGATAAAGCAGAGAGTGTGTCGCTATTGTATGCACCAGCACCTCAAGGTAATCTCTCTCCTCACTTTCTTGTATTTGTTCTTTTTACTGTAAAACTGGATCTGGTGAGGGAGGTGGGGTTTGTGTGTTAGAATATTCCACTCTGTTACCCCTACAAAATCTAACTCAGAAACCTTTCATTGTTAATGGTTTACAGTTTTGATGTTCTGATGCTGACAATGTCTCTCCTCAGTCATAAAAATGGAAGTTGCTTTACTTTTAAAACATCACTTGTATTTTTAATTATTCTACATCTATTTTTTAAAAAATATTTTTTGCAACATGACTTGTTTTTTCTGACTAGGTGGCCAATGGAAAATGGAAACGGATTAGCAAATACTGTCCCCTTGATCTATTCTCGGGGTAAGTTTCTGTGACACTCTGACGTGCAATGTTTTTAATGATCTAATTATTTTCCAATCACAAAGACTAAAATGTAAAACATGGAAAGAAAAGTTGCCTCTTGTTAAATCTACTTTCTGATCAGATTGAAGTTATATGTTAGCCTCCAGTGGTTTCACCTGACATAGTTTCACCTTTTACAGGAACAAGCAAAGAATGTACTTTGCCTTGAAAAGTCTGTTACAGGAGGCGCAGAACAACCTCAAGATCTTTAAGGTAATGGTGCTGTCAGTGCTCTCTCCTCAAACCAAACCTCTGTGTACAAAATTAATACACAACAACACACACAATGGGGTTTTGTTGATTTGAGAATATACATGTGAAGGTAATAATATGATGTACTCTTCATTGGACTGTGTCTGTCCGGCATTAAGACCTGGATGAGAACTGATTTTCTCCAGTTGAACACCCTCCTGCTTGGCCCCCCTCAGCACCTCCTCACCTCAGGCGTTCAGAGCATCACCGTTCATGGCTGCACTCTTCCCCCTCACTGAGCCAGTACAGAACCTCAGTGTTTTCTTCAACTGTCTTTTAAACCCCCACATCGGTACCATGACCCATTCTGCCTTCCCCACCTCCGCAACATTGCCCACCTCTGCCACTGTCTCTCCTTAGGCTGCTGAGACCCTCATCCATGCTTTCATTATGTCCAGGCTTGACTACGCTAACTCCCTGCTTGCTGGACTTCCCAACTCTTTCCCCCACAAGCTTGTGTCCTCTACTACACTGAGCTCTGTGAACCGATCACTCCCATCCTCTCCTGGCTCCCCATTCCACCATCAGAGGTCGGGCCTTCAGGCTTTTTGCCCCCACCCTCTAGCACTCCATCTTCCCACCCCCTTTGCCCTCCATCTCTCTTGATTCTAACTCCCCATTTGGGTGCAAAACCTTTACTGTCCAGCGCCTTTGAACATCCTGATGTGAAAGGTGCTGGGTAAATGCTGTTGTTGGACATTTGAGAGATTAACTTGTGTAATGCCAGTGAGGTTGCCGACTGATTTGTTCTTCTGTTTTTGTTTGACTTCTCTGTGTAACCAATGAAGAACGGAGAGTTAATATTTGGCTGCAAAGATGACCAGGATTGCCTGATGGATTTGAATGAACTTGCTAACCACCTGAAAGCCTATTTCTTCCCTGCCAATGGTGTGGTTAGTGGCCCACAGTGCACAAGGACTGTGATCAAAGAACTAATCCATGTAATCAGCATGGCTTTGCTCAGCAATCCCAAGGCACCGACAGGTGCCGTGAAACGGAACCGTGACTCGGAGAAAAGGAGCTACTGTGAAGCGAGTCACGTCCCCAGGGAAGCGCTGAGAAATGGCAAGTGACGTGTGCATGTGTGTGATGGCTGATTGCAGCAGATTCACTGCCTTCGGCTTGTGGTATTTTTATTTTCAAAGGGAATTGTTTTGTATGGCTCATGTTTAAATAGGAAATATTCAATCTCTGGGAGTAATTGCAACGGCCGTTAGCATGGATTCTGATGTCTTAGCCCCAGGGTCACACCATGTGAAGATGGCTCCTGTTAATTGTCTGTGTGCTGAACACGAGGATTAGTGTTGCGATATCTTATTCCAGCCCATTCACTCCCAAGGCGTGCTGCATCTTGCTGGTACATTGGAAATAGCACAGAGTGTGACTCCAGTGTCCACTAAACCTTCTGAGCTATTATTCTTTTATAGGCCAACCACTAATTTGATATGAAATTTCAAATGAGGTTTTGTAACATTTTAATGTTTTTGTATAAACAGTTAGATATTTTCATTATTAGGAAATATTGCTGAATTTTGAAACCGCTTATTTGCTGACTGAGCCGGGATGTTTGATTTACGTCCTCCCGATGTGAAAGGCGCTCTATAAATATAATTTTGTTGTTGTTACATTTCATTTTTCCCAGGTACATTAACCAGAATTGCACTGATAGCCAAACAATACCATTCAGCTGTAATCATATGAACAATATACTTGTGATCCAAAACTGTCCTTTAGATACTGAGTGATCCCTCTCTCCTCACTCCATTGTATTATAGACTTAAGGTCCCGCTTGTTTTGCAGGTATTCACTCACTGGAGAATTCCGATTTGCCAAGAGACAGTGTTCTGTGGCGGATCCTGCAGGTGCAGATGTTAGATATGCTGGATATTGACGGAGTTTATCCCCTGTACCAGAGAGTGCAGCAGCACCTGGAGACTTCTCCAAAAGACAGGTCAGATGTGATTGTATTGTCGGTATGTGTATGTGAGTGTCTTGTCTGGGTTTTTTGTTGGGGAAAAAAAAAATCCTGTTTTTCTGTTCTTGGTGTCGTGTTTCTGTAACTCTTTATCTGAACTTCTGACAGCAATGAATCCCCCGTTGTTTCCCATCCATTCCGGTCTGTCTGGTTTCTGCTGTGCGTTACCCACCACAAGATGGGGCTCTAGGATTGAAAGCTCATTATTTAGGTGAAGCAGAACAAACCCACTGCTTAACGTGGTGGTCAACCTGCGGCAACGCTCAGACTGTGTCCGGAGCCCAGGCTTAGTCTAACTTAATAATAATAATAATCCTTGCATTTGATATAGCGCTTTTCACGTCGGGAGGACGTCCCAAAGCGCTTCACAGAGTACACTGTAAAGTGAATTGACTGTATATTTGTGGGCGAACGCGGCAGCCAATTGCGCACAGCAATGTCCCACAAACAGTTGTAGATTGAAAATGACCAATTTATTATTGTTTTTGGTTTTGGAGGGATTATTATTAGGCTCTGTGTGGAGTAAGGAAACTTGCCCGAGGTTTCGCCCTCTGCCTGGAATTGAACTCAGGTCTCTCACTTGCAAAGCGAGTGCTCTAACCACTGAGCCACAGGACTTGGCAAGTTCCAGCTGAGCAAGCAACTGCACTTTCATTGTAAACCGGAAAACAGTGACAGAAAATCTACTGAATAGGTGACTCATTTGATTCATGTAAATAATGTTAAAGCCCTGTTTTCTTTACAGTTTTTATTATTTACATTAATCAAGTGAGTCAACTATTCCATAAATTTTCTGTCACTGGTTTCCGTTTCACAATGAAAATGCAGTTGATTGATTTACCCTAATGCTGTGAACTTTAAAGCATTCCCACACTTTGCGTTTGTGTTAGGAGAGAACTTAAACTGAGCTCAGTAATAAAGTAACTAATCCTAACATTACACATTTAGTGTTTGAATAATGGGTTAATCATTTCCATCTCCATCCACAGAATCCGATTACATTTAGATGGCCCTTATGATGAAGACTTCTATGAAAGTCTGTCAGATCTGCGTTCTGAGGATGATGGGACTGTGGAGTACGCAGCTCGAAAGGTGAATAGTGATGGAAATATTCATGTTTATCATTATTTTATTAACATCAGCTTGGATGGTTATTAGTCCTGTTGCCCCCGAGTCAAAGCTTATGGATTCAACCCTAAATTGAGTCTTTGACTTTGAGCGTTGTCTAAGCTGATATTCCAAGGTGAGAGAGCTCTGCATTGTTGGGACCCCATCCATGAAATGAGCTGTTATAGGTCGATGTTGAAGATCCTGACATTGTTGGGAAAGTGAAGTCCCTCACAATGTCCTGACCAGCAGTGAAGCCTGAAGTGGAGCAGATTGCTTGTCTACAACAAGATTCCATCTATAGAGTGCCTTTCACGTCGGGATGACATCCCAAGGCGCTGGACAGTTGGGTCAGGACCCGAGCATTGGGGGGAAATGGTCAGGGTGAGGGGAGGGAAGGGAGGGAGCGAGGAGGGGGTAGAGAGTCGAGAGGGGAGCTGAAGGCCCGGTCAAAGAGAAAGGTCTTGAGACCGGCCTTGAAGGAGGAAGGGAGGAGGCGGCGAAGGCACTGGGGGATAGAGTTCCAGATCCTCGGGGCTGAGAGGCTGAAGGCCCGGCCACCGATGGTAGGGCGGTTGGGGCGGAGTCTAGTGACATTAGCTAATCTGACTTCAGCATGTAGTGAGCTGAGGCTCCTTCAGATTCCACCTTGTGATTTCTCCATGAACCGGAGCAGCCTTTGACACTGGATTGTGATAAAGTTAATGAATCTAATTGCGGATCTGCATTTCTTTTTTTCACCCACAAAATACATTCACTACTTTTTACAATATATTCTGTGAAGCGCTTTGAGATGTCTCAAAGATGTATTAAAGCTCTATATCAAATGCAAGTGTTATTATCTTTTACCCAAAAATTGAACTTTTGTTTCAGATTCACCAATACAGGGTGGCTATGACGGCAAAGGACTGTTCCATCATGATCGCCCTTTCCCCTTATCCTGTGGAGGAAGGGTAAGGTCTGGGGGTGGGGAAAGAGAAACTGAACAGCAATTGTAAAGTTATTGAATTAGTTACTTTTTTGTATTGAAAGTAAGTTTCCCAAATGTGGAACCATTCATTGTGTAATGCGTGAATTTTAAGTGACTGGGTGATGTATTGCTGAATGGAGGTATATTTGATATGGTACATGATTTTTTTCATTCACAGGCATGAGCCCAGCAACGAAATCCAGACATCCAGGGCCTGCTTTGTATTTTCTGTCTCTATCCTAGATTTGGATCCCAAACCTTACGAAAACATTGCACATCAATACAACCTGGATGGAAAGATAATAAACTATTACGTGCAGAAGACAAAGACCAAAATGGCTGCCACATCTCCAAGCTTCCCAATAGAGAATGAAGACTGTACCTTGTATTTCCACTCGGTGTGAACTGCAGGATGTTGGCATTTCCTGAGTTGAGTGGAATGACTGCAAGAGGCTGTGGAGCAGAGCACCCACTTTACACATTGTGTGGCCAGAGTGTTAAACACCCAGTCTGTTTGTTGGGGGAGGAGAAAGATTTTTAAATTGTATATTTTTGAAAAGCTGTAATGGATTGGACAACTTATTTAAATATTTGCCTTTCGCCAACAAAAATAGCACTAAAAGCATTTCTGAAAAATCAAGTCACTTACAACGTTTAGAAATCCTAAAGCACAAGGTGTGTGAGGTTTCAGTTCAGTTTGTGGTAACACACGCCCTAGAGTGCTTTATAACTTATTGTGCAGGTGATGGTGGGTGAGAGTTGAGCTTAAATAAAGGCTTCAGTTCCTTCAGTTCCCGAGCACTGAAACTCGCAGAGGCGGTGGATATAGTCTAGTAACCCCATAATGAAGGAAACTTTCACATATTTTAGTTTTTGCTGCATCTTATTTTGAGATTATTAGTGTGAAGTTTAGGGCTGAATAAAAGGTCAGAATTAATATTTTTAAAATCGTTACTTAAAGCTTTGGCTCATCACTGAAATTGCTGCTAAACAACCACTTTGCCTCTATGTGGCTTCAGTTTATGCCAATTACTCTACTGGGAGCGGCTGCTGCCAGTTGCAAAGCATTACCATACCAATTCTTGTTTTAACCTTGCATGGTGTGCAGAATTTGGTGCTCAGATGGAAACCAACTTTCAGGGTATTTAACTTATAAATTTTAGATTTGTGCCAAGATTTTACCTGTTATAAACTAGAGTAAAAGCTAACTGCAGGTAAAAGTGGAGAAGTTCCCGCTTGTCCAGCTAGGACCACTCTACCTACTAGGGCTTCAGCTTGCAGGGTTGACAGGAGCTGAGTGGGAGGATTCCCTACACTCAGTGACTGTCTTTGCAAGTCGTGCCGTTGGGCCAGCGGGGCTGTGCTGGACACACAGCAGAGCATCCTGGAGTACTGCAGACCTGTCTGATTCAGGAACTGACATTTCGTTGCCAAACACGTTACTTTGGATCCAGTGCAGCCACGGGAGACCCTGCTTACTGCCCCCCCCTCTCCCTCGGAGGAGATGGAGAAGTTTGGTAGTGTAAACACAGGTACAGCTTTAATATCCCTTCCTAGTGGATTATAATAACTCAGATTGTTTTATTGGGCATGAAAATGGAATCTTTATAATGGGAGTTGGAGGTAGGGACTCCTGCTACGCCACTAACGCAGAGAATGCCCTCTGCAAACATTGTGTTAAGAGAGCTTCTTGCTGGTAGGAAATCGGTTGCTGTCAGTGGTGAAAACAGAAGCCGCTGGGAACACGCAGCAGGTCAGGCAGTATCCATAAAGAGAGGAAAATGGGTTAACGTTTCAGGTCTATGACCTTTCTGACAAATCTGCTTGCGATTTTCTTCCTGACATGACTTCCCCCAATCCATCATCGAGTGATTTGGGGTGGAAAGGGATCAGCCTCACAGGTGGCCTCTGTAGATTTCCGGCTGGTGTTGAGTGGTTTTGTGAGGTGGGGTCTTTGGCTGAGGAGAGGCTGAAGAGATGAGAATTGCCATCACTTCTCTCAGTGGTTGATGTGATTAACTGGAAGTAGAATAGTTTCACTGACCAAGCATAAGTGTTGGTTTTCAAATCTGAGCTTTGAAAGAATATTTTTTACGTTGGTTTTATTCATTTTTAGTTTTAAATGTTTTCAGTTCTAAATCCAGCTAAAGAGTAGTGAGCTAATGGTTGTGACATCATCTGGTGCTGGTCAGTGGTCAGAAAACACCTCTTTCTTGGTTACTGAACACCTGTTGCCAGTTGTTTTATGTGGATAACTTACACCAGAGACTGACATTGCACAGGATGGAAACAAATCTCTCGTTCATAAAAAGTGGGTTCAGATTGGTCCATTTTCCTGGTATAAATTCAAAAACATTAATTAGAAATATTTTTTAAATCTTAGAATCTATTTGTGAGGAATAAATTACAAATTGAAGAACTTTTTTGTTGTGTTTTGGAGATGGTGAACTACCCAACCAAAGACATTGTGAGCAAAAGGTTGTTAATTGATATTTCCTTCTCGTATTGTATTAGGAGTGGCCAAGTGAATGGAAATCAAGCTTGTGTCACTGACTAGTGTACATTGTCCTGTTAGTCTTGAGAATCAAACATTGAATAAAAAGATCTGTGTAGTATTTGACTTGCTTGTGCAAACACCATTTCTCAGTGTCCATAGGGTCCATGGACACAATGTGTATCCGGAGCATTGCAGGGTTTTCCAAGGATGTGGTTAAACAACTGTGAAAAGAATTGTGATTTTCTCAACCTAAGATCATACAGAGTGGAAATATTTAGTTCATATTCTGAGCCACAAGTTGTGTGAAACATTGCAGTTTGCACTGGATGAGTTGTATAGGAAGCATGATAATTATATATGATTTATGTTAGTTTATAGCGTCGTTTTGACAAACTATTATTTTTAAAGATGATTAACATTGTTTAGTACTGCTTTATATAATCCATCATATCTACTGTCAGATCATCGCTCGTTCACAATGTGATGGATTTGGTAACTGCAGCTAACTCAACATGAGTAATCTTTTGCTGTCCTGATTATTGGTATGAGTCACTACACCCTGGCCTTGGTACACTTGCTGGTAACTATACAGTGTTAGGCTGCAGCTTTATCAGTGTAACCAGTGGCATTCGAGTGGGTGACAGATGTTGTACTGGCAGGAAGTTGTTTCTTGGACAGTCAGTTGCATGTGCACTGTGGTGAGGCCAAGTCTTTACAAACATTTACCAACTCAGTATTTCCAACCTGAATACTTTCATTTCATGATTACTCTCAAATACAAGTCTACTTTTCTGATTTATTTGGCCAAACGAGAATCAATTGACACTGTTGTACACTGCTCACAGACTTGCTGTGTTTTATCATTGCCATTTATGAACTTTCTGTGTTAATCAGAAATGCTAATTCAGTTAATTTTAATTTACTGTGTTATTCCCTCAAAGTTACAGAAATGTCATTTATAGTATATGTGTGATCTGTCCACTGAAAGGCAATTTTTTGAAAACTTGTTTAACTGCCAGTTCCAGTTACTACTACTTCAATAATGTGTTAACAGATTCCTACAGTGATATGCAAGGAGCTGTGAATTATCAAACTACTATTGCATTAACTTCATTAAAAGATTGACTGATGAAGCATGTGTAAAAGGTAATTTACAGCACTCAAACCACTGTATTACTGGGGCCTCGGAAATCTTTATTGTAAAATTGCAAGAAAGTTTGCTTTGTAAATACTTGTTTTTGCATTTTGTTTTTAAATGCTATATTTATTTTTCATCTTGTGAGTGCGTGCCATAGGAGAAATAAAGTATATTCCCAGTGGCTCCTGATGTACAGAAGCAATATTTTGAAATGTCTTTGTGCATCACAAAGACTGCAAATTGAATGGCTTAGGTTGGTTATATATTTACACAATTCAAAGGAAAAACAAGTCATTTGTTATTGTGAGAATGGTCATGTTCCCATTGCTGAGTACAGCATGAATACAGTCAGTCTTTTGTACACAATGCTTTAATCAGGCTCTCGATTGCACCCTCAATCCCAAACAGGCGCAGGAGTGTTCTGAAGCTACTACCTGCATTTTCCACAACTTTGTTCACGTCGAGATTAAGTGCTGTAGAGAAACAATAACAGGATTTTAGGAAACATTCACCCAAGGTTCCCTTCAGAACTACGGTCCTCTCCTTCGCCGTGTCCAACATGAGCTATGTATTCATTGATTCACCATGGACGTGTTGGGATGCGGCTAGCGGCCTGTGTTATGGACCAGATTATTCAGTTTGCTCTCGGCCTTTTTCCACTGTAAGGCTGATTCTTGTCTTTCTTAGCGTTTCCACTGACAGTACAGTTGACCTCAAAGCTCACTCAATAAGGAATTGGAAGCATGAACTTCCATCTAAAGGGCCTGGAGGATTGGTGCACCTGTGATCTGCTGTTCTGCAGGAATTCTACGGAGGTGATTTGTGCCAGAGGAATAGTACGTGGAAAGCTCACTTGGGTCATAGAAGACTCGAGCGGAACTCTCGACAAAAGGTTAGTACAAATGTGAGCAAAATGTCTGCGGAGGGATTGAGCTTTGAGCAGGGACTGCTTTTGAACAGCGGAAACGTGAACTTTTGTTACAGCAAAACAGACAGGAGGATCTCTTCCTACTCTTAAGCCAAATTCCCTGCTCTTTTCCTTGACATGAAAAGTACTATACCAAATAGAAGAATTATTATTACTACTCATATTGTTCCTCAACATAATTATCCAATTCTCTTAACTGTTATGGCCTAAACCTCAACAACCACTTGTGGTAAAACAATTCATTGCTGCCACCTGGTGACTTGGCTGGAATCTGCCATTTTGTTGGGTCAATGACTGGACCTTTGGAGATCATTCTCCTGTTGGTACTTTGCTGTGAATTAGACCAATAGATTTAGCAACGTGTAACTAAACCTAAAGCCGTGTTCCTAATTATAGAGTAACCAAAGCTTCTGCAGTTGCAGACTCTATAGTTAACAATACAGCTTGATTTAACAATCAAACTGGCGTATGTTGTGGAATTTTAAAAAATTGCCAAAAAATAAGATAATTGTCACAGCATCCCGTGCCTATGTGGAGGCCAAACATATCTTTCAGCGAAACATATGGTGCAACCAAACACAGAGGCATCTGCTGGACCGTCTCACTGGAACAAGGTCATGCGCTATGGTTTGTTTAAAAAAAACAGCAAAAAATCTAGTGGGAGTGCTTTGACATCCTGTCTGGTCTCACTTATAATTAGAAAAGAATGTTAGAGCAGCTGTACAAACACACAAAGGGTTAATTAAACATTTCAGATATCCATTAGGTAACAGAAGTATTATAAATGTTTATTATTTACTCCATTGTTGGTCTCAACATTATTGTTAAGAGTCAATACTTTCATACTGTATGATTCTATATGGAGTTTCAGAGGATTCACTAAACGGCAACTGTGTTGAAATTCTAAATTACATTTAAACCTTACCCTGTTCTGGTATTTTAGTCAAAAGATCTAGGACTGGGGTAACCAGCCCATCGTCACTCACAAGTATTTTCCAGAAAATCCTCAGCTCAAATCTGTAAGAGAGATGTTTGTCCAGGAATTAAAATATCACCAAATTTTGCCTTAAAACATTTACAAATCTCACAATTATAACATGTAAATTGCGATGTGACTGCTTATTCTTGATAGAACAGAGTGGGCGTCTGAATCTGGGGTGAAAGTGGAGTTCCAGAGGTTGGGGCAGAAAGGCTGAAGGCCTGATTGCTGATGGTGGAGCAGACGTGTCATTCACATTGGAACGACGCCTCAAAGCACTTCACAGGATTTACTGTAAAGGCTAGTGACTATATTGTAGGCAAACACTGCAACCTGATTGTGCACAGCAATGTCCCACAAATAGCAATGAAACAAATGACCAATTTTATTAATAATAATCCTTGCATTTGATACAGCGCCTTATCGCGTCATTGAAATGTCTAAAAGTGCTTCACAGGATATACTGTAAAGTGCAGTGATTGTGTATGTTGGGGTGACACACGGCAGCCAGTTTGGGCCATGGAATGAGTGACTGCCAATCCAATATCAAAGCACTTGATGTGATTGTCTGAATGCAAACCACAGTCACTGGACATATTAATAAAATTACAAATAATTCTATATAGCAATTGTCTAGGTTTACAATAATAATCCATGTTAATTATAATGAATGGATTTGAACAGTTTCTTACCCAGTGAGGCTGGGGCACTGCAGCACCAGACATTCCCCACTCCCTCTCTCTGGGAGCCTCACTGTCTCGGGGTATTTGTCCTGCAAAAAAAAGTTCACCTTGAGACTACAGCAACAACTCGAATTTATATAGTGCCCTTCCTGTCGGACGGTGTCTCGGACTAGGCAATAAAATAATTATAAAGACTGTACAGCATGACAACTGACCATTTAGATTCAACTAGTCCACAATGGTGTTTATATTAAACATGAGATTCCAACTCTGCCAATCCCCTCTCCCACACCCTCTTCCCTTCTCCCTCAGGCAGCGCAGGAAAGAACACGATTTGTTCATGGCGTTTCTGTGTTGCGACATTCCATGCCTCTTGTGATTTTGACAGACATGGGTCAGGCCCAGAGAAAATCAGTGTCCTATTTTAGAAGTTAAGTGGTTAGAACAAGGCAACTCTCATCATTCATTTTACTGTCGCAATGTAATAAACTGCTCACACTAATGTCTATGGTTCTTGCCTCTATGGCTCCTAAAGCAGAAGCACTTCCTATCAACAGCTTCTCTGTGTAAGGGAGTGTCAGGAACATGGCGAGCAGATTCTAAGTGCTAAATCATTATGAACTCCAGTCAAAATCGTGCTTCACACTAATGTCAGAGTGACCGAAGCCTCCAGCCCCTAGTTTTAGTCCTTTGTCATTTCTACAGGTTCACCTAATCTCAGAACAGGAAGAGCAACAATGGTAAAGAACCACGTGTGGAGCACAAAACCTCTGCACCTTCATTACGAGGCTTTCATTCCCAGCAGTTTTTTTGCAATTGTAACTCTCACACCAAGAGGACTCAAAGTGCTTCACTGTATTTACTGTAAAATGTAGTGACTATGTATTTTGTAGGTGAATGTGGCAGCAAATTTGCATATAGTAATGTTCCACAAACAGCTATGAGTGAATCACTGATTTTATCGGGGATTGTTGGCTAGAATTACAATAGGAAGACTATGTGCAGATCGGAGTAGAGAGCGAGAGCGCAGAGAGCAGCCCTGACCCTTTGCACAGGGCTGATGCACAAAATCTGTGAAATGCAATTGAAGTATTTGAGTGTGTGGAAAAAATGTTTGTTTACATTACGTTCAAAGAGAAAAACAGCTGTGTTTGTAATAAAAGCAGCTGGTCCCAGATGAATTAGCACAATAAAACCAAAGCCAATCTAGCACAGGAATGTTTGGCCAGGGGACTGGAGAGAGAACCGATAAGAGAACAGAGTGAAAAGAAAGAAAAGCTGACGTAGATTCTAGAGAATATGTCTGGCAACACTGGGTTGCACTATACAGCGCCTTATCAGGATATACAGTAATGTGCATATTGAGGGTGAAACATGCAGCTAATTTGCACCCATCAATGTCCCACAAACAGCCATAGAGTAAATGACCAATTTTATTTAGTTACCTCAGCAATCTGGTCCTCTCCCAATCTCCATGCATATACATGATGGTGATCAGAAAGAGAAGCCTTGAGCCAACTTTCCTGCTCCAGCTGAGACCACAGAAGAGAGTGAAGTGGAAACTGCATTGTGTGTGGTCATTGGTACACCACACTACTGTATACCACTCGGGCGCACGCAGAAATGTTGCTGGGTCAGCTGTTGAGGTGAAAAAAAGTCCTGAGTTGTACTCAGACCCAGCCTGATTCCGCACTTGTTCCGTCTGCTCTCTGCTCAGTCAGTCTGCCATCGTTTCTGACCTCTGTCCATTTTAACAATCATTAATAAACCGCATGCACTACACTTGATGGCTTATAGCAATCAGATGGTAAAGGTGTAGAAGATAGTATTTATTTTAAAATTAAAGGACTATTAAAATTTACAAGGAAAGAATTTCGTATTTTGTATTAATTTATGAAAGAGAAAAGGAAGAAGTCTTGCAACAAAATACTAAATAATCCTACCTATTGTGTGGAAATGTCATATTAAGATAACCAGAAACACCCAACCAGAAATAAATATGCTTTCTTAAATTCAACTAATAAAAACTTATACTCCCGTTTTAGAACTGCTGACGTGTCTCAACCCTTTTCTCTATTTAACACAAACTACGGTACATACAATCACCCCAGATCTTGGCCGACTGTATTCTATAAAAGGGACTGGTTTATATAAACTATTAATAGCGGCACTGGATTCTTGAACTCCACGAAAGGGCTAGAAATTACCTCCACATTTTCATTTTTATTAATATTAACTTCAACGTTACTCAGGGAAACCTCGCTTTAAACAAAAGTTCAGCCCATCTGCTTGTCACTATTGGGAGTCAAGCATCTGGCCCTGATAAGACTGACTAAAAGCGACAGGAAGCACCTAGTCTCACAGAGGGTCGGAAAAGTTGTGGTAATGTATTGTGACTCTTTTGTGTTCAAAGCTCTTTATTTCCATTTGCTGTCTTTACTTCAGTCCACTAAAGTCTAACAGTGTCGGGTTACAGGAAACGAATATGTGTTGAAACAAGTCAATTCTATAATTTTTACATCTGTATCCATTAATACACGGCTGGCGTACTCACAAACACAATGTAGAAACAATTCAAAACCATTCTATGACTTTTGTAACAAAAGTTGTGGGTTTTATTTGATGTTAGGAAAGCTTACAACAATTTGTACTGCTCATCTTACCAAATTCTCTACAAAACTGTTCCTGATTCTGAAACAAAGTGGAGGAGGGTAGCTTTGGGATTTATGTAAGTTAGTTTGTGAGACTTCTGCAGCCGACAATGAAAGAATGCTTTTCGTGCTGCCTGGTGGAGGGGCTGGGGTTGTGGTGTGGCTTTGTATAGCTTTGTGTCACATACATTTACTATCCTGTAGCTGCCTCAGTGTCAGCAAGTTCCCAGCTGAGCCTTGTTATCCCAAGGACCATTCAACCTCCTTTCTCTGAGCAGGCTCTTTGTTGCCTCAATAAAACTTCCCCTGACTCTTTACTATAAATCACTCTCTTTTACCCCAGAAGCCAGGCTCAGAACAGCATAGTTGGGGACTTAGCTGTCTTGTTTGACCTTTTAGTTAGAAGATGACTGCAGAGCAAATTCCTGCTGAAACATAAATGATGCTGAGTGACATCTCTCGGGTGAGAACAAAAGCTATCTTTTATTCAATTAGTTCTTTATTGTAGTCACTGATGATCTGACATTTTGAATTTGGATGACAAGATTTGAGCATAATGCTTTGTACACGGAATGGCTCATTTTCTACCGCATTCTTTTTCAAACATGTCAGTAAAGTGGCACTTGCTTAAATCAGTTTTCTCTCTGAGAATTTAGAACTGCACAGAGTGATATTACACTGACTATAAAAACACAATCCTAAAACACGAGCAATAGTTGACGCAGAATCCATATTGGCCTTCAAGAGGGAATTAGACCTTAAAAAGAGTCAGCTGTAGAGATATGGGGGGAAACAGCAGATAAATGGGACTGAAAGGATTGTTCTTGAGGGAGTCGTCACAGACACAATAGGCTGAATGGAAATTGAGTTAAGAGGCAGTTCAATGCTTCAAAGCTAAACCCCATTTTACTTTTTGTATTTGTTGATTTACTGGATCATTTTGAAATCTTTCATAACAAGTACAGCTTGTTGGCCTTAGATTAGCGACTAATGATCTCCAATTACCACAGAAACAAGTGGCTAGTAATCACATACACTGCATTTAACTTGGTTCTAGCACAACTGGGACCATTATATGAGAAGAGCAATAAAAGGGACTGAGATATACTAAACCCAATTATGGCAAATAGCAGAATGTGTATGTTCTACATTTACACCATTATACGTAACATTTGCTTCAAAGCGTCTGGGAGTGCTTTGTAACTGTGTAACCACGATGCAGTGAAGGCATAGTTATCACAGGGTCAATGTTCACAGCCCTCCTTCTCTCAACCTCCATCGTGTCAGTTTAACTTCATACAGGATAACACAAAATACTCTGAAATTTCACCTTAGAAGCTGCTTAAAACAACAGAAACCCGCTTCCTAATTAAGACTGAACTTAAGAATTGCTCCACCCATAATTCTTCACAATTCTAAATTTTAAGCCAAAACACTTATTCTTAAGGCTGTGTGGAACTGCTGCCTAAAGTGTGGCCACAAGTATTACAGTTCATCAAGTACTGCTTAGAAGGGTTGAGGAAGGGATGTGGAGAAGGATTTGCTGAAAGGAAGCACCTCTCCCATTTTAAAAGTAGAACAACTACTTAACAATTGATAATACTTTATGTACCTGAGAACAGGAAGTAAACTATACTGTAGCACAGAAGCAAGTCACTTAGAGAAATCTTTTTGTTTTCAGTAGGCAGTCCAGTGGTTGGAATCCAAGGCACACTGAAGCATGGACTTAAAAAACAGGGTAAGTCGGATGAATAACAAATTGGCAGAAGAAACTTTTGGTTTAACAGTAAATGTAAAAGAAAAATGTTCTTTTACATTTACTGTTTATTATAAAAAATACTTCAGGAAAGTGCTGGGTTTCAGAAATGGGTGCCACTTGAGGAAGCTTCAATCATGACTTGAGGAACTGCAATTTGCTAACAAATGGTTTCTGTTCTCAAAATGACTGACGCCTCTGTTGCCTGAGTGTGAGGCTGACCAGATTCTCATGGCGTGGACCACATGCCAACCTCCATGAAAGACCTTGTTCTGTCTCTGTGCCATGTCCTCTCCTCTTACTTTCCAGTGTTCAGACCCTAATCAATGACGGCTCTGGAGAATCAATGTTCACAAGATCACAAAATTAGTTCAGATGAAGACGGTCCTTTGTCCCAACTGATCTCATCCTCCAGAACACCTACTCCACTGTCTCCCATTATATGTTCTTGCCAATGAAGGAGCCATTCCTACATACTAGAGGTGTCCGAGGCCTACATGTGTGTCCTGCTCTTCCTATTTGGCTTTTATTCTCCATGGTCAAGTCTCTGTACCAACAAATTATCCAAAATTCTGATCTAATTCTATCACTCATTCTCTGATGTGGTCAGATAGCAAAAATAGCATTTTGTGGAAAATATTGGCTGTGAGTATAATGTTACCATATACCTCACTGCTATCTGGCCTTCTCTTTTCACTAATTGTTGTCTTATTATATTTGGACTCTTTGAGGATCTTTTCTGTCCAAGCTGCCCGGTCCAAGGCAGGATCCATTAACCGAGACATCCCAGTCACCAATAGTCTATGTTCCATTATCCAAACTTCACATCAACAAATAGGAATTACGATTGGGTAAAGCCAGTCAGGAACCTCGGTGTCTTGTTCGACCCTCAACTGTCTTCTTCCCCACCTCCAAGCCATGACCCGCTCTGTCTTCCCTCACCTCCGTAACATTGCCCGACTCCGCCACTGCCTCACCCCTCAGGCGCTGAAATTCTTGTTCATGGCTTCATCACCTCCAGGCTCGACTATGCAAACGCCTGCGTGTCGGCCTTCCCAACTCCTCCCTCCACAGCTGCAAATAATCCAGAACTCTGCAGCCCGTGACCTCTCCCACACCGAACTCCGTGACCCCATCTCCCCCATTCTCACCCAACTCCATTGGCTCCCTATCCTTCAGAGGATCCAGTTCAAGATCCTGGTCCTCACATACAAAGCCCTCCATGGCCTCGCCCCACCCTACTTCTGCGACCTGCTAACCCCCTACCAACCTGCCTGTTCCCTCCGCTCAGCCGGCTCTGGCTGCTCCACGTTCCCCGACCCACCCGCCCCACCATTGGCAGGAGAGCCTTCAGCCACTCTGCCCCCAACCTCTGGAATTCCATCCCCCAATCACTCTGCCTCGGCCCCTCCTTAGCCTCCTTCAAATCCTGCCTCAAGACCCTCCTCTTTGACCATGCCATCAGCCACCCCCCTTCCCCTCCCCTGCCTTCTCACCCCCTGACCCCAGATCGGGTCTGAAATGCAGTACATTGTCCAGCGCCTTGGGACGTCCTCTCGACGTGAAAGGCGCTATACAAATGTAATGTTGTTGTCTTCAACAAAATCCATTTGGCAAAATCTGTTTGTTTATTTGTAGTGGGAGAGAAAAGAGCCAAAAGAATCCAGCATCATGTTTGTCATGATGATATCACCTGGTAGTGACACACTATCATCTTGTGTAGTTCACATCCAGCAGAGCCTGTAATTTCCTACCACACAGCAGCACGAACATGACACACAAAGTGGGCACAAAACTGTCATTGCAGTTCATGAGTGTAAAACCTACCTGCAACTACAACTTTGAGCATTTAGTGACAATTGATAGTTGTATTGTTCAGTACCATTTACTGTAGTAGTCAAACCATGCTTTTTTGATTCCTCAGAATTTTTCCTTTTTTTTCAGTCTTTGCGGTTTTGTTCTGATTCCCAAATATGATGTTGCAACAGCAGTAACTAATACGCTGTGAATTCCTCAGCTCTTTAGTGCTCTGGCCAAGTTGTGGTCAACATTGAGAATTTTCCACCAGTTTTCAGTGCTGGCTTTGTGTGCCATGACTGGTAAAAGTGTCCACTAGTCAATCGACTGCAAGTTAATAGAGACTCTTGGAACTGATTCAGTCGCTGTATTCCAGGAGCCAGGTTTGTCTGTGAAATAGTCCGTTTGTTCTGTGGTGCAGTTTTATTGAGAGGACCATGCAGCTCATTTCTGTGATTACATCGATTGCAGCTGTCTGCTCACATGTTTGCTTAATGTTTTCAGATGGTTGATCAATTTCTTTCACTTTCACTCCACCAGACTCCAATCATCCTAAAGCCCCATTCCTCCCTTGTCCCTGCCATATTTCTCTATTTCCTTCTTCCTAATGCATGCATAATTTTTTTCTTAAATGCTTGATCTGCCTGCTTCAATCTCAGCTTCTGGCAGTGAGTTCCACATTCTCACTACCCTCTGTAGAAATTGTGTGGCCCAGAATGTTACTTTGGGAGTGCACTGGAGCAGAACATTTCTTGTGATATCAGAAACCCATCATTGCTTCCTCTGGGTACTGACACTGGCTGTTGTTTCATTTTTACAATTATTTCCATGAGTGATAGTAGATCTTCTGCTCAGTCTAGAAGCAACCCTTTTGCTGTGTTTTCTCTTCTGACCCTGTTCTTCAGTTAAATAATCCTTTTGACAGGTAGCAGATTTGATATTGGCATTTGGACACTTGCCTCAGCTGGTACTTTATGATGTTTTTGGAAACTACTGAAACCATTCACAAACGTATGATTAAAAAATCAACTAAACCCTGCTTTTGTTCTTGTTCTGCAGCTAGCACCTCAAACAATGAAGGTAATGACTATAGTTTTGTTGTGCCTACTTTTCAATTTGTGCCTCACTCTTGGTAAGAAACAAACATGGACACGAGCTAAAGGTCAGAAGAGGAGATCACGTCCTGAAGGGCGGGATCGAGTCAGCTCTCTGAATGCTATTGCAGCCAGAGAAGCCAAACCCAGCAGCGATCGTCGTCATTCTCCTCTAATAGCTCCCAATATCAACGCTGACCAAAGTATTGTAACGATGCTCGATTCGTACATTGGTGCTGAAAACGTTGAGTCCACCTACAATGTGCTGCCAGGTTAGTGAGAAATTAAACACGGTTTATCCACTCAGTTCAAGGGTAAACACCGCACATGTAATGATTCTCAATCCATAACACCGGTGTATTAAATAATTATTTTATTCTTGGCTCACAATTCCAACCATAAACCCACACAGTTCCCAGAGGGCGAAACCTTGGGCAAGTTTCCTTACTCCACACAGAGCCTAATAATAATCCCTCCAAAACCCAAAACAATAATAAATTGGTCATTTTCAATCTACGACTGTTTGTGGGACATTGCTGTGCGCAATTGGCTGCCGCGTTCGCCCACAAATATACAGTCAATTCATTTTGCAGTGTGTTCTGTGAAGCGCTTTGGACGTCGAGAAGATATATCAAATGCGAAGATTATTATTATTATTATTACGTAAATCTATCTGTATTATCTGCTTCAATGGCCACTGATGGGAGTGAGTTACGCACAGTGTTGCCCTCTGTCTGAAGAAGTTCCTTCTGAATTCCCATTTCAATCCTCAGTCACTATCTTATACTCGTGTTTCTCCGTGAAGTCTCGGTCACAAATAGGAACCACCTATTTGAGCTGTAATACCATGTTGTATTGGTGTCACTTGTGGTATTGCAATCAGTGCTGTAGCTCAGTGGTTAGAGCACTCACTTTGCGAGTGAGAGACCCGGGTTCAATTCCAGGCAGAGGGCGAAACCTTGGGCAAGGTTCCTTACTCCACACAGAGCCTAATAATAATCCCTCCAAAACCACAAACAATAATAATAAATTGGTCATTTTCAATCCATATGACTGTTTGTGGGACATTGCTGTGCGCAATTGGCTGCCGCGTTCGCCCACAAATATAGTCAATTCACTTTGCAGTGTGTTCTGTGAAGCGCTTTGGGACGTCGAGAAGACGTGAAAAGTGCTATATAAATGCAAGGATTATTATTATTATTATTCCCTTCCCAGGATCTTTTTATATGTTTTGCTTCTATTTCACCAGCTCTTTCTCAATTGCATTTTTACTTCTTAAAGGGATATCCTACAGCACAAACAAACCTGGACAAATCTCTCTCTCTCTCTCCCACTGAGACCACATTGATTTCTCTTTCCCATTTTCGTGTCTCTTGTTCCTGTATTAGAGTATGTATCCATCATGCCAAATCTATTTTTAGATGATCTGCAATAGAAATCTAATGTGATTTTATTGATAGGTAAAGAAGGACACTGCAAAGCAAATGGCATGATCATGTATGATAAAGCAGTCTGGTCTCCAAAGCCTTGTGTGATCTGCATGTGCTCAAATGGAAACGTGGCCTGTGATGAAATGTCATGTGCAACACTGAACTGTTCCAGGACTGCAGTAGCAGCAGGAGAGTGCTGCCCACATTGTACTTACATGGGTAATCCAGCATCCTTACCTTCACATCGATTGCTCACTAACTAAAACATAACTCTTTTAAACAAGAACGCACAAAAGACTTGAAGAATAATGATATAAAAGGGTCACAAGGAGAAAGTAGAGAAGTGAGATTACAGAACTCCAGTTAGAAAGGCACAGGCTTAATAGGCCAAATGGCTCCATCAATGCTGAGATTTCGCTGATTCTCTAAGTAGCTAAAACTAAGACCAAATGTAAAAATGTATTTTAAATCATCAAAGCATTTTACAGATGAAGGTATTGTATCATATTACACTTTTAATTGTTTTAGTCCAACTCTAATTATTAATTAATTTCAGGGCTATTTATAAGACAGACAGAAGAAGCACAAAATGGCTGTCTTGTTTGCCTACCAAAAAATACACATTTACTCATTAAATCCTTGATAAATTTTCACTTTGTGATTTTAGCAACACGTTGTTTTTAATAGTTTCTCTTCCTTTGAAGAACGTTATTAACAGTCTTAAATGTTCTGATTATTCTTCAGAGCCAAATGATCCAAGTGAATCAATTCTTCCGAGTTCTTTCAGCAATCACAATCTGCTCGCAGAACCAGAGGAACAAGTGAGTGGAGAAAAACTGGAAGAGGAGGAAGAACTACACAAAACATTTGGAGAATATAAAAGAAAGAGAAAAGAGAAAAAAACTAAAGATGAAAATAGAAAAGAAGTTGAAGAGGTCCTCCATAGGGAAGAAGAAATGCTAAGACAAGTGAAAGAAGAACTTCAAAAGATATTAAAGGAGGAACAACAACAACAACATCTAGAGAGGGGAGCTGGTCTGGAGAGGGGAGCTGGTCTGGAGAGGGGAGCTGGTCTGGAGAGGGGAGCTGGTCTGGAGAGGGGAGCTGGTCTGGAGAGGGGAGCTGGTCTGGAGAGGGGAGCTGGTCTGGAGAGGGGAGCTGGTCTGGAGAGGGGAGCTGGTCTGGAGAGGGGAGCTGGTCTGGAGAGGGGAGCTGGTCTGGAGAGGGGAGCTGGTCTGGAGAGGGGAGCTGGTCTGGAGAGGGGAGCTGGTCTGGAGAGGGGAGCTGGTCTGGAGAGGGGAGCTGGTCTGGAGAGGGGAGCTGGTCTGGAGAGGGGAGCTGGTCTGGAGAGGGAAATAAAGAGTGAGGAATATCTTGAAGAAATAAGGAATCGTGCAAGAATTGAAGAGGATGAATATGAAGTGGATGAAGAAGAGGAAGATGAATATGAAGAAGAGGAAGATGAGGAAGAGGAGGGCTTTTCTGGATATCCATTATTTCCTTCTATATTAGACAGTGATTTGTATGACACTGATGACGAGATTGTACCATTTTCTCTGCCAGTTGGCTGTGATATTTCTGATGTGATTATGAACTGCCATAATGCTAGGCTGACCCAAATCCCCCCTCTTCATATTCCAGAACTCAAAAGCCTCAACCTTGAAGGTAAGCAATAATTACAGTATTTCTAAGATAAGTCTTTCTTGTGAAAGTTACATTGCCTAATCCTTTTTCATTAAAAGTTTCATATCAACCTTTGTCTATTTAAGAATGAGGTTCACAAGCACCTAGAGCTGCCTTGTTGGGAAATTGTCTAGAGAAGCTCTAGACCAAGATCCAGGCTGGAACCCAGAGTTTGCCTTTTGCTCTTGAGAGCTATATTCTAAATTTAAAGTTAATTACAAATACATTTGCAGATTCTACAAAGATCATGCTATGTTCAGAGTCTTACACTCTACCAGTGCGATTCCAAACTGTGTGAAAGTAGTTTGAGGATGTAACATTTTAAGTGGCAATAAACTGTAATAACCTATTGTGTTTCAAGTAAGTGAGACTGGTGATTTAAGCTCCAACTAATGTATAAATGTCCTGGTCTTATAGGAAATGCAATCACAACTATAACAGCAGACGCATTCAGTGGGATTCCCAATCTTGAATGGATTGACCTCAGCAGGAATAAGATTTTATCATCAAACATACACCCAACTGCATTCAGAGTGAGTAAATGAGATTACAGTTTTAAAGCAACCTTTATAAAATGTTTATGAATGTTATCTACCTCTCCAAACCCTCCACCTTTTTATGCTCGGCCCATAAAAGACTAAGCAACTAAACATGCAGATCAAATTATAGAAATGTTTCAGCACTCGGAAATACCACATACATGTGACATTTTCATACTGAATATTCTAAGAATTTTTCATGTTTCAAAATACTCTGGGTAAATTGTCTTATTTGCTTTCAGAAATTGAAAAAATTAAAGCGCCTGCACATGGATGGGAATTTGCTGCAACATATCTCAACTGAACTCCCGCTAACATTATTGGAACTAAAATTGAATGAGAACCGTCTTGAATGGTTGGATGAAGAAAGCTTTCATGGTATTTCTGTGCCCCTCACCCTGTATTTGTTTGTCATCCTGCTGAGATGGAAAAGCTGACATGCAGAGAATGATCTATTTCCTATCATTCCATTGCATTACTGATTGCATGTTCAGAGTAATATCAGTTGTATTGTTCTTTTTGCGGGGTGGGGGAATCCTACCGAGCTCACATCAGCTAAATCCTTGCCATTATGATTATTTTGTTTCAATCATTGCAGAGAAGCAAATCTAACCTGGGTAAAGAAGTAAATCGCACTGACAATTATGAGGCACCTTTCTCTCTTTTATATAGCCAATTAAATTAGCCAATAAAGAGCAAAATAAGGACTTTGCAAGAATTTTCATATAGACTCCAAAAGTGAAAAACATTTTGTTTACAAAAATGCTATCATTAAGCAATATTTAACACTATTATACCATGTGATTCTGTTGGTGACAATGAAAAGATAAAATTTATGTCAAAAGCTATTCAGTCATAAAGTGATTAAAAGTTGTTAGAGTAGCTTTAGCAATTTTTAGATTTATTATTTGGTTTAAATCAGAGCCATAATTTGTGTAGCACAATAATGATTCAAACCTAACAACAGGAGCACTGTAGAAGCCTGTTTGCTGAATGTTTTGAGCATGTTTATGAATGATCAACAGTGTTAAGTAATTGTATAACACTTACAACATTTCAACAGATCTGAATAATTTAGTGACCCTAGAACTAGAAGGAAATAACATCAGTGAGATTAATGTTGCACCGACAGCCTTCACACCTTGTAAGAAGCTGATTTACTTACGACTGGGGAGAAATAGATTCAGGACTGTACCTCAAGGCCTTCCTCCCTCTCTTCAGGTAAGCAAGTCTTTGATCTTATCAGTCAAATAATACACCTTGGTTTTGAGATTCTGTATTCAGTATGTATGTGAGTGTGTGTGTGTGAATAAAAACACTGTAGAATCTGAAGTTATCAAGCCAGTTAAAAATTAGGGTTAGGGGACCATTCAGAGACCCAGGTTTTGTGTAATCTAGTTGGCACTTAAACCAAAATGCAATGAACTGTCATTGTGTATCATAAAGTATTATTGATATTAAAATTCTTGATGATAAACAACAGAAGCCTGGATATTTCCTCCTATTTGGCATTTGAGAAAATATTATTCCTAACACATTCCTAAATGAGCAGTCGAAATACACTGCTTACCAGTACTCTGGGGAAAAACTCTGGGGAAAAAGTGGACTAGGGAACAGGAACAGCTCACACATTGTAACTGGCAGCCACTTGCGTGCTCGCTCTACACCGCAGAGTTGCTCGCCAGCACAAACAGGCATTGCAGTTTGTCAATGCATCAAGTCTCTCCAAATGGCAAATGACTTTACATAATACTGTGACCCCTGATGATGGATTGTTGAGGACCATGGAGAATCTAGAAGCAAGTAAATGCTTAAATAGTTAGGCTTAAGTCTGGTGATGTTGTAAATGACCTTAATTATTTCCTGTTAGAAATAAATGTCAGTGATATAGTGTACATACAATGTGGGGGGAATTACAATACGGTGTATTTCAAACATCCAGCAGGAGGAGCTTTTAATTGGCATGTGTTCACATAGATATCTTACGAATAATCTGTGTGTCACAGTACATATGTGCATGATTAATTCCTGTCTCAGACCTGCAATTCACAAAACATGAATTGACTTTCCCACTCTTGCCACCCGGTGTTTCCTGGCTAGAAGCTTGCTGTCTGGATCTGCTGTGCGACTAACTGTGAGGAGCTACACAAGTGCACACTCTCAGCATTGCCCTCCTCATGGGTCCATTGCTGACATCGAGCTCCAGCTCAGTGACATGAAAATATCCCTTGTTCTCAATACAAAAAACATTTCTTCACGTAAAGGGTTATGAGAATACAATACAAAATTACATTTGTATAGTGCCTTTCACGTTGGGAGACATGCCAAGACGCTGAATATGGAAGACATTGCCCCAGAAAGCCAATGGTGCAATTGATTAAGTTTTTAAGAGTGTAATGGACAGGCACTTTGTGAAGTATTGGGAGATAATGTGAAAAAGCTGGAAAATGGAATTGAAAGACCTGTTAAAAAGCAGACTAGCTCAATGGGCCAAATAGCATACTCTTCCTCTATGAGTTCTTCCAATTGTGTACCTCGGGAGCAAGTAAACTCTGAGACTTCTCTAACCACCCGCTCCTTTCTTTATCTGCAGCATTCCTTATCTGATCTCAATGTGTAACTTTTCCATTCCTTGCACTATGGTCTCTCAATCTTCTGAAAAGTTCAATAGTGAAGGTGGACGGAGGAGCTGGTTTGTGTGGAACACTCTTTGCCATGAAGTATTAGATACTCCTTGATCCACGAAGTATTAGATACTCCTTGATCCATGAAGTATTAGATACTCCTTGATCCATGAAGTATTAGGTAAAACTCCATGATTTTCATTGATGCTCACATCTGCAATTCCACGCTGGCCTGTTGTCCTACAGATATTTTCACCCTCAATTCCAGCATCACAAGAACCTTTGTTTCACAAACACTGATTATCTCCGCCTAGGCCCATCCCTCTAATCCTGTTCCTAAACACAGAAATCTGCATTACTTCAAAATCTATTCAGAATTATAACTGCACCTGATGAATTAGTGATTGGGATCAGGCAGAATAACTCTGGGCTTTTCATCATTGAAACAAGTTGCACTGATCACAGATCGGCGTAGCACACAGTAGATACTTTAGAAACCACAACACATAAAGCTGAAAGTTACAAATGTGTGCAATATTGATGGCTTGCTTAAATCCATCTCCCTCCACATGATGTGCTTGTTTTTAAAATGCAGGAACTCTATCTTGAAAATAATGAAATTGAAGAAATATCTGAAGCTGTTTTTAATAAGACCACCAATTTGAATATGATTGTACTTAGGAATAATAAACTGGATGAATCCAGGATAGCACCATTAGCTTGGATGAATCTAGAGTGAGTACTTCATTCGATTTTAATTGATTTCTGTTATTAACTCCCATTGTGATGTACATACTAATAATTAAAAGTCTGAGGATGTATTAGTGTTATGTAACAAATAGTTATGTTATGTAAGATCATCAGCTAACTCAGTGTTAGGCAAATTTGCATTAAGTAGATTTAAAAAAATCTCTTCCAGTGATTTTACCAGATGTGAAGATTAAACTGGAACAGAACTTTTACACATCCGATGTCATGGAAAATGCATTCCAAACAGCTGATGTGTATGGGTAAGATAGATAAATAGATTCACGTGCTTAGGCTAAGTCACTTCATGTTTAATTTAAAATCCAAGCTGACACCAGTACTTGGTGAGGATGGCATGATTGATCCTTTGAATACGATATTAAACCAAGGTCCCCTCTACCAGACAATTTAGTAACTAGAATTTATATTATCCTCAGCATGTGTCTTGTACAATTCTGTTTAAGTAAAAACAAATAAAATGTCAATGGTTAAATTAGGGCAGTTTTATGGTCTGAAAAGATAGTGAATTTAAGCAAAGCTGTAATTAGTATAAATACATTTGTTCACTTATAGGAACCTGGAAGCTCTCGACCTGTCCCATAACAGGATAGTTCATGTCCCTTCATTCCTGCCCCGAGGTCTCATCCACCTTGTCCTCATTTACAACCAGATTGAGCGAATCCCAGGTTTTGTCTTCGCTCACTTGGAACCAGGATTAGAATATCTGTATCTCTCCGCCAACAAACTAACCAGCGATGGCATTGACCCCACCTCATTCTTTGGCACTTATAATACCCTGAGAGAACTATTTCTAGATCACAACAAACTCGTAACCATTCCTTTTGGACTTGCTGACATGAAAGCACTTCACTTTCTGCGACTGAATGACAACTTAATCAGGTAACTGAAACATTTGCAATCAACCCCTTTTTGCTAATGAATTTGCTTTTTTGGGGTTAATAACAGGTGGTGTTACAGTTACATAGAGTGACATGGCACAGAAATGTCCCATTCGGGCCAAATCGTCTCTGCCAATGTTTATACTTCACACAAGCCTCCACCCCTCCTCTACCCGCTATTCCCTTCTTCCTTCATGTTTGCAGCAAGTTTTCTCTTGAATGTTGATACTTCAACTATGCCAAAACTAAAAACATTGATCTTAATAGCCAAGTAAATGTATCATTATTATCTTTCCTACATACATTTGTAAATCAATACTAATTAACTTCAGGATTACCCAGTATTGCGCCATATTGTTGCACCAAAATACCCTATTTTCCCACAACTTCCTGTGGTGGGATATTTAAACACACTGGAGGTGAGGAGCATGAGAACGTCAGACAGGTATTTCCCGTTGCCCCAGACTCTCCAAAAGCAAAATCTTGGAGCGGTGGAAGCTGCTTTTAAGGTATGTTAGTTCAGGGGCTACTGTATGAAAACATTCAGGTTTTAACACTAGCATTTGATATTGGCTGTCTAATATTCATGTAGAATTATTAGACTGTGTATCTAAATATTCTGATAAAGTACCTAGTTGTAACTATCGCAATCCCAAGGTAGTTAGAAAATAGATTCTCTAGTATACAATTTACCTCAAACCTCCTGTGAACATCCAAGCTGGTATTTTTTTTTACAAGCGATAATTTCTTCCCCTCACCTCAAGAAATAACTTGGTTGTATATAATTCACTGTCTCCTGAGCTTAGAATACTAACAACTATTATCACTGTTTTTCTTGGACCGTACAGATAACAGACATAATTGCCTTTTGAATAAAACTTTCAGAATATTTAGATAATCTAATAATTGTACATGAATTGTAAGATTAAAATGCTGACAGACTTAAAGGGATAAAAAAAATGCTGCACTGTTAACTAAAATTCTCTTTTACTAGGACTGTCCCATTAGAATCCATCTGCAATGAGAATGATCAAGAAGACTCAAACATTGTAGTTCTCCGCCTTGAAAACAATTACATTAACAGGAGGAAAATTCCACCCACGGCTTTTTCCTGCATTCAATCATATTCCAGTGTGGTCTTGAGACCACAAAAGGTGAAACATTGACTTAATCACAAGTGGGGAATATTTGTTATAAGCGAATATTTGATAACAAAATTTCCAGCTATTGAGATTTTTTTAATATAAAACTACTTGATGTCACGTAGTCTACCTAACAACCTTTCAAATTACTTACAATCAACTTTTAAACTAATTATAACTAGTTTACACTTTGTCTTTAAAATGTCACCTGTGGAATAAATATAATAATTACCTTGCATTTGACATAACTTATTATCACATTGTCAAAATGTCTCAAAGCGCTTCACAGGATTTTTACTGTAATTGTAAACAAACTCAGCAGACAATTTTTTTTGGTCAGCCGCACATCTGACACGTGTGTAAACCCATCACGATGCTTAAGAATATCCAAACCAAACTGAGAATTCCATGCATCCCACTTATACGTGGAAATTCTAGAGATATTTATTGGAATGGAAAGCACACTCTGTCATCCTTGCTTACCTAATTTCAGAGACTATTAGGCAATAATTAGAGACTATTAGGCAGTTGGCAAGAGTCAAGGCTCAGGGACCCTAGAGTGTGTGTTGGGGTAACTGTTGGAATCCAATCTGCTAAAAATGCATAGCTTGCCATCAATAGCACTGTCTGCCAAGCTTCCCCGCTGTCCATTTTAGGACCACCTTATCCATTAGTGCTTTGGATTTTAGTATCAAAAATATTTTTCAGACAGAATTCAAAGAAATGCATGTAGTGCTAAAGACCAGTTCTACACAGAGAGCTGAAGGTTAGTTTGATGGATGGTTTGGTCTAAAGGAACTTTACCACCAGAAATTCACTGTTGTGTTGCATAAACATCACAAACTGGAATGAACAACCATAGCACTTTCCCTCAACCCAGGTGAATAAGTTTAAACAGTATTAAATACTTGCAATTGTTTCAACACAGACTAAGCAACTGGAATGGTTCATTGGAGAAAAAGCCGTGTTTTCCATCTACAAGAGATTCATTTTTGGAGTGATACAAATTGTTATATGTGGATCATGTTATAGCTTTTCATAATAATATAATAATCCTTGTATTTGATAAATAACATTGAAATATCTCAAAGTGATTTACAGGTAGTTACTGAATGTGTTGAATGTAACAGTCAGTTTATACATAGCAAAGTCTCAAAAATAGTCATAAATTAATACCCAAATATTCTGGAGGACAGTTGATTCGCTTTTCCATAAGTGTCATGGGATCTTTATCACCCGCTTGAACAGTAATAATCTGTACCTTGGCTTAATATCTCATCTGAATGACATCACCCAGCCCTGAATTGGAGTGTTAGCCCAGGCTGCGAGCTCAGTCTTAATATAAACTCATATAACTCATAAACTTCTGATTTACAGGCAAAAGTGCTACCAACAGAGCCAGGCTGACTGACACCTGTGCTCGTGTGTCGGAGCACAAAGCCACTGAATTCACACGTGGAGTTCACACAGAGTTATTAATGAGGGAACGGATTTTGAATTTTATATAAAAACAATTTCACTTGGAAAAAAAATGCAAAACTCAAGTTGGTTGACAACCTAAGTAAAAAGGCCAGCACTGCAACCATCCTGGTTTGAAGGGTACATTAATACAATAAACAATGAATTCACTGGCATGCCACAGGAAAGCCTTCCATGCAGAAAGACAGTCATATTTAATTTCCTTCACTAGATTAGTATTGAAATACGTTCTCTTACAAATACTCTACTTAGTCAGCAACTTGTGGTGCATAGGATTTAGTTTGTGGTTGGTAAGTTGCCTCAAAGAAACTATAAGCAAATGGTTCCAAAACATTAGTGCTGACTACACATTTACTAAATTGTTCATGCTTATTTCATTGGAAAAATTCTAAACAAAGAATAGCTTCTTCTTCAAGGAATTGGCCAATAAACATTGTATTTAGTAACAATTCTCGGGGTACTTCTTCCTACCCACAAGATTCCTTCCATGAATTTCTTTCTAAACCGAATAACCCTGAAGTCTTTTAGATGACAGGAATTTGTCTAGTTACTTTTTGAAAATTGTTGCTTCTTGTTCCACATATGTTAGTTTTTTTTCCATAAAACTATCATTATTTTAATGAGGGACATGAGGAGGATGTCTCAAAGCGCTTCACAGAACTCAGTGTACAATGTAGTGACTGTATTTTGTAGATGAACACCTACAATTGTAACAGAATCTCCATCCATATTGTCTAGTCCCTTAACGGTAGTTTACCAAGAACATCTTACTACTGTAGTTGGAGTCTGCCTAACTAACTGAACCAATTAAACTTAAGATTTCTGTCTCAGACTATGATTTCACAGCATGTTTTTGAATATTTTATTTGCAACAGAATCTATTTTCTGATAAAGAAATTTTAGCTCAAACCTCAGGAAAACATTAAAGTGGCCCAAACATTAAATAGCACATTTGATATAAACGACCAGTGAACTGATGAGTCACCTCACGTGAAATCTGCATTTGTTTTGGTCAGCTGGGTGTCTGGCAAATGCAGAAACCCATCGCTATGCTTAAGAGACTCCAAACTAAATTCTATATAGAATTCTATACATCACACCTACGCTAGAAATTTCAGAGATATTGATTGAAATGAATGCACATTCCACAGTAAGATGTGGAGTCCTGTAGCTCAGTGGTTAGAGTACCCATCTCGCAAGCGAGAAACCTGGGTTCGATTCACGAGCAGGGCGAAACTTTGGGCAAGTAGGAACCCGGTTGTTAGTCGATTGGCAGATCGCTTTTCCAGGGATAATACTTCTTTCAAGAAAAATAATAATAATAAATTGGTCACTCAATCCACAACTGTTTGTGGGACACTGCTGTGTGCAATTGGCTGTATGTCGGAGTACAAAGCCCACAAAATATATTCACTTTATTGTATATTCTGTTAAGTGCTTTGAGACGTCTCAAAGACTTGATAAGACTCTGTATCAAATGCAAGGATTATTATTCTCTCCCTGGAGAAGTGCATTCCTGCTTACCTAATTCAAGTGAGTATTACTACAGGTTGACAGGAGCCAAGGCTTGGGATCCTAGAATATGTATTGGGGTTCTGCCACCTAAAACCACATAGCTTCCCAATGAAAGCACTGCCAAGCTTTTCCGCTGTTTGTCCAGCAAGGAACACCTTATCCATTAGGGTTGTGACTTGCAGGGTTAACAGGAGCTGAATAGAAAGAATTCTTACCCCCCGTGACTAGTCTCCCCTTCTCATTGACAGGTCCTGTCAATGAGCCAATGGGTTGTCATCAACAGTGCCTGGAGTATTGTGGACCTGCTTAGCTCAGGAACCGGACAACTGAGACCACCACAGAAGGTTGGCTCGATTCTAATGTTTCGTTACCAAGCTTTTCACCATGGAGCCAGTTCATCTCCAAGGATACCCTGCCCCCAGGAAGACAGTCACTAGTTGGTCATTTGACATCTAATAATTGCAGGCTTGAGTCCTCATTTAGGTAGATGGCAGCTCAGCATGAAATTCGCAGGAGCATTGCCACCATCTTCCTGTCCACAGCTCAGACACACATCCCTTCCCATTGAGTGATGCAGTTGGAGGTGTGGGGCTTGAGCAGTATCTGCTTACCTATCTACAAACCAATGAAGATGGATTCCTAGTGCTAGATGTACTCGAACTCAGACTCCAGGTAACGCCTTCCAGCAGTTGTTGCCTCATGCCTCAGAGTTTCCTCATCAGCTATTTGTTCGACACCTGCATTCAGGGTGGTGCAAGGATCTTTGCAGACCTGCTTGTGATATGCCAGCTACCTTGATGTTCTCGAGGTCCAAGATATTTACATCAATAAATAAATAACCCAACCCTCCAAGCTGGAATGAAATGCAGACTTTCTAAAATGGATTGAATATTCTGTGATAAAAAATATTTACACATTAATACAAATTAAACAAATGATAAATGGATTGACAGGTGGTCCCAGCAGAGAGAACGGAGAAGAAATCTGAACACCTTTTCAATAAATCTGTTAGAATGCGATAGTTTACTTAAAACAGTTTATATCGATGTGTGAAAAAATATTTCACTCAGATAAAGCAAGTCCTGTCCTTTAAATCTCTAGCTCCCTGTAACTAATCCACTTGTTGACACCTCCAGCAATAATACTTAGATTGGCATGATGCCATTTTTTAATCACTCCCGTTGGACTACAGGACTTCCTAGCAATTATAGAAATCATCCAGAAATCCAGCTAGATATTTTGGATCAGTTACAAGCACTGATGGAAAACACATGACCAGTTACAATGCGCTTTCAAAATTTGGTTGTGAGGAGTACGACGAGATGATCCATGAGCACATTTGTTTAAACATTACTCAACTGTTTGGGACACAGCACAACTTCCTTTTTAGTTATTAGTATTATTTGCCTTAAATTCTACAGAATTCTTCCAATACTTAATATCTTCGGAATAAAAATTGTCACGAACCTGGATGTTTTTTGGGTGGACAAGAAGTGTCTTCGGAGCTTCCGAAAGGTATGTGAATTTATGAAAGAAATCTAACGAGAAAAGTGCTTCACTCTGTGTAACAAATTCAAATTCCTATTTCTAAAATCTATAGATATCTATGTATTAATGATTAAAAGTGGAAATGTAAAATATAATTATCTTGCCTAATTTTATTAATGTTATATTCTTCTGCATTCGTTTATATAAGACTGTTTAATGTGTAAAAATTCTATAATTTTTCTATGAAAAATAAACACACAATTACCATTCACACTTCAATTATCTGAGTCAATAGAAGAGATTTGAACAAGCAACTTTCAATGTCATTTAAGCATTTTCAAAATTTTCCATTCATTGAGTTCCGTTTAAACGGAGCATTCATTATTACAAGACAATAATAAAAATGCATTTCCACAAACCAAAAATATTTATCAAAGGTATAAACTAAAAAAATCCAGTTGAAATAAATGTTTTATTCAAAAGACAATCATAAACACTTTGATGCTATCATTTGGGATGAATAAAATCAGTACTGTTTTTCTCAATGAACTTCATGGCAGATGATTTGTAAAATTTATTCCTGTTGTTTCTCACAATATTGCACTTTTGGCTCCAATGCACTATATTGTATCCAGAGGATAGAGAACATGGTTGCAGATCATGTTCAGCTTGACAGCTCACTACTGTACAAGTAGGAAGCTTTCTTCATTTGTTGTACGCCTTTACTAAGCAAACATTTCACCAAGGAAATAATTCACCCACTCCAAACGATTCTCTGTAACCACATTTGTGCTGTTTCAAAATTGCAGGTTGAGAGTTGGTTGGCACGATATTTATAAATTGCCATTAAATTACGTTCAATATTTGTAAACAAGATCAGGAATCAAAAGACACTGTTCTTGTATTAAGATTTAGTCAAGAGTTGCTTTAAATTTAAATAGATTTTTTGGTAAAATACAGGGTTGGCTTTCTAAGTGTTTATTTGAGCCATATTATACTTAGACAGACTATCAACTGCAAATCATTAAAAAATAAAATAAGTGTAATTAGCCCTTGATGCCAACATTATATTTCAATAGTGTCGGTGATAGTCAAAGTTATCTTAATTAGATATTCGTTTGACAGCAATCAAAATCCTTCTTTCCTAAACACTTAGAAAAGGTGTAACATCAAAATACTTGCTCTGCTGATGAGCATTACTGCATGTACATGGAGCACATTCAGCACACAAATCTTATAGCAAATGGTCTATCGTGATAAAAATACTAACCGGTTTATTGATGGTAGTGAGCATTCTGTATACCTTCATTCTATTGGTAAATATGCAAGAAATATCACAAAAAAGCTTTCCAAAAGCAATCAAGTCATATGTAATTGTTTCAGCACACAATGCCTGTAATAATAAGCTGCAAGGTATAATTATCAGTAGCTGGATATTGGTACTTTCTAACGTTGCTTTATTATTGATGTCTTCACTTTGTAAACTAGACGCATAATCCAGGATTGCACTATGAAAGTCTTTACGCTCCTGTCCATTGTGTCTCTGTGTTCCACAAAACCATTACTTCAGGATGAAGTCAGTCCTCTCATGGTAAAATACGACATTCCAGCAATACCTACTGCACACCATCCGATCTTCACTTGTCCACTGGAATGTACATGTCATATACGGGTAGTCCAATGCTCAGATGCTGGTAAGATTCTATTTTTTAATTTAAATTGAGATTTAGGAATATAGAATCAGGAAGCCATTTAGCCTCTTCAGTAATTTTATTAAATCATGGTAGTTCTTTCATTCCCATTTCCTTGCCTTTTCTCCTTAACCAGTTTACTTTTAAAGCACTAATCAACCCTTAACCTCCTCAGACGTAAAGAATATAAACTGTCGCACTGATTATAGCTAAGACCCTTCATCTTAGGTATTAAGATAGTAAATCAGATCTGGCCATACTCCAAAATACAAAATACTCCAAAATCCTTCTTAAGATTGGGTGCCCCAACTTCAAATGAGGTCTGCCAAGCATTCTATGTAACAGGAATCTGACTCAGGCTTCACATACTGGAGAGCTGTGTGATACAAGAGGTAGCAAAAGTAAATCTTGCAGCTATCAGAAATTGGCTACAAACATAACATTGAAGAAATGTTAACAGCAATGGCTGCCATTAACTGGAACCTGAAACTAGACAACCACAGGCTGTGGACTGTTCCAAGCAGCCTCCAAGCTGATGCTGAGTGGGCAGAGCAATCCTACTCACTGAAAGGAAACCCTTCAAAGCTCTCTGAGAGAACTACTGTTATAACTAAATTATACTGATCTTTAAACACCTCACCTCCCCTGCTTAGCATGACTATTTCACGAGTGTGGTAAGCAGAAGACCATAGCTTATAATAAGACAACCATTTCTATGGATGAAATTCAGATGATGCACAATATTCAGTGGAACACGGGAATCAGTAATATTGTGATTGTATATTATTGTGTAAACATATAAAACCAGAAACTAATTTGTTGTTTCTTAGGTTTAAGGTCAGTGCCAGCACAAATTCCCAGAAGCACGGTCATGCTTGATCTTCAGAACAACAAAATTAGTGAAATAAAAGAAAATGATTTCAAGAATCTTCCTTCACTCTATGTAAGCCAATATGGTTCCATGTCCCTGTGCTATCCATTCTTTTGTTAATTCTTGAATTCCAATTACGTTTATTCAGCTCAGAAATGAACATAAAAATCTCATTCTTGGAAAAAAAGGTTGACTTCCACATGAATAGAATTTTCCACTTATAGGGAGAAAAATAAATCACTTGGAGCATTACCTCTTAAAGACCTTCCTAATGTCGCACTGCCATTTCCCCACAAAGTTGAATGTAAAGCCTCATTATGAACTGTACTTTTAGTTCTTTGACTGGAGGTGTAGCAAAGCAACCCCAAGAGTGACAACATAAGCAACATAATGCATATATATACCTCAAATACACCAAACAGTCCCATAGCTCAGTGGTTAGAGCACTCGCCACGCAGGCGAGAGACCTGGAATCAATTCCTGGCAGGGCGAAATGTTGGACAAGTTTCCTTACTCCACACGCCTTGGTTTACCTAGCCGTAAGTAGAAACCCGATTAGCGGATCGCTTTTCCGGGGGTAATAATTCCTTAAATTTTTTTTAAAAAAATTGGTCCACGGATGTTTCTGGGACACTGCTGTGCGCAATTGGCTTCAGCGTTTCGCTCAGAAAATACTATTTCACAATTCATTTTACAATTGACCTGGGTTCAATTCTCAGCAGGACAAAATGTTGGGCAAGTTTTCTTACTCAACACGCTTCTGCTTACCTAGCAGTAAGTATGAACCCGGTTGTTAGTGGATTGGCAGATCGCTTTCCGAGATTAATAATCCCTTCAAAAATACAATAAAATAAAAATTTGGTCACTCAATCCACGACTGTTTGTAGGACATTGCTGTGTGCAATTGGCTGTCGCATTTTGCCCACAAAGTATATAGGCAACTCATGTCTCAAAGGCATGATAAGGCACTACATCAAATGCAAGGATTATTATTATTATCATTTAGGAACTGGCAGTGAGACTCAGAAAAGTATGTGTTTTGCCCAGCTATGATCACAGCAGTGCTGATTGGGTTTGTTATCTTGAGCCGTCAGATCAGAATACTAACATTGGGAAAGTAAGCAAGCTACTGCTGGCATTAGGGAAATTTAAGGACATTATAACACTAGAGATATCCATACAAACAATGAAATCAACTGTGGGAATGTTGTGCTTGGTGGGGACTACAAAATAGTTCTCATTTAGCTCTTGCTTTGTTCCAGGTGCATTGAATCATAAATAATCCTTGATATAGCACCTTATACTTTTATTGAAACATCTCAAAGTGCTTCACAGAAATTACTGTGTAATGTAATGTTATATATAATAAGCGCTTCAGAAATTACTGTGAAATGTAGTGTTATATATTTGTAGACATGAAGGCATGTGCTCCTTTTATTTCTCCCCCTTCCCTTTTCCTCGGATATCATTAACATAGAAAGAAACATTTTTGGCTTCACTGGATCTGGTTCTCAGAACTCTCCAATTCAAAGGTGTGAATATTAATGATCAGTTCATTAAAATTATCTCCTTCAACAGTCGTGGCACCAAAGTAAGTATGCCTGGATTCCAATGGAGAGAATGGCCCTTGCTCATAATATTCAGTGACACATAACCTTGGCTGAACCTGGACTGCACTTTAATTGACTGTACTTCAGACACAATTGAACTGTACAAACAGAACATTTTCATGTAATATATCTGGATTGGATCCAACCCAGGTCCCAGAGGTGAAAGGCTAATTTGCACAACCCAGACCTGCAGAATGAAAGTATTTAATTCACATGAAATAGTACCTAAATGGAATTTGTTGCTCAATCTGTCAGGACAATAATACAGTATTTCTGTTTGCATATTTAACTAGATTTAGCACCATTTTATGTCCAGAATGTAAAACTATTTTTTCCTGTCTAGGCACTTTTTCTGATTAATAATCAGATACATAAAATGCATCCAAAAGCTTTTAAATCGATTAAGCACTTGAAATTGCTTTACCTTTCATGGAATCTGATGCCTCAGGTTCCCACCAATTTACCCAAATCACTTGTGGAACTAAGAATTGATGACAACAAAATTAAGAAAGTACAGAAGGATGTTTTTAATGGAATGAAGCACTTACACGTTTTGGGTAAGCTTACGTGGTTGATGTTTTACATAAACATAATTTTACTTCTACAACTGGAACAGGGTTAACTAGAGGGGTGATTGATAAGACTCTTTCAAGAAACAGCTTGATACTGTAATGGGAAGATAGGTAATTGGTAGCGCCCTTGCTTCTGGGTCAGAAGATCATGACTTCAAGCCCACATCAGGACTTCAGGTCATAGACTAGGCTGATACACTAGTGCAGTACTGGGGAGTAGCCTTTGATTGTCAGAGGTGGTCCTGAAACAGGCTATTGCACAAGGATAATTTCAACAGACTAATTTCCTTACATGTTCTAAATGTCGTCCATCTTGACCCTGGGCTACAGTGGGTGCACCTGCCTGCCCAGAGCTTCACCACTCGATTTGTGCTCAGGAAACCAAAGTATCTCCTTTTCAGAGAAGACATTTCCCATATTTATTTTCTTAGTTTTAGATAAGAGCATTTTAGATTCAGAATGCTTCTTCATTTCCTTCCTCAGATAATTGTTTCCCATTAATTTGTTTTTAGCTCAAAACCCCTCTTGTTTGACCTTTTCCCAGAGTCCATCTTAACCTTGTTTAAAGGAATATTTATTCCCCAATTTGACCTGTTCACATTTGCTTCATTCTTGCCAACTTCAGAGTATTCAAGCTTTGATGTTATTTTGATTAAAATAAGTTTGCAATTAAAACCAGTAATAACAACCTCTGTAAAACACATCCACTAGAAATAAACATTTATATTTTTTCTGCAGTAAACTCCAAGCAAAACTCTTAGATCTGTTAATAGTGAATCCATTACTTTGCAGAGTTGAGTGGAAATCCGCTGGACACTCCTGGTATTGAACCTGAGGCTTTTAATGGGGTACCCCAACTATTTTATATAAGGATTTCACAGGCAAAGCTATCTTCAGTTCCAAAGAGTAAGTTTGCTTTCAATTACTCGTTTTTTGTTGCTGATTTATTCAGAGAAATGGTCAGGGAAACAAACGTATTTACAACTATTAGATACAACCAAAGATTTATGAAAGCCACAAAGCAAAACTTGAGCAGTTACAATGGTAACCTCTTGTAACCTAGCAATGTAACCACCAACCGCCGATCATGGACAGCTTGGTAGGGAGGAGCAAGACCATGAAGGGCTTTAAAAGTGAACAAGATTTAATTTGTTCTTCGAGGAGAACAACACGTTCAGTGTTTCCGCCAACATTGCCAATTTAAGAGATTTTAATATAATGATATTTGATATTAATGAAAGCAACTAGTTTTTGGTGAGAGAATAGCATTTAACAGATGTGAGAGTGACAAACATAGGTTCAGGATTCAGGTAACAGTAGACACTGACATTGCTTCCTTGCTAATGTAAACTACAGTGGGAGCGATACTAGTTATCAGCTGATACATTTCCATTCTGAGAAAGGTGAATCAAATTACATTCCCATTCCTTTCTTTTCTTTCTCTCCCCACCCAATTAGGCAAATCACGATATCAGGGGAATCAAATAATCCTCCGGCTGGTAACTCTATAGTGTCGATGAGAAACAGAAAATACAGTAGAAAAGGGAACAGGATATGAGGATATAGGGATCCCCATAGTTTAATAGCCCTAATAAGCTGGACATCCTTATGTTCTCTAAAGGCAGAAATGTGCTTACACAGTGCAGTACTATTTCCACACAGTGGCAAGCTAAGATGAACAATTATTGCGTTGACATAATTTGTTCAATGCTGGAGCCAGAAAAGGGGGTGAAAGTTATGTGTGAAGGTAAAGAGCCCAAGTTTAAATAGTGGAGACACCAGGGTGGACAAACATTTGGGAGTTAAGCTTGCTGGTCTGTGCTATAATACTGTACTTGTATCGTTTCCTTACTTTCTTGATATTAATGAAAGTAAAAACTAATGTCATGTTTAATAGCTTAGCATCATTTTACATTAATACAGAAAGTACCCTGCTACTGTGTGTGTGTGTGAAGTGTTAAACTGAGGCCCATCTGCCTGTTCAATTAGATGATAAATACCCCATGATACTGTGGGAAAAACAGGGCGTTTTCCCTGGTATCCAGGCCAACAGTCTTTCTGATCAATTGGTCATTCACTTCATGGATGTTAAATTGCAATATACAATAATTCACCTACAAAACATACAATCAATTCACTTTACAGTATATTCTGTGAAGCGCTTTGAGACATCTCGAAGATGTGATGGGACCCTATATCAAATCCAAGTATATTTATTATTAATAAAAAAACTAACTAGTACGATTCAGATATTTATACTTTGTACAATTTTTCACCAAAGATCTACCATCCAACCTCTATGAATTGTACCTTGACTCTAACAAGATTTCAATGGTGGAACTTGAGGATTTTAGACGATATAAACACCTCTACAGGTAAGAATGTCTGGTTTGTTTTAAAATAGATAGAGAAAATGAGTAGGCGGTGCCATCAGGGCTCTCCAATTGCATGGCGGCCTGTGTATCCTGGATAGTCCACAACCCCACTGGTGTTAAGTGTTGCTATCTTGTCAGCATGGCACTTCATTGTCTCAATTATTTCCATGCTTTTTGTGAGTAGCAGAGCATGTGACCAAAGGTGTAAACGGTGGGAGTTTGAGTCAGGTGGGTCCAGCTGGACCATGGAGGGACGTCAAATAGGATATTGGTCAGCTCACCTGTCCGGCTTGACCTGTAAATGCCTTTATGTATTACAATTCTGACTTAATTTAAGGCTTTGAAGTGTTGTCATTTGCATGCTTGTCACCAATGAATAGTTTGAATTATTTTTGAGTTGTCCGTATTTTACTCGTTAATATAAACGGGATATGGTTTTGTCCTCAAAGCCCCCTGACTCTAGCCACTGAGCAATTGGGTATAGATACCAGCTCCGTAACAGTAATATAGGGAGAAAGGAAAAGAGAGCTCTTCTGAAGTCAGGCTTGGGATAGAGGTGAAAACATTGCTATGTATCCTGAACATTTTAAGCTTGATAACCCTACTTGTTTCCTCTCTTCAGGCTGGACTTGGGATATAACCAAATTAAAGAGGTTGAAAATGGCAGTTTAGCCTATCTTTCTAATGTAAGACAGATCCATTTGGAAAACAACAAGCTTAAGAGAGTTCCTCCTGGTCTAAATGAACTGAAATATCTTCAGGTAAGTAGGCAAACAGTTTGCATAGTTTCCATTTTTATTTTAATTATTGTAGCGTATTCTAGAGTAAATCTAAAAATTGAGCATTTTTGTCTCTATTAAAGCAGCAGTTTTGCCAATAAACAAATGCAAAAATGTGTTTTTATAGAACAGAAACTCTTTGTTTTGGAAATAAAAGCTGAAAAATGGTAGTACTAAAATTCCAACAAAAAGATTTCCATGTTTTCTAATGTACAGATATAAACAACTANTTTTTTGTGTGCAGGTAGTATACCTTCATAATAACAATATTAGCAGCGTTGATGTAAATGACTTCTGTCCAAGGGGATCTGGAATTAAGAGAGCCTTCTACAATGGAATCAGTCTTTTTGGAAATCCTGTGAAATACTGGGAAATTCAACCGGCTTCTTTTCGATGTGTGTCCAGTGCCTATGGGTTGCATCTTGGAAATTTCAAGAAGTAAAGGAAGCAGAACAATGTGAACAGATAGTGCTCTTTATGGAGAATGGGATTAATTTCCATTTGCCAATATATTAACCAACAAGAGGAATATATCCCTATGAAGACCTCTGCTCTCAGCATATGGACAGTACTTTACTGTGGTATGTACAGAGAGGAAGTCAACTGCAGCAATTGGGGTTATCTGAAGCAGTAATACATAATGCCAAGCAGTTTAGGTTTCTGTAAACAGCTCTATTTTACTGTATCTACACAGACAAGTACCTTCCCTATACTGACATTGTTCTGGAATTACTAGATCCACTGCAACAACAAGATTGATTAAATATAGTTCTGTTGCAGTTTTAATCTATTCCATTTAAACAGATAGTAGGATAGATACTGTATATTTAATCAATGAGCAAGTAAATACTCAGTTACATGTCTGTTGCACACCATTTGCGTGAACACGTAAGAAAAGCGCAGGTTTCAATGCAGTAAACAATCCAGCCCATTCACAATTAATTCCCAGAGCTATACCTCTATACCTGCCAAGCCAATTTGGATCAATTGCAAGTATGACATTATGTTATTTGTATTTTACTTTCTTAAAACCAACACCACCAGGCAAGAATTCCATTATTACTTGTTTAACAACATATTAATGTACAATTACCATCCAATTAATTATCTCTATCACCGTGTCCATTTGAAAAACAATGTGAATAGCAGGGCATGCCAGAATAGTATCAATATAATTATAGCATTGTACTTTTTTTAAAAAAAAACACCCTTTTTAATATTACTTGAATATTAATCCCAGAAGTTATTAGCACTATAGTCATACTATTATTGATGCTAAACGTTTTGCTAGAATAACTGTACTTTGCTGACAAAGGATAAACTTCTAGAACATTTCAGGATATATACTGGAAGATAAAAGAAGGCATCCTAGTAACTTCCATACAGTGAGTCAAAAACTACATCAGTATTTATTTCTGATAGTGAATCATTTAATTCATGATAAACGATCACACATTAGTTTGTTGCCTCTAATTTCTATTCACAGGCACCTTTTACATACAGAAATGTGATGAATCGTTTAGCAGTATTACACGCAAGTTCATACATTACTTTGAATTGCAACTAGCTCCTGTTTGTGCTTGGAATTCACTACTACCCTGAAATGGGAATAGGAATATGGCTGAAATAATTATACTGCTTTCAATTACCAAAATACACAGTGAATTCCCTTTACAATATATTCTGTGAAGCTTTGAGACGTCTCAACAACGTGATAAGGCACTCTATCAAATGCAAATGCAAGGATTATTATTATTTATCATTGCCAAATGCTTTTTGTTTAAAATTTAAGGCTTCTCTTCTATATATAAATTGCAGAAATTAACATGAGTTTATGAATATTTTATAACTTCTTCCTGGTGATTTTAGTGGCTGTGCTCTATCATTCAGTAATAAAAAAATACAGTATTCAGAGAAAAACAATGATGTACAATAACTTAGATTGTCTTTTGTATTGCCACAAGTCTTAGCATTGGGGACTCCAATGGGTCGATTACAATTGACTTCTTGGAGCAGCAACAAGTGGCCCACCAAAGTCCTGCACCAACCCAGGCGAGTCCACACCAGTTTCAGTAACTACCGAGCCACAATACCCATGGAGTAGCCAAAAATGAAGAAAAGTTCAATAAAGAAAACTTTATTTGGTCGGCCGACCATAAAGGTTGGAGACACTTGTCTTAGCACAACTCTGCAGCTGGTGTACTCTCACGCACCAGGCTCCGTGACCCCATCACTCCCACCCTCGCCCGACTCCACTGGCTCCCCATCCCCCAGAGGATTGAGTTCAAGATCCTCGTCCTCACCTTTAAGGCCATCCGTGGCCTTGCCCCCTCCTACCTCTCTGACCTGCTGACTCCCTACCAACCTGCCCGCTCCCTCCGTTCATCGGGCTCCGGCTGCTCCATATCTGCCAGCCTCTCTGCCCCCACAATCTGGAACTCCATCCAACGATCCCTTCGCCTTGTTTCCTTCCTTGCCTCCTTCAAGGCTGGTCTCAAGACCCTTCTCTTCGACCATGCCTTTGGTCTCTCTCCCACCCCTCTGCCTTCCCTCACCCCTACACCATCCCCCCCATGCTTGATATCAGAAGACAATAAATATTAAATCATTGTAAAGATTCACTAAATAATGGATTACATGTATGTAATGCATTAATATTTAACTACTTTTAATAAACAATAAAAACTATTTGACAATCAACAACCAGGATTTCTTTTTAAGAAGAAAACATGGGAACTGCATGATAATTTGAGCAGTGCATGGTCAGGGAGTTTTCATTTTGTTTTGGCTAGAAAACTATCCTTATGATCCTAGAAAGATATTTCAGCAATCATGCTAAGGGAAAAGAAAATTAGCTAGCAACCCACAGGCAAAAGACCAAAATCTTGTAAATGGTAATTGAAAAAAGATTAAATTGCTTAAATTGGAGACGACTACGTGTACAGATTATGTGAAGTTAATATTTTACACGAGCAGAATTCTGGTTTGCATTCAGTGCTAGAGGTTGGAAATCAGTGCTCAGTGCCTGTGTGCACTGCCAATGTTAATCATGCTTTTCACAAAACTCACAGGTGGTCTTTGCTGCAATGTTTTGGAAGAATGTGCAAAAGATGGAAAGTAAGCGGAGACTTACTTTCTTTACGAGAGAAGCAGCCTTCAAAAGAAATGGAAGGAGAAAACAAGGAGTTAAATAGAGGCCAGGATGAAAAGCTGCTTAATAATTTGGTAGAGAGGGGAAAAAGAAATGGGAGAGAAGGCTAAGCCATGTTGAAAACAAGAGAAAAGGAAAAGATAAAATGGACATGGAGTCATTAAAGAGATTTTAAAGCAGCTAACTGTATAGTGAGTGAAGGTTTGCGTTCGACCTGTTTTTCTTCCCCTTATTATTAACATTATGGACAACAGAAAATATCTTGCATGCAGGAACCTGACACTGGCATAAATAACACTGGAACTATTGTGTTCAGATAGCCTATTTATTAAAGTAAGCATAGAAAATACTGTTGCTTTATAGTTTGCTGAGGGAAATGTGTAGGAACAATATATCAAGAATTCGTACACAAATGGTAACAGAAAACGACAATGAAACATTCCTGTCAAATCTGCTGTAGTCTGATCATCTAGTTATTGCAATCCTTACCATGAGAGGGAGATATGCACTCACAGACAACTGCAGAAGAAATCAAAGATATGAGTAGCTAAATATTCAAATAATCTGAATCAATCAATGGACAGTTTCCCCCTCAAAGAAAGTAAATGCTAATACACTTGAAACACAACATGTTGCACATTGGATATGAGCCTTTACTGCAATAAAGTAAGGAAACACAAGAGGTTACAGATTTTAGGGTTCAAGATCTGCTGGAGATCGAATACTTATCATGTTTGTTGCATAATAAACAGATAGGATGATATCTATAACATGACTTAAAGGATTCATAGTTCATTGTCCAACAAAAATTCTAACCGAAATGTCACAAGCTTTTAAAATGGATTAAAACTTAAAACATATCACTTGATTGACTGAACATTTTTATTATGAATATTTCTAATGGATTTTAATGTACAGTAAACACCATCAGAATTCACTTTCAGCATCATATGGGTATCAACTGTATGGTCTGATTCAATTCTCCACTGTCACAATCCTTGCTAGATATAAATGTCTTATGTAGAATTACATAGACTGTATATCACTGAAACAGGCTAACTTGTTCATCAATATTTATGCTTCCCAAATGCCTTCACCCATCTTAATGCCCTCTTCCTACAGCAGCCTTCTATTCCCTTCCATTTGTGGACTTTAATTTTTCTGCATGCTCTGAATCGTTTCAGACTAATCCCTATTCACTTCTCCTTTATGTATGCAGCACAGTTCTGTATAAAACACATTACTAGATTTGAATATACTTTTAAAGAAATGACCATTTAATATAAAGTTGAAGTAAAGAAGTTATTTGATCACATTGAATGATTTTCAGGATGTGGTGGTTAATGATTACTGACCAGTTTATCTTTCCAAAGCCAAATTTCTAAGAGAAAACATATGGGAAATTGTGGAGCAAATCAGACTGTTCTGTATGCTACATGCCACGTATTGCATACCATTAGAAATCTGACAACAGTTTTAACAAGCACACTGTGGCCCTACTTACCAACCTTCAAGCACAGATTAGTCTAAAAAGTTTCAGAGCAAGTAAAAAAATAAACCAATGGAAAATGTATTCTCCCTTTGAAGAATATGGACATGTATTTTTGGCAATCAGCCCTTTGCTGTACTAAACTCCCTTTAATACAGGATAGCTTTGAACTAACTCAACAAATCTGGATAAATACTTGAAAAATCCCAAATGAGACTGAATTTTGAACCATCATTGCCAGGAATAATATCTGCATTCTGGCAAACAATACTAGCAATTCTGCAAAATGTCACTTGTTTATTTTATAGCTTGCCATAAATTAAGCACAAAACCTTTAGTATATTTGAAATAAATCAGTGATGCACAAGGAGTTGTTGAGGCAAATAGCATAGATATATTTAAGGGGAAGCTAGATAGGTGCATGAGGGAGAAAGGATAGAAGGTTATGCTTGAAGGCTTAGTTGAAGAGGGCAGGAGGAGGCTTATGTGGAGCATAAACACCGACCTAAGCCAGTTGGGCCGTATGGCCTATTTCTGTGCTGTATATTCTAATGTATTCTAGTCCGAATTCCTTGCTCTTTCCAAGTTCTCTCTAATATCTTTCCTCTGCATGTGTTTATCTAATTCCCTTTGAAAAGTTATAAATGACTCTGCTCCACTAAGCAAATCCTAGCAAATCATTTCATATTCATATAACTATCTGGGTTATATACAATAAAATTAACAATTATATAGCACCTTTCACATTGGGAGGATGTTTCAAAGCACTCGAATGTACACAGCAATGACTTTCCTGCACACAAATGAAAGACATTTTTCATACTTTTCATATGTTTACATTGAAGATGTACAAACTGATTGTAACACAAATATATAACATTTATAACCTTATATTTCTTTCTGTTCTCCAATTCTTTCTTAGCTTCTTTGGTGGCTCAATGAC